AATGACCCCCTTCCAAAGTGAACTAAGAGCATTGCTAACAAGAGTGCTGTCAGAAAGAAGAAATATGCCTGATGTTGCTGATGCCAGGTATACTGCTAGAGGTGTAGAGCAACTTGGATTTGAGCATTCTTCTGAAATATTTGTTGACTCATTCATTGTTGAGGTTGTTGTTGAGAAATGCAGTGAATCAGATATAAAGGTGAAGCAGAAGTCAGCAAGTGTTAGATTGCATAAAGTATTTGGAGAAGGTTTTGGCTATAAGTATGTTAGAAGTAAGATTAGTGAGCAATATGGACCAGTTGCTATTTACAAAGTATCTACACCAAATATTGCAATAGCTAGTTCTTTGTTAACAGTGAAGTTTGCTGCTATGGCTGATTACAAAATATATCTACAAAATTATGATATCACAATGGATTGTAAGAATGTGTCATCTAGAAATATTATATATAAATACCTTTTAGAAAGAGGAGTTGAAAAGAAAGATGTTGTAGATGATTTACGCAAGTCTGGCTCTAACTGCATTAGCTGGTTTACAAAGAAAGGAGATGTTAAAGTTAAGAACAAAATTTATAACAAGTTTATTCAGCTTCTTGAGAGTGGTGAAGTTCGTAACCCTCTTAGTTCAAAACTTTCTGAATTTGTAATGCCAACTTTACATAACTTTGGAGAAACATTATATGCTTGCAGAAACTCTGGTTTGACTAGGATAGAACTAACTGTACATTCTTCTCAGATGCAAACATTTGAATGGAATAGCAACTTGCTTCTTAACACAGTTCAGTTTATGAATGAATGCAGAACATTTGCAACTTCTTATGAAAAGCAGTGGATGGCACTTGTTGATAAAGTTAGTAGTTGTTATACTGTTTGTATTTATGTGAGACAACAGCATACTCTAGCATATTGTCATTGGTTTAACTCTATCACATCAAAGAAGCAAGGAATTATTAAGAAACTAAACAAGAATGATGATCCAATGGTAGTTGTTGCTAATCTCTCATTCAACAACAGACCTACTCTTTATCAAATATATGATTCACTAGAGAGTGGTCTTGAAACAGAAAAAGTTCTTAGAAGAGTTGATGAGAATATAACTATTGTTCCAAGTCAGAGAAACTCCTTCTGGTCTACTTATCCTACAACTAAGCAGTATCACACTTTTGAAGAGATGGGATTAGTTAACTACAAAGGAATGCATATTGGTTGGATAGATAGTAAGCAAGCAAAGAGTAAGATATGTCTATCAGAAATGTCAGAGGTTGAATATTCTGCAGATGAGGAAAACATCAATGCACTAACAACAGCAATAGACAATATCACACTTGATGAAACTAGGCATATATTTATCAAAGAGAATACAGATCTGAAACCTTCATTGTATAGAGTTGCTTACAATGTTCTTCAGTTAGGTGATGAATTTATAGTTACACATTATGCACTCCATACTTTCAGAGGACATTCATACTTCTATATTGATATTCATATTAAAGGGAGAGATAAACAGCCAACTCTTATTAGGACACCAGCTGACAGTTCTATTGGAAAAGCAATTTCTCAACAGTTAGGTGAATCAAAGCAACAAATATATCTGAGAGTTGTAAGTGTAGGATATAGAACAGTCACAGTTGAGTAGCAGCCATTTTAAAACATAGTATAAGCAACCATTCTCTCCATATCTCTATGGAAAGTATGACAAACATCATACACATGTTCAACCCTTACCTCACAATCAGTAGCAATATGTTGGATCCAATTACGCACTTGTATTGCTAGGTCATCACTCATATCAAAGTCATGAATAAGTAGCAGAGTAAGCATATCTCTTTCTTCCTCACACATCTCAACTAAATGTTGCTTGAAGAAGTTCTGGAATGATCCCATTTTCTAAAATTGATAAAAGTTGAAATTTTTATTTATGACTACCTCACACAGATGGACAATCAATTACAAGAATTAAGAGAGAAGGAGTGGAATGTGCTCTACACAACAAAGTGGAGATTTCTTGATGAAGATTGGTTAGTGCATAAACAACAGAAGTACTATAGGAGTGAAGCTCATGATGTGAAAGAAATAAAGCTCATCAAAGATACACTTATAAAGCAACTTGGAATGATCCCTGTGTTCTTCTTCCTAAATGTTCTATTTGGTGGAAAGCAGTATCCATGTCCATACAGAAATGTTGAGAAAGGACTCTTGATTTTGTACCAGTTAGTTGCTGGGCTATCAATCAATGAGATGGAGAGGTTTATTCCTAAGAGCAGCTATCAGGTAATTCATAATATGTTCTATATCTCAGAGTTAAGTGAGTTGAACAAGAAGCTTTCACACTACTTGCACACAATGTTCTCCACTCCAGAACTAAGAGTGATCTCAGCAAAGATTCAGAATCCACAAGGGTTTAAGCATATTACTCTTATGCTAGATGGCCATGACTCACGAGCTCTACATAATGGTGCATACAAACCAAATCTTTATTCCTTCAAGTTGAAGAAGTCAGGATATAGAACACAAGTTTGCATTGATTTGAATGGAATGGTTGTCCTTGTTTCACCAACAGAGGAATGTAAAGACCACCCAGATTCAAAGATGATTAAGAACATGTCACTATTGAAATACATCTCTCCAGTAGATTGTGTTGTATTAGATGGTGGCTATCCTCAAAGTATTCTGGAAGAGTTAACAGAAGCAGAAGAGAATGAGAATTTTGGAATGCATAACTTTTGCTTACCAGTTAGAAAGCCAAGAGGAACCAACTTAAGTGAGGCAGAGTTAGAATATAATAGCAAACTTGGGTCATTTAGATCAATGGTTGAGAGCACATTTGGAGAACTAGGTAACACATTTAAGAGACTTTCAAATAGAGAAGTTGTGAGAATTAGAAATACAACTGTGTACAATGTGCAGTTTAAACTCTGTTGCTTACTCTACAATATGAAGAAGATCCTAGCAGCTAGTAAAGTTCCTATTGAACATCACCACACACTTTGGGTTCTATCTAACTTTGACTACCCAAGCAACAACCAGGAGAGATCAACTCATGCTGAAGTTGGAAGTACTTTACCACAAAAAGTAGAACTAGAAGCTTCAATGAGAGAACTACAAGATAGACTTATTCAAGCTAAAATTGATGAGTCAATGAACTTCTATGTAGACATGTCATAAGCAACTTTTAAAATAGGAATTTTCAATAAGAATTTTGCATTGATAGAAAATGCTTCAATAAGGAGGTCATTCAGAGCTAGTTATCTGCATAACAACTATTTGTACATGTTAAAACTATTGGCAATTTCAGTGAAATAAAAATTTCACCCAAACCGCCATCGGCATCTTGGAAAAGTTTCAGTGAACATAATTTCAACCAGAAAGAAAAACCTTTGCATATTTGGGGTTAATTATCATTGGGCAACAAAAGTCAATATCTCAATAGATGTGGCTAAGCAACCACAAGGAAATTATGTTCACTGAAACTTTTCCAAGATGCCGATGGCGGTTTGGGTGAAATGGCAAAAAAAAATATTTGTATTTTTAAAATCAATTATACACACAAAAACATTCTGGACACAACAATTATAGTTATCTGTTCCAAAAATATCTAGTAGCTAAAAATAGTTCTGAAAACGATTATTCAAATAACTATCTAACTAAATTACAAATAACTAAAATTTATAAGTCCAGGAATGACCCCCTTCACCACTCTCAAGAAGCTGAATAAACTTGTTGTAAATTTTGTTCTTAACTTTAACATCTCCTTTCTTTGTAAACCAGCTAATACAGTTAGAGCCAGACTTGCGTAAATCATCTACAACATCTTTCTTTTCAACTCCTCTTTCTAAAAGGTATTTATAGATAATATTTCTAGTTGAGATATTCATACAATCCATTGTGATGTCATAATTCTGTAGAAATATTTTGTGATCAGCCATAGTAGCAAATTTCACTGTTAACAAAGAACTAGTTATTGCAATGTTTGGGGTAGATACTTTATAAATATCAACTGGTCCATATTGCTCACTAATCTTGCTTCTAACATACTTATAACCAAAACCTTCTCCAAATACTTTATGCAATCTAATACTAGCTGACTTCTGCTTTACCTTTATATCTGATTCACTGCATTTCTCAACAACAACCTCAACAATGAATGAGTCAATAAATATTTCAGAAGAATGCTCAAATCCAAGTTGCTCTACACCTCTAGCAGTATACCTAGCATCAGCAACATCAGGCATATTTCTTCTTTCTGATAACACTCTTGATAGTAATGCTCTTAGTTCACTTTGGAAGGGGGTCATTCCTGGACTTGTAAATTTTAGTAAATTACAATTTTGTTAGATAGATATTTGACTAATCGTTTTCAGAACTATTTTTAGCTACTAATTATTTTTTTCATAGTTATTATTTGTTATCATGTCCAGAATGTTTTTGTGTGTATAATTGATTTTAAAAATACAAATATTTTTTTTGCCATTTCACCCAAACCGCCATCGGCATCTTGGAAAAGTTTCAGTGAACATAATTTCCTTGTGGTTGCTTAGCCACATCTATTGAGATATTGACTTTTGTTGCCCAATGATAATTAACCCCAAATATGCAAAGGTTTTTCTTTCTGGTTGAAATTATGTTCACTGAAACTTTTCCAAGATGCCGATGGTGGTTTGGGTGAAATTTTTATTTCACTGAAATTGCTAATAGTTCCAGCATGCATAAATAGTTAATGGGCAGATAAGTATCTCTGTATAACCCCCACTAGTAATTGATTTATTATATGTTAACTAGTTATTCTGATAATAGATATTTAGTTTCTTTAAACTTTCATATTTGTGAATGGCCTCCATTGTTCATTGCAGCTCACCAATTTTATTTTAGGAGCTGCCCACAGTGAGTTCGCTGAGGGCGGCCCGGCAACAAGCTTATAGTGGAGCTTAGGTCGCATGAGAGCAAAGGAAAACAAGGGAGAGGAAAACCTCTCCTGAATCATAAAAAAGCAAGCCAGTTTTCGCCTCTTCCAAAACCTTTTCTCTTCCTTGTCTTAATAAAATATTGCTACACATAATATCCACTCTATTCCTACACACACTTGTACTTTGTTATCTGCCCATGGTTCAGCCGCGTAAACTCACTGTTTTCTGGATAGGTAAATACTCTTACTTTCCACTTCGTGTTCCATACTAACCGTTTTTATTGCCGTTCTCCACTAGCGCACCTTTGCCGAAATAAAAACTGTATTTCTTGGTACACTTACAATTCGCAACATCGCTGTACTCTTGCACAGCACGATTTGATCCTGCCCTTGCAGGTCTCTAGTTGCTGTTCGATCTTTCCTCCTTCTCGCCTTTGTCTTCTTTCTGGCCCTCACATGTTTGCTCTAGTCTCTGTGTGGTGTCAGTGCGGATCCTACTTTTCATGGCCGTACACTCCCCCATGAAAGTCTTGTCGCGTGCTATCCGGTACTGGGTAATGGGGGGTCGTCACCTTGAGGTGTCCCGGGAAGGTGGTGATGGTTGGGATTCCACCAGGCCCGGTTGCGGGGTGCTGTGCGGCACACGTGGCAACAGCCGAAGTGCAGGAGTTGTATGAGTTTGGAAGGTCTGGCGGGTCTTTCACTTTTACTCTGCTGAGCATTCTAGCGGGTTGGTATTCCATTTAGATTATTGAAGGCGAATCAGGGACTGAGAGGCAGTGGCAACTAGAGATCTGCAAGCGCTGGAGCAAAATATGCTGCACAATTGTTGGTGGTAACATTGTTACTTCTTTGACCCAAGATATGTGTAAACACTTCAAGAACTGGTTCAAGACCGTAGACGATTTCTAGCATCGCTGCTCTGCGTGTGGACCAGAGAAGCAGTGAGGTTCAACACCAATAACTACGGCTGATGCCCAATAGTTGTATTTGAATATACTACATGCTCATCAATGGACATAGCAGAGGCTAGTGTGTTGGTTTTCCAGACCATCTATGTCGTGTTCCAGCATATCGGAGATATCGAGCAGCACCAGAGATAGAATCACTATAAACACCCTTGTTTCCTTATGCTAGTGCCAGACCCTTCGTTAGACTATTCAATATAGTCCATCACACTAGCAGCGGTCCATTTTAAAAATTGATAAGTGCTGAGATTCCTCAGACAGGATAAAGGTGATCATTCTCTTATTATGATTTTGGAAATAGGATAAGCACTGCAAAATATTGGAAATCAAGGTATGGTAACAGCTTAGACCGAGACCTTCTCGTCCGAATCGGCGACATACTCCTTGCCGGCGACAGCATCATCATCAGGGACAGCATCATTGACGTGGTCCTTCAAATTCCAGACGACATAGAACATCGGGAAGAGCGAGATGCCGAGCAAGACCCAGTTACCAATGAGCTGGTGCATAAACGTGACCTTTTTGGCGTCCAGCTGCCACGCAGCAGTGGCACCGAGCGACTGGATGCCCTTGTAGAAGCCGGCGTAGCGTGAAAGCTTCTGGTTGTCGTTGGTAAGAGCACCAATGATCCAGTAGGCAAAGTTCTGGTACAAGGCATCACCGACACCACAGAGCAGGTACAGGATGATCGGGCCAGCGGCACGGCTATGCTCCATGAAGTCGATGCTGCCTCCAGGATAGTCGGTATCTTCATCCGCTGTGGGGCCGTGGGTGTAGCGGAGCTGCAGCTTGAGGGTTCCTCCCCAAATGGCATTGAAGAACACGGCGACGATACCAAAGACGATGAGGCCACGCTTGCGCTTGGTCCACTCTTGCTTATCTAGAAGGAACGACAGGAGGTACGAACCAACCATCTGGAATCCCCAGTAGAAGATATTGTTGAAGCCACGGGTACGGATGTTGAAGATGCCACCATTAAAGCAGTTGAACTGGTAGCCGTAGAAAAAGTTGGATGCAAAGCACATTGGAAGTAGTGCAAGCATGGTGGGGTTCAAGAACAGCTTGATGATCTCAATAGCCTCCTTGCGAGCGCTGGTGTACTTGACCAGAACGACCGACGAACCGTCATCACGCACGACTTTCGCAGGCGGGCACAGGGCTAGACTCAAAAAGGCACCCAAGCACTCGAGGATAACAAAGGCGATGTAGACGCCATCTGCAAGGGACTTCTTGTCACTATGGAAGTTGATGGCGAAGGGGAGAATACCGCCAAGCATACCACCAAGGTTGAAGATGATCCAGAAGACGGCAATGTACTTGCCCTTCTCCTCCTCCCTCGGATACGAAACCATGATCATGCCTTGCGCAGCCCACAGGATACCGGCACCGACACCAAGGAGTGCTCCCGCAGCGATGGTTAAGCCGCCTTTCTGGGTGTGGTTGAGGTAGATATACGAGCCAGAGTACAGAGCATATGTGAAACCAGAGCCAAAGATCGTCCAGCGGACACCGAACAGGTTGACAATCGATCCGCCAATGACACCGAAGACAACGAACGTGCAGTAGAGAGCCGTGTTGGCGTTGGATCCGGTAGTATGGTCAACTTGACCACCACCACCCATACCGTTGAGGGCATTATACATGCCTGGGTTGAGGAAGCACACGAAGCCCACGAGGACTACCTGGGTCATCGGGCTGTTGTAGCGCGGGAGTTTAAACATTTTGTACAATGTTTATCAGAGATTATTAGTATTGACGAGTAACTGGAGAGATTAGAAAAATTATTAGTGGGTACACAAGTATAAAAAAGTGAAGATAGATTGGAGATGGTAGGGGGAAAGAATGGATGGAGGGACTCTATTTATATGTCCACAGATGATGCTGCTTCCCGCAAAACCGTTTGCAAATGGCCGATGTGGTGGTACATTTTTCGGAAGGCTAGCAGGTAAACGGTGCTGATTCACACCCTACGGAGGACATTCCATAGGTACAAAATATTCATCTTCCCACAGCTGACAGGAATCTGCACAGCGCGACGGCCACAAATCTGCATAAGATGCGGCCATCTGGCACATTTCTGCTCGAAACATATATTTTGTGGAGCTCAACCTCTTTGCGAATGGTCATGGGCCGAGATCTCGCAACAGAATCAAGGCTACTCTGGATGTATGCAGACCCCTCCTCTCCTCGCCGTCAAAGGGAATAAAAAGAAGGCGCGATGCGGGGAGTGGAGTAGGTGCATCGGCGTATGTGGGCTGCCCACATGATCTTGTTGTCCTGGTGGTGCGGACTTTGCCTCCATGCATGTCTATTTTCATACAATATCAGTCAATCCCGAAAATACCCTCACCAACTATAGCAGATTGACCGAGCTGATGTGCCATTGCTATTGGCTTGAACAGGCAACTGCAAGATACGGTTCTGCAGCTGTATGCGTAATGACTTGGGTTCAAAGAAAAGGTGCAGCTTTGGATGTTTGTCCCGGCATGCATGTGGGCAGTTCCCGATAAGTATAGACATCTAGAGGCAGGAATCTCCGCTCAAACCACTTATTGGCTATAAATAATGAATGCCGCCAGGTGCTAAACACAAGAAACACGATAGGAGATGGTATCTCCGAGAGGTTTGAATCGGATGCTGTATTACTACTGAGATATGATAGCAAAAGGACTAGATAGACAACACAGGCAGTGCTTCTATACCGCAAACTATCAAGTGAATATGGAGCTTAAGCTATAAATACAGATTAAGACGTCATTATGTTGTGCATCAATCATTGTTCTATATTAGATGGAGCAACATTGCAGGCTGTAGTGGTAGCAAATGAACGCTAGAAGCACCGAAGATGTGGCCGCCGTAGAGCCCTTCTGTGCGGAAAAGCAGCCGAATTCTCAGCACTTGTCAAGGATGATCATTGTATACTAGTGATTTATCTTTTCAGCGGAAAAGAGCATAGAGCAGAGTCGTATGAGTGTGTTGCAGATCTAAGGAACGGCAACTATAAACACTCTCCCTCCAATAGAATAATACAATCATCCTGGAGTAGGCAACAGCCAAAGCCGCCCAGAGGTAACAGCACCTAGTGTGCCCCAAATAGCATGCAGATGCTTGATATTTAGAAAATTTAAGAGATCAGTACTTGTGAGAAACGTCTAATGATGTTGCCAAACTACCACATGCTGGGCCGGTGGGAAGGTTTACATGCTATCATGTATCTTGGTTACTTGGGTCCAGATATAGCTGAACTGTACGAATTGTGCAGGATATCAGCAGTAGTCAATCTTAGATGATAGTGATATTGTGCTGCTTGCGGAACTCGTCCAGGTTGACCACCTTCCCCTGCCGGCGTGCCTCCTCGGCGGCAAAGACAACAAGGTACGAGTCAAGCGAGTTCAAGGCGTCCGACGACATAAAGCTCTGGTTGTTGTGTGCAACCGCATCGACAAATGCCGTGATCACCCCCATGTCACCACCTCCATGGCCAGCCAGGCTGCCAGTGACCAGCTGGGGCGTGTGCTTGGTCTTTTGCCCAGTCAGAAAGTCGTAGACTTCGATCGACTCGTTGCCGTCGCCTACCAGCTCGCCCTTGGAGCCAAAGATGCGTGTCTTGCGCACACAAATCTCCTCGGTGAAGGCAACCATGGAGAACGAGACGTACTTGTTGCCGGTGAATTCCATATTTACCACTTGGTTGTCACACACGTCGTTGTCGCACTCGTACACGCACCGGCCATAGGGGCCAGCGGCTAGGGCCTTGTGGACGTTTTCGATGTCGACAATATCGGTGATGCCATCCACCGGCCACCCAGTGTGTCCCTTCTCAATGGGCTCGAGATAGATCTTCTTGGCCGAGTACGCGCAGTTCTGCTCGTGTGGGCAGTCCAGGCACTTGGTGGCACCCTGTGCCTCTGCTGGCTTCTTGTCCTTGGTAAAGTGAGACAGCCCGCCGAACGACGACACCTTGGTGCACTGAGCCTTGTCGCCGAGGAAATACAGCAGGATATCGATGTCGTGGCAGCTCTTGGACATTAGTGAAAACGAGGATTCAGCCTCCTTGCGCCAGTTACCACGTACATACGAGTGGGCAAAGTGGTAGTGTCCGACTGGCTCCATGTGCTGAATCCCGGCGATATCGCCTAGCGCACCCGAGTCGATGATCTCCTTGATCTTCTGGTTATAGGCTGTATACCTCAGCACATGGGAAACACCTAGAATGATGTTGTTGCGGCGTACAGCGTCGTACACCTCCTTGCAGTCGTCAATTTCGGTTGCCATGGGCTTCTCCAAGAGAATGTGATAGCCCTTGTTGGCAAATGCTACTGCCACTTCCTTGTGCAGGCGGTCGATGACGCAGATGAGCACGGCGTCGGCAATCTTGGGTGCATTCAGCAGGTCCTCCCATGATGAGTAGCAGGACGAGTCGTCCAGAGAAAGCTTCTTGGCAAGCGACCTCAGACGTACAGAGGAGCGGCTGGCAAGCTGAACGACCTGCATTCGCGACGATTGCTGCGCGTAGGTGCTGTAGATGGTGCCGCGGTTGCCGCAGCCGACAATGGCGACCTTGACGGGGAGGCTTGGCGAGGCTTGAGTCATGTTTATCGGGAAAGCAAATCGAGGTGTGTACTGTTAACGAATCGAAGTGTTTGGAATGAATGATCTTGTAATGAAGCAACAGCCAGGTGGAGGAAACTTGTGGGGATTTATATACTTGGAGATTAGATGAAACATCTGCGATGTATCTGTCGATTTGGAGCAGGGGACAGCATCGACGAGTAGTGATGACCATGGGCGCCAATCTCCCATATATGGATCATTAGTACATGTGTGGCAATCTCCCATATATGGATCATTCTCGCATGTGGAAATCCGCACAAAGAGATAGTGCAAAGGATGTGCCAGTACACGATTATGTGATTGGTAAGGTAAAAATCATCTATATCACAAGTAATCAGATCAAACACTTAATGTACCAGTGGGAATACATAGGCACAGCCCAGGTGCTCCAGCATGCTGATATGCATTCAATTGCAACTGTCCTGAACATTACGCACATGCGGGAATGGTGTGGTAGATGCTGTCTTCGCCCATGCTGTCCACTCTGCGGTGTATTATTATCCCTTTATTAGATTCCGCTTGTAGGTGGACTAGCAGATCAACGGTGTGTGAGTCGCTAATATATATAAAAAATCTCATAGCTGTAAAAGATATCAGAAACCATGACCGCATAGACACCCCAGCAAGGAGTTCACTACGCACACAATTTCAGGGGGAGCTGCAGGGCTGTCTGATTTGCAGCAAGGCGTTTTTCAGATGTCCCCGCCTATGGCGCCTGAGCTGATTTTTGCCTTGTTCTGCTCTGACTACCAGGTGTCACGGCCAATTGTTGCGTGGCAAAAATAGTCAGTGCCTGAATGATCTAAAAATGGCTCTGAGCATGGCTGTCCAAGATGCCAGTGTGTGCTTTCCTCCATATTTGAAACCCAGATATCGCTCACCATACCTGGTTACCGTCTTGTATAAAAGAACCACATCTGTATATGCAGTTTGCGATTCACGCATCATCCACAACACAAAGCACTCTTTTCTTCTACTACAGCAACACAGCAACACAGCAACACAGAAATGGCTCTCTACACTGCTACTCTCCTTCTGATTGCCTCTTCTCTCGGCTTCATGGCCAGCGCTGCTGACTGCTCTGGCAACCAGTCGATGTGCCCTAACGGTGTCGATGGTGTCTCTTCAACCTACCTCCAGTGCGACAGCTGGAGCGGCACCTGGCAGACACAGAGCTGCGCCAGCGGCCAGGTCTGCTACGCCAACCCGAACAAGCCTGGAACCGCCATGTGTGGATTCCCTGGCGCCAGCACCCAGAAGAGGAACCAGGCGCCAAACAACGGCAACACCAATGCCCGCCAGTGCAATGGAAATGAGTCAAAGTGCCCGAACGGAGCTGACGGTGTTTCAGCTACCTACTGGCAATGCGACAACTGGAGCGGAACGTGGCAGACGCAGACATGCGCCAATGGCCAGGTGTGCTATGCTAATCCGAACAAGCCTGGCACTACCATGTGCGGCATGCCTAGCACTGCTGGCAATACTGGCGCCGGCCAATGCGCTGGAAACACTGCAAAGTGCGTCTCTGCCGGCCAGACTGGCGATTACCTGCAGTGTGAGAGCTGGAGTGGCCAATTCAAGAATGCTGCTTGCCAGGGCGGCCTCAAGTGCTACAACAACGCTGCTGGCACCGGTGTGTACTGCAACTGAGTAAAAGCTAGTGCATTTCTATACAGTTATTCAAGTATATATCTTTTATCCTCTATTCATAAAATAAACGCATTGATAGACATTTTTGCAGCTAGTTTATTTTGTATCTGCTGTCTTGTTTAGATTACTTATAGCATTGTGAATTGCGATAGGCAGTTGCAGCCAGGTAATGAATCACCAACCACGTAATGGATTGGTCTGCTAGTTAAATTCACCATATGGTTGGGCCAAATACAAGCATTCACTGGTTATACTGTAAAGACAGCTGGCACTGAGTGCGTCAAATCCAAAGTTAAAGAAATCTTAAAGCTTCCAATATCAGAGTACTGGAAAGAGAGGCTAGTCTACTTTGGAAATGCTTACCATTTGTAATACCGGTACTTTGCGAATGCGACACACATCCAGGGAATACAGGGGTAACGGTGCAGAGGATGCTCGAGAGGACGAAGGGTGACTCGAGGACCAGGTTGTGTGGCCTTTTTGGACCACATAGGCGGGATGTCAGGAGAATAGGGGGACTAGAAAGAGCTGTGAGCGTCTTGGGCTCCCAGTGCTTATCCAGTGTCTGGCCGCTATCTCCCAGCCAATGATTGTACATGATTGCACCTGATTTCCAATCACCGCTAATTTGAGGAGATTTTGAAAGCAGTAAGGCCCAGAAAATGGCACACATGAGCAAGGTGCATTGTGGTTGTGTCGTCATCAAAATAGCAGATTGATTTAAAAGGCGCCTGCCGGGGGAGGATAAAATCTAACAATCGAACAAGTTGCAAACTGAATCTTTGCAAGAATCTCATCTATCCTACTGCTTCGAACTCCCATTTCTAAGCTATTATTTTCCATGAACGAGTATCGCGAGAGCCTTCTCTTTTACGTCAACGGCGAGCGCCGCATCATCCAGTCGGGCTCCATGGACATGACGATGTCGCTGGCCAACTATCTCCGCAGCGAGGGACTGACCGGCACAAAGCTGGGCTGTAATGAGGGTGTGTGCAGTGCCTGCACCGTCATGCTGTCAAAGTTTGACACCGTCGAGAACAGGGTCGAGAACCTGGCCATCAACAGCTGCTTGACACCACTGTATGCGCTGGATGGCAAGCACGTCACCACCATCGAGGGCATTGGCTCGCCGACCTACCCGCACCCAGTGCAGGAACGCATCGCCCTGTTGCACGGCACGCAGTGCGGGTTCTGCTCGCCTGGGTTCTCAATGTCGCTCTACGCTCTGCTCAGGAACAACCCGCACGAGCTGCCCACCGAGGCCGAGATCGAGGAGTGCCTGGCTGGGAACCTGTGCCGCTGCACTGGCTACCGCCCCATCCTGGATGCGGCAAAGACGCTGGCGCGGGACAACCGCTGGAACCAGGGTGGTGCTGGCTGTGGTAGGGTTGATTGCTGCAAGCTCAAGGCTGAGAATGGCGCTTCCCCGTGTCATGAAAAAAGCAAATTCCGTCAATACAACGCATCTCAGGAGCTTATTTTCCCTCCGGCGCTTGTCCGCTATGCCAAAGCACAGATCGACGGCGATGCAGAGCAGTGCATGGGGGGTTTGCGTCTTGCATCAGCCTCTAGCACAACCCTTGTATATCGGCCTATGACAATGGGGGGCGTGCAAGACATATTCTCCAGACATCACCACGCGGCACTTGTTGCTGGAAACACTGCATTCCGCCTCCAGAGCTATGCGGACCTGGCGAGGAGTCCACATGTGTACATTGGCGACATTGTGGAGCTGCAGGAACTACATCTTTCTAACGAGGGACAGGAGCTGGTTGTTGGTGGATGTGTCACGCTGGCGCAACTGCTGCAAAAAGTCCAGACCATTAACAGACTTGGTGCTCTGCGCGACTGTCTGGCACGTATTGGCAACCCGCATGTGCGCAATGCGGCAACTGTGGGTGGCCACATTGCCGCCATACCCTCCTCATCAGACCTTATCCCTGTGCTGCTCGTTCTACACGCAGCGGTTAGCCTACAGCACGCTATTTCGGGAGTGCAACGCACAGTCAGTCTGGATAGATACCTGCATGATGGTGCTGGTCTAGCCGACGGCGAGATCATCATGCACATACACATCCCACTGAACTTGCCTTCAGCGGCAAGTGGTGCACTGGTGTTTGTTCACTCGCAGAAGCAGTCGATGCGCAAGGCTAATGACTCAACAATCGTGAGCTGTGGCATGCGTGTGAGCATCGACCCTGCTACATTCAGGGTTCTGGATGCAAGCTTCGTATTTGCTGGTCTTGAACGAAGGCACTTTGTCGCCCAGGAGACAGCTAGCTTGGCCCATGGAGCGGACTGGTCAGACAGCGGCTTTATCAACAGCACACTGCTTGAGACGTGTGCACAAGAGGCCGCATCAGCATTAGCTGACAATGTCGACAGGCCCAAGTACCGCGTATCACTTGCTGCCAGCCTGCTGTACCAGTTCTGGATGGCATCGTGCAAGGAATTTGGCATTGACCATGGGCTCGGACCACGCATTCCAGACGACTATTTGGCGTACACGCAGCCCAGGTCCATGATCTCAGAACAGGCATTTGTACCAGTTGAGGAGAAAGCGATCATCGGTAAGGGCGAGCCGCACCTATCGGCGCTCAAGCACACAACTGGACAGGCAGTATATGTTGACGACATGCCACCAGTCCACGGTGAGCTCTCTGTTGGTTTGGTGCTGTCGACACGCTCGCACGCCCGAATCCTGTCGATTGACCCATCGCCAGCACTGGGCATGGAGGGTGTCTATCCCAAGCTGTTCACTGCCTCTGATATACCTGGCAAAAATGTCTGGAACCTTTGGCAGGACGAGGAAATCCTCGCATCCAAGGAAGTGCATTTTCACGGCCAGATTATTGCCGCTGTTGCCGCCAAAGACCGCGAGACTGCTAGACGCGCCGCAGCCGCTGTTGTGATCGAGTACGAGGACCTCCCTGCAATCTACTCGATCGACCAGGCCATCGAACAAGAGTCGTTCTTTGAGGAAGTCAGCGAGATTGAGTGTGGGGATGTCGAGGCTGCGTTTGCCAGCGCTGATTATGTATTCGAAGGAGAGGCGCGGTGCGGCGCTCAGGAGCATCTGTATATGGAGCCGCAAGCGTTTCTGGTTGTCCCAAAGGGCGAGGATGACGAGTACGATGTTTTTGCGACCACCCAGTCATTGCAGAGTTCGCAGCTTACAGTTGCATCAGCGCTTGGTGTTCCGGCTAACCGCATTGCCTGCCGTGCTAAGCGTCTTGGCGGAGGATTCGGAGGCAAGGACGGCGTCCCTGCGCATTATGCATCCATTGCTGCGATTGTAGCGCAAGGTACCAAGAAGGCTGCTCGTCTAGTGCTCCCGCGTGACCAGGATATGAAGACCACAGGCCACAGGCATCCGTTTTTGGGCAAATGGAAGGTTGGCGTAATGCAGGATGGCCGTATTGTCGGACATAAAGTGGAGGCCTTCAGTAACGGTGGTCATTCGCACGACTACTCGGTTTTGGTCATGCGTGCTTGTCTGTCGTCGCTTGATGGCTGCTACTACAGCCCCAATTCGCATTTTATTGGGAAAGTGTGCAGGACTAACATCACCAGCATGACTGCATTCAGGGGGTTCGGCATGTGTCAGTCCGAGTACATTACCGAGTCGATGATGACTGAGGTCGCTGAGAGGCTGGGTATGGATGCCGACTTGTTCCACCGAATCAATTTGTACAAGGAGGGTGACCTGAATCCATCAGGACACCCTATGCACGACTGGACGGTGCCGCAAATGTTTGACGAGATCCAACAGTCGGCCGAGTACGTGAAGCGCAAAGTTGCCGTCGACGAGTACAACAAGCAGTCGATGTTCAGAAAGCGAGGTATTGCACTGGTCCCAACCAAACACGGTATTACCAATGGTATCCGCGAGATGCTCGAAGCAGCAGCGCTGGTACACATACACCTCGACGGCAGTGTCATGGTGCACCACCATGGCGTGGAAATGGGTCAGGGACTGCACACCAAGATGGCCATGATTGCAGCAGATACCCTGGGTGTACCGCTGAGCTCAGTGTATATACCAGGTTCATCTACGGAGGTTCTCGCAAATCCAACGCCATCGTCCGCATCGATTTCGACAGACCTCAATGGTGGCGCTGTTCTGAAGGCATGTAAAGCCTTGGCCAGCCGTCTACAGCCATATCGCGAACGCATGCCTAACAGCGACTTCTCAGCTGTGGTCAGAGCCGCATTCGCTGACCAGGTTGACCTGTCTGAGCGGGCATTCTTCAACATTGACACGATCCCCGAGGATTTTGCCAACAAGCGTGGTTTCAACTTCAACTACTTCACTCAAGGCGTGGCGATTGCCGAGGTGGAGCTGGACACATTGACCGGAGCCCACACTGCCCACCGTGTCGACATACTCATGGATGTCGGTCGCTCGCTCAACAAGGCTGTGGATATTGGGCAAATTGAAGGCGCATTCATGCAGGGCGTTGGATGGTGCACGACCGAAGAGCTGATGCTTGACACTTCCAGTGGTGCGCTGAGTACTAACCGCCTGGGTCTGTACCGGGTGCCTACATGCATGGATATCCCGCGTGATTTCCGTGTGGCGATTCTGGAAGGCGTCGAGTACAAGCATCTGAACAACATCCATTCGTCACGAGCTGTGGGCGAGCCGCCCCTGTTCCTTGGCTCGTCAGTGTTCTTTGGGCTGCGGGAGGCGGTCAAGGCGGCTAGAGTCAGTCACGGTACCCTGCACATGGATATCCCAGCTACAGTCGAAACACTGCGCATGGCTTGTGACGATGGCATCACCACCATTGCTGACAAACTCGAGGAGCAGGGAAAACTGGCAAAGCCTACTATTCAGCGCATTTAGTCGCGCCACAGTCTGCGTATGCTGGAAATCGCCAGTGGATGTGTGGTTAATAAATACCAAAGATATAGTAGCAAGCAGTCTGGCTGCGCCTGACATTTTGTCTGCAAGTAGCAGTCACCAAGACGAGCCTGAATGAGTAGTTGGCTGGACTATATGCCTAGTTGCGGAATAATTACCATACCGCAAAGCGGTAGGTATGATTTCAGTCTTGGAACCGCAGCATGGAAATGGACGATCTCTTTGCTGGTTAATGGCTCAACCTTACTTCAATGCTCAGGACCACTGCAGTTTTCTGTTTATTTTCTGAACCTCCAAAGTTATTTCTCTCAGCTCCCTCCAGCAACTGCCACTACCTATTTTGCGCCATGCCTTCGCTCGCTCAGAATCTGCCTATGCTTATCCTCGAGAGGATTGTAGATGTGTACGTCGGCGATATCATTCCCGATGATCCCACCATTGGTGCTTGCTTCTGCAAACCCTATATTCGCATCGCTGCCCTACTTGCTACCTGTCACTGGTGGCGAGAGGCTGCACTAGATAAATTTTACAAAGGTAGCTGGTTTTGCGGCGTGAATGAATGCCATTATTGTGATCTGATTGATTGCTGTGAGCGTACAGTGACATGCGAACTGAAAGGGCAAATGCCTGCTGGGGATATCATGCACATGAAGAAATCTAGTCTCCATTGGAAAATTGGCGATATCATGGACGGCACAGCGAATCTGATGTTCATGAATCCTCCACTCAACCAGGTTTTCCCCAACGTGTCAGCTCTCGATCTATTCGTCAATGAGTGGGATGGATAGCTGGGTAGCAGCATGTTTAATGAAACATCACATGCAGAGAATTTCTGCAGCAAAATATGAAGGGTTTTCCAAACCTGAGAGGCATCGAGCTATACGGATATCCTGGCTTCGAGGATATCATATGATGTTCGTTCATTCGTGTTCTACTTTCAGGCTTGTGTTCTCAAGCAACCTCAATCCATCTCCGCGGGTTTCACCAACCAAATCTTGATAATATCCCTTTCAGCAGAACCGACATACGCAGCCTATCACTCAACATCCCGAACACAGGTTCACCAACTATTGAGGTGATCTGCCGCAGCACAGTCACGCTTGAGTATCTTTATATCTCTAGCGACTCACACAAGGTGTTTACCAAAACTATTTTCACTGACGACAGTACACAAATAGCGTACCCACGCGTTCGGTCCCTTCAGATATACTTTAATTTATGCTGGGTGTCTGCTGATTCTATATTCCTTGATTCGCCAGGTGGTTCCCCCTTTCCAGCCCTAGAGAAGCTGGAATATTGGTCACCCTATCCATTCAACAACGATGTACTCTTCAAGGGAAACAGTGAACCACTTATAAGCCTAACGCTTCGTTTGGATCCGCGATCAGCTTTGGTCTTAAACAATCACGGTGTTTTTAGCGCTAGCCGGTTCCCCGTACTGGAATATCTCAATACACGGATATCGCTTAGTGATGCGGATGTCGCCCTCAATGAGGATACCAGGTCGGTCCTCCTCTTGGGCGCAAAAGCTCAGACTATAAAAAGCGTCTCAGCTTACTGCGATTTCGACCAACTGGGGATTTCGATTGATAGCTTTGGGCATAATATCACCATCCTCGACATCCCGACCATTCGATTCACTCTCCGGTGGACTGTTCAGCTGATAAAAGTATTGCCCTTTTTACGACGGATGGCAACTGGAATCGAGATCACCGATGAGCTGCGTAGCGCTGACCAGACGCATAGCAGGTGCATTGGCAAGTGCCGCCATAGCTGGGGATTGGACGATCTATCCAGTGGTGGCACAGAGGGGCTGGTGGATACAGAAACAGACAAGGGCTTGGAAAATACCAGTAACGAAGGCAGCGGCTATTCACAAGATAGTTATGACCGGTATTACAACGGTGGCTGCAGCTGTGACGATCTCCTTTGTGAGTTCCTGTTCGACCATTTGGATATTGTCTACTCAGAAATGGATTTCATGGATGAGATCTATACAGAGTGCTACCCTCTGTCCAATACTCTGGATATTTTGGACAAAGAACCCTACAAGAGCGAGCCGATGGCTAATTCGAAGATGATTGCCATTCTAGTCGCACTCTGCCCAAGCATTCAGCGTGACCAAACCAACTGGTTAACGAACCAACGCCATGGTGATTCCTTGCTTGCACTAGATAAATTTATACCTCGAGCTGAGGTGGAAGAAACAAGGCACCATGCAAGCTTTATGCATCGTCTCGAGCGTGTAGGCTCTGCTATTCTATAGCACTTCTACTAGTTAATGCGATCGTATTTGGCGTATCAAAGTCAATCAGAATATATCAGAGAGATATGAGTTATATAACTTGGTGCACTTCCGCACTCAATTATATTCTTCCAATATATATCTTTGGGTGTCTCGGCCTGCTCCTGATGAAGCAGAGAAAAGTAATAGGAAGAGAAGCAAGAAGGAATCAAATCCAGGATCGGATAGTGTGGCTAATACAAAGGGAATAGCGAATAGTGAGATGAGTAGAATTAACTAATTCTGACACAGAGTGCATCCCGCCCACCAAGCATTACCTCCATAGTACTCGAAATGGCAGCATGCATTGGGCCACCAGTGTTGCTCATCAGCCACCCAGAGCCAATACTGTGGTTGCCAAACCTGCGGAATGACCGCATACTGAGCGCAATGGCCCTCACAATTGTCGTTAGTTGCTGGTCCTAGAGCACTGGCACACTCAGATTCCACCGCGATTTAGGCTAGCACTTCCACATGTAGCTCTCTAGCAATCAAAGGACAGTATTTGGCCTCGAAGATCACCGCTTTTCTGAGCTTTGTTGTGCATCAGGCAAAGGACACATTAGCTATTACCTGGAATAATAGCGAATGTTCCGTTACTTTACTACCTTTCGAATATTTGTCGCATGTTTCAATACATGGCCCGTGGGATGGTTGACTCAGAATAAAAACACTGACAATGTGAGGGATTGCCTCTATATGCAGCAAGCAACATAGCATTTGAAGAGCACAAATGACAGACTGCCAATTCATTGTTGAATCTCCGAGAAGACGTATATTGATGATGATAAGAAGTAAAGAACTCCAAAAGCCTAGTTGCTGTCGGTGCTCAAACGAGCAGCAAGCTCAGCAAAGTGCTTGTCTCGCACAAGGTCAGCGCGGGCTATGTCAAAGTCTTCGGTGAAGAACGAGCGAAAAATGCGGATTGTTGGGCACCGCAACGCTAGAATGGTTGTCAGCCATGCAGCCTGAACATGTCCTCCACTGTGGTCTGGACGAACAGAGATGTTTTGGAGTGTTTGGGAGATAGGAGGTTCAGGTAGAATTGGGCTGCTAGTTCTGCCCATAGCCTGGCAAACATGAGCAATGATACCGACAGCGTCATTTTTCGTCAAGCCCACTTGTGCCACAGATTCAACCACAGCTGGAATATCCGTCATATCTGCCAGAGCAGCACTTCGGCGACAGGTCACGGCGAGGCTCCTGATGAAGGGCAGAGACTCGATTAAATGGAGGATCTCATCAAAAGTGCACCTTACTCCAGGGATCTTTAGATCACGAACACCCTGGGCCAAGCCGCTGATATATGGTTGAAGAATGGTATATCCAAACTGAAAGCCGTCGCTAAACTCTATCATTGGCGTCCGGTGGAAAGCACCAAGTACAAGAGAAGCGCGATCCTCAGTAATCATGTTGGACCCAGTGGATGAATTTGTAAGTCTCACAGACTCAAGCACCATATATCGCCCCTCATCAAGCAAACCGGCCGCGCCGAGAATGTCGATAGTACTATCCCACAAATGCAAGTCCAAGAACGTAAGTGAGTCCTCCGATCCGCGCAGAATAGAGTCGTCAGAAACCGGATAGCGCCCATGGATAGTCAAAGATCTCAGCACCGGGAATGGCACTCCATCAAATGAAGGACGGGGAGCGACATTCCAGGACTTGTCCATAGTAGTTAGGCGAATGATATGAAGCTGAGGGTACACAACTGCTGAACCGTCGCTGTTGGTCACCACGCGTCTGATCAGGACGGACGCGCTCAGGTCAAGGTGGAGTCTTTGCAATGACTGCGAGTTTTTGCGGATAAGAGTGAACACATTTGTCATCTTACCACACCCACTCGTGGCCAAGCTTTGCAGCGGGACCGGGGTTGGAGGGAATGGAAGTGCATCGGCCAGACAATATCCGTCAGTAGTTATTGCGGTTCTTCCGGCGAGTAGACGTTTCAAGAGATTGACTATATGAGAAGGAAGATTATCGCTTAAGAGATCCCAGTTGTGCTCCACTCCAATGTGGGTAATGGATGGAAATATGCGGAGTAACTCGTTACTGAATTGACGAGAACGTAGTTTGGCCAGTGCGCCTTTCGCCCAGTAAATATTTCCAGCAAAGATGAAAGTGAGACTTTTGATGCTTGGGAATGAAAGATCACTTGCTATATGTCGTCTTAACAGAGCAGCACTTGGAGTGTGGAATATGCTGTTCGTCTGAAGTTTTATCGTGACTCCCTTGATCAGGTCACAGACCTTCAGCGTCTGAGCCAATTTGAGAGTTGGTTTAGTGTGAGTCCCTACGTGGACATACCGGAATGCATGGCAGAGAGAGACTTGCCGCCATGACTGGCAAACATGAGAAACCGGCATAATAGCCTCATATACGGAATTCTGATAATGCTGACCAACATTTATAGATTTTTCAGGAGTAAGATAATAAATGACACGTTCCAATACAGGAATGGGAAGGTGCTGAACCGTGGGCTCCATGGCAAGAGAAGTATGATAGTAAGGTTTGGAATGAAAAGCAAAGCTGAAGCAAGGAGAAAACTATGGACAATGATCCGGGGATATAGGAAGAAATAAGACTGGAGCAGAAGAGAAGTGTTGGGAAAAGTTGAGGCATTTTGCTGAATCCAACAGGTTTATAAACCCATCTGTTAGTAGCATTAGGACCAAGTACATTCCCAAGCTGTCATCTCGGGCAGCAACTCCTATATGCACAGCGATCATGCCTCCTGCATGCTGTTTTTGCCGGTTCCGGGTCAGGCCGTTTATGGCTCAACATCTGGCCATTGTTTAGAGAAGTTTGCTTTTTGAAAGCCACATAGCGGGCCGCATGCCCCCTTGGGGCATCGTTACGGCGAACAATTATAGTGGAAAATAGAGGAAAGCCAACCCAACACCCAATGCTCTGCTATCGATCTTGAGATTTTACCCTAGGGGATTGTGCTTGTAGCTTCTAAGGTTATCACCCATGGGGTATATCACATTTTACAGCTGTAAATGGTCAAGATTGATACACCCGATTCGACACACTAGCATCTGAAATGTAGCTTCACCAAAAAAATCAATAGCTCATCACTACGCATCTAAATGCTGCTTTGTGCGCCTGGAAACATGGCACACCAGTATTTTCGAATCCATCGCTCACAACCGAATCCGTGGCCCTATGGTTCGCTGACCGCCCTTGTCTCTCGCACTATTTCTCCTCCATCTGAAACAAGGTTATGCAACTACCGCGTATTTTAGCATGGTTCTGCAGCCCCTTGAAATGACGCCTGCCGCTTGGCAAACATATGCAGGCTGCGTATCTGCAACAATGACATTCGACATCAGCTGTTTTGCCATATTTGACACGGCTAACCACATTGTTAAGACTTACAATCTACATCCCAATTTGTCACCATTCTGCCATTGTTCATTGCAGCTCACCAATTTTATTTTAGGAGCTGCCCAGAGTGAGTTCGCTGAGGGGCGGCCCGGCAACAAGCTTACAGTGGAGGTTAGGTCGCATGAGAGCAAAGGAAAACAAGGGGGAGGAAAACCTCTCCTGAATCATAAAAAAGCAAGCCAGATTTCGCCTCTTCCAAAACCTTTTCTCTTCCTTGTCCTAATAAAATATTGCTACACATAATATCCACTCTATTCCTACACACACTCCTACTTTGTTATTTGCCCGTGGTTCAGCCATGTAAACACTGTTTTCTGGACAGGTAAATACTCTTACTTTCCACTTCGTGTTCCATACTAACCGTTTTTATTGCCGTTCTCCACTAGCGCACCTTTGCCGAAATAAAAACTGTATTTCTTGGTACACTTACAATTCGCAACATCGCTGTACTCTTGCACAGCACGTTTTGATCCTGCCCTTGCAGGTCTCTAGTTGCTGTTCGATCTTTCCTCCTTCTCACCTTTGTCTTCTTTCTGGCCCTCACATGTTTGCTCTAGTCTTTGTGTGGTGTCAGTGCAGATCCTACTTTTCATGGCCGTACACTCCCCCATGAAAGTGTTGTTGCGTGCTATCCGGTACTGGGTAATGGGGGATCGTCACCTTGAGGTGTCCCGGGAAGGTGGTGATGGTTGGGATTCCACCAGGCCCGGTTGCGGGGTGCTGTGCGGCACACGTGGCAACAGCCGAAGTGCAGGAGTTGTATGAGTTTGGAAGGTCTGGTGGGTCTTTCACTTTCACTCTGCTGAGCATTCTAGTGGGTTGGTATTCCATTTAGATTATTGATGGCGAATCAGGGACTGAGAGGCAGTGGCAACTAGAGATCTGCAAGCGCTGGAGCAAAATATGCTGCACAATTGTTGGTGGTAACATTGTTACTTCTTTGACCCAAGATATGTGTAAACACTTCAAGAACTGGTTCAAGACCGTAGACGATTTCTAGCATCGCTGCTCTGCATGTGGACCAGAGAAGCAGTGAGGTTCAACACCAATAACTACGGCTGATGCCCAATAGTTGTATTTGAATATACTACATGCTCATCAATGGACATAGAAGAGGCTAGTGTGTTGGTTTTCCAGACCATCTATGTTGTGTTCCAGCATATCGGAAATATCGAGCAGCACCAGAGATGGAATCACTATAAACACCCTTGTTTCCTTATGCTAGTGCTAGACCCTTCGTTAGACTATTCAATATAGTCCATCGCACTAGCAGCGGTCCATTTTAAAAATTGATAAGTGCTGAGATTCCTCAGACAGGATAAAGGTGATCATTCTCTTATTATGATTTTGGAAATAGGATAAGCACTGCGAAATATTGGAAATCAAGGTATGGTAACAGCTTAGACCGAGACCTTCTCGTCCGAATCGGCGACATACTCCTTGCCGGCGACAGCATCATCATCAGGGACAGCATCATTGACGTGGTCCTTGAGGTGAAGAACGACATAGAACATCGGGAAGAGCGAGATGCCGAGCAAGACCCAGTTACCAATGAGCTGGTGCATAAACGTGACCTTCTTGGCGTCCAGCTGCCACGCAACAGTGGCACCGAGCGACTGGATGCCCTTGTAGAAGCCGGCGTAGCGTGAAAGCTTCTGGTTGTCGTTGGTAAGAGCACCAATGATCCAGTAGGCAAAGTTCTGGTACAAGGCATCACCGACACCATACAGGAGGTACAGAATGATCGGGCCAGCAGCGCGGCTATGCTCCAGGAAATCGATATGGCCTCCAGGATAGTCAGTATCTCCATTATCACTAGGGCCATGGGTGTAGCGGAGCTGCAGCTTGAGGGTTCCTCCCCAGATGGCATTGAAGAACACGGCGACAATACCAAAGACGATGAGGCCACGCTTGCGCTTGGTCCACTCTTGCTTATCTAGAAGGAACGACAGGAAGTACGAACCAACCATCTGGAATCCCCAGTAGAAGATGTTGTTGAAGCCACGTGTGCGGACGTTGAAGATGGCGCCGTTGACACAGTTGAACTGGTAGCCATAGAAGAAGTTGGAGGTAAAGCACATGGGGATTAAGGCAAGCATGGTGGGGTTCAAGAACAGCTTGATGATCTCAATAGCCTCCTTACGGGCGCTGGTGTACTTGACCAGAACGACCGACGAACCGTCATCACGCACGACATTCGCAGGCGGACACAGGGCAAGTCCGAGGATAGCACCAAGGCACTCAAGGATAACAAAGGCAATGTAGACACCATCCTCAAGCGACTTCTTTTCGCTGTGGAAGTTGATGGCGAAGGGGAGAATACCGCCAAGCATACCACCAAGGTTGAAGATGATCCAGAAGATGGCAATGTACTTGCCCTTCTCCTCCTCAGTAGGGTATGAGACCATGATCATGCCTTGCGCAGCCCACAGAATACCGGCACCGACACCAAGGAGCGCTCCCGCAGCGATGGTGAACGAGCCCTTCTGAGTGTGGTTGAGGTAGATATACGAGCCAGAGTACAGAGCATACGTGAAACCAGAGCCAAAGATCGTCCAGCGGACACCGAACAGGTTGACAATCGATCCACCAATAATACCGAAGACAATGAACGTGCAGTAGAGAGCCGTGTTGGCGTTGGATCCAGTTGTCGGGTCCATCTGACCACCACCACCCATACCGTTGAGGGCGTTGAACATGCCTGGGTTGAGGAAGCACACGAAGCCCACGAGGACCACCTGGGTCATCGGGCTGTTGTAGCGCGGGAGCTTAAACATGGCTGAGGATGTTTAAAGGCAATTAGTAGCTGCAAAATAACAAGGGCTCGGAAACTAGGAATAGATAAATTGTAGAGGGGAGACGTCGACTATAGACAATGGGTGAAAAAGAAAAGTGGAGGGAGGGAGGAGACCCGGCGAGTTATTTATATGTCTGCCGATGAGGCTGCTGGAAGAACAATCAGAATTGCCGTCTCAAAGCGGGCAAACAAGCGTCGAGCAGGGACATTTTGCACTTGGTGAAGAACAAAACGAGGTGCACGGCAAGTTCCGTACTCATTTTTCTTGGTTTAATTGCTAGGCAGCATCCCCAAACAGTTTGCGCCTGGACAAAAAAGCAGGGAGCAATCCACCACCACGCGCCGGCAATGCAGCTGCCTGTGCTGCAGAAAATGGCTGAAATGGCTACCGGGGGGTGCTGGCAGAGCGGAAAAGACTGGGCGTGATATATAGGATCGGCAGCCCTGGTCAACACCGGCCCAAACAGAGGCAGTCTGACAAAACCGAGCTATCAGGAAAGCGTCAGGCTGCAGCTAATCCTTCCGGTATTAGCAACACACAACTGGATAGCAGCAAATCAGTTTGGCGTGTCGAGATAACAACAGAGAGAATAAAGGAAGCATGGAGGGATGGCGGGCATATGATATGGAGAAAGATGCATGGATGGTTCTTGGCAGGCACTGCATTCTTTTGTGTTGCTACGTTGTCAATGCCAGAGCAAACTGATTTGCAGACAGCCTCACAGCGGCCATCTCCACCTCCGTCTCCACCTCCACCTCCCTGATAATGCCCGTGAATTTCGCCTTGTGACATCCCGGGGTTGAGACAGAAAGGGGACTCTCAGTGCAGGCATGCATGGTGCCATGATACTGTTTTCCGTTCTATTCGTCCCAGCGTGGAACACCGCTAGTTCAAACGAACTGCAAATAAGCTGATGTACGGACACATGCTGACAGAGATTTCCGCTCAAAATTGGCCGGTGCGAGCGGTGCCTTTTTCGGGAAGACGCCGCCAGCATATGAACCCGTACTGCTGCTTCCGGCAGCAATGTACCTGGGTTAGGCAGGTGCGCGGCCCTTGCGCTGGCCCGCCTACCATCCAAGGACGCGGATCTTCTCGACATCTCCCGCGTATTTGGCACGTGGTTCCCACCTCCTGCCCCCAACGCCAACAGAGCCATGCGAAACTGCTCGAGCGACGCTCTGTTGCGAGAGATACCGGCGATTCTGACACGGGGTTGCTATTGCAGAGTTGGGCTGATTCGACGTCTTCACTAATGAGGTCATGGGCACGTATCTGAATACCAAATCATGGCCATTTTGGATGCATGTTAATCCTCGCGCTGATGCTGGATGTTGCAACAAAGGAAGTGTAAAATGTGGGGAGGGGAAGTGCAGAGCCGTGCCCAAGCAAAAGCCGCACTTGTCGACATTGGTGTGGTGCGGACTTCGCGACGCTGCAGTTGTTTGTTTTATTTTCATGGGTGGCAATCAGGCAGCCAGACATGCGGACTTTCGCGCTGTCGCTGGTGTGCTTCAAGTGACCGCTCCTTGAACAGCAATTAGGTACCGCCCGCATTAAAGTTGTCTCAATCCCTCAAGAAAAAACCCCAGCGGTTCCAGAATATATTTTTCTGCCGACAGCTACATGCGTGTCGGTTACTGGTACGGCTCGTCTCACGAGCCTCATATGCACTATCGAATATTGGCTGGGATAGAAGCTGGATTAGCTTCATTCTAGTAGCCTCCAGCGAAGCAAAAACCGGATTAGAACTACCATCAGTTGCTCCAGAAAACGAGGGAGCGCAGCTTGTCCCTTTCCTGAATGCCTCGACGGACAAAATAAAAAACAAAGCGAGCTCGGCGAAATCACAAAAAGTAAACAGGTTATTTTTCAGTTGCAAATCCCTCAAAAACCTTTGTCACTTTTTGGGCCACTGCGCAAAGTTCAGCAATTGCGGCTGCATCCTGGCCGAATGCAAAGCGGGGCGGCGGGCCAACTGAGGCCAGGAGCCGGAGTTCCTCGATCGCCCTGGGGAACAGGAATATGTGGTTGAGGCTACCAAGGTTGTCTAGCAAATCAAACAGCATGCTGACACTTGCGGCGTCCCAGCGCTGGCTGTTGCTTCTGTCGCTGAACAGCCAGAGGTGCCGCAGGCTGTGGCCCCCATATTGCACATGCCTCGGCGCTTTTGTCGCCGCAGATAAGCCCGGGGCAATGTTTATCTGCAACGATACCAGCTGCGGCTGCTGCACCACAAAGCCAATCAAGCCGTCGACCGTAAATGTCCACCCCTTGAGCATCAGGAACTGGATCCTGGAACATTCGACCTGCCCCACAGGAACCGTGCCAGAAACGGCAGCGGGGTATTCGAATGATGTCAGCCGCGGGTGCGACAGCACTGATTCCAGCATGCTGGCAGCCTGGTCACTGCGCAGTGACGATCCGTGCCAATACGCCTGATCAAACAGCTCCAGCGTTTCCAGACGCGGAAACCGGTCTTGGTCGATGATCAGGCGTCCAGGATCAACTTTGAAATTAAACTTGAGCGCTTGCAGATTTGGCAGCGGATTAGCCAAGAATAGGTCATGCAGTGCCATGTACACGCGGTCATCGACGGCAATATCGGCCGACCGAAAGTTGTCGCAGAACAGCTCCTCGATGTTGGGGAAGAAGCACGAGCTTGCAGGCGGGTACTTCTGGGCGACGCCACTGCTGAGCGAATAGTGCAGGCGGCGGAGCTGTGGGAACAGGACCTGCTCGGCGACAGCAACTCGGTTACTCTCGGTATTGTGGAGGTGCTTTGTAGTGAAAAAGATGCGCGCCAGCACATTGCCCGAGACCAGCCCAATGTCTAAATGCTTGACATATGGTGCGCATCGCCGGATCAGGCTGAACAGGTGCGATGGCGAACTGTCCAGCAGCCGGTGAAACGAGAGCGAGTGAAGCAGATGCAAAGCCTCGTCAAGGGTGGGGGTGGAAATAGCAGTTTGGGCTATGGCATGCTGGTAGGAGATCTGCTCTGCGCTGGGAACCGAGTAGAGTTCCATATCCAGGTAGGTGTTGTGCAGATGTGGGAATGCAGTGCTGACATAACACAGATATTCTAGCGGCACCGACATGTTGTTGTGCATCCACACGGCCAGCAGCTTGGTATTAAGTCGAATGTCGAGTGGGATTGCTGTGAATGGTGGCTGCTCCTGCCAGCGGATGTCTTTGTGGCTCGCTGGTATGAAAATGAACAGGCCGTGAAGCAAGTGCCGGTACTCTGGCGGTACACACACAGGAACCGCACTGGCCTCGTCGCAGGTTGCGTATCTGAAATAGTACGGCAGTGCAGCGTGGCGCCAGGCACGGTTTACATACAATACCGCCGGGCTCCTTGATCGTATATACTCATGTACTTGTTTGTGGTAATAGCTGCGCGATTGCGGTGAGCGGCGCTTAAAGAACTGATCAATGTACTCGCAGTTGGTGGCATGGCGCAGCACATGTATGAGTATGCTGTACGGGAGAAACATGGCGCGGGCGAAGAGTGACAGCTAAGCCTTTCTTTGGAGACGAGTAGAGACGACAGGCAAGAAAAAAGCTGTACATAGTAGCAGGGGCAGGCGTAGGTCAGCATGCCCAGCACATGTCTCTGTCCACAAATCAGCTAAATACGTCGATTTTCACCCAGCTGCTGCCTTCTTTTGATTTCTTCAAAGAAAAGGGGCACGAGATTGGCTGCACTGTCATAACATATTCCCGGTTTCTAGCCGGTAAATGTCTAGAAAAGGCGTCTGGAAGATAGCGTAAGTAGGAGTCTAGGAAAGGGGCTATGTGCAAAATGATATGCGGCCAACGCAACTGCACACACCAGCACATGGCTTTGAGTGGATCAAAGAGCGTCGTCTGGGATCGAGGGATCAAGCAGTCGCACAAATTTTGGCTGGCAAGAAAAAAGCTGCTGCTGCTGCTTCTGGGCTTGTGCCGAAAGGTTGCTTTCTTTACAGTTCCAATTACTAGCACCTTTGCGCATTTGCCTTCACATCAGCAATGTCAGCAGTTCAGCGGCCACTCGTTATCGCGGAGGAGAGGAGCAAGGAGATCAGCGTTGCAGACGTTGAAAAGAAGCTGGGCAAGTTCCTGACCAACGAGGCGGGACTCCAGGCAGCCCCCAGCGGCACCTCGCAGCAGCTCCAGCTCTTGCTTGAGGGCATCAGCGGAGCTGCCGATGGTGCTGACAAGAGCGGTGACGACGAGGACAACGAGTAGGGCGGGCGCGCTCTCTGCGCACGGCATAATAAATACTTGTAAAGCTGGAGAAGAAATATTGAGGCAGTTGTATATAGCGTTAAAGAAAGGACTATTGAAGAGGCAACGAGGGGGTGCATTACTCCCACGACGATTCGACTGTCTCGCGCACTCGCCGCACGTACTCCTTGCGGTTCTCCCGATACAGGGAGGCAGCTTCGGCGTTGGCAGGGCTGTTTGGGTTCGGGTCGTGCAGCAGACTCTGGATGGAGGTCAGGATGGCAGCCACATCGTAGGTGGGTGACCAGCGGTTCTGCAGAATGTCCAGACACAGCTCGCCGTTGGCGTAGACGTTGGGGTGGAACATCTTTGACGCAAACCGAACAGTGGGCGGCTTGTTTGGGTATGTCTCGTCAAATGTCAGGACCAGCTTGAAGGTCCCGTCCTCGAATGGGGTGTCGGCTACAGTGGCAATGGTTGTGGCGGGGATGGGCATCAGTGGTTGATTGAGGCGTCTAGTCAGCAAAGGAGAGCCGAGCAGACATTGCAGAGGGTAATAAAGTACGCCAGAGGCATGTGTCGCTTACCTGGGCCGAAAATAACGGCATTCCAAACCATGATGTTGTCTGGGCACGGTGCACCCGAAATTCCACCGGGCGGGTCGCTCTGCAGGCGCTTAAAGTCACGCATAAGTCGGCGGCGAGTAGGGGTGGACATTGTGTGTTTGCCAGCAAGAGTAATAAATGGCGGTTGGAGCAAAGTAGAAAAGAACTATAGAATGCCAGGTCCACGCGCAGGCTGCCATCACAAGACTACGCTGATCAGATATCGGCCGGTACTTGATTTGATCTCCGCCCGCGCGCCGCAAGAAAAAAACTCCTTAAATGGCACCAGCGTCCTGTGGCCCTGCGCCAGAGCCAGTTTGCTTTTCCCTTCCTTTTTTTTATTTTCAATCGTCAGCCAATTTTTCTTGTTTTTCCACAAACAACACTTTCAACGACTCTAGGTACACCAGAAGGTAAGTTGGCCCACCCCCGCTCCTTTTCAAGAGCCTGATTTCTGCGTCCTTGCTCTATACCAGTCTCTCTAAAATCCATTGTGAATTTGGCATAGATCAACTTTGAACAATGTTCAACTCGAGCAGCTCTTTTGGCGGCGGAGGCTCGAGTGGCAGTGGATTCGGCGGGTTCAACCAGGCCAGCAACACCACTGCGACGCGTACCGGCTTTGGCGCGTTCGGGCAGAGCAACAACACTGGAAATACGTTTGGTAATGCTAGTGGGGCGTTTGGCCAGTCAAACACGGCGGGTGGGTTTGGAAACACGCCTGGTGGTTTTGGTCAGGCCAGTAGCAGCGGCACGACTGGATTTGGGCAGTCGGCGGCAACCGGCTTTGGGCAGAGGACTGCTGGCACTGCGGCTACGGCTGGGGCATCATCAGGCATGTCGACGTTCGGGCAGTCGGCCGCAGGCGGGTTTGGTCAGCAGACTGGTGGTGGGATGTTCGGTCAATCGTCGGCCGGCGGAGGAGGATTTGGCGGTGCTGCGGCCACCAGCACGTTTGGCGGTGCACTTGGCAATACCAACACGGGTACAGGTCATACGCCGTTTAAGGAGCACATTGAGCGCAATCCCACAGGCGCCAAGGAGGCCTACCAGAACATCTGCGCGATGAACGAGTATATGAACTTTTCTCCTGAAGAACTGCGGTTGCAGGACTACCTTGCCAACCGGAAGCAGCCGGGTGCGGCCGGAGCTTCGGGCTTTGGAACCGCCAGCACCGCTGGGTTTGGGCAGACTAGCGCTGCTGGGGGATTCGGCAGCACCGGCAGCACTGGGTTTGGCCAAACCTCGGCGGCAGGCGGCGGCGGTTTTGGTCAGACTAACACAGCCACAGGCTTTGGCCAGACCAGCAATGCGCCAGCATTTGGCCAGGCGAACACCAGCACCACTGGGTTTGGCGCAAACACGTTTGGCCAGTCGAATACGGGCGGAGGGTTTGGCCAGGCCACCAACACTGGCGGAGGGTTTGGTCAGAACAACGCGACGACTGGGTTTGGCGCCAATACCGGCTTTGGCGCTGCCACCAACAAGCCTGCCTTTGGGCAGAGCGCAGCAACCGGATTTGGCCAGACAAGCACGTCGGGCGGGTTTGGTGGCGGTGCCTTTGGAGCCGCAGCAAACAAGCCGGCGTTCGGGCAGACCAGCGGCACCGGGTTCGGGCAAACCTCTACGGCCACAACAGGCTTTGGAGGCGGCAGCTTTGGATCATCGGCAGCGCCTGCGACCACTGGGTTTGGCGCAGCAACGACAACTGGGTTCCCTCAGTCAAGCACGACAGGGTTCGGCCAGGCACCCAACACTGGGTTTGGTCAGACCAGCACTGCAGGCACGGGCCTGACTTTTGGTGCTGCGGCGAACAAGCCGACATTTGGCGGGTTTGGCCAGACCAACACGTCAGCACCGGCTGCATCCGGTGGGCTGTTTGGAGCGTCAACTGGAACCACCGGAGGCTTTGGCCAGACAAACACCAGCACTGCCGGCGGTCTGTTTGGATCCAATACCAACGCCGGTAACGCTGGCGGGGGTCTGTTCGGATCTAACGCCAACGCGGGCACTACTGGAGGAGGGCTATTTGGCAACAAGCCTGCTACTAGCGTGGCAGGCGGCGGGCTGTTTGGGTCAAATGCCAACACGGCTACCAACACTGGAGGTGGGCTGTTTGGCTCCAACGCGAACACAGGGACCACCGGTGGGGGACTGTTTGGCACCAACAGCACCAACGCGGCTACCAACACTGGCGGCAACCTCTTTGGGGCCAACAGCGCGAACATGGGTAACACTGGAGGAGGGCTGTTTGGCACCAACAACACGGCCACCAGCACCGGCGGAGGGCTGTTGTTTGGTAGCAAGCCCGCTACTGGGGCAACAGGCGGCGGCCTCTTTGGCTCCAGCAACACTGCCAGCACCAATACTGGCGGCGGCCTATTCGGTTCCAGCACCAACACCGGAGGCGGCCTCTTTGGTGGTTCTAAGCCTGCGTTTGGGCAGCCAGCAGCTGGCACGGCTGGCGGTGGTCTGTTCGGCTCCAGCACCAACACCGGTGGTGGGCTATTTGGTGGCATGCAGAACCAGCAGCAGACGCCCAGCATGCAGCAGCCGCTTCAGCTTGGGCAGCTGTCGGCCCAGATCGACAAGCAGCCGTACGGCACCAGCTCGCTGTTTGACACGACGAAGCTTACTGGAAAGGCCGGGCTGTTCACCAAGACCGGCAGCAGCCATCTGACCGCCACTCCCCTGCGCTCATCGATCGTCGAGCAGTCCACCGTCGAGAAGGAGCGCGAGCTCAAGAAGCGGGGCCTGAGCCTGCACTCGATTAGCTCGCCGCAAACCGCAACCAGCAGCCGCCTGCGCTCACGTGGATTTGTTGCGCCGACTACGGCCAAGCGATCGTCACTGGGCATCTCGGCTGCGGGCATCTCGTCGCCGTCTGTTGCCACTGCGCATGTGCCGGCCATCACTGGCTCTAGCGCTGACAACTCGCGTCGCGAGCCTGTTGCGCTGTTTGGGCGGGATGGGTTCTTGTCGCCGGCTCCTCAGACTCCTCGGTCCAGTGTCAAGCGGCTGGTTATCAACCGCAAGCCTGCTGAGAGCGGATTCACTGCTGCCTCCTCGTCGCCGGTGGCTGCAGCAGTTGCTGCAGTTCCTGCCGAGCCTGCCAGTCCGTGGACAGGAGTGAAGCGGACGCAATCAATGGCGGCTGACCCCGAGGAGTCGCCGGCTGCTGTTGTTTCGGCGCCAAAGGTTGTGTCCCAGGCAGAAGCCGAGAGCGATGCCGAGAGTGATGCTGAGAGCGATGCTGAGAACGACGATGGCGAGTACTGGATGGCTCCGAACCTGGCGGAGCTGCGCAGCATGCCTGAGCAGAAGCTGCGGGCGGTCAAGGAGTTTGTCGTTGGTCGCAATGGCGTGGGTCAGGTCCGGTTTATGGAGCCTGTTGACCTGACCAGTGTTGGCTCGCTTGGATCTATTGCGGGCGGAGTTGTCCTGTTCGACGACCGCGTGTGCACAGTTTACCCTGACGAGACCAACAAGCCGCCTCGCGGGCAGGGTCTGAATGTCCCTGCCATCATCTCTCTTGATGACTGCTGGCCCAGCGACCGCTCGACAGGCAAGCTTATCACAAAGGTGGACGATGTCCGTGTGCGCAAGCATATCCGGCGTCTGAAGAAGGCTGAAGACACCGAGTTTATCAGCTTCATCGACGGCACTTGGGTCTTCCGCGTGGAGCACTTTTCGCGGTATGGACTGGAGGACGACATGTACGATGATGATGACGACGGAGATGACGACGACGATGACGACTATGTGATGGTGAAGGCTGGAGAGGAGAACAAGAAGCAGGGTTTTTCTAAGGCCACCGCGGCATCAGCGGTAGGAGCGCAGGGCCATACGGGCGGCTCGCGTGCGGTGGCCCAATCCCAGCCCAAGGAGGAGAGCATCTCGCCAGATGGAGATGCGGATGCAGATATGGATATGGAGAGTGGAGGAGTGAGCAGCAGTGGCGAGCAGGGCATGGCAGCCACGCAACAGCTGCCAGCGTCAAGGGGACGTGCCCCGGCTATGCGTGCATCGCTGTTTCCAAAGCAAACTTCAGGCATGGACATGGGCCAGACGATCGATGGGCATGCTGCTGGTTCTTTTGGGCGGTCCGCAAAGCATAGGCAGGATGATGGGGCGGAAAGCCAACGGAGGCCATTGGAAGCCCTGGCCAGGAATGGCTTTGACCGCGCCGAGCCCCAGACCGCCAACCCATTTGTGCTAAGGGCAAAGCCGGCACCTAAGCAAGGCCGTCGGGCTCGTGGATTTGGCAGCCGGGACAATATGTCGGGTGTCACTTCAGCGACAGGCGCTCCATCGCTCGCAGCGCCGTCAATCGATGCGCTGGATTTGCCATCACCCAGCAAGTACTTGCGGACCAGTGAGCCGCGAATCGTACGTGACCTGCTGGCCCAGCCCCAGCCGTACTCTGCGTCTGTCACCCATGGCCGGTCTGGTGTGGGTGCCGATGCCGGAATGATGATGGCACGTAGCTTCCGCGTCTCGTTTGGCCCGCAGGGGCAGCTTGTGTACCTCCAGAGCGGCGGCTCCAAGGCCAAAGGCGGCGCATCGACAGCGCTTGTTATTGACAGCCTCTCTCGTCACATCCATGCAGCACCTGGCAAATCGTCGACTATTGCTCAAAGCACAGACGCCGACGGTTCAGACGCTATCCTGGAAACCCAGCGGCAAATGCACATGAGCCTGATTCGCGCGCAGTGGGAGCACGCCCACATTGAGTGGTCGGTGGCGACAGCTTGCCCAGCAGTGACATTTCGTGACGGAACGACTATCGCGTCGGTGGTCGGAGCGCTGTCTCGAATCGACAGCGACGCATCAAAGGCGATCCCCCAAGAGGAGTCGCGCATTCTGGAGCTGGCGGCGGTGCTGTTTGACGAGCTGGCGGCGGAAGAGAACGAAGACGAGCTCACCAGCGAGCAGCTCGCACGCATCCGCACTGTTCGCCGCAGGCAAGGCTTGACGCGCTGGCTGATGTCAGCGGTCCACGAGTCAGTGCAGAGCGACCTGGTCCATGCTGGGGAATCCGCATCGCCATCGGCATCATCGGTGTTTGCCCTGCTCTCTGGAAACAAGATCGAATCCGCGTGCCTGTCAGCAATCTCTCACCGCGACTACCGCTTGGCGACTCTGGTCTCGCAGTGTGGCAGCGGTGCTGTTGGCGGAGGCGGCAGCGACACGCAGTTCCAGGAGTTTGTGCGCACGCAGCTCCATCGCCTCGAGGAAGTCGGCGACAGCAAGACCTTCCCCAGCAGCTATCGCCGTGTGTACGAGCTGCTGTCAGGCAATGTCGAGTGGGAGGCATCGCAGCTTCCAAGATCGTCGTCGTCGGGCTGCTTTGTGACGCGTGGTCTTGACTGGAAGCGCGCGTTTGGCGTGACTCTGTGGTACGCGCAAGCGCCAGCGGACCCTATTGCAGGGGCTGTGCGGCAGTATGAGCGCATGTTCAAGGAAGGCTCTCTGTCGTCGGGCACTGCGGTGCCGTCGCCGATTGCTCCTCCGCTGCCGTCGTGGCTCTTTGCTGATGGCGAGCTCTCGCAGCGCACCAGTGCGCTGGCCGAGTTTGAGCAGGCAGACTCCCATTTGGCCAAGCGAGCCGTCACTCTGTCGCGGAGCAGCGTGTGGGATGCTGCGTTCCAGCTGCTGAAACTCTTCAGCGAGCCGACCATGCCTCTGGAGAAGGCGCTGGTATCCGAGTCATTCACTGCTGCGCGCGGCGACTCGCGTCTAGCCACTGTTATGGCGTGGCTGCTCAGTGCTGTCAGGCAGTGCCGTGGATTCGAGGATGCTCGGCAAGTTGCTGGCGGCAAGCTTATATCGCTTGCTTACGACAGCATGCTCGCGGGGTGGGCGTTCCAGCTCGAGACCCTCGGTCTGTGGCAGTGGTCGTGTTATTTGCTGCTGCAATTGTCGAGCGACTTGCACAAAACCCACGCGATCCGGGCGCTTCTTGACCGCTCGCTGACCAGCTCGACCCCAAACGGTGCCCTGGTACCGGCTGCGGTCAGCGAGCTGCTGCCAAAATCCTCTCTTGGCGCCGGTGACATGGGCAGTATTGAGCAGCAGGTGCGGTTTGTACGCAACGACCTGCATCTTCCTGAGCTGTGGCTGTACGAGTCGTACGCTAACCGCAGCCGGTATGATCGCCAGCTGATTGAGGCCCATTCTGGCACCCAGCAGCTGGCCTTCCTTACCGGCCGCCGTGCTCAGACATCGTCACCGGCTGTGGTTGCGGCGGCGCCGCTCTTCAACCCAGGCATCTTTGCCGGCAGCCAGCTGGCGCAGTTCGCCAGTCCTTTGGCCACGGTTGCGCTGGATTCGGCCGCTGTGGCCGTGCTGCGTGAGGTCGCCTGGCTGATTGGCGCCCGCCGTCTGTCGTCAGCCCACCTGCTGGTCATGCAAAAGATCGCCCCTGATGCCATCCTGCGCGGCGACTACCGGCTGCTGTCCAAGGTGCTTTCATATCTGGATCCGGCTGTTACCAGCCCGGGCGGCAGTGGTGCGTGCGTGCCGGGCGAGAGCTGGATGTGTGGCGGCCAGGTGTACAAGTCGTTCCTGGTTGCCGTCGAGGACCTGCCAGCGATCCTGAAGCAGCTTGCGGCAGCGAAGCAGATCGACGAGCAAAGCAGCACTGTGCAGCAACTGACCGAGCAGGTCAAGCAGATCTACTCGCAAATGGCCACGCTGCTGTCGTCTCTGCCGTCGCTGTCGGCCAGGTTCGAAGCCTTCTCTAAATCAATGGACGCGTCGCTTGGGTTCTATGACGGCACGGAGGTGTTCTGGTACTCGGCCCGCGAGGCCCGCGAGCTGCGGATCAAGTATTCTGTCGCTATTTCCGAGATGGCCACCGTTGTCACTGGCCAGGTCCAGCAGCTGGAATCATGCTTCCCTGGCCTCGCTTCTAGCAGCAGCCGTGCTTCGCCGCTGCACCTGCAGACTGCCATCCCGGCTATGCTGCCGCTGGCCGAGGACATGCGCATCCTGCGCACATACCAAATGGCCCAGACGTGCTTTGACTCGCTCGTTGCTGACGAGCTTGAGGCTTGAATAGTTTTTTTCTCGCTTTTAAATACATCATTCATTTGGTAATTCTTGATCTAATCACTAAAAAACTTCGAGGGCGTTTTTTTCTGCGCTAAAGATCCAAAAGGCATGCTTGTCCCCGGTTGGTTCTGTTCTAGCTAATTTGCCTACTCCACTCCTTTTTTATATAGCCATATTAACTCTTATTGTCAAAACATGGGCAAGTCGAACGGCAGCAGCAAGCAGTCGGCACTGAAGCGGCTGCGCTCCTCTCTCTCGGCAGCCGGCCTGACCGGCCCCAAGGCGCATGTCACCAAAAAGGACAAGAAGCGCGGGGTAACAAAAGCCAGCGGCCGCAACGAGGACCGCAAGCAGAAGCTCAAGGCGATCCAGTCAGCAATGAACCCGTTCGAGCTGCAAGTGAACCGCAAGAAACTAAGCGTTTTGGGCTTGAAGCGCAAGGACGAGCAAGTCAACGTGGCCGTGGCCCGACAGAAGGCCATGGAGAAGCGCAAGGCAACAATTGGCAGCGAGCGCAAGAACCGCAACAAGGCCGGCGCCTTTATCGATCGGCGTATTGGCGAGAACGACGCAAAGATGGATCCTGAGGAGAAAATGCTGCAGAGATTTACGCTTGAGCGGCAGAAGCGCAGCCGCAACTCATCCATGTTCAACCTGGAGGACGACGATGACGTTGAGGGAGCGATTACGTCCTTGACACATTTTGGCCAGTCTCTGGATGACATGGATACGTTTGACGATATGGTTGGCAGCGACGATGAGGGCACGGGGGCGATTGACCGGGACACTGTTGCTGGTGACCACTTTGGTGGATTTGAGCAGGAGGGCCCAGCGCGCAAGAAGACAAAGGCCGAGGTCATGCAGGAAGTCATTGCCAAGAGCAAGCAGTTCAAGCACGAGCGCCAGCTGGCCAAGGAGCAGGACGACGAGGTGCGCCAGGAGCTTGACGACGACTTCGCCGCCGTCCGTGCACTGCTGTTTGACGGCGACGACGATTCCAAGCCTATGATGAAGGCTGCCGATGGCGAGGACAACGATATGGATCAGTCGTACGACGCTGCAGTGCGCGAACTGATCTTTGAACAGCGGGCCCGTCCGCAGGACCGCCTTAAGACCGAGGACGAGCTCATCCGTGAGGAGAAGGAAAAGCTCGAGCGGGCAGAGCGCCACCGGCAGCGGCGCATGGACGGCTTGCCCTCCGACTCAGAGCCCGAGTCAGACGACGAGGATGGCCTCAAGAAGGGGTATGCTGCGCAGAGCAACCGTGCGCCTGAGGCCGACGATCTTGGTGATGATTTCGCTGTGGCCGACAGTGACGATGAGGGCAATGCCGCCGATATTCAGCTTGGAGCCGGCCTTGGTGCCGAGGAGTCGGAGGATGAGGATGATGAAGATCGCAGTGATGGGTCAGATGAGGACAGTGATAGCGAGGACAATGACGACGAGGGCAGTGACCTTGGTGACAGCGATTCCGAGACAGAGTCGGAGCCAAAGAAGGTAAAAAAGGTTACCAAGGCCCTAAAGGTCTCTGCCGACTCAAAGCCATCGTCATCCGATGATGCCCTGCCGTTCACATTTACTGCGCCAGCCGATTACGACCAGTGGCTCGAAATCGTCGGCGACTACACACTTGAGCAGCAGCTGGTGGTGATCAAGCGTCTACGCACGCTGTATCACATTCGCCTCTCACCACAGAACAAGGAGAAGCTCTCCAACTTGTGCATCATTCTGCTGGAGCACCTTGCCGTTCTGACTGAGCAGGATCCGCCGGTACCCATGGTGATCATTGACGAGATCTCGAAGCACATTGGCGAGCTCATCTCTATTGATGTTGACCGTATTGGCGAGCACTGCCGGCAAACAGTCATTGAAATCCACATGCGCATTCTGGCAGCGATCAAGGGCTCAGCGGGCACTGCCGAGAAGCACGTCACTGCCCCAGCGGTTATGCGCCCGTCGGATGTCGCGCTGATGCGCCTGTTTGTCTCGCTGTTCTCATCGTCTGACCGGTACAATTCGGTGGTCACACCGATGCTCATGGCAATGTGCCAGTTCCTGTCGCAGTACACGTTCACTGAGGTCAATGACTTTGCTGCTGGCCTGGTTCTGGTTGGCATCATCCATGAAACCCAGCGTTTGTCGCGGCGCTTTGTCCCTGAGACGCTTAGCTTTTTGTTCGCGACCCTGTCTGCCACTGTCTGCGATCCAGCCAACTCGAAGGACTGGAACGGCCAGTTCCCGCTGTCGAAGCGGCAGCGCGAGGCATATGGAGCCTTGTGTATTTCTGACAAGTCGTCGACTGTAGCGCCGGTCACCTGGGCATGGCTGTCCGCTACTTTTGGCGATGAGGGCGAAATTACCACCGCACAAAAGCTAGGTGTTCTGCGATCGTGCTTGCTGCTCGCGCGCAAGTACATTGACGTGTATTTTTCCACACCTGCATTCATCGAGCTGTTTACCCCGCTGCAGGCGATTCTCGGCCAGGTCTCGGAGCGCACCGCAGATAAGGCACCTAAGGAGATTGGCGACCTCGTAAACGAGGTTCGGTCGTATCTCGACGAACAGCTCGAGCAGTCGCATGCCTCGCGGGCACCACTCAAGATGCAGTACCACAAGCCGCTCGCCATCCAGTCGATTACACCAAAGTTCGAGTCCAACTACAGCATCGATGCGCACTACGATCCAAACCACGATCGTAACGAGATTCTCAAGCTGCGCCGCCAGGTCAACAAGGAGAAGCGCGGTGCCGTCCGCGAGCTGCGGCGTGACGCCCAGTTCATCCAGGCTGAGCGGCTCAAGGAGATGCGTGAGAAGGACAAGACCTATGATGCGAAGATGAAGAAGGCGTGGGGTGTTTTGGAGAACGACCAGAGCGAGATGAAGAAGCTCGACAAGCTGCGTATCAAAGAGCAAAAGGGCAAAATTTAGTGGCCAGCTAGAATATATTCAAAACTTGTCTTATCCTGCTTGAACACCCCTATTAACTGTAGACTCGCTTGTTGGTTTGCGTATATGTGCTGGCAACTATTTAGCTATAATATCTGGTGAGCCATTTACTCACTTGTTTCTAAATCGTTTGGATAGATGGCACTGCTAGCAGGGCTATCATAGTCGAAGGGACCTGTAAAGTGTACATTGTGGTGAAGCATCGTAAGCCTGATTGCATGCAGTGCTCCTTACGAGCTTTGCTGATCCTGTGAACTGCTTCAACTCATTCGATGTGCTACCTTGAACCTCGTACTCTCGGCGAAGACCATCCTGAGACAGCCTCTTTAGCCACACTTGCAGGTACCCTTCATGATGGAATAGGCACTGGTACATGGGGTAGAGCAAAACTATCCAGATAGCGACAAGTGTCAGAAGCAAGTCGTACGATGCTGCAAGTCCGCACTGCCAGTCATGTAAAGCGTAGTCAGGAAGGTAACAATGCGCTAGTGTCATTTTCTGGTAGTCAAGCAAGTGGAGGATAACTGTGGCAAGCGACTCGTGGTACTCATTGAAGCAGATTTGGATATTGCGACAGCACCAGGTGATGACAAGGCACAGCGACCACATCCCCCAATTCAATGCAATGCAAGTGTAGCGGAATCCATACACATAATGGCATGACTCGTAGAAGTCTAGGTATATGACAGTAAGGCAGTCTGGGACAGCCTGTGCGACGACACAAAAGACAGTCAGGGATATTGCAAGTCCACCAACTGGTGTCAACATGCTCCAGCTGCGATATGTCTTTCCCTGAACAAAGATGCGGTCCAGCGCATAGTTTCGGAACACAACTGTACAGAAGAATACAAATCTGCACAAGGCACGCAGCCAAATAATCCATCCGCAACAGGCCCGGAACAAGCAGTCGCCCAGCATGAGGACGCTGCCCATGAACAAGCCCTAAAACCATCCAAGACCCAAGAGATACATAATTGCGACAAGCGTAAGGTTGCATGCCTTTAGTGGAAGGTACTGGGGGTTGACCAATGCGTATATCAGCATCAACGCCGTCACACAGTAGAGAACCAAACTGCTGTACACAATAATATGATCTGGTTGACCTAAAAGATCCCGTTTGTGGGGGACTCGCTTGTAATTGCGGCCCATTTCAATATCAAGTTTATGCAGTGTCCCTTGTAAAGTTGGGATATAAATCTTTATCTTTACCTATATATAAGATTTTATAGTCCAAAAAGTGTCCGACCGTCCGCTAGAAATTATTTAGGCACCCTGATCTCAGTGTGCTCACCCCGCCGATGCTTGCAATCTACAACAAGCTGGCACCAGTCCTTAATGCCTATGGTGCCAAGTACAGATTCGCCAAAGGCAGCCGATACTATGATGCCAAGGTGAATCCACTTAAGCATCTGCGTGCATACATTCGTCTATGCCAGCTTATCGAGAATGAGCAGCTTGGCAAGTCTCCCCCCCCCCAATGCTTGCCTCTGCGGACATCATGGATCCCAGGCCATGTGCGTTTGGACAAGCAAATAATCAATCAGGTGTTTATTTCGAAAACACGCGAGCAGGTTACCAAGATCAACGCAGCAAAGAGGGCAGCAATAGAGGCAAGGAAAGCAGCAGAAAAGGGCGAAAAATTGGCCGAGAAGGCTGCACACGAAGCAGCAAAGATGCCATCAGATGAAACAGAGGCCGCTGCAGCAACTGCAGCAGTAGCGGCTGATTCGCTTGCTGCTGCATCGGCGACAGTAGCAGACACTGTTGCAGCACTTAACAATGCATATGCACCAGCACCCCCAGTCTGTGCACACGACCCGGTCCAAGGGATCACACAACCTGTGTGGGATGTGTGGGGCCGGGTCGCAGATCTAACATCAAAGCCATTTAAGGCGCATGGTGATAGAAAATTCCACGGAATGGCAACAACAGATGGTGTAACGATATGCATTTTGTTGCAAGACAAGATATCCAAGGCTGATGGTGCAGTAGATGCTGATGGTGCAGGAGGTGGTGCTGCAGGAGGCAATGCTACAGCTGATTGTCGCCATATCCACCAGATCCCACAGCCAGAGCTGCAGAATCTGAAAGGCCGCTGTGTATTCATCGATCCAGGTCGGAGCGATTTGCTATACATGATGCACGAAAATAGCAGCAATGGGAAAGAAGGTGAAAGAATGCTCTACCGCTACACACGGCAGCAGCGCAATAAGGAGCTCAAGCTGCGCCACTATGACAGGATTCACTGGGCTACAAAGGATTAAGTCCCAGAAGATGCTGTCCGCAGAGCAGAGGCAGAGCTTTCCAAGCACTGCTGCCGGACCCTTAGCCCAGCAAAATTCCGTGCCTACGTTGCTACCCGTGCATCTGTGCGGTGTGTCCTAGCACCGTTTTATGCCAGCACGATGACAGCGCGAAGGTTACCAGAGCAGCAGCTCACTAAGTCAAACAAGCAGCACCAGAGGCGCTGGAAGGCCCATCCGGGTGTCGGGACCAGTCCCAAGGTGTACCCGCTTCACCGCAAGTTGCGCCTTGATTCATTCATGAACCAGGCCCGTGCAGACCACAGGCTTGCCGCGAAACTCCGGAGCAAGTTTGGTCCAGATCCAGTGCTGACCATGGGCAATTGGAGTGCGCCGATGGCCCGACACCATGCGCCGATCCGTGGCAAGGGATGGCGCGACAAGTTCAAGCACCATGGCTTTGAAGTCTATCTGATCGACGAATTCCGGATATCGTCGATGTGCCCGTTCTGCTGCGAAAAGTCACTGCAGACATTCCGGCATGTTCCCAATCCGCGGCCCTACCAGAGATCGAAGAACCCAACTGTGAAGTGCCATGGCCTTCTCCGCTGTACAAGCGAGTCATGTAAGCGGGCCATGGCACAATACAGACGAGCCTATTCGTCTCGGCTCTTGAACCGCGATTTCGCAGCAGTTCTAAACTTCAGACTCGTTTTCCAGCCACTCTGTGATTCAGGAAGTATTCCTGAACGGTTCTGTCGTTCTACGGCCATTGCTGCCAATGCTTCTGGCACCACTCTGGCAACAAAGAGGCCGCGCAAGAAGCGTGCAGCAGCAGGCGATTCTGCTGCTAGCAGCAGCGAGCCAGCGCTGAAGCGCCTACGCTGAGCAGGTCACCAAGGTGGGAGATGTCCATGGTCGACATTGCACCAACAACCATCCGACACGTTCAAATGACCGGTTCGCCGTGATGCCCTTATCGACGTGTCAACCCATGCTGACTAGCAGCCGAGCTCGCATCGCGAGCAGAGCAATTCTAGTAGTAAATAATAAGAAATAGGCGATCTAAAGGTAGGGCAGGTGTAAATGTAAACTTTTGGTCATGCTAACATAACATTGCCACTTTAAGTGCATTCGCAATACAATCGCATCCAATAGCAGACAGCGGGAAGAGAGGAGCGAAGCATGAAACTGTGATAGTCTATTAGGGCAATCCATGTAAAACTATCGTAGACCATGCCGATCAGTTTCAGTCAACAATGTTCCCGTCACCACTCCTCATTCATCTTGTGGAGGGAATCGATATTCTTAAAATAGTTAGATTTAAGGTTAATATACTAGAAAGGAAGGGCAGTGTTCTGTTGATTTTCCATACTATCTCGTTTTTGAAAAAATATTTTACCTATGCAAAATACCACGGCTGGTGTTGTTTAGCCTTTAAGAAGAGGGATAAGAGTCCACAATTGGTTAAAGCCTATATTCGAAATTCTATGACTGCGTCTTGCTTTAGAGAGCTTTCTACTTTTTAACTCTCCACCAGATGGTATCATAATCCATAGTTATTATATCCTTCCTAGAACTGTGATTCAAGTAAATACTGGAATTGCCAGCATATATAAAGAAACCATATGGCGACCTATTCAAGCTCAATCCCTCTCGGTTCTTGATGAAAAGCGCACTTATGTATGTTTGGTTTTGGACTCAGTCCAAGTGGTCAGCCATCTTAGACCGCAAATAGCCAATAAATGCAATTATCCTGTTATAGTAGATATTGGCCACTACTTTGTCACCTGGCCAATGTAGCCAGATTGCAGCTGTCATTATTCATTGGTGAAACGCTCTGAAGTTGTTCCTGTTCCTTTTTTCATAATATTTAGTATTCAATCAATAATCAATAGCAAGCAGCACTTTGCACTGCAGGACATGCATGCTATGGGCTAGATATCTTATGCCCAATCGCCGATTTGCTAACCTCTCTGCCAGATTTGAAGAAATTTGTGTTGACAAGAGTGGCTGGTCAGTTTTGTATTCTAGTGGCAGATCGCTAAATCGATCTATAACTCTGGGAGAATGGTGTGAAAAGAAAGCTTACGCAGCAATAGCTACTGGTATCGACGATGCGGTGCTTGGGCTTGGGTCGTCAAACAGCAGCGGGCGCTTGGTCGGCTTGATGTTGCGGTCATAGTCCATCAGCAGCTTGAACATGCCAGTGCCAATCGGCATTTGCTGGCCCATGATGATACGCTCAGACACACCGTGCACCATGTCGCGCTTGCCAAAGACAGCGGCGTCGAACAGGTGGTCGGTTGTCTTTTCAAACGACGCCAGCATCATGACCGAGTCATTCATCTTGGCGATACCGTACCGGGTAATGCCGAGAATCTCGCCCTTGTAGCACATTAGATCACCCAAGAGCATCAGATGGCGCTGGTCAATGACGATCGAGTATGTGGTGAAAATAGCCGCCAGCTCCTTGATCATCTGGGTGCGTGCCGCCTCAATACCCAGGATCTTGAGGTTGTCCATGATGTGGTTGCTGTGCGTATATCGTCCATCGACACCATCGGTGTTCATCGACTCGAGCAGGCCGTATCCCTCCGCAGACAGTTTTACGCCGGTGCCCTTTTCCTTCTTCATAATGACTGCCCGATGCACACTGGGCACACCATGCACAATGATGTTGGGCAGGGCACGTCTCATGACCTGTAGCTGGTAGAACAACTGCTTCTGGTTGCCTGACGACACATACACACTGAGCTTATTGGGCGGCTCCATGTGCACATTATTTCCAATCTTGAGCTTGGGCGCGCTTGCGATTGCATTGCAGATGTCGGCCAGGTCGATCTCCAGCTGCAGCTTCTTGATGACATCCATATCGATTGTGACGCCAAGATAGCAGCTGGTCGCCGTATACACCTCCTCGATGCTCTGAGTGATATCTCCTAGCAATGTGCGCTCAATACGACCCTTGACGATACGCGCCGACGACTCGCTCTCTTCATTGATCAGCTTGCATTCGACAATAGGCGTCGAAATATTCTTGGCTGCGTTGATGATCTCCTTGATGCGCGGCACACCCATCGACACGTTCATGCTAGCAATACCGGCGAAATGGAACGCCTTTAGCGTCATCTGCGTGGTCGGTTCTCCAATACTCTGCGCTCCAACGGCTCCAACCGCACTGCCAGGATCGGCACGCGATCTCTGGTACTTGGTAATACACAGGTCAAGGAACTTTTCCAGGCATATGCGGGTGACAACGAGTTTGTTGTCGACGATCCTGCGCGCCGCAGATGGTGCATTGGCATCAGCCTTACCCAGTGACCACGAAAGTATGTCTTCCAAGCTCGCCTCCACGGAATCAGCTGCCTTCGCTGCCTTCTTCCCACGGCCCTTGGGCTTAGCGGACTCGCCGGTCAGCTCAGCGGGGATGTCGTGGTATGGCTTAAGCTTGTATGCCGCACGCAGCTCGCCAAGACGTCCCGCCAGCGACTGGTGAACATACTCCTTTATCTCGTCTCGCCAGTACGAATTGGTCCAGTCAACAAACCGCGGCTCCAGGATGACCTTGTCGACGATATGCTTGATCTGGAATGGTGCCAGGTGCTCTTCATCTGGCGATACCTCGGTGGTGTTTCTGATGAACGTCCAGTTGTGGTCAAAGAGAACAGGAACACCATCACCCTCGAGGCGGTAGGGATCAAGCGAATCGCCGCCGTACTCAAACTGCACCACTGTGCCCGACGAGTTGCGCACAGATGAATCATACTGTACGCGCAGGTCCTCAAACGCCTTGACAAGACGGCGCTGCATGTAGCCTGTCTCAGCGGTCTTAACAGCTGCGTCGACAAGACCCTCACGGCCGGATCCCGCATGGAAGAAGAACTCAGTCGGGTACAGGCCGGTGTAGAAACTGCTGGCAGCGAATCCCTTCGCCTCGGGCGTGCGCGAGCGCTTCAAAAAGTGCGGCAGAGTACGGTCAGTGAATCCGTCGGCAATACGCGTGCCGCTGACAATCTGCTGGCCGAGACAGGCAACCATCTGGCACACGTTGACAGGGCTTCCCTTGGACCCGCACTGGGCCATGATCAGTGGAGCATTGAAACGGTCAAGTTCCTCCATACAGATCATACCGGCATTATCACGCACTGCATTCAGTTCTTTAGTGATGATGGCATCGAGTGTCTTCGCCTGATCACACCCTGGCAGGGTCTCAAGAACACCGCGCCGGCTCTCATCAATGAACCCGTCACACGTGCTGTACGCGTCGGCGATCAGCTTGTCCTTGCGGTCTCTCAAGATCTTGCCCGGAGTTACATCTGACAACCCGATCGAGAAGCCCTGGTTGCAACTCCAACGCGCAGACAGCTTGGCCAGGCGGTTCATGATCGCTGCAGCTTCCTCCGTGCCATAGTCGCGCAGCGCAACAAAGAAGATCGACTTCTTCTTACCGTCACCAACGACGCTCTTGTCAAGCGAACCGCACAGAAGCTCACTGTTACGAATGATCATGTAGCCGTCATTGGGGCAGAGATCAGGGATGGCAGAGCGCTTGAACATCTTGGTCTTGGTCTCCAAGTTGATGGACATCTTGGTTGCGTAGTTGGGCCGCATCAGGACGTTGATGATCTGCTTGCCCGACCAGAGCCGACGCGGCTTGATGATGCACGGCGGCGGAATGTCGATGAACACGTTGGCATCAAAGCAATAAGAGACGATCTGTGTGAACTGAGACCGATCGTAGAAGCAGTCCTTCTGCGTGATCAGGAACGCGGTGGTAATGAAATCCTGGGTGGCTCCAATGATGGGCTCGCCATTGCGCGGCGTCACCAGGTTGTTGCGAACGCCCATCAGTTCGCGTGCCTCGACACGTGCCTCTTCAGTCTGCGGCAGATGCAGGTTCATTTCATCTCCGTCAAAATCGGCGTTATAGGGAGTGCACACACACTCGTTGAAGCGGAACGTGCGCCAGGGCATCACGCGCGCCGAGTGAGCCATAATCGACAGACGATGCAGAGACGGCTGGCGGTTGAACAGCACAACATCGCCGTTGACCAGATGGCGCTCAACGATGTCGCCGACACGCAGATTGTCGGCAGTCTGCTCGCGGATCGACCGAATAAGCATACGCTTCTGGCCGCTGGAGCCAAAGACAACAAAGTTGGCACCAGGATGCACATCGGGACCGTTGCGCACGTTTTTCTGGAGCCGCTTCAGGTTGTGCGGCGTCACGCGTTCCGGGTAGGTCAGGATCTTCGCCACACGCTGCGGCACGGCAACCTCGTCGATGCGCATGTTGGGATCAGGCGAAATGACAGTACGACCACTGAAATCGACTCGCTTTCCTGACAAGTTACCACGGAAACGACCCTGCTTACCCTTCAAGCGCTGGGTGAAGCCACGGATTGGCTTGCCCACCACCGAAATGGGCACGCCAGGCACATCGCTGTTAATGTACATGGCGATGGCCAGGCCAAGATAGTCCCACTGCTCCATGATGTTGATCGTGCCAGCGCCCTGCTTCATGCCAGTCTCAATGAGCGCGTTGGTAAAGATGATCTCTGACAGCTTGACAGTCAGATCGTCTTCGTTGCTGGCACCGTCCTGAGCGACCGACGGACGAATGCAAACTGGCGGAACTGGCACGCTGGTCCACAAGAACAACTCCGGACGGCCGCTGTCCGGGTTCATTCCCATCAGCTCGCAGTCCTCGTCCGAAATATTCTTGAACAGCTGGTACACACGCAGCGGAGTCATCTCCTCGGTCTGCGCCTTCTCCACAAACGGCTTCAGCTGTGGATCGGCTTCTACCGCATTCGCGAGCGTCTTTCTGTAGTCCTCCTGCTCGTCGGCCGTGCGCTTCTGGCGGTACTTGTCATGCACAATCTTCAGTGGACCACCCTTCTTCACCACGCCATTGGTTGCCAGACAGTGTGGGCAATATGTGACCTTCTTGCAGCGGTCATTGACTGCCTTTACGATCAGGCGCATTTGCAGCCCATCGATTCCAGGGGCCCTCAGCCTGCGCAAGAACATGCGCCGATCCGACTCCTCAAGCATCACGCGTGCGCACGTCTTGCAAATATCCTGCAGAATCGTCTGCGTCATCTTGAAGTAGCCAAAGTGGAACACAGGCACGCACAGATCGATGAATCCCCAATGGCCGACACAGTCCGACATGTTTTGTCCGCACGTCTCGCAAATGTCGTTCTTGTTCGACACACCCAGCCGCGGATCCAGTACGCCATTGGGGACAGGCTTGCGAGTCTCGGCCGTGTAGAGATCGCGCTGGTTAATCACCACCTCCGCCGCCTGACGAATATCGTGTGGGCTCGGAACTCCAAACTGAATGCAATGACTACGCCAGAGAAAAATCAGGGCAGGTCAAAGGGTTAGTGACAACTGGCCGGTCGGCGTTGTGGCAGCTGGCTGTGCGGCCGCGGCTGCACTACTTACATTTGCTTCGGTGCCTGTGCTAGCACCTGCCCCTTCATTTTTCATAAAACTTGTAATATGTACTATTTTAAAAAAGAGCTTTTTAGAGTATAGATTGAAGGAAAAAGTGAATGGTATGAAAATACTGCTGCGGCCACCATTTGGATTCTGACATACAAAATCAACAATCCGAACAATAGCAGTATAATTTTTCGCATAGTGAGCAATAAAAGTTTCTTAGATATTATTAGGGAAATACTGCTATTTATTATGATCAGGTTGTTGATGAATAGTTGCATGATAGTATGAACTTCTCATCAGCTTGGAAATGAAATCAAACTACTCTGGAAAGGGTCAAGCATAAGAATTGGATTTTGAGGTGTTTCTTTTGTTTGTTATCTTTATAGGATAAATGGAGCTAGAGGAATATGTTTCAGCTTTGCTTATGAGAAGTCATAGTGTGGCAGTCATTCTTAAACTTATAAATATAAGTTGTTTGGAATTTAGCTATAGGGGGTTAATTATTATTAGGCAACAAAAGTCAATATCTCAATAGATGTGGTTAAGCAACTATAAGGAAATTATGTTCACTGAAACTTTTCCAAGATGCTGATAGCAGTTTGGGTGAAATTTATATTTCACTGAAATTGCCAGTAGTTTCAATATGCATAAATAATTATTGTACAGATAAGTAACTATGAACAACCTCCATCATCTAAGATTGACTATTGCTGACATCCTGCATAATTTGTACAGTTCAGCTATATCTGGACCCAAGTAACTAAGATATATGATAGTATGTAAACCTTCCCACCAGCCCACTATATGGTAGTTTGGCAACATCATTAGATGTTTCTTACAAGTACTGATCTCTTAAATTTTCTAAATATCAAGCATCTGCATGCTATTTGGGGCACACTAGGTGCTGTTACCTCTGGGCGGCTTTGGCTGTTGCCTACTCCGGGATGATTGTATTATTCTATAAGAGGGAGACTGTATATAGTTGCTGTTCCTTAGATCTGCAACACACTCATACGACACTGCTCTATGCTCTTTTCCGCTGAAAAGATAAATCACTAGTATACAATGATCATCCTTGACAAGTGCTGAGAATTCGGCTGCTTTTCCGCACAGAAGGGCTCTACGGCGGCCACATCTTCGGTGCTTCTAGCACTCATTTGCTACCACTACAGCCTGCAATGTTGCTCCATCTAATATAGAATAATGATTGGTGCACAATATAATGACGTCTTAATCTGTATTTATAGCCTATGTGTCATGCCGCTAGGGTGGTTCCAACTAACCCAAGGCGGATTAATCACTGAGAGTGGCGCAGCTTTATCCAGGACCGTATGCGGCTTAGATGAGGGTTCAGTATGCGCACTTGGCGCTTGCTTAAATACCCCTTGCTGGCTCCTAGCAGCAGGGATTCCTCCTGGTTTTCCAATATAATTTTGTGAACGCTTACTTTTGATTTTATCAGCACATTTACAATCATCACTAGGAGAACACGCTACCTAGTTTCCTCTTCCCTGACATTTGACCTAGGTCGTTTTAGGCACGCACTGTATTATTTAAGTATATTTTGTAGGCTATGATGAGTGCTGACAGAAGAAGGGCACCTGGCACCACATATGTTCCATACTCACTTGATAGTTTGCAGTATAGAAGCACTGCATGTGTTTTCTATCTAGTCCTTTTGCTATCATATCTCAGTAGTAATACAGCACCCGACTCAAATCTCTCGGAGATACCATCTCCTATCGTGTTTCTTGTGTTTAGCACCTGGTGGCATTCATTATTTATAGCCAATAGGTGGTTTGAGCGGAGATTCCTGCCTCTAGATGTCTATACTTATCAGGAACTGCCCACATGCATGCCGGGACAAACATCCAAAGCTGCACCTTTTCTTTGGACCCGGGCCATTACGCATACAGCTGCAGAACAGTATCTTGCAACTGCCTGTTCAAACCGATAGCAATGGCACATCAGCTCGGTCAATCTGCGATGGTAGGTGAGGGTATCTTCAAGATTGGCTGATATTGTATGAAAATAGGCATGCATGGAGGCAAAGTCCGCACCACCTGGACAAGATCATGTGGGCAGCCCACATACGCCGATGCACCTACTCCACTCCCCGCATCACGCCTTCTTTTATTCCCTTTGACGGCGAGCAGAGAAGGGATCTGCATACATCCAGAGTAGCCTCGATTCTGTTGCGAGATCTGGGCCATGACCGTTTGCAAAGAGATTGGGCTCCACAAAATACAGGTTTCGAGCAGAAATGTGCCAGATGGCCGCATCTTATGCAGATTTGTGGCCATCGCGCTGTGCAGATTCCTGTCAGCTGTGGGAAGATGAATATTTTGTACCTATGGAATGTCCTCCGTAGGGTGGGAATCAGCACCGTTTACCTGCTAGCCTTCCGAAAAATGTACCACCACATCGGCCATTTGCAAACGGTTTTGCGGGAAGCAGCATCATCTGTGGACATATAAATAGAGTCCCTCCATCCATTCTTTCCCCCTACCATCTCCAATCTATCTTCACTTTTTTATATTTGTGTACCCACTAATAATTTTTCTAATCTCTCCAGCTACTCGTCAATACTAATAATCTCTGATAAACATTGTACATAATGTTTAAACTCCCACGCTACAACAGCCCGATGACCCAGGTTATCATCGTGGGCTTCGTGTGCTTCCTCAACCCAGGCATGTATAATGCCCTCAACAGTATGGGTGGTGGTGGTCAAGTTGACCATACTACCGGATCTAACGCCAACACGGCTCTCTACTGCACGTTCGTCGTCTTCGGTGTCATTGGCGGATCGATTGTCAACCTGTTCGGTGTCCGCTGGACGATCTTTGGCTCTGGTTTCACGTATGCTCTGTACTCTGGCTCGTATATCTACCTCAACCACACCCAGAAAGGCGGCTTAACCATCGCTGCGGGAGCACTCCTTGGTGTCGGTGCCGGTATCCTGTGGGCTGCGCAAGGCATGATCATGGTTTCGTATCCGAGGGAGGAGGAGAAGGGCAAGTACATTGCCGTCTTCTGGATCATCTTCAACCTTGGTGGTATGCTTGGCGGTATTCTCCCCTTCGCCATCAACTTCCATAGTGACAAGAAGTCCCTTGCAGATGGCGTCTACATCGCCTTTGTTATCCTCGAGTGCTTGGGTGCCTTTTTGAGTCTAGCCCTGTGCCCGCCTGCGAAAGTCGTGCGTGATGACGGTTCGTCGGTCGTTCTGGTCAAGTACACCAGCGCTCGCAAGGAGGCCATTGAGATCATCAAGCTGTTCTTGAACCCCACCATGCTTGCACTGCTTCCAATGTCCTTTGCATCCAACTTTTTCTACGGCTACCAGTTCAACTGCTTTAATGGTGGCATCTTCAACGTCCGCACACGTGGCTTCAACAACATCTTCTACTGGGGATTCCAGATGGTTGGTTCGTACCTTCTGTCGTTCCTTCTAGATAAGCAAGAGTGGACCAAGCGCAAGCGTGGCCTCATCGTCTTTGGTATCGTCGCCGTGTTCTTCAATGCCATCTGGGGAGGAACTCTCAAGCTGCAGCTCCGCTACACCCACGGCCCCACCGCGAATGAAGATACCGACTATCCTGGAGGCAGCATCGACTTCACGGAGCATGGCCGTGCTGCTGGCCCGATCATCCTGTACCTGCTCTGTGGTGTCGGTGATGCCTTGTACCAGAACTTTGCCTACTGGATCATTGGTGCTCTTACCAACGACAACCTGAAGCTTTCGCGCTACGCCGGCTTCTACAAGGGCATCCAGTCACTCGGTGCCACTGTTGCGTGGCAGCTGGACGCCAAGAAGGTCACGTTTATGCACCAGCTCATTGGCAACTGGGTCTTGCTCGTCATCTCGCTCATTCCGATGTTCTATGTCGTCTGGAATTTGAAGGATCATGTCAATGATGCCATTCCTGATGATGATGCTGTTGTCACCGGCAAGGAATATACTGCTGAGGCTGATGAGAAGGTCATAGCCTAAGAGTTTACTGTATCTGTCATGCCGCTAGGGTGGTTCCATCGTACCTGAGGCGGCTTACTGAGAGTGGCGCAGCTTTATCTACGGCCGTGTACGGCTTAGCTAAGGGCTCCGTATGCGCACTCGGCGCTTGCTTAAATACTCCTTGCTGGCTCCTAGCAGCAGGGATTCCACATGGTTTTTCCAATATATTTTTGCAAACGTTTACGATTGGTTTTATCACCACCCGCATAGTTTACTACCAGGAGAACACGCTACCTAGTATCTTCCTCCCAGACAGCTGAACCAAGGTCTTTTTAGGCACACACTGTTTATATTCATTTGTATTTCGTGGGCTACCATGAGCACCGATAGAAGGCATCTGACACTGCATATCTTGGTTTTCGGGTCTCTGGATACATTTTATAATACCACCAAATTTTAATATTCACAACTGCGAGTATCCATCATGTGCAGCCCTTTGCTCGCTGGCATTCTCCTCGTCATGCAGCCGGCGGACATGGCGCAGGACATCTTTGCGTGTAAGCAGACCAGCTAGCTGGCCATCCTCGTTTTCCACCAGAATCACCCGCGGGCCAAGCTTGCGGAATATCTCGAGTACCGTATCGGCTGCGGTGCGTGGGCTGACTGTAATCGGGCTTGTGTTCACCAGAGAAGAAAGATTGGTAACTGAGGATGGGTGCTGCAAATCGCTGTCGAGTGTAGCCTCAGCAGTATACGGGCTTGTCTCAATCGTGCTCTCGCCAGAAGAGCTGCTGCCAAAGGAAAACGTGGCTGTGTCCCCAGCAGTCCGCACGCTGAGCAGCGCTCGTACAAGCGCATCGCGCTGCACGTATCCAACTAGCCGTACATCATGGATGTTGTCAACAACTGGGAACCCTTTGATATTCTGTGTATCATCCAGCAGTTGGCGCAGCTCGCCGTACTGAATTCCGTTGGCTGGAAGCATTTGCACATCCATGCGCATAATTGAAGCCACAGGCGTGTCAAGCAAGTCGACCTCTTCGTCAAAGAACGGCAGGCCATTGAGCAGAATCAGCTGCTCTGAAATCCCTCCCTCGACGATTGCATCACCAATGACGCGAGCAACCATCACCACAATCACAGTTGGCACAATGAAGTTCAGGGCACCCGTCAGCTCATACATGATCACTACAACGGCCACTGTAACCTTCGTGACACCGCACAGTGCAGCCGCCGCACCCAAGAACGCATAGGTGGCGGGTGTAATGCATGGAGTATCGGGCGCGCATTGTGAGAACAGTGCCGACTTGGGATACGCCCTGTGCATCGACTGGGCAACAATTCCGAGCATGCGGCCGAATGTCGCACCAACCGCCATGGATGGCACAAAGATACCGCAGGGGATCTTGCATCCGTATGCACAGATCGTGCCCACTGCCCGGATAAGAGTAGCCATTAGCAAGCCCCAGATCACCCACGAGCTGTTCTCGGCCACACAGATGCCACCCCAATCGCCCTGCTTGCACTCGCGCAGCAGATAGGATAGTAGCTCGCCCATGTCCTGCTGAGTGTACTTGTTGGTAAATGTGATAGCAGTTGTAACAAGCGCCAGCACTGCAACCTCTTTTACCACGTGGTGCGCTAGGTACTTTTTGCGGAACGCAGTAACCTTGAGGTTGAGCCGGATGCAGACGCCACCGTAGACGCCGCCGAATACGCCCAAGATCACGAAAAACAGGATCTCGAAAAAGTGCCAGTCGCGGTCGTACGTGGCCTGGAACATTACCAACTTGCCTGTGCGGAACGGGTTCATGGCCTGCAGACTGACTGTGGCTATCAGAGCACAGAAAAAGCTCCTCCACATCGTCTTTAGCGGGAAATGAGAGCTCAGGTCTTCGAGCGAAAACAGAACACCGCCGATCGGCGACCCAAAGGCGACAGCGACGCCAGCCGCTGCCGCCGCCGAAATGATCTCGCGCTGCCGGGCGTAGTTGCGCCGGTACTTTGAAAAGTTTCGCGACACAACGTTGCCAACACAGCAGCCCATGTGGACAGCAGGCCCCTCCTTGCCCACACTCAAGCCCGATGCAACAGCCATTGCCAGCCCGATGCTCTTCATCATCAGTGTCCATCCGCCCATAAATCCTCGGATGACAAACCCGCCCAGTATCGATTTGATTTCAGGCAGGCCAGAGCCAGCTGCCAGCGGCGCGTACTCGCGGACCAGGAGCGCGCATGTGGTTGCGATTAAGGTGCCTATTACGACAAATGCAAGCCAGCGCACAAACACATAGTCGTGGCCCAGGATCACTCGGTCCCACGTAATCCAGTCCTCACAGACATCCGAGTCTGGTGTCTCCCAGCAGCAAAAATTTTCGTTCAACCACCACGCAGACGAGCACACACCGAGCTTGGTGTCGCTGAGCCACTCTGTGATGATTGATATCAACGCAGTGTTGACCCCAATGAACATGCCAACCAGCAGAACCACAATCCATGCGACTGTCGACTCGTACGCCAACCGTAGCCAAGCCAGCGGGCCAGAGCCGAGGTGTGTCCATAGTGTATGCAGGCGCCGCCGCTCCTTGGAGTCGTTTTCTATCCAGTCGACAGTGGTAAACTCGTCAAAGCGTGCTGTTGACTTGGGCTCCTGCGAGGGCGCTGCTCTGCGGGTTAGCTGACCGCTGTGTCGATTATGTAGCGACCGGGTTGTTGAGTCCATTATGAAAAAGGAAATAGTTAATTTCTGAGCCACTCTGGACCGTGGGCGGACCACCACCCGCCTTCAGAATTATCAGCAAATAGCATATTTATTCGAGTATGGCTCAAAAAACTGCGCTCTTAAAAGCTGGATGCCGATACTTTCTTGTCGCTGTATGGTGGGGTGTGGGCATCGGTCAGACCGGTGGTACTGTTGTTGGCCACAGTGCTATCTCTATGGACCATATCGCCACCCTGGTCTCTGAGCCCAGGCACGACCCTGGTGAAGTTGTGGCCGATGAACCAGTACACGTAGACAAGGAACGCAAAGAAAATAAAGATAGTGTCAAACACGTAGAACGCCCACTCGCAACTATAGATCACACCAGCATAGCCATCAGCGAACTCGGCGACACGGTAAATGGAGCGGAGGTACAGGATAATGGTGGTGCTGAGAAGGACCCACATAACCTTCTTCTTGGCCGCCTCGGGGCTGGCATCCTTCTTGCTCTGGCGTACCGTATACGCAGGGTTGCGCATGACATGGACAGAGATGAAGAAGAAGCTGGCAAAGAAGAAGAGCTGCACAATGAGGCCAATCAGTGCAATCATCTTTCCAGTATTACGCATTTCGTAGCTGGTCATCATTCCACCACCAGCGCCTTGCATCAAAATGGAGAACACATCGCTGGAGAAGAAGAACCACGTCACAAACTTGGGCTTGAGCCAGAAACGCCTGGTATCGACGTTGGACAGGCGGATGATCTCGGCTTGTGTTTTGTAGTTGAAAAGAGCCATTGCATTGGGCGGTAGCAGCAGGAACAGAGTCATTAGCACATAGAGCAGCATATTTGTTTTGTAAACGCATACTGTCCGGAATATGTAGCCGATGCCCTCTGCAAACGCCGTCCCGGCCAAAATGTACAGCCATTTCTGGGCGCGGGACCGGATAGTGAGGAATACCAAGGCGCCGCAGACAGCAAAGTACACGACCGCTGAAACTTCAGGAGCGTAGTTGACCGGGAAGTACGTAAAGTACAGGAGCCGATTGTCGACTTGGGGCAAAACGTGATTCATGGTAGATGAGGATACAAGAGAGGGGCGGGCAAGGAGGGGAGAGATAGAGAGCGGGGGGAAGAGAGAAGAAACAACAGACGCTCTACTTTGCCGCTGATTTTTTCCTCTCTAAGGCCAGGTTTTTTCTCGAGAGCACTCAACAGAATAACAAGAAATGTGTATGCCAAGAACCATCCTGCCATCTGCTATCGCGGATCATTAGCGGACCTTGCGCTGTTATTGGCGATGCCGTCTTCACCTCCGATGCCCGTGTACGGATCCGAGAGCAAATTACACCCACTTATTGGTTGGCGACAGTGAGGCGTCCTAAAAAAAACCCTTTGGCCAACAATGTGCTAGTCTGGGCAACCACAGCCAGCCGATGAATGCTAAACTGAGCATTTATCTCGAAGGCATGACTCGGCTGCCACACAAGATCCTAGGCCACCCCATGGGCTGGACAGAATATGAGGGCAGAGTCAACAGGCACGTGTGCCGGAATCGCCGCAACTAAGAGGGAAAAAGTGAGTAAACTCGTCAACATTCCATAAATCTCGTCTATCACCGATTGCCCTCTTCTCACCAACAACACCCCTCTCCCCCACCGACAGCAACCCGAAGTTAATACCATGCTCCATCGCCCATAGATTAGTTGATTAAGTTTATGTCGCCAGCTGCCCATTTGAGGGACGACTGACATGCATGTCTGACATCTGCTCTACATTTTTGGGGACTGGACTGGTGAGAAAAATCTGCCAGAGGCTTGCTTACGAACCTCTGCTTTTGACATGCGCCCACGCATATGGGCGGTTTCTTTCTGTGCTTTTCAACGGAACCGCGCTGGAGCGATGGGCGGCGAATTTCCTTTTCCAGTAGACTCGTCGGAGCAGACTGACAACAGGTGTCAAGGTTGTTTTTAGCAAACTATTTGTCTGACAGGTCCATCTGCATCCCCTTTCACACCCTTTTCACCCTGTAGATGTGGGAAATCTGGAATTCTATTGTATGAATTGGGTATACACTGCACTATAACTACCCGATACGTCATTGACAAATGGCTTCTAGCTATCGTGTGCAGTGCGCACCACGTGGAGTGCTGGGTGAATCTCATTTTGCGTCGCACCAAGCATGTCCCTTGTCCATGGCCTGCCATCTGAAAACACTCAGTCAAATGTCGCCGGCAATAGCTTAAAAAGGAGGAACGGGGGTCGGCTTTTAGTGCCCTCCTCTCCATTGTTTCGAAATAGTATTCCCTCAAACACCAGTTCCATTTCGTAACAGCACGCTCGCAAGGTATATCCCTTGACCCCACTCAACAGTCCCCACTATTTACTCCCACTAAGCTATAAGCCACATAGTTTACAGATATACAATGCGCCTCTCGCTCCTCGCTGCGTGTGCTTCCTCTGCTGCCCTCGCCTTCTCTGGCTCTGCTGCTGCTCAAGACAGCGCCTCTTGCTCCCCTGACACCATATCGTGCCAGAGCTCATCGCCAAGCGTCGACACATGCTGCTCTCCCAAGAACGGTGTCGTCGTACTTGTCCAGCAGTGGTTCAAGGGCCTTGGCCCAGATGACCAGTTCACACTGCACGGTCTGTGGCCCAATACCTGCTCCGGCGCCCAGACCGGCAACAATGGCTGCGACGACTCGCGCCTGTACCCGGACCTTGGCACAATCATCCAGGGCTTCAACTCCACGCTATACGACCAACTGAACACATACTGGCCGTCCTACAAGGGCGACAACCCTGCGTTCTGGTCACACGAGTGGAACAAGCACGGGACCTGCGTAACAACTCTGGACCCCAGCTGCTACACCGACTACAAGAAGTACCAGGATGTCAACGACTATTTTACAAAGGTCCTGAGCCTGCGCAAACAGTATGACTACTATGGTGTATTGGCTAAGGCTGGCATTACCCCTGGCTCAGGCAAGACATACAAGTCTTCACAGTTCAAGGCTGCTATCAAGGCTGCGCTAGGAGTTGACGTTGCAATCAAGTGCCAAAACGGCGCCCTCAACGAAATCTGGGCTTGGTTTAACGTGCAGGGCACAGATAACTATATCCCGACACGCACCTGGGCCAAGGACTCGTGCACCTCCTTTACTTATAGCAACAAGAACTAATGCGGTATATCCTGCTGCGCATAAATAATACGCGTGTACCTACTGCGACATGCCCAGCATGCGTATCTCTTGAACGCACGCCATTGCCATCGGCATTATTGCAAAAGTACGCATGTGTGGTCTAGACTCGGCCGATACTGCTTGCACCTCAGCGAGTTTCTGGCCCGGTTTAGCTCACTGACAATGCAAGAATTAATATCGCAACTTTCTGACTTTTCCTGGCTGATGACAAAAAGTCGCCCTGTGACTAGACCACCCGCCTCAGCGTACCGCATATTCCGGCTGCGGGAAAGCGGTGTCTTCTCGTTCACTGTGAAACCGGAGCGTTTCACACACAAGCCCTGCCCTTCTCCACCCCTTCCTTCTCTTCTCCGCTTCTCACAAAGCGCACTATTATTTCGCACCTTTAGCCTCCGCTCGCTCCTTATTAACCCGCCTATTCCTCACCTATCTCCTGTGCCTGAATAAGCCTGTATCCTTTGTACAATAATACCATGCGCTCGCTGCTAAAATGGGCTCGGCTGCGGGCCGCTCAGACAGCTGCTGCGCTTGAGACTGTGTCGATAAACTGGCTAGCAGTAGTCATTGCCCTCAACACGTTTGCACAACTGCTGCGCCTATACAGCTCGCTCGATGTGGATGGAAGCAGCAGTGATAGAACCCCTGGTCGCAACAGAGGTGGCAAGGGAAGCAGGCGATATAGCGAAGACAGCGACGGGTTAATCGTGCTGTTTACTGTGATTATCTCGATTGCAGCCCTGGTTCTCTTTCTGGTGCTTATTCCCGTCCTGGGCATACGCTACCTGGTCTCCAGCGCTCGCAGAGGCTGGCAGATTTCCTCAGTCAGAGCGCTCATCGGCGCTGTGTATCTGCTGCTGATTGCTCTGCTGTCGGCAGTGTCCAACTTTTCTGGCATTGTCGACGTCACCGCAGCGCCGCTTCTTGCCGACATCTCGCTCACGATATGGCGCGCATTGGCATGGGCAAGCCTTGTTGCAGCCGCTTCAGCAATTCCTGTATATTTACTCTGCCGGTTCCGGGCCAACGGTGAAACCATCAATATCAACAACGCCAGTATACCACACTGGTATCTGCTGTTTTTGCCTTGTGTCGTTGCCAGTGCAACAGCCGGTGATTTGACGCTTATCATTGAGCCAAAGCAGGCGTCCGCCGTTCTTATGTTCGCCTTCGTGCTCTGGGGATTCAGCATCACTCCTCTACTCGTGTATACTGCTGTGTATATCAAGTGTCCCCTCCATCAGCGCCGTGGGTCGGGCGAGTTACCCACAGGCATTCTGGATATGCTGCTTCCGCTTGCTCCGATCAGCCAGGCCGCTCTGGCGATCATGCTGCTTGGGGTGCAGAGCCGGCGTGTGTGGGCTGACACTGTGGGACCATCGACAGCGCCGCTGCTGCTGGGTGAAATGGCCATGGCAGTGGGAGCAATTCTTGGGCTCATTCTGTGGGCGTCAGCCGCCGCTTGGTTCATCAACGCCCATGTGCTCATCATCGCGTCGTGGGTCAGACAAATACGGAGCGACACCAGTGATCGTCTGTCACGCCTGTGGCAGCCGACAGTGGGCAAGCTGGCCATGTGCCATGTCGTGTACCCGGTGGGCTCATTCGCAATGGCCACTGCGTACCTGGCCCATGTATGGAATTCACTCACTGCGCTGTACACCGCAGAGGTCCTTGTCATCTGGGTTACAGTACTGCTGGCGTTAGTATTGGCGAGGTCGTTTGTCGACTCAGTTCACTTCATGACCGCCCTTCTTCGCCGCTCCAGGCAGCCGCTTCTGCCAACTCAGTCAAGGGCTAGCCGCACTGCTACCACGGCTGTCATCACTGTCTACGGCTCGATATAGACTGGCTTCTACCTAATCACCACTCGCAATCTGTACTTGTTTGAACATATTTAAATTACTGGCTGTCCATCCTCCCCCACTATACACGCAGCGTGCTGCAACCTGGGAAATTGCAGATTCTGGAAAGACTGCTTCTGGGAACCAATGGCGAGTTGAGCACAGCAATTCTATTATTAGCCTGTGCTATTTTCGGACCAGAATCTGCAGACATGCATGTCTGCATATCACCTTGCATGTTTTGATAGTTACATGCCTTTTGCTGAAAGTATACCCTTTAGCCATGTTTCTATTTTTAACTCGACGTAGCATGCATATGTGGTTACAGCGCTCAGGTTTCAAGCTAGTATTAGCTAAGACGATTAGCTAACTGCGCTAATAATAGAAACACCGATAGTTTACAGCAAGCCGTGGACCCCAGCGTGGGCCATACGGCTACATCTCGACTATATAAACTCCATTGTCAAAGCAGCAAAGGTTGTCTGAATCTACATCAACAAACAGCACAATACTTCTCTCTTACCCTCAAAACCACGCTACTCTTTTGTACAGACAGCTCGAAAAAGCAACCACCACCCAAAATTCACAATGAAGTTCAACTTTGCCTCTCTGTTTTTCATCGCTGCCGCCCTTGCCGCTCCTATTCCAGACAACGCTGACTCATACGATGTATATGTCGGAGAGCTCAACCCTGAGCCTGTCAACATCCGCGATTTCGTCCCCTTCGCCAATGTAGAATACGACATCACCGCCCAAGTAGACAAGCGCGAATATAACGATTCTCCTCAGGTCGCTGATGACTATGCCGACCTCAGGAAGCGTGAATTCTACGATGGTCCTCAGGTTGCTGATGACTACACTGATCTCGAGAAGCGGGACTACAATGATGGTCCTCAGGTCGCCGACGATTACGCCGACTTTAAGAAGCGCGAGTTCTACGAGGGTCCTCAGGTCGCCGATGACTACGCTGACCTTGAGAAGCGTGAATTCTACGATGGCCCTCAGGTTGCCGACGACTACGCTGATCTCGAGAAGCGGAACTACAATGATGGTCCTCAGGTTGCTGACGATTATGTTGATCTTGAGAAGCGTGATTTTGATGATGGTCCTCAGGTCGCCGATGACTACGCCGACCTTGAGAAGCGCGATTTTGATGATGGTCCTCAGGTTGCTGATGACTACGCTGATCTTGAGAAGCGGGACTACAATGATGGTCCTCAGGTCGCCGATGACTACGCCGACTTTAAGAAGCGCGAGTTCTACGATGGTCCTCAGGTTGCCGACGACTACGCTGATCTCGAGAAGCGGGACTACAATGATGGTCCTCAGGTTGCTGATGACTACGCTGATCTTGAGAAGCGTGATCATGAGGAGGATGCCCAAGATGATATTGAAGTCGAGGTCGAGGATGTCGATGGTGATGACTCTGATCTAAACAAGCGCGAGTATGAGGTGTACGCAGCCGATATGGCTCAGGATGCAGAGTAAATACTACAAGCGAGCAAAACTGCCTTTGGCAGCCATGTAACTTTTGTAATTTCCTTTCAATTATTTCTTTTTCTCTCCAACTCAAAACTGGCAACTATTGCTTTGAACATTTCTCTGTACTCTCGAGAGTATTGCAAACCAGCTGGTCTATAGACAAGTAGTACTCTTGTCTTTTATGTGTTCTTTGGATATTATTGCTGACGCCGGTTTCTACAAGTCATTGAATTCTCATTCAGCTGTTCTCACCTTGAACATTGCATATGATGAGATTTGGCAACAGAGTGTCTGCTTTTTAAAAAAAGAAATACATCACCACCGAATCTAAATACCACCTGCTCCAAGAATAGCCCTTGAGCTATCCAAAGCAAGATTTCAGCGCACTATAAATAGTGAACTTTCCGCTTGCACCCTGAAGGAGAGGAGAGCAGCCCTAGCATTCAGTACATAGCCATCTATAAGAGTGCTCTGGCACACCCAATTTCTTATCTCACGCATATTCTCAATCAATTGGCACTACAGTACTTCATCTCGTTACATAGAATTTAACTAGCCATGAGCCACACGCACAATTCACAGATGAGAAATGTCGTATCATCAAAGGCACCATCACCATCATCTCCTGCGACCTCTGCACATACAAAAGCTACCAGGTATAATGGCGTCATAGCCTCACGGCCGACATACGCGCCACCACAGTACCCTGCAAGCGCCATACCAAACCGGGGTGTGGCTACTATTGGTGCGGGCGCTGCTGCTGGTGCTGTTGGTGCGGCTGCCATAGCAAATAGCCAATGCAGATGGGAGAGTACTCGTGTAGATGATGATGTATACTGCAATGGATCATGTGATAGTATCCCAGGACCTGACTGCAGCTCGTACGCACATCCAATCGGATGCCTTGGCGAGAATAACAGCGGTGCCTGTTGCGGCTGTTGTGGTGGCTGCATCCGTGGATATTATGGCAGTTGTGGTGGTTGCGTGGCCATGTAACCAGCATGAAATGTTCATCCGGGTGCCTATATTCTCTCTTTTAAAGGGTAAGCACAGAGCTATATACTGGGTACAAGATGCCAAGACCATATACAGATCCGGACAGCCTACACTCCTCTCAGTCAAAGCGCCTGAAAAGGCAAAAGAAAAAAGCATACCAACCATGCTTTAGTCTTGGCCTCCACTGTTGCTCTCAACCACAGCCATGGTGAAGATTGACGGAGTCATACGATTTCTGTCGTCCAAGGGAATAAGCCTCGCACAGCTTTACGCCCCCATAGTCATACCGGTTGAGGAGGGGTTTCTCAGGATCTCCTTACAATTATTTACTTGACCAGCTTGCCTTTTCGAAAATACAACCCTTTCTCTTGCACAGTATGAGCTCTGACACATCATCATCATCATCATCTAGACCAGCCTCGCGGTATTTGAACGGATATGATAACTTTAGAAACCCCGGCGGCGACATAGTACAAGGGCTGGCAGTCGTCGATGCCCAACCTATAGCTTCAGTGGTCGAGCCAGGTAACGGGGACTGCTGCTGCTGCTGTGGCGATGTCCTCTGTGACAGCAGCTGTGGCGACTGCTCCTGCTGTGAGTGCTGCAGCGAAGTGCTTTGCGGCAATGGTTGCGACGGATGCAACTGCTGACGCTTATTGCTTCAATCCCTCCATCTCGGACGAAGCCCCTCCTGGTTTCTCTGCCAGCTTTCGGATGTGTGCAACCAAAATGGAGGGGATTGGCATCCGGCATGGTAAGACCCAAGCTGAAAGCAGGCACCGTGAGATTGACAATCAAAACTGAACACCTGTTTCCCTCTTTCCATGGTTCAGGAAGCACATTCATAAGCCGACATGTTTTTCGTTCCATAGCGCTGTTCTCTGCTAGCACTCTCTTAAGACAAATTTTACTCTTTAACATGGCCACCTCTTCCAGAAGTTCAGGCTATTTAAACGGATACGACGGGTTTAGGGATGGTAGTGGCAATGTAGTTCAAGGACCAGGCAGTGACCAGGCCAAGGAGGACCGTCCAGTCCAGCCAGTTGCTGATATTTTATCTGGAGTGCCTGTAGTTACCCCTACTGGTGGTGGCGACGATTGCGATTGCGATTGCTGCTGCTGCTGCGATGTATGCGATAGTTGCGATATCAGCGGTTGCGGCGATTGCAGCGGCTGCGATTGTAGTGGTGTTAGCTGCTAAACTAGCGATTTTGTTGGGTATCCAAACCTTGCGTAATAAGAAGTCTCCAGCCCACGCTGCCTGACAATCCGAATGTACCACATAGCACAGGAGAAAGCAATGAACAGCAGACCCGAGAACGGGGCGGCCCAGTATGGAATTGACGAGTCGTCGCTACTGCCCACGCCAGTCTTCGGCTTGATAAACGGTACAATGCACATGTACACGGCGGTGGCAATGGTGACCAGATTAGTGACGACCCAGGTTTTGTACGGGCGGTCGAGGCCGCTGTGTGTCCTGCGCATAACAAGCAGGCCGACCACCGACAGGCCGCAGAAGAACCACGTCGGGTATCCGCCAATGTCGATCAAAAAGTTGTACGCGTCGCCTGGCGGTGGCACAACAATGTAGAGGACGCAGATGATGCACGTGATGGCCAATGCATATAGCGGCGACTGGAAGCGGCTGACCTGACCGATCGTGTGGCCCCATGGCAGGAAGCCCTCACGCGCAGCCTCGAAGATAATCCGCGACATCGTGAACACGCTGCACATGACAGTGCCGAAGGCTGCCAGGCCGATGAACACGGGGACGACCTGGTGGCCCCAGGTCTCATTGAAGGCATGCGAGAAGAAGACGCCGGCGACAGCCGTATTCGAGCGCATGATGGCGTCGGGCGTGAGCACGGAGAAGTACGCAATGTTGGTCAGAATATACAGGGCGGTGGTGACCAGCAGGCCGCCGATAGCCGCGCGCGGCAAGTTCTTCAATGGGTCTTTGAGCTCGTCAATCGAGTAGTTCAGGGTTGTGTAGCCGGCATAGGAGAAAAACACCTTGAACAGCGCCGACGAGTATGCGCTGGCATCATGGACTGTACCGTGGAAGGGGTTCTTGAAACTATGCGGGCTGTCGATCCGCAGACCGCCCGCCAGCCCGACCAGCCCGACCAGCACAATTACCAGCAGCAGCACGGTCTTGAGCACCGTCAGCAGGTTCTGCAGGCGGATAGCCTGCCGCACAAACACGGCATGGGCCATGGTGCAGAACATAACGACGCCCAGACCCACCAGGCGCTGCATCCACTCGGCATGCTTCGATATTTGCCCGTCGGCATTCACACTTGACCCATTGGCTGCATACAGAAAATACGCTCCGGTAACCACCGCGTCTGCCGCCGCCCCGCTCGCGCTGGAAATAAAGACGCCGCATAGACAGAACATGTACGAAAACATGGCTCTGGGCCGCGGGAACGCCACGTCCAGGTACTCCTTCTCGCCGCCGCTCCTTGGCAGCATCGTGCCCAGCTCCATGTACGACAAGCAGCCGCACAGGCTGATCGCCCCGCCAAGGCTCCACACCAGAAGCGTCATGCCTGTCGACCCCACCTCCTGCAGTATCAATGACGGCGTCGAGAATATGCCCGACCCGATAATCGACCCGACCACGATGGCCATGCCGCTCCACAGCCCGAGACTCCGCTCCAGCACATGGCTGGCGTCAGGTGAGTCGGGCTCGGTTGCTGTTACCGGGCTGGCCAGCGGCGAGAATAGGTCCGACTGCTGTGACAAGTCGCGCGACAGGCGCACGGGCAATAGCTGGATGTCGTCTATATTTTCGGGATGCATTGAGGCCTTGTGTGTTTTTAGGGGAGGGGAAGATAGTAAGTGTGCAAAAAAAAAAAGAAGTGCAAGAAGACGTAGAGGGCAGACGATGGCGATGGAAAAAGATAGTTGATGCAATAGCTCCCAGCGAGGCGTTTCCTGACAGACGATTGTGAGGTCCACAAGTCTCCTATAAATAAAAAAGACAAGCAAACGACACCATGTGGGCAGCAAGGGGGTGCCAAGGCGTCTTATTTCGGTGTAGTTGGAATGAAAAAGTATTAGGGAAGGGGATATTTGGGGCCACCGCCAGCCGGGACATTTCTTTTATGTAGACAGGCTAATATAGCCGAAAAAGCCACGCAAAGGGAGACTGCGCACACTAGTACTTGTCGGTCAAATGGATGTAGTAGTCAAAGTGATCCCAGGGGACAATCTCCTTGCTGTAGTTCTTGGGAATGACGTTGTACTGCTCAATCATCACCCTCTTCTGCTGGTAGAACACCTGCTTGACCCAAGCGACGTGTCCGAGCTTACTGCGGTGGTGCTGCGCAATCGACCCCTTCTTGGGCGTGGTATCGACCTTGACGCTGGAATTATGCGCGGCCTCAATCCACTGATACGCATCTCCCCAGTGGTTGCCCTTGTACCGGTTGTGGAAGTAGATGCCCATGCGCTCATTGATTCTCTGGGCGACGAAGCTGACGCACTCGCAGTTGTAGTAGTTGTAGGGATCGACGCCATCGCACTGGCCCTTCAGGCGGTAGTCGTCAACGACGGGGCCGGGCACATCGCCCTGGTAGTTGCAGTTTTTCGTAAAGTAGTTGCCTGAGACGGGCGTGTCGACGTAGTAGTCGGTCAGGTAGCAGTTGTCAGAGGTCTTGTCCCAGATGCCGTAGTCGAAGACGCGCTGGCCGCCGACCTGGCAGGTGATGTCGAATTCATCGCCGGTCTTGTACTGCTTGACCACGGCGCTGGTAGTCGTGGGCTCGGCGCGGCAGTTCGCGTACGTGGTCAGGTTGTTGAGGTGGTAGCCGAGGGCCGGGGCGGCGAAAACTAGGGAGAGGAGCTTCATTATTAGCGAGTAATTTGGAAATGTACGGATGACAAAGCAAGCAGGAGATGGGAGGGCGGAAGGTATTTAAGTGGATTGGAAGGTGGACTAGGACACTAGCTTCTTTGTAAGCAAAAACAAAGGATGGGCTGTGGCAGATGCGGGTATTGTCCAATGGGACATGCGGGTTGGCATTTTTCTCCTTCACATATGCATGTGTGTCGGTCATAGTGCATGGGCTGCATGTGTTTTTCGCATCACTTTGTTTTAATTCTGGGCAGCAAAAAGGAGGGGGGCGATCTGTTGGGACAGAATTCCGTTAATAGGCAAGATCAGACCGCAGGTGGGTTGGTGGGAGAGATAATAAAAAACCGTCTCCCACACAGCAGGAGACTGGGCCAGCCCACATTAATATACCAGGGGACCAAAGCTCCACCTAAAAACGGGGTCCACATACATACTCGTTTTTTTTTGTAAAGAGCACTTCTTAATTCCTATTTCTTATTTCTTATCGGCCGCCGTCTTGAACGCCTGCGCGCTATCCTTCAGGATCTTGGTCAGACCGCCGTTGTAGTTGACGAAGCGGCCCATCTGCACCGACTGCGCGGTCAGGTTCGTGATATGGCAGGCAAACAGAAGGTAGTTGCGCGGGTTCACCATCCACGCAAACCGTGCAAACAGCGTGCTGTACAGAAGCAGCGTCGCCGTCATCCGCCCCGAGATCATGTCCGGCGAGGACGAAAAATCGGCTATCGCGCTGATTGGAATGCCCCAGTTGGCCACCGGTCCCCAGAAATGAGTCGACATTAGGTAGGACCGGAACTCCTTCGAGCCGAGCTTCTGCACGAGATTCGATGTAAACGACGACATTCTAATTAAAAGGGGTTGAATTTTTTTTTTTGGGTGCCAAGGAGAAGAGGCGGAAATGAGTTTGAAAAAAGTGGTATTGATTAAGGCGGGAAAAAATACGGTAGTGAGCAATCAATTCGCAAAGGCAGCCCTGTGGGTAAAATAGAAAATTCGCGCACCCAGCCCACGCCAGTCGACTCGCCGTCACAGACGGTTCGGATCCTGAACCATGGGATATTTCGGACGTGGGAGCCTTTGCAAAAATTTTGGATCTGCACACACGAGCTCATGCTCCGCTGGGAAGATACACAGGGATAAAAATGATAAGAATATTTAACATTTGGAAATAAAGAGACGTACAAGATAAAAGAGGGATTTTGTTGCTTGTATTTCAGGGCATGGGCGAGCCCGCGCTCGACGACGACAGCGACATCAGCGAGAAGGCGGCTTCGGCCAGGCCGCCCAGGTCCTTGTCGGCCGGCATCGGGGACATGAGCGTCGGGGTGCGGCTAATATCGGGGTTGGCCAGCGCCAAAAGGTCGTCATCAGGCAGGCTCTCCTCCTCCCACGGGCGCACATGGCGCGCACTAAACGACTGGGACCTCGAGGGCACAGCCAGAGTAGGGGTGGAGCTGAGCTCGCCCGCATGCATCTCGGGCAGCTCACGTGTCTTGGCATCCTCGGGGGCATGCATCAAGGCTTTGGGAATAACGCTGCTCAGCGGCGGCAGCGTCAATCCGCCCGTGACCGCAGGCTCCACATAATGCCTAAACACCAGCTCCTTGCTCTGCTCCACCGCATGCCGCTCCGCCGCGCCGCGCCAGAACTCGTGTGCCGCGCTGACCTGGTGCGGGGGCAGCGCCGAGTACTGGCTGAAGTTGGTGGGGATCTTCTGCTGCTGCTTGCGGCGCTCCTTGTCCTTGCGGCGCTGCTGCCGCCGCTCAAACTCCTCCACTATCCACTTCTCCTTGGCCGGCGTCGACTGCGCGCCGTACAGCTGCGTTGCGCGCTTGTTGACCCGGCACCGCAGGTCGTTGTCCTTGTTGCGCTCCTCGTTGAGCTCGCGCCAGCGCTTCTTGCGCTCCCGGTTCTCCTGCCGCATCTTCTCCAGCACCTGGAGGTCCTCGGGCGCGTCGCGCGTGTCCCGGGCGCTGCGCGGCTGCTGGTTGTGCTGCTTGAGCTGCGACTTGGTTTGCTGCTGGATCTGGGCGCGGTGGCTGAGCACCTGCTTTGAGAGAGAGCGCGCGGAAGCCAGCATGGTAAAAGTAGGAAAATAGAAAAAAGGCTGGAGAGAAAAATAAAAGGGGAATATTAAAGAAAAAAGGGAGGCCTGTGACTTTTTTCCCCTGGCCTGGGCCAGCTGCACAGTATTTTATATATGGCGAGGAGGACTTTTCGTTTTTTGCCTGGCTGAACTAAAAAAGCTGCCAGCTCGCTTTTTTGCACATGAAATATGAGGGCGGACTTGCTTGGTAATTGGTGCGATAACGTCCGTGGATAAAGATACGCCGAGCAATTGGGGGGCGAAGGACATCATCTCCTGAGCTGAGGTGCCTTGGACTGTTTTGTCCGAGAGAGAACGGCCCTACTTCCCAGGCAAGAAGGACTGTGAAAATCGCAGGAAAAAACAGTCCACCCTGGCATAAAGTGTGAAGCGGAAAAAAAATCGGCTTACTACGAAAAAAAGCCCAACGGTAAGCCTGTGGCCTGATCTTACGGTAAAAGAAGCGGCTGGGCATCTAGTTATTGGTGGCATGGAGGCCGAGACGGATTGCAGATGGTGCGCCCGGCGGGCCGTCGGACTCTGGGCGGGCTGCCGACCAGGCGAGCGCGACACGAACAAGAGGGCTACGTGGTCGGAAAGTCTCGGGGGTGTTTGATCGATCAAGAAACGTTGCTTTGCCAAGCCGCTCTGGCCACAAAAGGCAAATCACACTTCTTCTCTGTACTCTCCAGTCTTTTTATTTTTCCACTCGGCAATGGCCACGTCGCCAATTCACGCACACAGAATCAGCCGGTCGCCAGCACCAGCATCGCGGGGGCGGGGGGTCAGCGCAATGACGTTCAATGCACACACAAAAAGCCAGCACATCACGTGCCCGCACCTGGGCAGCAAAACCAAGGCGGTGGTGGACCGGCTCAAGGTGCTGGTGCCATACGCAAATGTCTGCCGACACCGGCAGGCGCTCCTGCAGGGGCGACGCGGGGCAGCAGCCAGCGGCGGCTCAGAGAACCGCGAGGCGACGCCGGCGACCGGCTCAGGCGACGGCGACCGGAGCCGCAAGCGGCTGGTGGACGAGATGCCGGCGCCGTCGTGCTTCACGTGCCACACGCCGGCCGACCGTCTGCACGCGTGTCTGTCGTGCGACTTTTTTGGGTGCTGGCGGCGCGGGTCGTCGCACATCAAGGAGCATCTGCGGGAGAGCAACCACGTGTTCGCCATTGACTTTGCGCGGCTGGAGCTGTTCTGCAACGCCTGCAACGACTACGTATACGACCAGGCGGTGACGGGGTGGCTGCGGGGCGCATACATCCGGTGGTACGCGGCGCTGTGCGATGCGGCCGAGCCCGAGGCCAAGCGGCCACGGATCGTGTCGACGGGCTCGGACCTGTCGCCAGCCCAGGCCAAGTATCTAAGGGACCACGGGACGGTGGGCCCGTGTGCGGGCGTCCGCGGGCTGCACAACCTGGGGGCCACGTGCTACCTGAGCGTAGTGCTGCAGGCGCTGCTGCACAATCCGCTGCTGCGCGGGTGGATGCTGAGCGACGGCCACCACCCGAGCAAATGCCGCGTGGGACGCGTTGGCTGGCTGCGGTCACGGGCGCCGGGTACCGGCGATGCGCAGCCGGTGGCCGCCGATGGCGATGCCGCGTGCATGGCCTGCGAATTGGAGGGGGCGGTGCAGGCGGTCCATGCGCCGGGTGCCCGGGCCCCGGCCTTTGGGCCGGTGGGGCTGCTGCGTGCTCTGTGGGTGCTGCGTGGCGACCTGGCCGGTTACGGACAGCAGGACGCCCACGAATGCCTGATGGCCGTGCTGGACGCCCTGCACGTCGGGTTCACTGACAATGTGCTGGCGGCTGGCGAGCTGGAGGGCCGGGACGCGCGGCCATTGGCCAGCCGCCTGGCGCATTCGCATGTGACGCCCTGCCCCTGCCTGGTGCATCAGGCGTTTGCGGGCGTCCTACAGAGCACCGTCACCTGCTCTCGCTGCGGCACCACCACCCACGCCCACGACCCAATGCTGGACATCTCGCTGGACATCCCTGCGCACGTGCCGCGCCGTGAGACGTCGGGCGGGCTGGTGCCGGCACCACCCGTGACCTCCACATCCTACCGGCTCACCACGCCGACGTCATTCACAGCCCGAGCCGTAGACGCAGCACTGACCGACGAGCCGCGGCGCCGCACGCAGACGTCAGCGTCGCACGGGTCGCATCCGGTGGTGACCCTGCAGGACTGCCTGGCGCACTACACGCGGGTGGAGCGGCTGGGCGCCTACCAGTGCGCATCATGCAAGGCGGAGGCGGCAGCGACCAAGCAGCTGAGTGTCAAGGAGCTGCCGCCGATCCTGGCGTTCCAGCTGAAGCGCTTCGAGCGGACGCGTGCGGCGGCAGCCAAAATCGACACGTTCGTGCGGCTGCCGCAGCATCTGGACATGACTCCCTATACGGCGGCAGCCGTGGCCGCCCACAGCCTGGCGCTGTCGGGCGTGCGCTCATCCAACGGCAACATCGTCAGCAACACCGGCAATGCACTGCCCGATACCCTGGCCGGCATCTCCCTGCATGATCTGGCCAGGCAGCCGCCGGCCGACATGCCCAAGGACACGCCGGTGCCCATAGTGGACGGGCCGGGTGGCAGCGCCGCTCTGGGGAAGCGCCGCACCGACGCGACGCATTCGAACCCGGCCTGCCAGTACTCGCTGTTCTGCGTCATCGACCACTTGGGCCAGATGGACACCGGCCACTACACCGCGTATGCGCAACACCGCGGCCAATGGTACTTGTTCGACGACGCGCATGTTTCGCGCGCCGACATCCGCGACGTCCTGGCCTTTGCCGACGACCTGCGCGCGCGCCAGGGCCGCACGTCGCGCGGCCGCGCCTACATGGCCTTCTATGCCAAAACCGTCCTTGACTACCACGACGGCGCCCAGATCGGCCCCGAGCGCCTGGTCAGCGCCTCCGCCGGCTCCAGCAACACCAGAATCTCTGCCTCCGGCGAGTGGATCGAGGATGCAGGCGTGGTGAGGACCCGCGTCAGTGCCTCCGGCGAGGTCAGGGCGGAGAGGCGCGGCAGGAAGAAGGGCTCGGCACAGCCCAAGAAGCGCGGCCGCCCCAGCAAGGACGTCCTGGTGGCCAAGGGCTCCGTGCAGGGACCGCCCAGTGCCTCCAGCGATTCCGACGGCGAGGCACTGTGGGCGCGCATGGAGAAAAGCAAAGGCGAGCTGGTGCCGATGGCCAGCGAGCCTGTGAGGTTCGACCCGCCAAAGAATGACTATGCGAGCGATGTGTCTCTGTAGGAGTACCTTTTTAACCAACTAAAGCTCATCCCCAGCCATGTAGTCGCAGCTGCACCCCGCTGCCCTTTTGGAGATGCATGTCTAGCGATGAAGTGACAGCTACCTTGTTATAGCTAAAGCGGCTTCTAACAAGAAACTACTTGTTCCAATACTTCCTTCGTATGCGCTCTGGCTTCACCTCCTCCGCCACGACCACATAGTCGTAAATGCCGCGGGCAGCCACACCACCAATAAACGGGCCCACCAGCGGCACATAAAAGTAGTAATTATGCGCCGTGAAAACATCTTTCCACCCGGCAGCCCAAATAAACAGCCGTGGCCCCAGGTCCCTGGCCGGATTCATCGCCACCACCGCAACATACTGGGTGCCGGAAAGAATAGTTGCTGCAAAGAACAAGCCCGCAAGAATGGCGCCCGTGCTCGCGCTCAGAGTCATGCGCTTATCGGCGATAAAGAAGACAAAATACAAAAGACTGAACGAATATACGATTTCGTTGAACACAAGATTGCCATTCCCGTACACACCCGGCTCCGTGGGCTGAATAATAAATATCCCGGCCGTCGCCCGCTCCCCCACCGTCAGCCTGCTGAACCTGTCCCAGATCGGATAATACAACAGCCAGGTGAAAAATGCCGCCAGAAAGCCGCCCAGAACCTGCGCCAGCACCATCCCGGGCACACGGCGCCACGGGAAATGCCCAAATACCGCCAGACTGAATGTCAGGGCTGGGTTCAAATGCGCGCCAGACACCCCCATCGACATCACTATGCCGCCGATTAGCGCGCACCCCCAGCCCACCGCTATCGTCAGGTCGTGGGCATCCGGCTGGGTGGCCGCCCGGAACACCACCGTGGCGTTTATCGACAACCCTATCATCATGAATATTGTCATGGCCAGGAATTCAGCTATTTCGCCATTGTAGTCGTATAGCAGACGCGGCACCAGCTTATCTGGCCGCAAGCGCGTCTCTGTGTCCTTCATGCATTGCTCCGGATCACCACTGGGTAAGGCAAGAGCTACGGCTAGGACTGGATTGTTTCTTCTAGCGCATACCATTCTAGAGTGCGAATAAAATTAACTGACTAGTTGCTTGCTTTTTTTGGAAAAGCATAAATGCCGTGGTGGATTTAGGAGGGAAAAGTGCCCCTGTGGTCAATGTTTACAGGCGATATATGCAATGTGGCGAAAAATAAAAGTGCTCCGCCCACTGTATGTGGCATTGGTGTTTTATTGATGTGGCGGCCAGACTAATGTAGCCGTATATTGACCTGAGTGCTGGCCGAAGGTCTCAAGCATGTATGTCTACGGGTAGTGGGAGCTGAACTCTGAGCTGCCCAAAAACGCTCTATCCTTCGAGTGACCGTTCAATGACACGCAGCTGAATTGTAGGGAGGTGCTGTATAAAACAAAATGAAGACCTCTAAAGATGGGGCATATGTCCCGGCCAATACAACTGCGCCGAGCGTGGGTCGCCATCGTTTACCCTTCGCAAAGGCGCATAATTCATTTGATATTTCAGGACGCCCCTGCTGTAGTATGTATATTTTTAGCCATAGCAGGGCCTCCTGAAGCCCACCTGGGGCAGAGCCTGGACTCTTCGAGCTCAGGTTATCAAATACTCGTCGCCCTCCATGCACCTGAAATTGCGCCAAGGCAGCCAGCTAAGAAGAGCATAAACAAAGCTGCCAGGCCCCCGGTGTATTTTTAGCATCGCCGGTCTTTTGCTCATGTCTGCTTTGAGCTACGCCTTAGCGATAGTAGAAATAATTGCTTTTGATCTGCTTACATATGCATTGATACGTGAGCAAACGCATGTGCTATGTGCTGATCTTCTTAAGGCAAACAAGTAGGTGGGCTAAAAATAGCACGGACCGTCTGCCATGATTTTTTCTGAAAATACCTCAAATTTTGGACTAAAAAATGCACCTAGTGCTTTTGCATGATATTACTACACGTCAGTGATGAGGTGGTCGCTGAATGCACATATAAAAGGACATTGGAATCTTCCGCCGAAAGATGGAAAAGCATCAACAACTCCAATTCCAACCAAAAACATCGCCTTCACCCCCAGCAACCCCCCACTCAAGCAAACACTTTTTTTCACAGCCATGAAGATCACAGCCATCTCCGCTATTGCCCTCGCCACCCTCTCCCAGCTCGTGTCCGGATACACCATCAACGGAGACAGCGTCAACTGCCGCTCTGGTCCTGGCACCAGCAACGGCGTTGTCCGCACGTACAGCCGCGGTGACGATGTCACTCTCTCCTGCCAAACCGAAGGTGAGACAGTCAAGGGCGACTCGCTATGGGGCAAGACCCAAGACGGCTGCTATGTCGCCGATTACTATGTCCAGACTGGAACTAGCAGCTATGTTGTTGGCAAGTGCGGTGCCTCTGGTGGCGACTCGGGTGACTCGGGCAACTCGGGCAGCTCGGGCAACACTGGTGGCAGTGGATTCTGCAAGGCCCTGAACGCCGCCTCAATCAGCCTGATCAAGGAATTCGAGGGCTTCGTTCCGAGCCCCTCGCCCGACCCCATCGGCCTGCCCACTGTCGGCTACGGCCACCTGTGCCAAAGCAAGGGCTGTGGCGAAGTCTCCTACGGCTTCCCCTTGAGCGAGTCCTCGGCCGAGGCCCTGCTGAAGAACGACACGCCTAAATATTCGACGTGCCTCGGCGAGATGCTCAAGGGCTCGGTTACTCTCAACGACAACCAGTGGGGCGCACTGACTTCGTGGGTGTTCAATGTTGGCTGCGGCAATGCCAAGTCGTCGACGCTGGTGTCGCGGCTGAATGCCGGCGAGAGCCCGAACGATGTGGCCTCCGCCGAGCTGCCGCAGTGGCGCCTGGCCGGTGGCCGCGTGTTCGACGGGCTTGTCCGCCGTCGTGCCGCCGAGGTCAAGCTGTTCACCACGCCTTCGTCGAGCCAGGCCTTCCCTAGCTGCCAGTAAATTCTCGGGCTCATCATACCAACCTGTAAAAACTGCCCGTTTTTCAAATGGACCAAAAAGCGATAGCGTCCATACCACAAAAGTAGCCCATTCTCCTCTTTCTCGTAAATAGCATCTCTTTCAAATAGTCAAGCACATTCGTCTGCACAGGAATGCGATAGAGCTGGGAATTCTCGGCGACACAAAACAGGAGAGACTCTGGAATGCATGTGGCTTCCACAGGCCCCTCCTTGACTATACGCTTGCGGGTTTGGAGTCTGGATGGATGTCGGAGATGGGGGAGTGGATGTCAATGCAGCCAGCAGGCTTGTGCTTTCTATGTGGTGCTGTCATGCACCCAGGACGTGCGCCACTGAGTTGCCACCACCTACCCCTGCCAGTATGTATAGTATCGAAACGTGCACAAGGAGAGGGGATGGGAAGGAACTGATATTGCGAAAAATGTATTTGGACGGCCTGGTCAATCCTCCGCAGAACGCCGCATATTGTATTCGCATCATGTACGATTTATTGCTCCAGGCAGCGGCGTGCATTCCTCTGGAAAAAACAACATCTCCCCTATGATGTGCCATTCGCATCTCAGTTGCAGTGACAAAGACCGGGAAGGGAAAAGGGTGAACTTTCCTGTAGCCGTCCTTGGCCCATTGTTTACTTTTGTTGAGCCATTGGTAATACAGCCGATGGTTGCTGCTGCCATTGGTCGTGCACCCCAGCTGGCTAGTGCGGATGTTGTTGGCATGCACGAGATCGATTAGCAACCAACACTCCTTTGCTAGCTGCGTCAGAAACAAAACATGGAACCTGGCGGCAGCAGAACTGACTCAGTCCCGCCAGCAGTGCAACTCCGTACAGGCCTAGGGGGCGTGATATGTATGCCGTACATAAACATGCATCTCCGCTGCAGAGCAACAGCCGAGGTCTTTGTGGCGATTGGCCATCTACAAAGAACGACGTGATCAAGTGGCGACAAGTAAAAAAACGAGTGGCATTCGTGGTTCGCGCTGCAAAAAGCCCGGCTGGCCAGCGGGTGGGAGAATTCTCAAGAGAAAAACGCAGCCTTGAGAGGAAAGCCGGTGCTTACAGGTGCGCGAGGGGGATACTCAGGAAGGAAGGCATTTAGAGGGGTTGATCCAGGCATGGATTTGCCAGCCGACCCATTCAAATTGCACCCACTTTTTTTTGCCTCACAGTCGATAAAGTTTGAACAGGTGAGCGGCGTTCGCGATTGAAAAAAGGCGGTTCGCGGTTGCTCAATTTCGAACCCTTAGGATTCTCTTTTGACCAAGGATGGCAGAGCGCCTGCTCTTATTTTACATGTTACTCCAGACAATTGCGAACGTGAGGATCTGCCCCCTCTGAGGCGAGTGAAAAGACTTGCCGCCTTTTGCTGGACCATCCCGCGTAGTTCAGTGCCTTTCTTAAATGGCACGGAAACGGCATGGCTCCCCCGTTCTCGCTCCTTACAACGACCCCAATTGTCTACAGCTTTCCTCCAAACTTTTTGTTTCTACAGTAACCCAATAATCCCTTCCTCGTCTAATCCTTTCCTGTTATATACACATACATCATGAGCGCTATACTACCGGCATACTTTGCCGAGCTTGCTCTCCCCCAACGCCGCGATCTGTCAAACAACTCGACGGCCCCGGTCGTTCCGCCCAAAGAGTTCCACGGTCTGCTCGGTGACTGGGCCGTAGTGTGCCATGGCCTGAACATCTGCTCAGTCGTCTGCTGCATTATTGTGCTCCTGTCGAGCACGGTGTTTGTCATCAAGAACCGAAACCTGCTGAGCCGGCCTTCTCTGCGTCTATCGACATCTATCGCTGTCTGTGACCTGATTTACTCGGTTTCGCAGCTCTTCGTTTTCAACAACGAGTACATGTCTAGCCGTAACGAACTAACTGTGCGCGCAATGCTGTGGATTATGGCGGGGGCGTCGGTCACATTTGTGCTTCTGTCGACGTGCATGGGGATTCAGCTGCTGCTGACAGTGCTTACGCGCAAGTCCCGGTATGCGTACAGAATTCAGCCGTACTACGAGGTCGCGAGCTTCTTTATCGGGTTCTTTGTTACCCACCCGTACATGTACCTGTTCACCAAGGTTGCATGGCTGCCGACTGCGCAGTCGTTCCACATCCGTGCGCCCATGCACGTCTTTTTCCGCAACCTGTGGCTTATGCAGTGGTCCTGGATTACACTCGGCGTCATCTTCCTCTTCTTCATTGCCCTGTTCACATATCTCAAGATGTCGCAGGTGTGGAAGGTCACCCGGGACACATTTGCTGCGCCTGAGAAGCTCGACCTGCTCGATGATGACACCATCAGCTCGATGACCGAAGAGCGCAAGCGCTATATTCGCTCGGTCACCCTGCGCGTCACTTTCTACCCGCTCATCCCTGTCATCACTCAGACATGGCTGGTGGCAAACGCCATGATGCTGCTACCGCCCTTCTGGCTCTTTGTCATGTGCTACCTGATGCCATCGATCCAGGGCGTCCTCAACTTTTTGGTGTACATCATGAACCCGGCTCTGGATATCTACAGGAAGGCGTTCGTTGCCTGGATTACTGGTCGCCGCGAGAAGCAGGAGAAGGAGTATGGTCGGCTCAACCGCCACCAGTCGTCAGCCGAGCTCAACGATGATGACAACGCATTCAAGTCAGTGAGGTCAAAGATGAGCGTCGAGACCACTGTCTAAACAAAAAAAAACACCCCTGATATCTGGAAAACTTTTTCGTAGTTTGCTTTGTAAGTAGTTTGAAAAATCGTGAATTGCACAGAATGAATCTAGTGTGTGTAGCCTGAGTGTTCGAGTTCCTTCAAATAGCCCAAGAAGACCTTCTTATAGATGACGCCACAGTAAACACCCTTGTCGACCACACACAGATATGATACGCCCAAACGGCCCATCAGCGACATGACGAGCTCAATTGGCGAATTAGGCGAGATTGTCAGCGGAGTCTGGTCGACAAACGGCGTGAAATCGTTGGCGCGATCGTGGAATCCTGGGATGTCGATTGGTGCCATCCGCGGAGAAATTTCCGGCGACTCCTCTTCTATCTGCTCTGTCCGGTCGCTCGAACTATACGATGGCACATGCGAGCCCTCAGCAGCGCCATCAATCAGCGGTTCCGACTCGCCAGCGGCCTGAGGCCACAGCCATTTACCCCACCTGCTCGCCTCCTCTTTCCTCGCGCTGTGCACAAGCTTCCTGACTTCACTGCGCTGCTTGTGCTTGACAAACTCGGGTGGTGTGCGGTGATGTGGCAGGGCCAGCATGTCGTAGGCAGCGGCATAGTCGACATTCCACAGCGGGTTGTTAAAGAAACACACAGTGGTCCGGTCCAGCGACTTGCACCGCTCAAGTGCGTACTCAAGCTCTGCGCATGCAATCCACCCAACCAAATGCCCGCGGGAATCGACAACTGCAAAGCCACCGTCGCCCAACCCACGGTCTCGGATCCGGTCCAGCCGCTTTTCCAGCAGTGCTATAGTATTTTCATTCTCGTAGTCGATGCAGATGTTCTCCAGGTCGTCCTGCATGACCTCACCCGCGGTCCGCTTAGTGTAAATGTACTGCGTGCGAGTATCAAAGAACGGGTGGCCAGCGTGCTCGAGCAAAAGATCGTAGATACCGCTGGCGCTGAAGTAGTCGGCAACCCAGCGCGCAGCCATGACTCCCACCAGCACCGGCAGCGTGTACTGTAAGTTGCCAGTCAGCTCCATCAGAATGGCCACTACTGCGATTGTGGTGTGGGTGGCTCCTGTCAGAGTAGCCCCGGCACCGACCAGAGCATAGACGCCAGGAACTATGCACCGGCCGTTAGCAGGGCACTGTGCAAACATCCAATGCCCTGGGTGCTGCCGTGTCAGATACTCCATGTATGTGCCGACAATGCGACCGAAAACGGCGCCGATAGACATTGACGGCAAAACCAGCCCCGACGGCACCTTCATACCAAATGTAATAACAGCAAAGGACGCCCGGTTCAGCAGAGTCAGCGCAAGCAAGGACAGCAGGGGAACATAGTCTGAAAACTGTGAGCCAGCGACACAGAGCAGGTCGTGAATCCCTTCATCGCCCTCTTCGCCGCTCGATGGGCGCTTGAGGTCGTGCGGGCACTCTTGGAACAGCGACCCGACAAGCTCCCCCAGCCCAACTCTGGTGAACGGGTTCGAGTAGCTGACCGACAAAGTCAGCGCAGTGATAGCGATGACTTCAAGCACGGGATACCTGCCAATCCAGGTATTCTTGCGCAGCCGGTTGACAGCCATATTGAGCTTGCAGAACATCGCGCCGTACAGGCCACCAAAGATACCAATGATGACAAACGCAATCATCTCAAACCACTGGTAATCGATGTCGTAGGTGGTCTGGAATAGAACGAGTTTGCCCGTCCCAAACGGGTCGTATGCCTTCAGAACCAGGGCGGCGACCAGGGCGCAGGTGAGGCTGCGAAGCATTGTCTTGTTCGGGAAGAAATACGACACCTCTTCAAGGGAAAACAGGACCCCGCCAATAGGTGCGCCGAACGCCACGCTTACGCCGGCGGCCGCCGATGCCGAGATAATCTCGCGCTTCTTGGCCTCGTTTTTATAATACTTGTCAAAGATACGCGTGGAGATGTTGCCCAGCGACGATGCAATCTGGACCATCGGTCCTTCCTTGCCGGCCATGATGCCAGAAGCACAGCATAGAATCAGGCCAAACGTCTTGACTATCAGGATACGCACACCAAGGAATCCGTGGATAACAAAGCCAGCGAGGATGCTCTTGACCTCAGGAATTCCGGATCCAGCGCCATAGTAGGCTACCTTGAGAGTCGGCGATATGCGGGTTTCGACTGATGACGAAGTGGCCCCGCTGGCCACAGTTACACGGGTTGCCGATCTCACAACCATGACTGCCGCTGCCAGCGTGTACAGCCCGCCAGCCAGAATGTAGATCAAATGACCAGGCAACGCCTGCGACTTCCATGTGTGCCAGTACTCACACTCAATGGCGCTCTGGCGGCAGCATGTTTCCTTTGATAACCGCCAGTCTGTTTGGCAGTACCCGGTCTTCCAGCCCGCCAGCAGCTCAGTCCACTCTGACACGAATCCGGCAATCAGCCCACACAGGATGCCAACAATTATCACCAACACCCAGCCCTGCATTGGGTCCCACACATGGTTCACCCACCATCCGCCCTTGGCGCGCATCTCGCGCAACCTGGCCTGCTCGCGGATGTCGTCGTGCAGCCAGTCGATTGTAGTATATGAGCTGTACCACGCCCTAACGCCCTTGCCCTTGTTACGGTGCCCTGTCTGCATATTCAGGATGTTTTCATACAGCGCCGACCGCACCCGTGGGATGAACCACGAGGCCGGTGAGTCGTCCTCTGCCCGAAGCATGGGGAAGGGGATGCGCCCGATGCTGGCGCTCTGCTGTGTGCGTGCCCGCCTCAGCTGCAGGTTCTCCGAGTCCGAGTCAGTTGTAGTATCCAGCTGTGCCTCTGTCATCGACCGGCGCAGACGGGTCGCGTTGCTGCCACCAGAAGACACGGTTTGCCGCTTATGCGACGTGCCTGCTTCGTCGTTCATTAATGGAGTACCCAACTGGTATACGTGAAGGGGGGGGCGGAATTAGAGGACAAAATAGGGCGTACAACGAAAAAGTGAAAACAAGACCAGGAAGCGATATGGAAAGGAAAAACAGCTGCTGATTATTCCTTTCTGCAGCCAGTGGCGCAACTGCAATTTATTGACTGCTCAGGAACCAGCCCAAAGACGAGCAAGAAACGAGTTTGCTTGTCCTCCTCCAGCTTCCAAAACACAGATCCTGCCAAGGACGTCATGACATTCGGCTGAGCTGTTCTTTTGGAAGTTGGATTTCCACCCAATTGTTTCTTTTTTCGGTAAAGACTGCCCTCAGCTGAACAGTGGCCCGTGACACCCATTAATTCCGCAGTGGGCCATGCCTCCCCAGAAAAAACCAGCCGAGCGTGTGATGTGGTCGCAAGATTTTTCTCATGTGGCCAAAGGCGGAGCATACGCCGCAACCATTCTACGCAAATACTACACCTCCCCTTGCAGGTAAGTCGAGGTGGCACCATGTATTGTATGTTTTGATTGCCAGCTGCGTGTACCCGATACTTGCGGCGACACTACACTTCCTTCTTTAAAGCACATGCCGATCGCCGGCCATATTTCTCCTCTGTGACAATATTTACAATAATGACGAATTTGCACGACCAACGACTTTTAGCACCCGTGTATCACCCAAAAGCATATGCACTATATGTGCAGAGCCTATAGCGGGAACCCTTACCCTTTGCTTGAGCTTGATAGCCTTCATCCTGCCAGCATAAGCGGACGATGGAGGAAGAGTGCTATTGCTGGTATCACCAGCACGGTAGTAACTTGCACGACATTCATTTACATGCATGCATCTAATGATCTGATATTGTAGGGTAGGTTGGTGATATTCACATACAGATGTTTTGGTTCGAAATTATGTCAATTTGCAGCCGCTCACTTCCTGACGTGGATGTAGTTGAACGAGCTCTTAGGGACAGTGCGGGTACCATAGCGCTCAGTTCCACCCTTGTTATACTCCTCGACAACAACATTGTTGCCCGAGACCTTAGCAACCCAAGCGACATGGCCAAACCGTCCGGCATTAGTTTGGGCAACAGCGCCAACCTTCGGAGTGTTGTTCACAGTGACACCCGATGCGCGCGCCGCCTCATCCCACTCCTTCGCGTTGCCCCACGCCTTGCCCTTGTAGCGGTTGTGGAAGCTGATGCCCAGGCGCGAGTTGATGCGCCAGGCGACAAACGACGTGCACTGGCACTTGAAGTAATTCCATTTGTCAACAGGACCGCAGTTGCTCTTGTAAGGATAATCATCCTTCATTTCAGTGCTGTCACCACCAGTGGAGCCCCCACCAGATGAGCCCCCACCAGTATTGCACCGTCCGGTGACAAGACCAGTGGAGCCGGTCTTGATATAATAATCGGCGACGTAGCAGCCGTCCGAGGTCTTGCCCCAGAGCGAGTTGCCCTTGATGGTCTCGCCGGAGATCTGGCATGTGAGCTTGATATCATCATCCTTCTTGTAGGTCTTGACCACCTTGCCTGAGGTGCTGGGGCTGGAGCGGCAGTTGACGGTATCGGCCTTGTAGATTGGGTAAGCGCTCACCAGCGGAGAGATAGTAGCGAGGAAGAAGGTCGCAAGCGCAGTGAACTTCATGGCTGATGTGTTTTGTTGAGAAAAAGGTTATTGAGAAAAGTGCTTTTGGTTTCTTGCTGTTGAGTTTTAGTTGGCACAGCAGGTTTTTTCTACTCCTTTTATACATGATCAGTAATCCCCCGTCACACATCAACCAGACAAACACATTGGACTATCTGTCACTTACGTCTGTGCTTGCAAAAAGCACATCGACGTCGTGCATCCAACACCGCGAAAGAACAGTTCCAGGAAACTGCACATTCTATTTTTGTCCTGTAGTTTCTTTATTTTTAGAATCCGGTTTCGTTAGTTTAGCTAAGCTAGGCCGCTGCTTATGTACGGCTGCATGGGATTATCCTCAGCATCTATATAGCATGTAAGCTATTTTTAGGACGGCACCTTCTGTGGATGCAGACATTGAGCAAGGAATATGCAGCATCTTGTGTAGCGGTCATGGGCGGCATTTCTGTTGTGCTTTCTATATAGATTCTACGTTATTTTTGGAAGCAGAAGAATATACTGTTTGTCGCTCATGCTGGTTCAGCAAGATTGCCTCCGCACGGAGCAACAGTCCACAAGGGTAGAACTACACCGCCAAATGTCCGCTGTTAAAAGTTGATTAGTGGCCAGTGATATGTTTGTTTTGCCCAGCATTGGACACATTCAGCGAGCACGCCCCGTTTTCAATATTGCAGATGTTCATTGATGATTTGGTTTCTGATTTTAATATCTAAACTGTGATAAGCCAACTGATTTGACCTGGCCAACACGCTTTACAGATCCTCCTATTGCACAATTTTGTGCTGATAGGAATAGACTATTGCCGTATATATATTGACAGACATGTATCTTACAGAAAATGAAATATAGAATCATTTTAGTTGAGGTAGATGTAGTTGAACGAGCTCTTGGGAACGGTGCGAGTGCCGTAGTGCTCGGTTCCGCCCTTGTTGTACTCCTCGACCACAACATTGTCGCCATCAACCTTTGCAACCCAAGCAACATGGCCGAACCGCCCAGCATTGGTCTGCGCAACAGCACCGACCTTTGGCGTACTGCTAACAGTAACACCAGAACTACGGGCCGCATCATCCCACTCATTCGCGTTACCCCACGCCTTGCCCTTGTAGCGGTTGTGGAAGTTGATGCCCAGGCGCGAGTTGATGCGCCAGGCGACAAACGATGTGCACTGGCACTGGTAATAGCTCCACTTGTCGACGGGACCGCAGTTGTTCTTGTAAGGATAATCATCCTTCATGTCAGTGCTGCCGCCACCAGTGGAGCCGCCACCGGTAGAGCCGCCACCTGTGGAACCACCGCTGCATCTTCCTGAGACGTATCCAGAAGATCCGGTCTTGATGTAGTAGTCGGAAACATAGCAACCATCCTGAGTCTTGTCCCAGAGGGCGTTGCCCTTGACGGTGTCGCCGGAGATCTGGCAGCTAATTTCGACCTCAGTATCCTTTGCGTACGTCTTGACAACTTCACCAGACGTACCGGGGCTGGAGCGGCAGTTGACGACATCAGCCTTGTAGATGGGGTAGGCACTCACCAGCGGAGAGATGGTGGCGATGAGAAGTGTTGCAGCTGCTGTGAACTTCATGGCTGAAAGGAGTTTTTGGTGGAGAGGGAGGTTGTTTTCAAGAGAACTGTTTTGTGATGATGAGTATTTGGCTGTTGGCAGTCCTTTGCCCGCTCCCTTTATATGTTTGACTCCAGCTTCAGGCACACATATATTGACGAGTTGACTGTACCATGTGCATGCATGTGTTTCGAGATAGAAACCTGCTCTAACCAGCCGCTACCGGTCTGAGATGTCTTTGAGCAATAGAAAAATTCTATTATTGGCACCTTGATAGAAATTTATTTTTAGACAGCGGTATTTTCTTGAACTTTTGTGGACTTCAGCTTATGTACGAGTGCATACGATCGGCGTTTTTGATATATGGAAATGTGCGTGCTGTTTATTTTTGGTATGCCACTTCGTGAGAAAAGGGGGTGTGCGGACAAGAGATATGCGGCTGCTTGGTAAGCGGACATGGGTGACATTGTTTCTGTGCACATCAGTGCTGCATCATCATTTTCATTTGGACAATGGAATACAGGGGTTCTTATGTGCGGCTGTTCAGCAAGACAGTCCGCATGCAGCCTTGCGATCTTCAAGAAAAATCAACATCCAAGCATTTATAAATAGCATGTGTGTTCAGTGGCAACTGCATGCCCATGGGTCCAGGGAATAGCTTAGACATTGCTGCTGCCAAGATCTAGGAGTAAGTGGGTTTTGATTGTAAAATATCTTACAGAAATAGAAATCCTGGGCAGCTCTCGATCTTAGAGATGGATGTACTGGAATGCGCTCTTGGGAACAGTACGAGTGCCATAGCCCTTACGGACACGGTAGTTGTACTCCTCAATCACAACATTGTCGCCATCAACTTTAGCGACCCAGGCGACATGGCCATAGCCACTACCACCACTGTTGGTCTGCGCAATAGAGCCAGGCGTCGGGGTGTTGTTCACAGTGACACCCGAAGCACGGGCTGCATCATCCCACTGGTTGGCATTTCCCCACGCCTTGCCCTTGTACTTGTTGTGGAAACTGATACCCAGGCGCGAGTTGATGCGCCAGGCGACAAACGACGTGCACTGGCACTTGGCGTAGAGATACCCGTCATATCCTGTGCAGCTGCTGCTCTTGAGCGGATAGTCATCCTTCATATCGCCAGGTGCACCACCCCCACCAGTGGAGCCACCGCCAGTAGAACCGCCGCCAGTGGAGCCGCCGCCAGTGGATCCATCATTACATCTTCCAGAAACATATCCAGAAGACCCGGTCTTGATGTAGTAGTCGGAAACATAGCAGCCATCTTGGGTCTTGTCCCAAAGCGAGTTGCCCTTGATATTTTGGCCTGAGATCTGGCAGCTGATGTTGATGTCCGTGTTAATCTTGTACGTTGTGACGACTGTGCCCGAGGCACTGGGAGATGAGCGGCAGTTAACGACATCTGCCTTGTAGATGGGATAGGCGCTGCTCAGACCAGAGATGGAGAGGAGACCGAGGGAAGCGATAGCAAAGAACTTCATTTTACTGATGCGGAAGGTACTGTTTTTGTTGGTGATGGAATGCTGGCGGTAGTGCACTGGCAACCAGCCCTATTTATACCAGCGTTTGTTGAAGTAAAGACTCAGTTTCGTAATCTATTTTTGGCATACTCAATACGTGTTTGCAATACACGCGTTGCTTAGATAGCTCCAGTGTGTTGCTAAACAGATGCAAGGATCCGTGATCTATATATAGGCTGCGCCAACAGGAATGAGTACCTGCAGTGAACCGGATGCAGCCTGATTGAACTATTTTTGAATAAGCAGCGACAAAACAGGAATGCACCGATATATTGGCAATGCCTAACTAATATGTACCTACTAAACTATGTCAGTTTAATAGCGTCTGTGCTTGCTGTCCAACGGAGACAATAGAAGATGAACCGGTAGAAATCAGCTCTCAGTAGCATGCCTTTGCCTTATGTATAATTTAATTTTCGAAAAATCAGAGGTTGAACGGCTTTGTTGTTCGATTCGCCGACAATAGCTCAGTTGGTAGAGCGGGAGACTGTAGTGGAATTGAAAAATTCTTGAAATCTCTAGGCCACCTGTTCGAATCAGGTTTGTCGGATTCTTTTTGAACATCATTTTTCTTGCTGGAAATTGATTTTTTGGACCTGAAACTCTTGTCATTGCTAGGAATAAAGGCAGGTTTGTTGGTAGAGCCTGTGTGTGCTCTTGATACTTTTTTTTTCTTTTTTCGTGCATATAGCTGGTGCTCATCTTGTGTAGCAACACCATGCTCTGTGTGTCCGGCCACCAAGAACCTGCTTCTTTATCTGTATCTGCATGGCCATTTTGCCATCTGTCAACTATAAGATGCTCGGATGGCTGGTTCCATAGACGCTATCTCGCCAGTACTGTTTGTAGATACCGTCACTGGACTTCAAGTATGCGTATAAAAGCAGCTGGCACCAGAGTACCACACCAGCCTGATGGGACCGTGAACGCACCTGGTGCATAGCAAACGCTCTTGGACCCAACAAAACGAAGGGCTGCCCTCCCTAGACTCTTTATCCTTGCTATTATTTTCTCATGATGCTCGTGAGCAGCACTCAATTGTTAGCAAACGACATGCGCATCTAGCGCACTAGATAAAGTGCGGGCTATACAAGTTCCTATCGACTTTATAGATGCGTCCACTTCCCTCAAATTATATACTTGGGTTTGAAGAGCGGGTGATGGCGCCCGCAGTCGCTGCCAGTGGCCGTGACGCCGTATTTGCAGGTGTCGTTGCGGAAGAATAAAAGACAATAGGCAGACGATACATATACAGCAGCAAATATGGATACGAGACTCATACAGATGCCAGAAAAAGAGGTACAGCGCTTTCTACGGTGAGGGCACCCAGAGGTATCACGGAACACTTGGCAATGGCCCCAGCCGACAACGTGGCAGCACTGGAGTTGCTTGGTGCTCACAGCATGGTGTGGTGGCCAGCACCATGACGCATCGCGAGAAACAGCAAAAAGATGGCAAAGCAGCCCAGGAAGGGGAAAGAAAGCAAAAGAGATGCTCACTACAGGGGTCGAACCTGTGACCTACGCGTTATTAGCACGTCGCTCTAACCGACTGAGCTAAGCGAGCCGAACCAACTAGTGGATCCTCTTGTTGAGGTCACGCAATTTTTTTGTGTACATGAAACTCCCACTCTGTGGTACATTTTCTTGACAGCAGCCTCAGCCGCTCTGGCTCTTTGAGCAGCAAGAGGAGCTCATTTTGTCACGGACCATGCCGAACACTGCAGCTGGGACTTTCGAGTCTTTGCTTTAGATTGTATTGGTGTGAGAAATAGAGCGAAGTAGGTAGTTACATGGTGTTTTTGGTTTAGGCGCACTTGGGGTATGCCTGAGCGTTGGTGGGAGCCTTGGCAAGCTTGACCTCGGCATTGCGGCGGCGCGTCAGGCCAGACAGAACACGACCACCAGCCTTGTTCCACTTGGGCAGCTCGCCGGCAATGACGGTGCTCGGGTTCTCACCAGCGTTCAGGCGCTTGACCAGGTTCGATGACTGGGCGCCACCGCAGCCAACATTGAACACCCACGACACTAGCGCACCCCACTGGTTCTGGTTGAGCTTGACCTTGCCGTTCAGGTACTTGCCCAGGCATGTGTACTTGGGGATATCGTCCTTGAGCAGAGCCTCGGCGGTGGCCTGGGTCAGCGGGAACTTGTACTTGACCTCCTTGCAGCCCTTGGTCTGGCACAGGTGGCCGTAGCCGACGGTGGGCAGACCGATGGGATCGGGAGCCGGGCTCTTGACGAAGCCCTCGAACTCCTTGATCAGGTTGAGCGAGGCGGCGTTGACGCTCTTGCAGTATCCGCTCGAGGAACCGCCGCCAGTAGAGCCACCGCCGCCGGTGGATCCGCACTTCTTGGCAACATAGCCGTTCTTCCCAGTCTGGACGTAGTAGTCCGCAACATAGCACCCATGCTGGGTCTTGTCCCAGAGGTTGTTGCCGCTGACCGACGTGCCGGTTGTCTGGCACGAGAGTGTGACCTGCTCACCCTTCTTGTATGTGCGCACAACCTTGTCTGAGGTTCCCGGACCTGAGCGGCAGTTGACAGTGTCGCCCTTGATGGCGTAGCCGGAGGCAAGCTGCGAAGAAGTGGCGAGCAGGAGAGCGGCGAGTGTGACGAGCTTCATCTTTCTCGTATGTGTTTTGTGGAGGCGGTGTGAAGACTGGAGAGTAGATTGTTGTTTATCCTGTTGGTAATGGACTGGTCGTGACAGGCAACAGCGCTTCCTTTATATACACAACTGGCTCCTGAATACAAGCATGAGGTATGGACTCGCTGTCGTAATATGCATAGTCGATAATTCTATTATTAGCACCCATGTCTGCATATCGCTTGTTTACTCTTCGGGCTGTGCTGCTGAATGGAAATTACCATTAGGCGGTCACTCATGCACAGCGTGCTGCTGCCAGAAATAAGCACTGACCTAGAAGGTTTCGATAGTGTGCTTACGAAGCGAAGGCTTTATCCATGACGCCCGACTTCCAGAATGTATCTAAAAATAAATCGACGTGCTGAATCCACATAGTGCAAGCCCCAGGACGATCTCTTGTAAGCGTGCATGAGCTTGCAGTTCCAATGGTCTAAAAATAAATTGTCGAGATACAGATTAATGCTGCCGCCTGACAAAACTGCTCTCTGCGCTTATTCAGCTAGCAGCGAGTTGGTGCTATGTCTCGATATGCAAATAGGTCCTGTGCAGACTACACACAATCTAAGAATGAAAGTTGGATATACGTTCCCAGTGTATACTTGTGAATGCGGTGATAATGCATTGAGTTAATTGGTAGGAATATTTGAAAAGCAGCCATGAATACATCACAATTCATATCAACAATGAGAGGCGAGTACATTACGTGCAATCTGTATAGCAATTGAGCAGGAAATGCTCAATATTGATTACGCAGAATGCCTTGTCAGTGAAAAGATAATAGGGAGCAGACATGGCGTGTCAGTGCTACAGCTGTGCACCAATGCAATGCGTCCATTTGTCAGCTGAATGGTATTGTTCGTACACTAAGCCAGCAGAGGTATATCTGTCAGTCTCTATAAATATACGCTGTAATCAACACGAAAAATATGTATGCTCACGCTGGGCGGACTATGCTGTATACACCTGGTATCGCTCCGTCTATACCTCTCTTCCAGACACACGCACCATTCTAGAGATATCAACTCTTTGAGCCTTTGACTATCGTGGTTATTCATCTACCTCCTTTGCAAACATGTTACCAGATAATCAACACGGTACAGATACTCGCTGATAGTGGGGTGGTTCATCAGAAAACGGCTGGAGTGAATAAGCCATGTTCCACTATCGCAGAAAGATATGATTACCCACACCAGCACGCCATTCAACCCAACTTTTGAAAGCAAAGAAGTGCTTATCAAACACATTGCTCCAAATCCAGGTGACAGGCTCCTGGATATGACAGCAGGATCCAGGCGCATGGACATATACTATCTACAGTGCTAGTATGAGACGAACTGCGACTCTGCGTCGTCTGTGGTGCTATTTGATCTAAACCAAGGGAGGTTTGGTTATGCAAAAAAACAAATTGCGCGATACAAAGTGGGCAAAAGACGGAAGATTGGATTACGTGCGAGGGAATGCAGACGATCTACCGGTATTCCTGGGCAGCCCGTCGGGTATTTACTGCTGGGGGCTGGGTTTCCACGACATGCCAAATCGTGACAAGGTGCTGAAGGAAGTATTTTACGTACCCAAGCCTGGTGGCACGCTCGCAGATGTGGAGTGCAATAGCGGGGCAGGGGGATAGGCGGAATGGGAATGCAAGCTTTATACATGTTTATCAGAGTGGTTTTCAAGAAAACAAAGGCCAAGGACATGGCGCAGGTAGAAAACATGGTCACAAGTGCTATGGCGTTTCAACATCCTCCGGAATCTGGTGTAGAGATAAATGCAGCAGTATTCAGCACTAAGAGCAAGGGGTTCGAGTATGGCACATGCGGTCTAGCTGTAGGGTACTTTGGCACCAAGCCCCTGTAGTTTCTACATGTACAACAATAAAAGTGGCTAGGGGTTTATCAGTAAGGAAAGAGGAGTGGGAATATTAGGTACAGATGGTGATGGCAGAGTTACAAAATGAGGGGTTGGTGGTGCTAATAGATGTGGGCGGCAGTGCGGGTTTTCAGGAACGGCACGGTGACGATCTGGCCATCGCGGGTATAATTTTTGGCAATCTCGTCGTGGGCAGTAATACAGATAGGCGTGACGGCGCCTGGGAACCACGGCAGGTGCCTGAACCAAAAGCGCTTTTCGGTCGAATACATGGTCTTGGAATTCCAGCTCCCCAAGGAGTCGTGCGGGGTGCGGTACATGAAGCGCTCGAGGTTCGACTTGATCTTGTTTTGCTGTTCAAGCCGCAGGCGCTCCTGCTCCTCTGCGCGCTGGCGCGCCTGCTGGCGCTCCAAAAAGTACCTGTGCGCCACAGGCAACTGATAGATGTCGTGCAGGTTGTCCTCACCGAACTTTTGGATGTCCGCACGGCACACCCAGATGTTATAGCCCAAAGATTCGCACGCATTGCGCCGGAACCGCACGAAATCAGTAGTTGTGTACGGTGTCTTGATCAGCTGCGACATGCGCTGCACGGAAAAGTTCTCCACATCGTTCTTCTTCAAAGACACTGCCGTTGCAAGCATAAACACTCCGAGGAACAGAATATGTGCTGAGTCGTAGTGGCCCGGGTTGTCGTAACCGTGCACTTGCTTGAAGCGGCGCACCAGCAACAGACATGGTATTACAGTCCACATGTCGACGTCCATGGCATCTACTGCCTGCCAGATAAAGGTGTGCAGGTCCGGTAGGCGGCGGTCCAGCGGCACATCGCTGTGACTTTGCGTGATAGCGAAAATCAGGCTCAGCTCCTCGACAATACTATCGACGATGGCTGGCGTCGCCCGGTAGAACTGCTCCTCAGGCGGGAAGTAGTCCTTCTCGGCTGGCTGCGTGCATGGGCGCTCCTCGTCGGCTGGCATGGAGGTGTACAGGAACTCGCCAGTGTCTGGCGTCCAATGGCAGCTCCAGTACGGCAGCTCTTTGCAGTACTCGATTGATGGGGCTGCCACTGCGGCGTCATCAGCCGCGTCACCAGCACAAAAGCCCGCGGCAATGCTACACGCGTCGTCAAAAAGCACGTCAGAGTCGGCTGATACGCATGAGCACCGCCGCGTCTCGTCGTCTGTCGGCAAAGTCACTGCCTCGTGCTCAGCCATCGGCGGCGGCTGGACTGGCTGCTTGCGCGGCGGCCGGTAGAAAATGCTGCCGCGCTTTGCCATGCTCCGGTACATTGGGTGGTCGAGTGGCAAAGTATGGCGTGTTGCCACCGACGACCCCGCTGATGATGGGGGTTTTTGCCCCACCGGATGCGAAATCTCCCAGTGCTTATCGCGCGAGCCCGTCACTGCCCGCTTCCGCACGGGACGCGCTGTAGGTGCTGTAGGTGCTGTAGGTGCTGTAGGTGCTGTAGGTGCTGTAGGTGCTGTAGGTGCTGTGGGTGCTGCGGGCATGATTGGCGAAGGGGCGCTCCGGTGCTTACGCAGCGGGACCAGCGAGATACTTGACAGCGGGCGGGACGGGTTGGTAAGCGCCTTGGGCGTGGATGCCAGGATCAATCCAGTGGCGGAGTCCAGCGAGGCGTACAGAGAGCTGGCGGCGGTCGAGGGGCGCAGATGTGCGGGTGCAGCTCTCGGCTGCGCGTGGCTTTGCCTGTAACCTGTCGCCGAGCATGTCCGCCTGCGGGTCATGACTGGAATGATAGAAAAAGCGTGTTTTTTCTTTTCTGTTTGGTTGTTGATGGAAAATGCAGCCGCTAGCTGTTGTGTGGGGGTTGCTTCATATACTGTTGCGCAGATAATAAATAATTAGGAAATATGCGCCTGTTGTTGGGAGGAAATATATGCAGTGGTTACGTGTGGGCTCTGGAGATGAACTGGAAATAAATAGAGTCAAGGAAGGAAGAGAAAATAAAGAAGAAACGCTCGTGCGAGGACGGTCGGGGCGGTTTGGGCGTGGTGGTTTGTTTACGAAACTAGGCACTACTGCCAAGGTATTTCGAAATATCCCTCACAGCTTGTCTGCTGCGATTCTGGTTGATTTAGAGTGCGAAAAGGGGAGGAAGAATCGAATGGAAAAAGTCGGTTCAGACGAGCACGAGATAAAAAAAAAGCTGGGAAGTGGGTGTTTTGCACTTTTTTCTCCACAAGGACAAGAGTCAAGAATATATACGTCGAGAGAAAAGGAGACGATAAAGGTGTGAATCGCCCACCTCTAGGGCGTTTTAAAAATTTGCCAAAGCCACATTCGTCGTTGGCCGGGTAAAAAAAGGATGCACCAGGTGGTTATTCGAAGTCTAAAGGGAGATGGCAATCTCTCGCACTCTTGCTACTCAGCAGCAGTTTTCCTTTCTTGTCGATGCGGGAGCAGGTCTGTGAATGATTGTAACCGGTCAGCATTTGCCGGGCTGGCATGAATCCTGAACATGCTCAGAGAACCCGACATAGTCTGATGGAGTTCGCAATTAGAACCGTAGAGCGAGCCTAGTGTCGTGGAGCTTAAAAACGCCATCATCACGGGGTCTCATAGCCATTGGGTGCCGGCCCGAGTGTCTCGCATGGGCCAGGGAAAAAGCCCACGCGTGGGTGAGCGAAAGGGGACCCTCAAATCGCCTCTTTTCTTTGCTTCCCCTTACACTCCGTTATACACAACATTGAATCATTCGAAATGGCAACACCCCTTTTCTCGCAGCAGACGAACCCGAACCGACTTGGGTTTGCAGACAGCATACCTGGGGCGCTGATCTCGTTCAAGGCGGGGCGGCTGTTCCGCGACGGTGAGACCAACTGGGTGCGGCCGGACGTGCGCAAGGGCGTATGCTTCCTGAAGAAGGAGGACGACGGGCTGATGCGGTTCTGCTGGAAGGATCGGCAGACGAACGAGGTGGAGGAGGAGCTGATCGTGTTTTCCGGCGACACATCATTCGAGCAGGTCACGCAGGCAGCGTCGGAGCGTGTCTACGTGCTCAAGTTCAAGAGCTCGTCGCAGCGGCTGTTCTTCTGGATGCAGGATCCGAACTCCGATACGGATGCGGTGCTAGCGCACAACCTCAACGTATTTCTGAGCATGGACGAGGACATGGATGATGCGGAGCCGATGGACTCGGACTCGGACGTGCGCATGCTGCTGGGCCACCCGGTGGGCAGCACAGAGCTGCACCGGCAGCCGCAGATGGTGCGGCGCAACTCGCGCGAGGCCGAGGTGTTAAGCCATCACCGCGAGCAGTCGGCACTGGCGAGCGAGCACGCCGAGCCGCACACGGGTGCGCTGCCGACGGCACAGGTGGGTGGGGTGCCAGGGGGCAATCTGCGGAGGGCATCACGTGACGGTGACATCACCTCCGTTGGTGGCGTCGGCCCTAACGAGCTCAGCGACCTGCGCCAGCTGCTGTCGGGGATCCGCGTGCCGGAGAGTTACGCGACTGGCGCCTCAAGCCTGCGCCTGGGTGACGTGCTGACGCCACAGAACCTGGCCGCGGTGCTAGGCGACGAGCGCCTGCGCCGTGCGCTGTTCCCGCAGCTGCCCGACAACATCCCGCATACCGCGGAGTCGCTAGACCAGGTAATCCGGAGCCCGCAGTTCCAGCAGGCGCTGAGCTCGCTGACCTATGCGCTTGAGTCGGGTCAGATTGCTCCGCTGGTGCATCAGCTCGGCCTGGGTCCCGAGGCGAGTACCAGTGTCGAAGCCTTTTTGCAAGCCATCCAACGCCAGGCTGACGAGGAGGACGAGGGCGAAGATGAGGACCTGTAGGCTTAGGAAGGACCTTCAAATATATGCACTCTGCATGCACATATATACCGTGCATGTACAGCATTAGGCGTGCTTGACTCTCCGGCTACTTTTTCTTTTGCTTATGCACCAGCGGAGAATGCGGCGGATGGCAAACAACAACCCGGTGTCCGTATAAGGCTTAATTAAAATTTCTTTGAGCGGCGAAGTGCAAGAGCGAGGCTGCTTTGCAAGACTGCATGCAGTGCAACTGTGGCTCCCAAAAAGGATAAATTGATTTTATTTTCACATCCGCGGAACAGATCCAAAATCGTGCGCGCAAAGTCGAATTTGTTGACCCCGAAGCAGCACTGCACTTCGACACGATCATGACCAAGCCAAAAACATGTATAGCCCGATTCCCAGAGAGACAAAGCAAGAGCAGCATGGGCGCAGTGTCAGTTGGGTTGGCGGAGGCCAGCAAAAGTTCCTTGTAAGCGCAGCCTATTGCCACGTCATAAGAGAGCGTATGGTGTACTCCACCGCTGCCTGGAATCCCGAGTTTGCAGCTTCGCTATGTATGAGCGGCAACAAGGCTTCACAATGGATTCCTGTTGGTACTTGTTACTTTTCTCCCTATTGTTTTCTTTGGATTTGGGACTCCATTCCTTAACCTTCAGGTAAATCTACAAGGCGCATTTGTACCTTTTCATCCTGTAACAAGATTAGATTTATGCGACCCGTGTAAACGAGGGGTCAGGTGTCGTGAATGGCAGAGTGGGATAAAGGAAATATTGACAAGGATTGGGTATATACATGGTAGTGCAGGCCGTCAACAACAGTTGACAGAAATCGCATCTGTCTTCCACTCCTCCTCACAGACCAAGCTTACATACTGCTGGCGAACTGGGAAACAGACAATTTATTCTTTAGCGAATTGTTGACATGTATGGTAACAGCTTCTGCCTCAGTTATTCTGTGCCGCAAACCAGCTGCTGGACAACTATTTTTATATGGAGAAACATCTGAGTCGGACCAGCTCGGATCCAAAGGTATAAATCTCGCAACCTCATCACCACAATTTATTCTATGGCGAACAAACATCCTTAGTATTATGCGTTCAGAAAACAGAAACCAAACTAGTTTATTTCTCAACATCAGCAGTGAGAGTTCTGGGCGTTCCCCTAGAAGTTTTTCTCCTTTACTCGAGTTTCTAGGCCCATGTTATTCTAAAATCGCGCACTCCTGGCATATATTTAGAGGCAGCCTGTCTGAATCGGATATTTTCGAAATCCTTGCTGTTCTTCAACTCATATGCCTATGATATTTTTGAGACCATAAACGAATCAGGTATATACTTCGCACTAGTATTATTTCCAAAACTGAAGGAAATACACTTAGATTACTACCCACTCAGTGATCTCAACGCTCTCACTTTATTTGGAGACGTAACAATACAGACAGCTAGAGTCACAGATATAGCTGGTAGACTCTCACCATCTGTGAAATATACATTCAGAAATGCTCAGGGTACATTCATTATTATTGATATCTCTGGATATGAAGTGTATGGTGAGGCTACAGTGTCTATTGCAAAGGTCCTTTTCAGCAAACCGTTGTCTAATCAATGCTAAAATCTCTATTTGTACTAGCCTACCAATCCTATCTCCAGATAAAACTATGTAGACACAGCTAGAAAAGCTATACCTATAGACCCCAGTCTATCCCTCTGACCTCCTCTATATTCTCCTCCAGCTACCTCATCCATACTCGCTTATTGTCGGAGTCATATACAGCCCTGAAGTTGATATAGGGATTGCAGGACCAGCTCCTATTTGGAGCACCACCCTTACTCAGCTCATTCTTTTCTCCAACATTATTTCGACTCTGATGGCTCCTTCTCTTCTTAAGCTGGCTGTTTCATATGGTATGTTGGCTACGGCAAAGGATGCACTTTCTGAGCATATCATTTATTGACAATCTTAGGGGCTGAGCTTCAAGTTGTTGGATTCCACCTAAGGAGAGGGGACCATTACCTTCAGTATGGCATTCCTTGCACAAACCTTTATGACAGCTAGATTATGGAAAAAACCTAGATGAAACGGGGGATTCAATAAGGGGTATTTTATATGCATGTGCAAACTATTTAAATGGCAAACCTGGCTGAGGTATTTCCCATACCATCTTTGCGCTCCTGACAGCATCAGTACAGCTATGTTATATATTTTCCTGATCTTCCTTAGCTTTTCTATATTATTTGTTTCTAATTGATTGCAGTCAGAATTGGTCTATTACTGGGCTCTGGGGTTCAGTAGGGCTGGCAGGCGCAGGTCAGCATGTTGTAGGGGTGGTTCTGCTGAAACCTCTGCAATGGGCACTAAATGCTGGGCCTATCAGACTCTAAGACCAGTGAGCAAAGGGACTGAACTTGCTGTATTTTAGCTGTATCGGGTCAGCAATAACCAAAAGCATGCTCTCTTCTGCCAGTTATGTGGTGGGGTTTTGGGAGTGTACACAACTGACTTCTGAAATGGCTAACACGAAAGTAAACTGCAAAAGAGAGCTGACTGAGGCTGCCTTCTCTATCATGGAGTGGTGGGGTACTGGCAGGCAGGTTTCTTAGGTGAAAATATATAGCTTTTATGGCCAGGGATTCCGAGCTGTGGCTCACGCTTCTTGGCCTGCAAGCTATTATCCATTTCCAAAATAACTCTCGAGCTACAGCCATTGACTGCCCCTTAAAAATGGCGCCAACCACAGGTCTCGCCCTGCAATTGTACATTAACACTCCTTTCCTCTCTTAAGCTGCAAAAATACATCCATCTTATCAGTACCATGGTGCTTAGCCACCCGTATCTTTGCTTTGTATGCGACAGATGCCTCAAGACACCAGGTATTTTGGCATAACATTGCAACAACCGCAGACACATGCACTTGCCTGTGAACTCGCAAGGCGACGTAGTGCTGTTCCTTATGGTGAAGCATAAGCAAAAACTGATACATTGCCACTGCGGTGAAATAATAAAAATAAATAAGTTTCGTCATATACGAAACTGCCAAGCATGTTTAAACATGATCCCCAGGCGGCCTGCGACCTATGATACTGGTCATCCAGCTCCTCATCCAATAGCCCCTGGAGCATTGATCTGTCGAGCCTGTCAAGATTATATCTGTCTCGTCGAGCCCAGATCACATTAGTACAGAAACTGAGGAGTAGGATATTGTTGAAACGAATGTACGGCAGATGACGTTGGCGAGCGGCGGTGGGGATACTAACCCGTCATTGACAAGATTTCAACTTGGGCAATAGGGACAAGCCCGGCGATTTTCAGGAACTCTGTGCGCTAGCAGACAGGCCGATCTGTAGCGAGGACAGCTGGGGCAAAGGACTCAAGACGCTTGTCAGATTCACATTCAACGAAACATACCTAATAAGGTTGGAGATATCGGCTTAAGCGGATTTCCAAGGCTCCCTGCTAACCACTGAGTCATGGTCTATTCTACATGGCAGCGAACAGGGGATGATCGAAATTGGCATAATGCTGTATATGGTTATACTGCGAGCATGCGAGGAGCGCTGGTGCTGAGAGCCACTGGGTATGTCTGCAGAGCAGGCTAGTGAGCCATAGGAGTCTAAACAGTTGCTTGTGAGCAACATTAATAAGACTCCTAGTAAAACTACTACTGCTGCATTGCCGCGGTTCAAGGATCTGAACGTCGCACTGTGGATGTACATTGTACCTGTGGTTCCAAATCCTTATGATTTTAGGAACCCATGGATCAAGACCTTTAGGTCACAATGGCCGGCCATACTATTCCAGGCGACCGGCGCCACTACTTAGACGGGCACCTGCCCTTTCACCTGGCGATTCCTTCTTCCTTCTTTCATACAGCATATTTCATACGTTCAATATACGTCGTGGAAAGGTGCTTGGAGAGTAAACGTGTTCTAGACAGTTGCAGGAGGCTGTCTATCTAAGTGTATTGTATCCGAGACACAGCAGTGCCTACCCCTGGGTTGGATCCTTGGAGCAACCATTTTGTGCTGCGATTTCTATGGCTGGTGTCATGGAAAAACAGCAGGGTCTTGCCGCCAGCGCATATACACAAGTGTGCCAGAAAAGTAGATGTGTGTGCATGAGTTGGTATTTACTCGGTTATCGAGCGCAAGTCGGGGCACGATTTTTGGAAAGAGCTAGAACTCTACCGCCTTTACCTGCAGCCCCAGTGTCCAACTCCATACGCTGCGCCGGGCTAGTACACTGGCATTCCCTAAGGCAGCTGAAGGTGAATCTGTATTGTCTATATAGTGGTGGTCTTTGTCAAACTGGTGGTCGTACCTGTAAATTTATATGCAATTGAGGATTTTAACGCCATAACCGAGCCCGGGCATGAGGGCTGTGTAGCCTGCCATGATAGGGCTCGCAGTAAAGGCATTTTTCTTCCCGTTCATTTATACCCTATTTACTCTCCCTCATGTCCAATTCAAGCACCTGGATAGCAGCACCGGCCGCAGCCCTCGCGCTGTATGTAGCATGGCGCATGCTCGCAACACGAGAACGCACACGGCCAGCACCCATTAACGGCGTAGTAGGACTGATTGGCAATACGCCGCTGATCCGCATCAACAGTCTCTCCGAGGCGACCGGGTGTGAGATCCTGGCCAAAGTGGAGTACATGAACCCGGGCGGCAGCTCCAAGGACCGCATCGCACTGTATCTGATCGAGCAAGCTGAAAGCCACGGCGAGCTGACGCCCGGCGGCTGCATCTTCGAGGGCACATCGGGCTCGACTGGGATCTCTCTAGCAATGGTGGCGCGGGCCAAGGGCTACACATGCCACATCGTAATGCCCAATGACATGGCGATCGAAAAGTCGCAGCTTCTGGAGCGTCACGGGGCGACTGTCGAGCGCGTCACGCCGTGCTCGATCGTGGACACGGGCCATTATGTCAACGTGGCGAGGCAGCGGGCCAAGGAGTTCAGCGTAGACGGGCAACGTGGGTATTTCGTCGACCAGTTCGAGAACCCGCGCAATGCCGAGGCGCATTTCCGCACCACGGGACCCGAGATTCTGGCGCAGGCCGGCCCATTCGATGCGTTTGTGCATGGCTCGGGCACTGGTGGGACGATCGCCGGCGTCACGTATTTCCTGAAGCCGCGGATGCCCGGGCTCAAGTGCTTTTTGGCTGACCCGCAAGGCTCCGGGCTGGCCAATAAGGTCAACCATGGCGTCATGTTTGCCGAAACCGAGCGCGAGGGCACGCGGCGGCGGCAGCAGGTCGATACGCTGGTCGAGGGCGTCGGGCTGAATCGGCTCACCAGGAACTTTGCCACGCTGTTCGCTGGCCAGCGGTGTCTGCTGGATGGCGCTGTGTCGGTGTCTGACCAGGAGGCGGTGGCGATGAGCCGCTGGCTGATGAACAAGGACGGGCTGTTTGTCGGCAGCTCGGCCGCCATTAACTGCGTTGCTGCAGTGCGCATTGCGCGCAGGCTGGGCCGGGGCAAGCGCGTAGTGACTATCCTGGCTGACAGCGGCCAGCGCCATCTGACAAAGTTCTGGAATGACGACAAGATGCGGGAAATGGGATATTCTGTCGATTGCCCCGAGTCCTTGGATGCCTTTCTGTGAAGTTTTTTTCCCCCCACAGTTTGTCTCAAGAGCTTTGGCACATTAACATGCTTTTTCTTGTGTAAAAATTTTTATTCTGGAGCTCTCTCCCCAAAGAGAACAGCAGCTTGGAAGGCTCCCCCGGTTGCAACAAACAAGGGGCTGGGATCAACGGAGCCATGTGGGTGAGCACCTAAGATTTTCTCGCCAACAGGATGGTTTCTGCAGACCGCTTGGCGACTCATGGCGACTTGCTTCTGCTCTCTATTTTTCCTCTTTGTCACCCTTTAAAGCCACACGTTTGTGCTGGTTCCTAGCTTAGGCGCTTACTCATTATCCACTGGCTGTGGCGAGCTGTGTACCCTTGGATGCACGCCCGTATTCGTCACCAACCACAAAGGCACCCTATTTTGTTTGCAGCAGCCACTCCTCTACTGCTCCCCCTCCTCAACCGCCTGGCGTTTCATCTCCACACGCTAAGCGCCTGCTTTTCTCCCTATACTTTCCCAGCGCAATATGTCAGGTATATCACCGGACCACCTGGACGACCAGCCGTTCAGCACCGATTTCCTCGATGCCTTCGACGACATCGACCGCAACATTCGCAGTCTCATCGACAACCAGAAATACCTCGGATCCCCGCCGCTCTCAGTCGCCAGCACCGCCAGCATCAGCCGGCCAGCGCCTGAGAACGATGACGAGGAGGCAGCCGTGGCGTTTCTGTGCAGTGCCCTACCGCACTACGAGGGCCCAACACCAATATTCTACGACAGCCTGGATTCTGCGCTCGACGCATACGCTAAGGAAACCGAGGATGTGCCGGAGGAGGAGTCGGTGGAGGATGCAGCATGGGAATGCGTGGAGACTAGCCAGGTGGATGATGACGGACTGGACAACTACCAGGGGTGGATTGACTTCGAGCTGGTAATGGAGATAGCGCAGAAAATATTGCCTGTGGATGGCGCATGCACGACTGGGGCGCGGTCCGAGACTGACTACATGCTGGTTTACGAGATTGTCCCGGCTGACAGCACTGAGGCATTGTGGGTTTTGCAGGTGCCCCGGCCCGGGGTGCCTGCCAGGGTGCTTGAGAGCGAGATTCTGACAGTGACGTACGTTGGGCAGAACTCGGGCCTGCCAGTGCCCGTTGTGTGGAGCTACGACTTCGATCCGGCCAATTCGGTCGGCGTGCCCTATGCGATCATGTCGAAGCTGCCGGGCGTCTCGCTGGCCAAGTCCTGGTATACCATGACTGCTCTGCAGAAGCGCTCGGCGCTGGCGCAGATTGCTGACGTGGTCGTGCAGCTCTCACAGCTCGAGTTCCCGCTCATTGGCTCACTGCGGCTCGAAGACAATCTGCCCACCATTGGGCCCGTGCTCGACCCGCGCCAGATCGAAGACGGCTACTGTGACGTAGACATGCAGTACGGCCCGTTCACCACCACCATCGACTACTACCGTGCCATGATCAATGCCTCCTCCGCAGCGCTACAAATACTGGACGGCACTACGGGCCTGTCGCTCGACCAGATCGAAATTGCCCAGTACCTGGATATGTCGGAGCATTTTGCCTGCACAGCGTACAATCAGGGACCGTTCGCCGTGTCGCTGTGCAACTTTGACCGCCACCATTTTCTATTCAACTCCGATTTCCGCCTGACCGGGATTGTGGACTGGTCATTCAGCGCTATCAAGCCCCTGCCGACGCTGCTACAGGCACCATCGTTTGCCTTTGACGATACTCCGCGCTGGGAGCCAATTCTGTTGGAGCCCCGCAATGCCTACCGCCGCAACCTTGTCCGGTACCGCCAGTGGTTCAAGGCTGGTGTGCAAAAGTCTGCCTGGGCCTTGTTGGGCAAAAGTACATCCGAGGTGTTTGCTGAGCTGGTCAATTCCGGATACTGGCGGTACAAGTTTGAGAGCGAGATCATGGAGCATGTGCGGTACTCCAACCCGTGGTCCTTCCGCGCTATCTGGGAGCATATACACAAGGGCGAGGACTTTGCCATGTGGTTTGCATCGTTGCGTGCAGATGAGTAAAAAACGGGTTTGTGCCGGTCATTTTCAGTTATTGTATTATATTTTTCGGTTCATTTGCTTGTCCGGAAGACCTCATGCGTGCGGACTATTCTTAAGCCATATTGCTTAGGTCAGTGGGGGAAAAATGAATCGCCGATCTGCCCTCGACACGATGTGCTCTACCGTGTACGATATATGGAGGCCCATTGCATGCATGCATTGTAAGGATGGTGGGTGATCAGTCCAGGTGCATGGTCACTCGTCATGGCTAGAAGAAAGTTTCTGTGCTTTTGGTCACTTCCCCGAGCTAGAAAGCGACTATAAAAGACACCCGTCACCCCACACTATATTCATTTTCTCTCCTACTTCCAACATAGCACCAGCTAATACACAAATATTCACCACTGCTGTTAACCACCCCCCTCATTTTCCATGGGCTCCTCAGTTCTATCTGGTGACGCCACCGCCGGAATCGCCATTGGCATAATAATTACCTTCCTCATCATCGTGTTCGCTATCCAAATCTTGGCCAATATCCGGTCACGCCGCCAAAATACTCTTGGCGCGGGTCATTTCACGAAACCGCCAATGGCACCCCCTGCCAAGATCTCCACGCTCAGCGTCAAAGCCGCTGTTGTCAAGCCCAGCATACCGGGAGATATAGGCAGCGGTAAGGGTGCTGGCGAGCTGCGCTGGATCCCAGCCGATAAATCGGCTGTACCTAAAGACACCATCACCGAAGTCATAGACCATTGATATAGCGGTATGCAGATAATCGTGCATGTATTTTTAAAATAATAAGCCCTTTTCGCTATTCCGTTTGCCTGGAATGAAAATGTATGTCTGTCTCGCGGCCGGAAGAAATCACGAAAGCGCGTCTCTATCCAAACAACAGTTGGAAGCTAGGTAGAAGAAATCAGCATGGATGAACAAGGCTTTGGCTGTGCAATCCGTAAATCATACGTCCCCCTCCCCAAAAATAAAGAAAACGAATATAATTTTTTTCTCCCAGACGGGCGCTTAAAAGCAAAAGCGGCATTTAGTATAAAACAGAGGAAAAGGACGCCAGTACCAAGGGTTTTGCAAGCAAAACATCACTATTTCTATTTTATCTTAATCTTTCTCTACTATGACTTCTGGCGGAGCTATCGCAGGAATCGTCGTCGGGTCGGTCGCCGGCGCCGCATTAATCTTGGCCATCGCCTATGTTGCCATCCGTAACAGCAGGAAGCCACGGGAAAAGCCCATGCTGGAAATGGCCCTTCCCAATACTGTCGAGTCTGATGACCCCGAAAACCAGACTTCGTCCAGTGTCAGCGTTGAGACGCCGACTGGCAGAAAACACCAGGCACCGGTTCGCCCCGCCGCCGCTGGCAATCCAGACCAGTCGTCCGACATCGCTATTTTTGCCAGTGCTCCCGTCAGCTATCCAACTGTCGACATTAACACACCCACGTACATAGCCGCTAACGATGCGTCGAGCAGCAGTAACTCTGTGCATAGCAGCGGCCATAACCATCAGGACGACCATACGGTACCGGGCCCGGTCGCTGCAGATAGCGGCACGAATAATATGGGCACAATTGCTGTTAACGGTGCAAATGATATGGGCGCAACTGCTGTTAACGGTGCAAATGATATGGGCGCAATTGCGGCTAGCGGTGGGAATGATACAGGCACAGTTGCAGTCAACGGTGGACACTATATGAGCGCAACTGCAGGTAGCGGTGGGAATAATACAGGCACGATTGCAACTACTGAGGTACCGGCGACGTCCGGTGCTGGGGCTGTCAGCAGCCATCATGGCACATCGTCTGCTGCACCTACTCTCCAAACAACCAGCCATGGCACCAGCAATACCCAGCACTCTTCGAACTACGGTACCAGCAATAATCATCACTCCTCAAGCCATGATACCGGCACTCACCACCACTCCAGCTACGACTACGGGTCGTCATCGTATGATAATTCTACGAACTATGACACGGGGGGAGGATTCTCGAGCGACTGGTAGTTGCTCTTGTAGTTATCGTAAAAAAAAGTAAATGAAAGATGAGCATGTGTAGATTTTAGAACTCAGCACTCCAGGTGAGTCATCGTATCATTCTCCTGGCGGCCGTTGTAAACAAGCACAGGGTATTCAGTGTCAATGTACGACCGGTGTGTTCTATATGATAACCAGCGGGCGGCTATTGTGTATGTATTTGCCCCACACATGTTAACACCACAACAGCGCAAACCCCGCCCCGCTGCCAGCCACCGCTTTCGAGATATTCATGTGCTGGCTTAAAGGCCAAAAACAACAGTGTTCACATTGGAATTTGATTTCTTGTGTAGGAAAAAATCTGCAGATCCCGAGAATATTTTTAAACATGCAACTCACAGTGAGGGGTCAGCGGGGGCCAATGCTACAAAAACAAATGAGGTTGGGGTGGAGAAAGGACGCAGTGAAAGTGGTTGTGATGTGATACGCCTGTTCAGGCTAGCGCAAAAAACCAGGAATATCATGCAAGATCCACTGGCCGACACTAGCAACTAACCTCTTTCTCCTCTACACTTGCATATTCTGTATTTTCATTTTCTCGCACTTCAACAATGGTATCGGAAGGAGTCGAAGCCGCTATTGCCATCGGATCCGTTGCTGGACTCTGCATCCTCTATGTGGTTATTTCCAAGCTCGCTGACATATTCTTCCCCAGCAGCGAGCCGCGCCACCCGAAGCCCAAGATCAGCCAGCACCTGCTGGCCAAGCCCGAGCTCGAGGAGGTGGTAATTGAGAGCGCCCACAAAGCTAAGATATCAAAGGAGACGCAGCGGGGGAAGGGCCAGGAGTTTGCTACCGACATTGGCATATTTGGCGGAAATGAGGCCTCGCAGGCATATGTCGGCGGAGCAAACGGGGGTTATGCCACCACTAACATCTCGTAGATTCGAGAAGGACAATTGAATACAATATTGTGGTTTCTTCTCCAGCTTGCTCGCTGCACATCACATCACACGGAGGTAGCAGTGGCAAGGGAATTTGTGGGGTCCATTGGCAGGCATGCTGTCACCAGGTCATGGTGGTTCTTTTTAACACAGCCAAGACCTTCGGCATGAGCTTGGCGGCATCAGGACGCTATTGGTGTCGTTAAATATTGCTCTTCCTTTTTTTTTTCTTCTTCTTCGTCTTTGTCTTTATCTTTGTCTTCAAGTAAACGAGCCTTCCTCTTCGTACAATACATTTTTCTGCTTCTTTTTGAATATGTCGCCAGGTGATATTTCTTTCACTGTGGTTGCTATAATAATTGTTATTGTGTCCGCTACCTTAACTTTGTGTTTTTCCGTGGATATTATTTATTACCTTGGGTTTTTACTGCGCAGCCTTGTTGAGCGACTGTGGAGATGGGTTTGCCTGCTTCCATACAGATTGTCGGCCAGCTTTGGCCGGCTCAGGGATAGAGTCAAGGCTGCTAAGTGGAGAAGAGACTCCAACGCATCTGCATATGAAGCAGCATATCTAGGGACACCGGTTGTTGTTCCTGAGAAGACTGCATATGGCAAGGGAAAGGAGCTTCTCAAACGCTCACTGACCTACTGCAGTTATGTAAGCTCAGTCACTACCGCTAAGGACTCAGTTGCCATTTCAATGCCTGGCGGGGACAGCGACAGCAAGCACCCCAAGTAGCTTTCATACTTGTCAAGATGGTTATTACACTGCTTACCTGATACCCTCTGAATGGTCTCCAATAGTAATCATTTGAGTTCCTTGGTGACCTTTACATAGGATGCTGTGGGCAAACCTCCATGTTGCTCCATCAACCACAGCGCCTTATATCACTACAAGCTATTGCTGCATATTTCTCGCCAATTTCAGTGTAAGGACTTGCCACCATTGGCGCTGTCAATAAAGTTCTATATAGCATACGCAGAACTGACTTGATGTGTTATCCGAAAGCTTGATCCCCTAATAACAGCTGTCGATGCATCGCTGGCCGGGATTTCCCTTTCCTTCACCTAGTATCTTCAGTTACTTGCCTACTTTATAATTTTAAAACCAGAATGGCGACGCCGATTGCAGAGTCTGTGGATACAGATGCGAATTTAGTAGAGTCGAATTCGACAGCTGCTGGGCCTACGGAGGCGGCAGAGTTTTCAGCAAAGTACGCCGAGTTTCTCTCCTCTGATTTCGACCCCATGCACTACGCACGACGGGTAGTGAGTGAGGGCGGCAAGCAGGGCAGCAACGAAGCTGCGCCACCAGAAATCGACCAACTCATAGCGACGCTGGCAAATAGAGCCGACAGCCTCGAGACGCTGATGAAGCAGACGATTCTGAACTCGCACGAAGACCTGCTGCGGCAGGTGATCGGTGTCAAGGCGGTTGACTCGACACTGGGCCACATCGAGGAGCAGGTGCGCGAAATAAAGTCGTACATGCACGCATTGCGAGCAAAGATCCGGGTGCCGTACGAGCAGGCACTGATGTACACAAACCAGTCGAGCAACCTGCAGGCGGCCATAAAATATGTGAGGTCGACGTCAAAGTTCATTCAGCTGGTGCGGCGACTAGTGGTGCAGATTCCAGACTCTGCATTCGACAATGGCAAGGGACCGAAGCCAGACTATCCGCTGGCGGCGCTGACACTGCTTGATATTGAAAAGCTGGTTGGTAGTAGCGATCTGGATGGGATCACTGTCATCGACGATGCGATGGCGAGTGTCGTTAGCAAGCGGCGCGAGCTGACAATGCATGAGGCAGGCAGCATGCTGGATACAGGCATGAAGCGGCAGAACCAGAGCGATATCGCCAGTGGCCTCCAGATTCTATTCAACCTGGGCACACTAGCCAATACAGTTGCAGGCAAAGTTCGGCAGTATACAGTGGACTGGGCGCAGCATATATCTGGCAAACTCGATCCAAAGTACATCCAGGCATATGTCCGTGAGCACAATGCCAAGGCTACTAGTGCTGACGGCAGCGACATGATCGGCATCACATCGGTGGTGTGGTCGACGATTGAGGAGCTGATTGGGGAGCTGCTAGTGCGCGGACTCGAGCTGCGAACACTCGAGCGGGTGCTTGCCCGCAAGCGCGATACTTTGCCGCGGTTTGACGTATCAGTATCGGCACTGGATTCCAAGGCCGACGGCAGCAACGCAGCCGGCGTGTCATTTCTGGACCTGGCTGTTGAGCGGCTTGGTGATCGCGTGTTGGCGTTCTGGTGGGGTACGGCAGTCGCGGCACTGGCTGCCGAGCTGGAAGAGGCGTGCACCAACTCGAGTGTCATCCGCCAGACGCTGACTAACAGCTATCCGCGCATGGTCCAGCTGTTCTTCCCCAAGCTCGAACACATCCTGTCGCCCAAACTTGGTGGAGTCACATCCGTGGCCAGAGACGTTGCTGTCGATATGTCGTCGTGGGATCCTGATGCTGAACACCGCCGGTCATCTTTTGTGGGCCAGCCAATTCTGTCAGCCCAAAGCGTATCTTATGATGATCCAGGACCACAGATCCTGTGGGACAAGCTCTTGGGCAAATTCGAAAGCGAGTATGTCTCCAAGGCAGCCACGCGCATCGACGATGCTGTCAAGCGCTGCTACCCGCCGCCACCGCCGCCTGGCCTGCTTGACGCACAGGAGAGCTGGAAGCGCGGAACAAGCAAGGGCAACAAGCAAGCGGGGTTGGCTGGGAATGCGTCGGGTCCGACAGAGCTTGAGATGATGACGGCGGTCAACATTGTGCCGAACCGCAAGCTCGTTGCTGGTGTGGTACGTAGCATCTCGACAGAGCTCGAGATGGCCAAGTCGGATGTCAAACTGCGCTGTGCGATTGCCGAAGCTGCGTCGTCGGCAGTAGCGACATTCATTGAGATCACCACTAGCAAGATCGCAACTGTAACGGTCAACCCGCATGTTCTAGATCCGCTGACGTCACCAGCTCATCCGCTCACCAAATCATACGTTGGCCTGGTGAACTCGGTCGAGAGTCTGCGCAAGGGGTTGTCGGATATGTGCGATAGTGAGTTTGGCATAGCTACGGTGGTGGCAGCGGCAACATCGACACCACCGCGGCATTCGCGGTTGAGGTCTTTGGCACACCGTTCTAACAGGCTGTCCCGCCCCTCGTCCAACCAGTCATCCCGTACTGCATCGATGGTCGATGTGACAGCAATGTCTACCCCTGTACGCTCGGCGTCTGACTCTGGATCGATGACTGTGTTCTCTGTTCTGGACAGGTGCTTGCGTGAACTGGGTACATTCGTGACGGAACAAACCGGTGTGCTATTAGGCATTGCTGACAAGGCAATCGAGCAATGCATTATCGATGCAGAGCTGTCCGAAATCAAGCGGTTCCAACAGGCGGAAGGTACACTGGGACCACTGGAGCTGGCGGCACAGTGGCTGCAGACACAGATCCTCGAGACCCTCGAGGTCGAATGCCAGAAGCAGGTCATGCGCATGGTCGACCGCTACCTGCGGGTGTATCTGCGCTCGGTCTGTCTGACGTATCCGCTGACAGAGGAGGCGAGGCTGCGGCTGACTGGCGAGGTGACGCAGTTTGAGTTTGCATGCAGCCAGATTGTTGCTGCATCAGATAGTGCGGCATCGCTGCAGGCTTCGGGCACGCAGCAGGCAGTATCGCCGACCCGCCACCGAAGCAGCTTCACGGGCAAGCCCAAACCCAAGCTGTCGGATGTGGGAGCATCGTACCACGCACTGCGCATGATGCGGCCGCTACTGTTCTTGGACATGGCTGAACTGGCCAGAGTAACCGCCAACCAGGAGTCGCTCGATGGGTGGAAGTCGATGCCTGTGCCAGACCTCATTGATCACGTTATTTGCCGCTTGGCCACTGAGCAGGCTGGAGATCACGGGCCGTCCACCATGGAAAGGCGCCTGCCGTTTGGAATTCTTGGATGGTCCAAGGAGCAGTGGGTGGGCCTCCTGTTCGCCTCCGAGGGCATCCGGCTGCCCGGCGATTTTGTGATGCCGCCAACCAAGAACGAGCTTCTACAGAAAAACGCTGCCGGCCAATTCCCGCCACATCTGGTTTTCAAACAATCGCTGGCCAAGCTTGCTGCAGTGTCAGATGCCAGTACAAATATTGCGGACCCGCAGGCGCTAATCCAGGCTGCCCAGCAGCGACTTTCTCTGTAGGATAATTTTTCTGGGTGAGGATGCCATGCTTCAAAGTGTTTATACTAAACAACAAACATCTATTACAAAACCTGCCGCTGTGGTGTGAAGCGCATGGATTCTGCGACTTGGTTCTGGTACTCAAAGTCTTCGACGGCTGTGGACTGCGGGTTCGAAAACTGCATCTCGCGCCAGTACCGTGCCGTTTCCTGGTAACCGTCACTGCCTTTGTGGTCTTCTGAGAACGCCGAGTACAGTGGCAGGCTGGACTTGTTCTCCGTGGTCTCGACGCGGTATTCTTTGCGCAGTCCATCTGCATGCAGCTTTCTTGTCCAGTGCTGCAAGAACCTCTCCTTATTGAACATGCAGTTGAAGCACGGGTATGCAAGCATGACCCACATGGAGATGTTGCCCATGCAGAAGTCGTACCAGGTGTTGGCAACACGCAGTTTGGCATTGAGTGGATACTCGGGCTGGATCGTGTGCAAGAGGGTGGTAAACAGCACTGTCGAGAACGCCAGGAAACAGATAATGATGGACTCTATCCGCTCGTTGAACGACGAGTGGATATTGCGGATCCGCAACACAAAGTACAGAACCACAAACCAGATTAACCATAGCAAGCCGAGGCAAGCTCCACGGAAGCCCCACACATATGTGCACATCTCGTATGCCGGTACATACTTGACAGTCTTCTCGTCGCTGATAAACTGTGTAGTAAGGCAGAACGCAATCAGCGTAGCGAACATTCCAATGATGGGCGTGTAGAAGCCAAGTCCACGGTATGGTCGGTGCTGCACAAACACCCGGTACAGCGCATAGTTGCGGATGGCGAATGCGGCGCTGAATGTATATGCAAAGAATACGCGGAACCACAGACACCAGATTTTGCACCTTGACCAGACCCCGATCATCTCGACGTGGCCGTTAGTTGCAATGTCACCGACGAACCACATTGAGCCTCCAATGTAAACTAGTATCGTGAGCCTGACGTTTTTGGCACGGATAGGTGCGTAGTTTCGGTTGATGATTGCATATATCAGCAGCAGCAGCGTTACGCCGTAGAACACGCCGCCGCAGATTATCGTCATCTTGTCCAGAGGTCCGATCGGGTCAAACCTCATGCCCATGAGCTCAGCCACGTGGGCTAGCTCAGTATCGGACATGCGTTTGCCAACATCTGATGGGGCCATTATATTACTACGGAACGATATCTAAAGACAACGCAAATAAAAGGATCAAAGAGTGAGAAAGTAAATATCCGAAGAGTATCATACAGCGGCTATTAGTTGGGGTGGTGAAATGCTGGTGGCAGGGAAACCACCTTATTTATAAAGCGGAGTTGCTGGTGCAGAGCAGCGGTCCCTAGAATCAGTCCTTCGCTCTCTCTGCTCACGGCGCATATTGATAAACGACCTGAGATTTCCACCTCAGCCAGTATGGTTGAATTTTTCAGGCTGATTTACACAAGTAGGTGTGCATGGCTGGCGGCCCCATGGGTGGTCTCCTCTAGCCAACAGAAAGCGACGGATGCATGCCCACGGCTGAGTATGGCCTTAAACTGCTGGCCATATTTACCGAAGCCTGTATAGCGCAAAATTCGATCCACAGTGCCTTTTGCTATACGAGGCAGTTGGATCAGCGATGACACTCCGTTCGTGTCTTTATCAACAGCATATACCGACACAGCTACATATTTGGCAACACCAAGGGACACCAGTGCTTCTATAAACTTTTATTAGTCGTCATATTTGGGCTAAACAAACAAAAGCCGGGGATAATCTCATTTCGGTCCACAACACCAAATATTGCTATTCAAGGCAATTTCCACCCCGTCTGTGCTCAACGCCCAGGAATGGCCGCCGGTCTGTGGTTAGAAAGGAGGTGGTTGGTATCCAAGGCATGGCCGGCCGTCTGGACAACAAGCAGATCATCACAGCGGCTCTGCCAGCCAAATGCTTGTCGGAATTCACTGCTCCAAGCATGTGTCTGACGCAGCTGTGTGTGGCAAGAGACTATGCGCGGCTGATGCCCTCTGGTAGATAGCGGGCCTGTCCATGCAAATGGTCGCATGTGAAAGCTAAAAAAAAACCATGTGGTCAGCCGGTTTTTAGTTCCATGCGCACCTCTGCTCTTGCTGCGTGAGTTCCTCTACCAATGCAAAACTGGCCATGAGCTTGTAGTGAACGCACGACCAATGGGTGATCAGCAAAGGTCCGTGAGGAGTTTGCAAGGAATACACGGGTTGGAGAGCTGCTTTTGGGCAATCCGTCCGCGGCATCAAGTAATGACAGCGAGAGCCAAGAACAATGACTGTGAGCGTCGATCCAGACTTTATTTATGCGATACAAACAGTCATAAAAGACAAGCCAAAGAAGGCATGGCAATAAGGAAAGTTGGGTAATTATTGCGGTGGGGGGAAAGAACACTTCAAAGGAAGCTGAAGACGTTTCTCTCGATGCCAGGGTGCAAGAACCTGCAGGATACAGCCAGCATGTGTGTATCCGTGCCATACAGTGCAGCACCCAGCGCAGGTCTCTCTGCAATGTGTGCTAGAGGACGCGCCGCGACTCAAAGTTATAGTTGGCGTCATCATTCGACATAACCATGCTCTGGCCGCCCCAGAACGCCGTGTTCTTTTTGGAAGTTGCTGTCGCCTTCCTCATCCATGACCGAGTAGTTGCGCCTTGTCGATGGGTTGTCTGTTGAGACCTTGTACTCCTTGCGCAGCCCGTCCGCCTGCAGCTTGGCCATCCACTCGCGCTTGTATCCCTCGCGGTTGAAGATGCACTGAACGACGGGATAGAAAACCATGACCAATGTCACCAAGTTGCCCATGCAAAAGTCGAAGAACGTGTTGGCAACGCGGTACCGCATGATCAGCGGGTAGTGGGGGTTGATGGTATGCATCAGGGTGGTAAACAGGTCAATACCGAGCGCCAAGGTGCAGCAGATGATGGACTCCCACCGCTCGTTGAAGGACGAGTGGATGTTGCGGATCTTGAAGACAAAGTAGAACACAAACAGCCAGATCAGCCACAGCAAGCCCAGGCAAGCGCCACGGAATCCCCACACATACGTGCACATCTCGAGCTCGGGGACATACATGACAGTTTTTTCGTCGCTAATAAGCTGGGAGGTGACGCAAAAGATGAGCAACATCACAAACAGGCCAACAATAGGCGCATAAAACCCGATGCCGCGGTATGGCCGGTGTAGCACGAATACGCAGTACAACCCGTATGCACGGATTCCAACTGCGGCGCTGAACGTGTAGGCAAAGAATACCCGGAACCACAGACACCACACTTTACATCTCGACCATACACCAATCAACTCTACATGTCCGTTGGTTGCAATGTCGCCTACAAACCACAGAACGGCACCAACAAACACCAGGGCCGTAAGCATCAAGTTCTTGGCGCGGATGGGCGCATAGTTGCGGTTGACAAACGCATACACAAGCACAAGGAATGTGAAGCCGTAGAAGCAAGCGCCGACAATGATCGTGGCCTTATCCATAGGTCCGATCGGGTCAACGTCGAAAGTCAATTTCGCAGCCCCCTGAGCTGTACTTTCAGGACTAGGACTGCGCTCTGCTAGCTGGGCAGCAGCATCCATCACTGCAGCCATCCTTGCAGAATAGATCTGATTTGAATGAAAGAAAAATAAGTGTTGGAAGTAATTTACAGAGGATACCAAAGAGCAGATGAAAAACAGGTTGGCTGTGTGGGAGAAATGCCATGTCGATTTCCTTTTATACAGGCCTGGATCAGGCCTAGTTTTTGCTGTGCCCAACATGTCGCCGACGCTCTTGCGGTGCGCTAGCACCATGCCAAGCGTGAGGCGAAATCCCTCGCTGTTATCACCATGTGCCAAAGATCTCCATTATTGCGAACAACAACAAGGCTGGCAAGCCGAGAAAATCATCACTGACAGGGCAAAAGGATTGGATTTCCACCTATCCCACAGAGATAACCCACCTGCTGGTGGGGCGGCTGTATTGAACACCCAAGCCGTGCCTCGAAGCGAGAGTACGTTCCGATTCGCCGCCTAAAAATGTTCGGGGGCAATACAAGAATAGAAACCCCGGAAGCTGCGGATCGCCGGCTGCTGAAAAGGCAAGCGTTTGGGATTGGCATCAGACTGGCTGCTTAGTTGAGCAAAAGCCTCACCTCGCTGATGTCGCCAGAATTATCTCAGTAGTTGACAGTTGGACCAGGATTCTGACGCGTGCTGTTTGTTGTAGTTTTCACATATCATGCATTAATAGGAACAGGTTGCAGTACCTCGGCTACAAACAGTGCGCCAATCGTTCAGAGATATTGGTCCTTCCCACCCTCCTATTTCAGCGCCCCCTACCCAACAGAACGGGCAGGTTGGGACAGCCTACCAGTAAATCAATGAGCGTCAAAGACACTATATGTGTGCACATACTATGACGTACAACCACAGCACTCTTTGCTGAGGAGATTTCTAAGGCTGGAGACCGCGTCACAGAACTGCCTGGCCAAACGTTTGTTGTGCCAACCAAGCAGTCCTCGAGCACTGCATTTTCACTCAGTTTGAATGCTGACGCTAACTTTGGTAGACCCATTTACAAAGTAGTTGTGTGAAACCGCCGCCTGGTGATCTTGGATCTGTATACCTGAGGTTTGTGCTCCTTCAGTCGGAGACTTGGAATGCAGAGAAGGCACTGGGTCGGCTCTTTTCGACCATTCTACCATGTATTCGTCTCGGTGGACCAGACACTGATATAGGGGCTTGTACATAATTGTCCACCAAGCGATATATACAGCCGCCTGCTCAACCAATATAATAGACAGCCTCCACTTGAGCAGACTAGGGTAGAGGTTGTATTTGTAGTATACAAGGGTGTGGTAAAGCTGTGCGACGATAAATGCTATGCACCCAACTTCGAGCTCGCGGTTCTCGCCAAAGAAGCATATTGTTCGGTGTATAAGAAGGCAGCCGACAACAAATGTCCCTAGTGCTGTCCAATTCAGTGCTGTTGAAGCATCTTTAAACCTCGGGCTCATGTTGCATATCTCCAGAACATCCACAAAGCTTACCGTTTCCTTCTTGGGAAGCAATGTTATTATAACTGCACAGATGACTGGGATAGCAAAGGATGTGATGGTGATCATGTATTTCCACATTCCCTCAAATGGGCGGTGGAGCTGGTATTTGAAGAATAGCCGGATGCACCGCAGATAGAGCAGGTTGAATATAAATGCCTCGCCAGTTACTGGGCGTAGCCAGACAATATGCAGCGTGCAATTTGACCAGAACTTGTTGGACAGGTGGAGCACTTCATGCGTTCCAAGTCCTCCAATAAACCAGCTGATCCCACAGATATAAACGCATGTCATCGTCAGCACCCCTTTGGCCCGAATAGGCGGGTAGTTTCTGTTCAGTACCATGTATACTACTGCGAGCAACTGCACGCTGTACAATACAGTAATGGCTATTATAGTCGCAAGATCTGCCTTTCCTATATGGTCCAAGGTTACTCCAACAAGGCTGGCGAATACGACGCGCCCTTTTTCCTTTTCAGTGAACGTGAATGACATAGTAAATAAAGGGGAAGAAAGGACAGTAAAGGTGTAAGTGCAGATGCCGGGTAGGAATGCAAGCAAGGAGGGGTGCTTGTAGGTAAAGGTGAGGGAAATAAGTATGCAGCACCCTTTTACTAGCATGTACACCTGCAGGATCAAGCAGCGGTATAAAGCATGGGGGTCGTCCTGTGGCCATGTATGGCGCCTGATAGATGAAGGCTGCTTCAAGGAAGCACATAAATTCAGATTGACAAACACCCATTTTTGTTTGCTTGATTCAAATAGTACTCGTTTTCATTTACAAACGTCAAATTGGTGGTAAAAGGGTGGTGCATTTGCCACTTGCTGTCACCTTCGGTCATTTATTCTATGTATCTCACACAAACTACACAATACTACAATCTGAAAGGGCCATACCTCTAGGACCTATCCTATAAAACATGTATAATATATGCATTGTCCCTCGCTAGCCAACTTCTTGCTGTGTCCAACCCTCTTATTCACGCTGATGAAGCGTCAAAGGAATTGAATAAATACTGACATGTTACGAGCATATACAAGAAACGTCATCTCAAGGTATTCGGGTCGGGCGTGCCGGGCAGGCAGCAAAATATTATCTAGCTAGCACAATGCCGCTAGAACACACTAAAGTGCATTCAGACATTACGACATAATCAATGCACTCAGAAAAATGAAACAATAAGACTACGACAAGCACAAGATAAACGAATATATTATAGGGGTCACAGATGTATATGAAGGGAAACAAGGAAGGAACATTAGCTGTTTTTGTTACCCGGGATAGGGAAGTTATATTGGGACAGATCCCCAATATTCTCATTGACGGTGGTAGTCGAGCTCATGTGTTCAAGGTGGTTGAGCTGCTGAGTATGAGAACGCTGTGGTGAGAAGAGCACAACATTTGAGCGGTCATCGTCAACATGGCAGTTGTCGCTGGTGATGCTCTCACACTGCTGGTTGTCTTCGGCTGTGTACCACTGCTGGTCCAGGCTGTTTCCCATGACCCGGCTCTGCTCCTGAACACTATGGCGCGAGAAGGACATGCGTGGGTCGTAGTTGTTCAGGCCAGCTGCCATAGCACGGGGGATAGTCACAATCTTCGTGGGGTGGCAGTCGGGTTGGATCTCGGAGTCGGCAAACGGATCAGTGCGAGTCATCTGGTACTGCTTCTGGAGTCCATCACGTACCAGCTTGCTCTTCCATTCGTTGAGGTACTGCTCACGGCGGAACGCGCACATGAGCACGGGGCAGTACATAATATACCACCACAGCGCAGTGCCAAGCAGGTGGTTCAGCAGCGTCTCGGACAGACGAGTCCTCGTCATGGTTGGGTATAGCGGGTACGCATAGAGGATGACGGTATTGTATGTCAGCAAGATAAAGACGCTGATGACCGAGACAGCCATTTCACGGTTTTCATTGAACGACGCCGTGATGTTCCGCAGCCGGAACAGGATACATCCATGGATGACCCATGTCAGCCACAGTACCCCCTGGACCAGGCCGCGCAGGAGATGGCTCAAGCTGCACATTTCAATCATCGTGATATAGTATGCACTGGAGTGTCTGGGCAGGCTGTACGACACAATGATCAGGGCTGCAGCGGGAATAACTGCGATAGTCACCGAGCCATACAGATATTTACCGCGGAAGGCACGGCTACGGCGGAAGATGCAATATAGTGCATAGCTTCGCAAGGCGATGGTGGCACTGACAGCGTAGCACCCGAAGCAGGTGCGAACCCAGATTATCATCCAAATACAGTTACTGAGAACCGGGCCCCGTACGTGGACGTGTTGGTTAAGCACCAGGTCGCCGATAAACCAGATGGCAAGACTGACCATGATGATGCCCATCAGCTTCGGATACTTTGACTTGATCGGCGGGTAGTTTCGGTTCTTAATCATAAATGCAGTCCAGCTCAGGTTGAACGCGTAGATGATGCTGATGGATATAATCATTGCCAGATCCTTGTGCCCGATGGGGTCCATGTGGATACCGATCGCCTTTGCAATCTCCACGCGCCTGTGCTCTGCCGGCGTGAAGTCGAACTGCATTATTAAAATGACCCGAGGACGTTAAGGAAAGGGGTGACGGTGCCCAAATTATAATATCAGATGTATGCAGGAAATAAAAAGGACGGATATTCGAAGAAATGGAATCAAAAGAAGAGGGTAAATGCGGCGGCGAAACCGGGAATCCAGGCAGACGCCGACCGGCTAGCACCAATATATTTTTCTTCAAAGTTTCAACCGGCTGTGCCAGAGTGGGCTGCAGAAATATAAACAACTATCGTCGAAATACTAAAGGTGACAATTACGCGTGGCGGACTCGAGCAGCTCAATACTGCAACCACCATTGCAAGCAGATTGTCAGCAAAAGAAACAACAACCAAGAAGTCAGGACAACAAGAAGCGGGCGATAATATGTGTCTCCTCCCCAATAACATAGACCATGGTCTGTTAGCAGAAAAGCCTCCCTGTTTTGGATGCTTTCACAATGCGTGCATTACTTTGGTCGAAAAGGGGGTTCCAGTCCATTGTTTCCTGGCTTGTTAAAACGAGAATTACACTGACAGTATTTGGTTCCACACATGAAGCATGCCGTTGCCCAGCCTCTCCGTCGAAGTTGAGCCAGGCGCCAGTAGCCGACGTGGCGAGATGGAGCTGGCTAGTGTTACCCACATGCTGCGCCAGGTCGCTGCGACCCTGGCAAGCACTGGAGTTCCATGGCCGGGTGAAATACAGCATACATCTGGGTCTGTGGGCTGTCGGTAGCCCAGATTTGTTTCTGGGGAATCGTAAAGGTCAATGAGCAGGCACTTGGCCCTTGGAAAATGGTGGCCGGCACGCGGTCCTGAATCCAGTGATCCAGCCAACCAGACCGACTCGCTATGAGCCAGGGGCAAGCAGTCTAGGAGATGAGCCAAAATCAGCAGCAGCCACAAAGGGCTGGCTGGGGTCCGGGACACAAGCCCGCCTGTCTGTGCTCTTCTATTTCTTACCCCAAAAAAATAAAATAGCCGTATATTTTTTCGTTCTTCTGGTTTCTACTTGCTTTTTCAACTACTTTTCATATCACGATGCCACCTGTCCAGGACGCTGAGAAAGCCAGTAGCACTGTTACTAAAGGGCCATCGCCGCTGTCATCATTGCCATCATTGTCATCATTGTCACCATTGTCACCATTGTCATCCGAGTCGCAGGCAGAAGAGCTCAGGGCGCTGCTGTCAGAGGCAGCCAATGTGTTTGCAGGCTACGTTGATGAGGCAGCTAGAGACTCGTCCGACGTCATTAAGAATGCATCGCCGCAGCAGTTGTTGGCAGCACTCGATCTGAGGCTGCCCGAAGACGGCGTAGGTCGGGACGGTATCTGGAACGACATTCACAGCATCTGCGACTCGGCAGCAAACACGTGGAACAAGGGCTTCTTGTTCAAGTTGTTTGCATCGCCAACGCCGATTGGGGTGGTCGGTGAGGGACTTACAGCGCTGCTCAACAACAACTCCCATGTCTACGAATCATCGCCGACTGCCACTGTTCTGGAGGCCACACTTGGCTCGAAACTCGCTGAGATGGCCAACTTCCCGACGGACACTGCGGCGGGACTCACATTCCCTGGCGGATCATACTCGAACATGCATGCGCTGATGACTGCTCGCAACCAGCGATTCTGCGAGCTCAAAACTGGTGGGTTTGCTGCATTGGCAGGCGTGAGGCCAGTCGTCTTCACCAGCCATCATGGGCATTATTCGATCGACAAGTCTGCGGTGGCAGCCGGTATTGGCCTTGATAACGTTATCAAGGTGCCGACTGATGCAAACGGCCGGATGGATCCACAGGCACTGCGGCATCTGGTTGCCCAATCAATTGCCGCTGGTGCCACGCCATTCTTTGTGAATGCCACAGCCGGAACTACGGTGCTTGGCGCGTTCGACCCAGTGGCCGAAATTGCCGATATCTGTGAAGAGTTCTCAATGTGGCTTCACGTTGACGGATCCTGGGGCGCGCCGCTGGTGCTGTTTGGCGACCGCGAGGCAACAGGCTTCGAGTTTCCAGCAGGGAAAATCAACTCGCTCACTGTGAATCCGCACAAGCTGATGGGTGTTCCCCTGCAATGTTCGTTCCTGATCATGCGCGATGGGCTCGGGACCATGAAGGAGTCGCTGGGACTCAATGCCAGCTACTTGTTCCACCAGCAGACACACGCAGACGATATGCTATCAGTAGGCGGTGATCCTGCTTCAGCCGCCTGTGCGAGACTGGGCGGCAGCTGGGACGTGGGTGACGCGACCATGGGATGTGGCCGGCGGCCAGATGCGATCAAGCTGTGGGTGAGCTGGAGATACTACGGGACAAAATACTTCCACGACCGTGTCGTTCGCGCCCGGCAGCTGGCTCTGGATTTAGCTTCAATGGTGGAGACCCGGCAAACCGCAGAGGGCCAATGGCGGCTATTCACCCGGCCGCAGAGCAACTGCGTATGCTTCTGGTTTGTGCCTCATGGCATTGGTGAGGAGGACCTAGGCGAAGTTACCAAGGCAATCTGCCATCACATCAACAAGGCAGGCAAGATCCTAATTGACTATGCTACTGTGGATCTGTACAAGCCATTGCCTGGCCAGGCGATCGGTGAAAGATACCAGATCCCTACGTTCTTCCGCATCCCGCTAAACAACCCGGCCGTCGATACAAGCACATTGGAACAGATTCTGTCGATTATCGAGGGAGCATCTGTTGAACTCTACCACCAGTAGTCTCACTGAGAATGCTTCGCCTAGTGTACTTTATGCGCCATTGCCAACGTCTTGTAGAAAGAAAGCGAGAATAATATATAGCTACGAACACCGTACCAGTCCACCGTTATCAAGCCAACAGGCCGGGTGTGTGCATTACCTCTGCCCGTATTCTCGCTGATCCATTCGGCCGGCGTCATCCCCACAATGAGCCTAGTATTAATGAGAAGCATGAGGCAAATTGCAGGTTTCTGCGAGATTATCGCTTAATTTCTTTGGTTCTCCCTTTAGCCTATTCGCCATTTCAATCATGACTCAGGGATTCTGGTTCATAGGATCGGTTTGGATACCGGAACAGCCGCCGGCAATGGGCGACGGGAGTAGCAAAACGGTCCACGTGTTTGAAACTTGGGCGGCAGTAGTCTGTGCTCTGCTCTGTGCTGTCACCCTGGTATCCAGCTACAAGACAATAAGGCGGTTCCGGGTTTACTTTGAGGACGATGCACCAGCAAACAGCTCACCATCACTATTCTTGCTCCCCTGGCTCTCGTGCAGCGACATTGTGGCTACTGTAGCCAACATGATGCTTCTGGGCTTTGACCATGTCGGCAGCGCGTCCAGTATACGTCTTCGCATGGCACGCCGCGTGCTACTGACGACGCAGCTATCGTACATGTTTACCTACGTTTTGCTATCGATCCATGTGCTATCGCGAGTCGGAGCTGTCAATCCTAGATTCGAGCGGAAATACTACGAGTACTACGGACCGGCCGCAGGTCTTTTGGCCTTTTTTGTGACGCACGAGATTATTGCGACGCTGCCAGGCTTCTACACATTTTACAGATGGCTCATGCCACTGGCGACAATGGCCTGCATCTGTACGGCAGCAGTGGTGGCGCGTTCCCCCAAGCCGGTCGTGCCTGCCGAAGCACCACCTGCTGATACGCGCAGGCTAGATGAGAGTGATGTCGATGAACTGGCTCTAGGTGACTGCGCAGATTATGCAGACTATGCCAAGTATGCGGCTGCTCTATTTGCAGCCTTCCATGCTCCATGGATGCTTGTCTCTGGGGGCTCTTGCTTGGTGTACGTGCCATGCATGATCCTTTGCGCACGAGGGCTCCTACCCCTTGGCCTGATCACCAAATGCCCTGTCATTATCAATGAACACTCCCAGGAGCAAGAGCATGAGCACCAAGAATAGACAAAATATGGTGTCCATACCTTTTTCTTAAAAGGGGAGCTAATCCAATTGAAATACACATGTTGCTGAGCTGCTGTGTCTTTTTTCCTTTCATGCACACTAGATGCAAAGGAGGCTGTGAAGCAGAAAAGCGGCCGCCTGTTCTTTCAGCGCGACGGACCACAGGCTGGGAAGCGGGCCCTCAGCCTTTTCCCTACCTCTGACGAAATTAAGAGCCTTGATCAAACCCAGCCCGGCGGTGTCGTAAAAGTATTGATTGTCTGAACGCCAATCTATAAAACATGATCAACATCTAATATGTCCATCCATCATCTGTGACCAGTGTGCACATGTATTTTTGGCATACTCACCGTCACTCAGAATGCATCTTTTGCGAAATATTTGCGCTACCGCTGTCCCAAGATTCTCGCTGTTGGAACCGGCTCATAATTGCTGGCACTATTTTGGTGATCCTTTCTCACCTCTTTCATAAGTCAATGCTACATCCCCACCCACTTTCACACTTGCAAGGTCACTTCGGCTGGAATCTGCTCAAGCTTTGCTCCACTCTGTGAACTTGTACTGGACATGCTGTGCAGCTCCTCGGATGTGCCACGTTCATAATTGGCCTTTGTGGTAAAGAGTGCGAAGATTTGTCACCGTCTACAGTGCGAATATGAATCTAAAACGCGGCAACTGCGAACAGCACGCCTGCTGGGCGATTGGGCAGGCGCTCGTCGGCCACTGTAAGGCTTGCAGAAGAGTGCACTTCCTGAGTCTGCATCAAGCGCAAATGTGGAGCAGATGCTGGCTCAGAGCCAACCCGGGCCCATTCACAGATTCGAACAACTATAAATGGCAGCGAGCATGGCCACCATTGTCCAGGCTTCATATATCCATTTACCTTCACCGCTCAAGAGAGAACACACCTCAAATATGAATATTTATCATTAAGCAGCACCATCCTTTAGATGTCCTATCTGTCTTTGCTACCAGCCCTTTCGTTTTTGTGCTGCTAGTTGTCGCTTCTTTGTTGTTATTCATGCCTATCATATACAAATAGCCTCACCATTTATATTTTAACCTCTTTATACCCTTATTGCCCACTTCACCTTTCTTGTTTTCCTCCAACCACTAGCTTCAGTCTATATTTGTGTACTTTTTCAAGCTTGTTTAAACACCACAATGGCTAATGGCTTTCCCTCTCCGCCCTTTGGCCCCCACGGCGTACTTGGTCACTGGGCCGTTGTCGGCCACGGTTTTAGCATTGCCTCTATAATATCGTCAATCTTCGTCATCTTCGTTGTTGCTATCGCCTGTTGGCACAGCCGTCTCTATTACAACCGCCCCTCGTTCCGCCTCTCCGCGTGGATTGCAGTATGCGATGTCATCTACGCTGTCTGCCAGGTCTGCACGTTTGACAACCAGCTCATGACGTCTCTGCCCATGATTAATCTGCGCGCAATCAACTGGATGATGAAAGGATCGGTACTGTCGTTCATCTTGCTCTCGGTATGCCTCGGAATCCACCTCATCCTGACTGTAGTTATGCGCAAGAAGCACCTTGCTGACAAAATCCAGTATTGGTACGAGCCAGTCAGTCTAGTCGCCGGGTTCTTGATCTCCCACCCGATCATGTACCTCTACGATGGCGTGCAGTGGAAGGTCAACTCGCAGGGGTTCCACTTTATCGGAGACCCGAATACATTCAAGCGAAACAGCTGGCTTATCCTTTGGGGCTGGGTGTTTGCTGGCGTAATATTCCTGGTTGCAGTGTCATTTATGGTCTATATTGTGATGCTCAGCACGTTTCGTGGCACGATCCAGTACATGCAGATGCCTGAAGGCGATGATGGCCTCGAGACCCTCACTTCCTCATCCATGAGCAAGGAGCGCAAGCGACTAATCCGCTCAGTCATCATGCGTATTGCCATGTACCCTGCTGTGCCGATTTTCACGCAGGGCTGGGTACTTGCTGCCAACACGGTCACCACTCTGCCGTACTGGCTCTACGTTGTAGCCAGCCTGATGCCCGCACTACAAGGCGCGTTCAATTTCCTCGTATTCCTGTTTAATCCGGCTTGGGATGGCCAGCGCAGGATGCTTATCGATCCTTTCCTTAAGCGCATCGGAAAGAAGCAGAAGCAGAAGCAAAAGGACCTCGAGTCTGGAAGCGCAGACATGTTTGTGTACCACACAAACGACTCGACCATCAGGCTTTCGCCGTATCAGTCGCGTAACTAAGATGCGCCTCCCAATCCTTACTGCTACCAAAATGTTAGACCTCTGCCATGCTCTGTGCAGTTTACCCTCTCGTGGACTATAAAAAGCAAACTAATGTATCGTGCGTTGCTAATGCTGCTGCAAAGTTACAAGGGGGGTAGATGGGAAAGAAACGCAACCTGTTACGCCAAATAGTGTATTTAGAAGTCGTCTACATCCGATCCATCCGACAGCTGCTCTGGTATTCCGTACTCGTCGTGGGGAGCTGCGGCTGAATCTTCCATGCCACGTGCAGACGGCAGCGGGGTCCCGCTGTAATCATCGTCCTCGTTGTGCTTGGCCTCTTCGCAAGCATCAACCCACTCGCTGTAGACGTCGATCGGCTCGCTAAGGTGGGTCAGTGCTGCCTGGTACGTGGCCGAACACACCTTGCACTTCAAATTGCCAACCTTGTGCTCCTTGTCCATAGACACGATAATAGACTTTTCGTGGTTGCAGAACAGACAGTCGAATGTCGTGTCCAGCTTGGGTTTTTCCTTCTTTACGATTTTGCGTGACGACTTTCTTTTGCCCATGGTATATGTGAACGGCTGTGTAAATGAATAGGAGTGGGGTTGAAATTGGCTTTCTCTGGAATTCCCAGAGCACGCAAAATACACTCTTGGACTGTAGAGAGGCCTTGGTTGTGGGATCGGATTGGATCGCAAAATTTGGATGCTAACTGCTGCCGGCCACCAGTGCGTCGCCGCTGCCGGTGTAGCAATAGCCCAGGCGGACTGCTACATCCAAACAAGGAGATGGAGCTATTTTATTGTGGAAACATTTAGTCGGTACTCTTACACGAAATAAAAAAAACAATGCGATGATATGAAGGAAAGACAGGTGCTAGCAACAGTAAAAAAAGGTACAAGGCAAGATTTTAGAGAAGATGGCGGTCTCCGGGCAAATGGTAATTCAAGCCATCTGAGGCATCATCATGGCTCCACGTCAAGGCGGCGTGGACAGGCTCAGGATATGTGATCGGTGAATGTAGCGGCGAGCGGCTTAAAACCGGACCCAGTGGCGAACGACTCGAGCTCGGAGCCATGTGCGGGGCGTTGTGTGGCGGAATCACCAATGGGTTCTGCAAGGCGTTCTCGGACTGCCGTCCCTTGCGGCGTAGCGTCCTGCGCACGCCGCTATTATTTTTCTCAGCACTAGTATCGGCTGGGATGCTGAACGGGTCGTCGCCGCTCGTCAGTGTCGTGGCAGTAGCCGGCGACACAGGCTGGATGTTGAAGGGGTCGGGTGTGGGCATAAATTTGTGTGTTGACATGCGCCTGCTGTCTAGGCTTACGTCCGAGTGGTTGCCGTACTTGATGGGGTCAATAGCGCTGTCGGGGCGGTTCTGTCTGCTGCCCTTACCGTGGTTGCGCTTCAACTCATCGCCGTAGTAAAAATCGACATTGCGCGAGTTCGAGTACATGTATGATGAGTCGTGCGGGTTGTAGGCATGGCTGCTGAAGGGTGCGGTCGAGTGAAGGATGCTTGTACTGGTAGTGTTTGATACAACGTCATACTGGCGCTGCAGACCGTCGTCACGCAACTTCTTGGTCCAATGGCGCAGGTACTGCTTGCGGCGGAATATGCAGTTGAACATGGGTGTGAACATGATGGTCCACCAAACCAAATTGCATGCAATATGATCCAGACCCGTGGTAACTAGCCGCAGCTTACCATTAAACGGGTAGGTTGGGTGCGTGTAGTGCATGGTGGTAGTGAAGATGAGGACAGCAAACACTACCAGGCAGCAGAATGCCATCTCACGGCTCTCGTTGAAGGAGCTCTTGATCCGACGGATCTTCCAATTGATGACAGCCACAACCACCCACGCAACCCAGATGAACGCAAACAGGGACGCCTTGTATCCACTCGTATATACACACACATCCAGCATGTCTACGTACTGGATCGTGACCTTCTGCGACAGCACCTGTGAGATGATGCCGTAGATAAGGAGAAGGCCGCAGAAAATGATGAATGGCAGGTACAAGCCAAACCCATTGAATGGCTGGTTGAGCCGGAACACACGGTACAACCCGTATGAGCGCAGGGCAATCAGCGAGCTCACAGTGCAGACACCGAGCAACACGCGCACCCACACACCGAACGCCTTGCAGTTTGTCAGTGCAGTGCCACTCAAATGGACGATTCCATTGGCCTGCAGGTCGCCAATAAACCACAGCACAAACGATATGTATACTCCGACCATGATCATTGGGCTCTTTGACTTTAATGGCGGATAGCTGCGGTTCCATATCAGAAACACCACGGCCAGCAGGTCGATGGCGTAGATGGATGCAAACACGACGAGCAGCGCGAGCTCATTCTTTCCGATCGGGTCCAAATGGTAGCCAAGCAACCTTGCGATTTCCACCCGGTTCTGCTCCTTAGGTGTCAGTGAAAAGGACATAGATGGTAGCGTCTATATAAATAATTACTATTTACAAGTGGTAGTTAGCTGAGATGGCAGAAGAAATGAAAAAGGGAGACAGCTGGATAGCTATAGCGTTGGCCATGGTGCTCGTAGGGGAATAGGAAAGGGGGACTGCGAACAAACAACCCACAGCAACCCTCATGGAGCAACTCAAAAAGAATGCGCCCGCTGTTCGATGATGGACCCAGTGACCTCAGTCACAAAATCATGGCCACATTCCATGTGGAATGGCCTCCCTCCCGCCATACGCGTGTGGGGGTCTGGAAAGAGCTTTAATACAATACTGGTTTCCACCCTTGGCAGGAATTTGCAGATTTTCCCATGGACTAGAGAGAAGAGGGGAGCGCTGCCAACGCATGCGCCCAGTGCATCTGCGCATGCCACAAATCAGCGATGTCCGCGCTATGGATCTACACCCAGCCCATACCAGCGCGCAATTTCCGTACAGTCTGTGAAGCTGCAATTATAGAAGAGCCGATTTGGAACAGAGGAGAAGGCTGTCATTCACAATCCGGCGAATAGTTTGTGCTGATCCATGGTCCTGCAGCCCCAAGCACTCCATGAACAGACCGCCACCGCTGCCACCATGAATGCGGTCCAACCACATAGTAATATCCGGCCATTATAAGCTATACGTACCTGGCGATCTATGATAAGGATCCTTGTGTCGGGAATAAATGAACGACTCAAGCAAGGTGTAGTGGGTTGGAAACGGGTTGGCTCCTTGGTTGCAGCAGTAAGTAGAAATGGCCGCGTAAAGAAAAAAAAAATCAGGCTCGAGCCGTGAAAGATACAGGATATGCAAGAAAGAGGGGAAAAAAAGGTTGAGGAAGAGGGTGAGCAGGAACCGACGATCCACCAGCGCGCGAGGAGGCAGAAAGAGCAGCTTTATACTGTTATAAGGCCAAAGCTCGTAGCGTTAGCTCAACCGATTTTTTAGACCACAGTTGCTCTACAATGCTGATGCTTTTGCAGTCGGGATCGGACGCAAAAGCTTCCTTTATTCTGGGTCCATGCTGGATTTGCCAGAATATAGCCCATCCCAGCACAAGAGAAAGCCGAATCGGCCGGAAATTACAGCACTCGGGTAGGGAGGGAGAGCGCGAGTAAGAACACGAGAAAATAAAGGCAATGATGTGCTGGCGCCCGGCCAATCCCTCTCCCCAGTCGGAAAGAGCAACAACATAGCGAAGATCAGCCAGAGCACTGTCAGCCACAAGGCTGGCAGTTTTAGATGGCAAACGTTATTTTTTGCGCGCCAGCGCTCAAGGCCAGCGCTCTTATTCCAGCAAAGCACAGGGACCAGTGGCAGACACACAAAATAACGTCATGAAAACAGCAGGAGCGACGACTCTGCAGTTACTTTGGGATTACCAAATATAAAAGGCATTGGTATTTTCCACAACAAACTAATGTAAACAGTCAGGCACCAGCAAGAGTATTTATAGCTTCTTCTTCTCGGGCAGACCGTCACTGCCATACACCGAGGATGTGCGACCCGACAGACTGTTACTGTGAACTGTGCTTCGGCGGGCAAAGTCGACAATCAAGTCACCAATTGTGGCCACGGCCAAATCCACCGCTGCTGCCAGCTGCCGACACATCTCCACGAGGACCTGGATGCTGTCCCGCCATCCCTGTATGGCAATGGGCCATAGCCCAGCAGCAATGGTGCTGATGTGCACAAGCAACTGCTGCCAATAGCTTGACGCCAGGTGGTGTACGTAGCTTACGAGCTCACTTGACAGAATCCACGCATGGGTTTTCGCAAGCAATCGAAGCGGCTGGAGTCGCTGCAACAACCTCGACATGTGCACAGTTGCTCCTTGCCAAGCACCACACAAGTGGCGGAAAAACGATGTAGCAACGGTCCAAGCAATACGTCTGAGCCTTGCCACCAGAATTCCAGAGGCCAGCCGGCCCATGTACGAGACTGTGAAAGCCCACAGCTGCGATGCATGGGCGGCCATTGCCTGCATCCTCGGCAATATCATTTCGCGGGCCCGTGAATATGCAGCATGGCTGTATTGGATGAGCCATGAATACTTGGCCAGCAGCGCCTGCATGCGAAGATACACCTCCACCACCCCGGGAATCACGGTTGCCGAAAAATGCTTGACAAGTCGAATGCCAGCTATGAGTGCATTCTTGGATTGCTTCAGCAAGGGTACAAGACGCGCCCAAACAGTAGATGTCTGGATTCGGCTGAATAGTAGAATTGCGGATCCGACCAGAAACTGAATAGCACAGTCGCCTGCAAGCATACAGACCCGAAAAGCGGGTCGCCATGCACGCTCATATGCCAGAACTGCCTTGGTACAGATCCAGGGTGCCATCACTCCGCTGACGAATGCCTTGACCATGCGGATCCGCTCCGAGGACGGAAGCAGCATGAGCAGCACAGGTCGTAGCCAATGCCGGTGGTGCTTCAGCCAGCCAGACACAGCGCCGATCCACTGCCACAATAAGACAAGGTCGCACATCAAGTCCCGGCTCAAAATCCTGGCTGCCTTCCAAATCTGTCTAGCAAGCCAGCATACCCGCCAATATGTGGCCGAGATCCCCGCAGCAGTCGCACTACAGGCAGGCACAATATAGTCTAACACTGCAAGCTCGGTAAAATCGCGCAGCACCGGTCCACCGGTCTCTTGCCACCAGCAGCCAAAGTCAGTGCACCGCGCAAGCAAGTATGAGATAAACGAGCCGATGGCAGGCAGGCCGGTATTGAATGCCCATACAACTGTGGTCTCGGTGATAAGAATGGCTGCATCAACCATGCGCTGCTTCAGATTGAGCCGAGTCACAAGCCCTGTGACAATCGTATGCATGGTTGCCGCAGCCGTGCGCACTGTCGATAGCGAGTGTGCTGCAGCATTCAGCAAGGCGTCGATGGTACAGAACACTAGCAGCTCAAAGACATCCCAGCCAAGACGCACTACCACATACGCTGTGGCCAGCGGCATCAGGGGCAGCGCTGCAATAAAGCGCTTCCACCCGCGCCGCCTCCTGCTTGTCTGCGGTGTTTGATTTTTGCTGTCATCGCTCTCCCCCTCTGATTCCGACCATGACTGCAACTGGGCACGGCAAGCACCACTCGACCAGCGCCGCCGCTGCCACCGCTTTGACTCCGCACTGCTGTCATCTGAAACCTCCGGCTGCTCGTCCAAGAAGCTCATGCTCCTGCGTCGAACTTTTTTAGTCTGCGCCATCTCCTCTATGTGCTTGCGTGCCTCTTTCAGCTTCCGCTTGACAACACGCCGCTCCCGCCAATCTAGCGTGTAGTTCTTTGCAGCTGCAAAGAACAGGAGTGCGAGTAAAGCACAGCTGAATGATACGAATTGCAAATTGAAGTCTGACTTTTCTCGAATTCCCATTTTTGAATTTTGCGCCGTGCTGTGAGAATAGAGAATAAAGTTCAAGTTGAGGAGAAAAAAGGACTTCTTGGCAAAAAAAATATTGCCTGACGGTGTCACTACTGACTACTGACACGTGTCCAATTACCTCCACCAGTCGACACCTGGCCATTTGGTGCCAGCAGTCTCCGACTCATACTCGGCTGACGGAATCCAACAGAGCCACAGTGGCCGGGATAAACACAGCGGTCAGTCCTCCAGAAAACCGAAGCCTGGCAACCAGACCAACAGCCAAACCATATCCCTGGTAGGTAAAGATCATTGTGAACAGCTTTTTATGTGAATGATTTATGGCACCACTGCATCACTCCTCAGTGAAACTAGCAACCAGATATGTCACAAAATTTGCATTTAGACTGAATGAGAATGGCCATAAGATTATTTGTCACTCCAAGAAATGCATTATATGAGCATCCCATGCGCATAACATGTATACATCCCTGTGTATACTATGTGATACGCAAAGACTGCGGGGTCTTAATGCCATATGCACTGGGGACGTTTTGTCTGTAGTAATAAGCCTATAGTAATAAAACACACTATACGCTACTCTTTCCACAACATCGCGCGGGTGAGCTGTGACAAGATACACACTGCCATAGTATCTTACAGCCGTTAAACTTTTGCTGAGCAGCAGGTTGAGATACCGCTTAATTAGGTTCCCAGTCACTCATATGTCTAATCGTTTCCGGAGGAGATGTGGCTGAATGTTTTTCCACAAAATTGGAATGGACATCTGCCAACGAGCTGGTCCACGGGCTTGGTAGCAGTGATGAGTTATCTCTTGGCCGGCTGCTACCAAGCGATCTAGTGCGGACTCCGCAGTATTTACAGAGAAGATCACCAGCAGACCAAGGCTGTCCGCCAACCTTATCCCAATATCTCAAGGCCAAAGTCCGTACTCACCAACATACAATTTTCCCGACGGATTTGACCAGACACACAGACAAAGCTGCTGTAGCACTGCCAAGCACCTGCCAAGTACCTGCTAAGATGTGTGGTCTGTGAGCAGCTGGCAAGGATAGGGATCCTTGAGCCTGAATCGACCAGACATGAAATGGACGGCAACCTGGAAAGTAAAAAGGAAGTGCGGCTCTACAAACAACGGAAATGTCGCGCAACCCTGCTGACGATTGCGGAACTATTGTCAAACGAGGCATCCAACAATGATGAACCTGTCCAGGAGTCCGCACCACCTGTCCTGGAGGTCAGGGGATACGCCGCCGGCCTGAGACAGGGCCAGGGGCGCTGCCTTATAAATGCATCCATACCTTTGTTCTTGGCGCGCTCTTCACATCCCTTTGCCTGCGCATATGTAAAAAAACGCTTCGTTCTTTACTTTTGTCAGTGTTTTGTACAGCTACTATCTGTTGTCTGAAGGCACGCCTCTAATATAATTTCAATGCTGCGACTTGCCAGACGTTTCATTTCTGCCATCTCTCTATTGCTGTTTGCTGTTCCTATCCTTGTTCAGGCGCATGGAGACGATATGGACAGCAGTGCAGGACATGACCACAACTCGATTGGTAGCGGCCCACTGCCTGACGAAGCCAAATACTTCCACTGGCCAGATGAGCCGATGGGATGGGCACTGCGCACCCACGTTGTGTTGTGTCTGTTTAGCCATCTGCTATTCCTCCCGACAGGTAAGAAACAAATGGAATCCCATCGAAATCACTGGGATGCTAGGAAGGAATAGAGGACATGCATGACGGATTTGTCATGGACACCCACAGGTAGAATACTTTCATCGTGTGCAGCTTGGTCAACTGTCTGGTTGGCGTGCGGAAAAACAGCCAAGAGAGGAGGAAATGGCGACAATCCCAATTCACGACAAGTCACGCATCCTGCTCACGCACATCATGGCCCCCCACTCAATGAGAGCGTACACCTCTTCTGTTGTATGTAGCAATGGCCATGGAATTTGCTCGGCACAAGTACCAACCGATCGTCCAGGTGGCTGGGGCGCTGGTCGGACTGGTTGGGTTTGTGTTTGGCTGGATTGGAGGCAGCGTCGACAACACCTACGCCCGCTTTGGGTGGTTCATGCTAAGCCTGCTGGTTATTCAGACCGTGCTCAACCTTGCGCTCACCACCGGATTGGTTCGGAAGAATGCTTTGCTAGAATCCCCGTACCGCTATGTCACTGCCTTCCAGTTCATATTTACATACATGGCAATGGTGCTGGGCGTGATTACATTCCTGAACCTGTGCAGCCACGGGCATCTCGGCCAGTGCATCTCTCACTTTGTCCGTGGCAGCATGCTGATGGGAACGGCGATTTCTGGTGTCATCGCAATGCGACTGTGCGGACCGGTGCTGATGGAGCTGGGTCGGCCGCTGGAGTTTTTTGAGTGCGGGATAATTGTGACCGTCGGCCTGATCGGCACTTTTACTGAGCACAACTTTTTCCAGTCGAGCAGCACGGACGCATGGTCGCACAAGGACCTACAGCACACGATGATTGGCATTTGCTGGCTCGCTGGCGGATCGCTTGGTATGGCAATGACCTGGAAGAGCCCGCCGCGTAACCGCTCGCCGATCCCCGCACTCATATTCATCGCAACCGGCGTGTCGATGATCATACATCAGCAGGATCTGGTCATGGCTTCGCGTACACATTTTCTGTTTGGCGCAGCAATGATCATAACTGGTGTGGTTACTATATTCGAAGTTACCATCATTGCGTCAGGCTTCATCAAGGAGCGCGGCGAGCCATCTCTATTCCAGTATGTACCGCTGTACTTTATGTGCGCATCAGGCATGTTTTTGATGGGCTCGAACAGGGACATGGTTCTGCTCCTCATAAACTCAAAGGTTGATATCGCCACATACGGCCTGCTGCTTCTCAGTTTCTGCTTCGTCATCTTTTTCTACTTCTACCTATTGGTTGACCTGTATCTCAAGCTGTGCCAGCCACCTCCGGCTAAATATCACCCGTTGCCCTCTCACGCAGAAAACTGGGTCGAGCATGTCTGACGCCTATCAGACATGGGCCATCTTGTTAGCAAGCATACTTGTTGGCGTGATTAATTATTCGATAGTACTTTTTTAAAACTAATATAACTCAGAAACCACATAACGCTTTTATGTTCACAGTGTTGTCGAGAATTGGATCGTGTCAGTCGAGCGGTTAGCATCGTAATTACACAAGTAGTTTGTGTTTGTGTTTTTGTCTGCTGCAGCCTGCGAGCCAGACTTGAGATTGTAGCTGAGCTGCGTTGTTGAGGCATCTTCCTTGCATGCAAAATCCTCACTCGAGCTGTGCAGAGGCAGCTTGCTGGGGATGTTGCGGTTCTTGCGGCTGCATGTGCGACGGACGTACTTTGTGATCCTCTGATGGGTCTTGTCAAATGCTGGGTTCATCAGGAAGATGAGCATGTTGATCATTCCCTGGGTAGCCGGCATCAGGTTTGCCATGATGTAGAGCCAGAAGGGCTGGCTGTCTGTAATCATGTTTGTGACGATGTTCCACGTCTGAGTGACAATAGGCACAATCGGGTAGCAGGCAATGCGCAGAGTCGCCGACCTGATGTACTTGCGACGCATGTCGGTCATCATGTTGAGGGTAGAGCCGTCAAGCATGTCCAGCTTCTCGGGACCCTGGGTCTCCTCGACACGGTTTATGACGCTCATCATCTGCAGGTAGATCAGAATCGAAATGATGAACAGAAAGACGATGCCGGCAGCTGTCCACATGTAGTGTGCAACCCAGATGTTGCGGTTGTACTCAGACTCTGACGTTGCAATACGGAACACTTGCATTGACGGCATCCAGCCAATCTTCTCGTACATGTACATGTACGAATGGGTAACCAGAAAGCCCAGAACAAACGAGACGTACTCGTAGTAGCCTTGGATCCGGTTTGCAATGTGCGTTTTACGCATCAGCACCGTCAGAACAAGGTGGATTCCGATGCAGACAGTCAGGAAGACGAACGACACAACGCTACCAGCCAGCATCCACACAATTGCACGGAGGTTGGCCTCGGAGAGCGTTGACATGTAGTCGTTGTTGAAGACAAAGAGCTGAGTTACCGAGTAGATGAGGTCAGCGGCGGCAATCCACCCGGAGAGCCGAAAGGACGGGCGGGAAAACAACTCGCGGTTGCGGATAGAGAGGACGATGGTCGCTCCAATAACAAAGATAGAGCTGACAATCGACGCAATGTTGAATCCGTGGCCTACGACGGCCCAGTATCCAAGCACACCATGGGGGTCTGGGTATTGTGCAACTGCAGCGGCAGCCTCGGCAGTGGTGGTCCGCACTGAAAACTGGTTGTTACCAAACATATTGCGGTAGCGATTGATATAGTATTGAAAGCAGAAAATGGAAATGGAGGAGCGGAAGGTGCTTTGACGCTGCGTGGGGAAGACTGTGCGTGCAACAGAGAACGCAGGGCGGCTGTTCTGCTTTTTAAACGATAAAGGACGTCGCGTATGCGAGAGAATTGATTGCTACATTATAAAAATGCAGAGTAAAAGGAGTTGCTTTGTTTAAGGCTGCAGTGACTAGTCAAGTGTGAATGCGAACAGCAACTCAGAACGACAGCACATCCTATCTTTACACAGGAGGGAGCGCGTTCACTGTTGCGCGACTAATTAGAAGCAGCTGGGTGTATAAATCATGCACCTGCTCGGTCATAGGACGCGGATGTGCTCTTTTTGCCGTCTCTTTCTGACCTATTCCTCATTGAACAGAAGCTTGCCCAAGTATGCTTGACATAGACCAGCAGCGAACCTCGCTTAAAGGGAGCGGATGCGTTCGCGCTCGCAATGCATGCAGCGAGATGCCGTTCCTTTTTTACTAGGCAATCATAGGCGGTTTTGTTGATTGGCGTCTGTTGCGTGCAGGTGATTGTGTGGATCCGGGTAAAACTCGCCACCGCAGTGGAGGAGTGGCAGCGACACGCCCCCTCTCTCCCTGCTGCCTATGGAGCAGAGGACTGCGCCAGTGAGCTGAGCCAAGACAATCCAGGGCATATCCCGCATTCAACTCAGGCGCGGGGACTGCCTAGAAAATCACTGCCCAGAGATGGCGCCGCCATCCATCTCAGCCACGGCCACCAGAACCTGTCTTCTTGCCGGTTGAAGGTTTGCCCAAAAAGGCTTCAAAAAACAAGTAAACGACATTTTTATACCAGATACACTGCATCGCCTTAATGCCACATTGTGTCGCCGTGCCTGCGTGACGGCATGTATGCAGCAGTCGGTCACTCCGCCGGAAGGTCATTAGCTGTTGCGCTTTCTCTGTCTTCTTCTCTCTGCCTTTCTCTCTTCTGATATCAAACCCGTCTATTTACTTCTCGCCATTTCTCTCGTCACAGCAACAACCACAAACACAAGCACGACAATAGCCAGCCGAGCACAACAGCAGTAGCAAGGACGGGACAACAATATTGGCGCACTCTTCTAAACAAAGGCAAGTCGCTTTGCAGACATGAAGCAAAAAGGACGCACCTATCTCTGGGCGAAAAGACGTGTGCATCAGCTAGAGCACCGAGCCTTGCCCAAGCATCAGCACCCCTACACTGGCCAAGCCTTAAATGGGCGGGTCTCCGGCTGATGCTAGGCTTGGGCCATGGCTGGTGCACACCCTTTTCTCGCTGCTTCCTATATCCTTTCTCCCGGATCATTCACGGACCACACATTATTTGTTTACACAACTGAAAAAGCTGCGTCCGCCCTGTTTCAGTGTTGCTCGCTTCATTCCGCACACCTACTTTCACACTAGCGTTAGCATGAGCTGGGTTGTGTGGTTGCCATTAGCAGCAAAGTGAAATAAAAGAAAATAGCAAGAGGTACAAAAAGAAGCTGCGTTTTATCATTTGTTTTTGGCCACCCCTGGCTTTTCCACTACACCAGCAGTCGCGGGGTCCATACATGATCCAGGCTACCAGGGGCATGCAAGTTATTTGTCTGGCGTGTACCTGCAGCGTATACCACCCTCTCTTTTTTAGAAAGCGTTCCTACCATACCTATGGGGTTTGGCGACCTCGCTGGCTCCTTTTTGCTTGTTCTTGTTGCCATATGTAGCCCGGACCTTTTCTGACGAGTACCAGCAGTCAATCATTGCAGCAAATCCAGTGTCTTCAGCAATTTCAGAAATTCCTCCGTCCAACAAGGGAATCGGCATTTATATCGGACGATTTGAATTGGTGGAATAAACGGTGGATAGGCCGGTCTCAGTGACAGGTGCGGTATTATACACTCGATTCGCCACGGAAAGCCAAAGCGATCTCCAGGCGTATATGGAAGAATTGCTATTCAAAGCAAGGTACAGTAAATTTTTTCTTTTAATAGACCATGTCGCACCGCACTTGATACTGGTTCTGCGGGTCGTATTTAAACGGCCAACACTGGCACACGCCCATCGCATACAAATCTGAACCAGACAAGCCGTTTATCTCATAAACCCCGCCCCCAAAAAACCTGATTGCTCCATATTGACTTGTTGAAAGCCCTTGCTTGCTGTCAGATATCTCTCCACCACCACTTTTCACAATACTGACTTTTTTGTCTTCCTTTCTCTTCTGATCTACCTACATATACCCTTTGCTGTAGCCCTCATAACCTGTCTTGTATTTTAGCCTCAACACTTGCATACAGACACACACAAACTCCTAATGGATCACACACAGTACCCCAGCTCAAGCCAGGAACTGCAGGCACTTTCCAGCACCCACATGAAACCACCGCCCCCACAGCCAAATTCAGCCGATGACCTCGCGCACAGCCACGACCACGAGTTTAACGACTCGGACTACAACAGCGACGAGCGGCAAAGCCCGAGCTGGAGCGCAACCAGATCGCAGAGCGAGGGGTCAAGGTACTGGAAAGACAACCTGAACAACCTGTTGACTCCCCAGACGGTATCAGAACAAGCGCAGGTCAAACGCCGCACACGCAACCGCGAAGCCGCGCGCCGTTCGCGCCAGCGCCAGCGGGAACGAGAAAGGGAGCTGATCGAGCGCCAATCCAAACTGACAGAACGCATGAAGGCCCTCGAGAGCGAGCTTGTTGAGTGGCGGGCAATCAACTCCAGCTCCGGTGGCGGCCTGCAGTTGCTGGAAACCGCAGTCGGCGAGGATGAGCTCACAGAGAATATCAACAACATCTATTCCCTGACCATGGATACACTCAAGATCATCGGCGAACTGCAGCTCCAGCTTGACGAGATTACAAAAGAGCTCAACGATATGATCAAAAAATGATCCCTGTACGTTTTAATGATACCTTCTTTCTTGATCCCAGACCTCCACCCTTTCCCACAACCTTAATGCAAGATGCTTGTCAACAACAGAACCCTCGACAAAGTTGTTAAAAAAGAATAAAGTGATTCCCTGGGAACTGCACAGTATTGTTGTGATCGCCCACTCCTAGGCTGGTGTTGCTGCTGGCCGATTTGTGTGCTCTGCCAGTCATCTCGATCCTCAGCTTCGGAAATCTACGATGCAGCTGCGCAGCCCTACATTGTGACCAGATAATGTTGAACTGTGCTACTACGGATATCCGATATCAATTGGCAATATCAGCAAGAACGGTTGGCGAATTAATGGCACTGAGGCAAAATACCATCGGGCCCAGGCACCGCAGTGTGACTAAGTGTCAAATGACCGCTGCAATCCAATGTGCTTTGAAGGGTGTACTAATTCCGCAGTAGTCAAACATAAAACGGAACTAATCATCCGACAGCATTGGGCTCATCGGAGCTGATTTCTGGTTGATGCAGCTGTACTGGGCCTCAAAGCAAAGTGCGACTACTTTGACAAACCGGCGACATATGTTTAAACCCAACTATATGATGGAGACCAAATAAATTCATGGCTGAGGGATGCGATGGTAGCAAACCAAAAGTATTAACGTGCCAGCAAAAACAGCGAATATCACGCGATATAAACGTACAAATAAAGTGTGGGCCAATAGTACTATATCATACACAGACCATATGTACCTACGAAACTATGCCAGTGGAATAGCGTCTGTGCTTGCTGCCCAACGAAGACAATAGAAGATGAACTGGTAGAAATCAGCTCTCAGTAGCCTATCTTTGCCTTATGTATAGTTTGATTTTTGAAAAATCAGAAGTTGGACACGGCTTTGTTGTTCGATTCGCCGACAATAGCTCAGTTGGTAGAGCGGGAGACTGTAGTGGAATTGAAAAAATTCTTGAAATCTCTAGGCCACCTGTTCGAATCAGGTTTGTCGGATTCTTTTTGAACATCATTTTTCTTGCTGGAAATTGGTTTTTTGGTTCTGAAATTGTTGTCATTGCTAGGAATGAAGGCAGGTTTGCTGGTAGCGCCTGTGTGTGCTCTTGTTGCTTTTTTTTTCTTTTTTTGTGCATATAGCTGGTGCTCATCTTGTGTAGCAACACCATGCTCTGTGTGTCCGGCCACCAAGAACCTGCTTCTTTATCTGTATCTGCATGGCCATTTTGCCATCTGTCAACTATAAGATGCTCGGATGGCTGGTTCCATAGACGCTATCTCGCCAGTACTGTTTGTAGATACTGTCGCTGCACTTCAAGTATGCGTATAAAAGCAGCTGGCACCAGAGTACCACACCAGCCTGATGGGACCGTGAACGCACCTGGTGCATAGCAAACGCTCTTGGACCCAACAAAACGAAGGGCTGCCCTCCCTAGACTCTTTATCCTTGCTATGATTTTCTCATGATGCTCGTGAGCAGCACTCAATTGTTAGCAAACGACATGTGCATCTAGCGCACTAAGTAAAGTGCGAGCTATACAAGTTCCTATCGACTTTATAGATGCGTCCACTTCCCTCAAATTATATACTTGGGTTTGAAGAGCGGGTGATGGCGTCTGCAGTTGCTGCCAGTGGCCGTGACGCCGTATTTGCAGGTGTCGTTGCGGAAGAATAAAAGACAATAGGCAGACGATACATATACAGCAGCAAATATGGATACGAGACTCATACAGATGCCAAAAAAAAGAGGTACAGCGCTTTCTACGGTGAGACTACCCAGAGGTAGCACGGAACACTTGGCAATGGCCCCAGCCGACAATGTGGCAGCACTAGAGTTGCTTGGTGCTCACAGCATGGTGTGGTGGCCAGCACCACGACGCATCGCGAGAAACAGCAAAAAGATGGCAAAGCAGCCCAGGAGGGGAAGAAAGCAAAAGAGATGCTCACTACAGGGGTCGAACCTGTGACCTACGCGTTATTAGCACGTCGCTCTAACCGACTGAGCTAAGCGAGCCGAACCAACTAGTGGATCCTCTTGTTGAGGTCACGCAATTTTTTTGTGTACATGAAACTCCCACTCTGTGGTACATTTTCTTGACAGCAGTCTCAGCCGCTCTGGCTCTTTGAGCAGCAAGAGGAGCTCATTTTGTCACGGATCATGCCGAGCACTGCAGCTGGGACTTTCGAGTCTTTGCTTTAGATTGTATTGGTGTGAGAAATAGAGCGAAGTGGGTAGTTACATGGTGTTTTTGGTTTAGGCGCACTTGGGGTATGCCTGGGCGTTGGTGGGAGCCTTGGCAAGCTTGACCTCGGCATTGCGGCGGCGCGTCAGGCCAGACAGAACACGGCCACCAGCCTTGTTCCACTTGGGCAGCTCGCCGGCAATGACGGTGCTCGGGTTCTCACCAGCATTCAGGCGCTTGACCAGGTTCGATGACTGGGCGCCGCCGCAGCCAACATTGAACACCCACGACACCAGCGCACCCCACTGGTTCTGGTTGAGCTTGACCTTGCCGTTCAGGTACTTGCCCAGGCACGTGTACTTGGGGATATCGTCCTTGAGCAGAGCCTCGGCGGTGGCCTGGGTCAGCGGGAACTTGTACTTGACCTCCTTGCAGCCCTTGGTCTGGCACAGGTGGCCGTAGCCGACGGTGGGCAGACCGATGGGATCGGGAGCCGGGCTCTTGACGAAGCCCTCGAACTCCTTGATCAGGTTGAGCGAGGCGGCGTTGACGCTCTTGCAGTATCCGCTCGAGGAACCGCCGCCAGTAGAGCCACCGCCGCCGGTGGATCCGCACTTCTTGGCAACATAGCCGTTCTTCCCAGTCTGGACGTAGTAGTCCGCAACATAGCACCCATGCTGGGTCTTGTCCCAGAGGTTGTTGCCGCTGACCGACGTGCCGGTTGTCTGGCACGAGAGTGTGACCTGCTCACCCTTCTTGTACGTGCGCACAACCTTGTCTGAGGTTCCCGGACCTGAGCGGCAGTTGACAGTGTCGCCCTTGATGGCGTAGCCGGAGGCAAGCTGCGAAGAAGTGGCGAGCAGGAGAGCAGCGAGTGTGACGAGCTTCATCTTTTTCGTATGTGTTTTGCGGAGGCCGTGTGAAGACTGGAGGGTAGATTGTTGTTTATCCTGTTGGTAATGGACTGGTCGTGACAGGCAACAGCGCTTCCTTTATATACACAACTGGCTCCTGAATACAAGCATGAGGTATGGACTCGCTGTCGTAATATGCATAGTCGATAATTCTATTATTAGCACCCATGTCTGCATATCGCTTGTTTACTCTTCGGGCTGTGCTGCTGAATGGAAATTACCATTAGGCGGTCACTCATGCACAGCGTGCTGCTGCCAGAAATAAGCACTGACCTAGAAGGTTTCGATAGTGTGCTTACGAAGCGAAGGCTTTATCCATGACGCCCGGCTTCCAGAATGTATCTAAAAATAAACCGACGTGCTGAATCCACATAGTGCAAGCCCCAGGACGATCTCTTGTAAGCGCGCATGAGCTTGCAGTTCCAATGGTCTAAAAATAAATTGTCGAGATACAGACTAATGCTGCTGCCTGACAAAACCGCTATTTACGTTTATTCAGCTAGCAGCGAGTTGGTGCTATGTCTCGATATGCAAATAGGTCTTGTGCAGACTACACACAATCCAAGCATGAAAGTTGGATATACGTTCCCAGTGTATACTTGTGAATGCGGTGATAATGCATTGAGTTAATTGGTAGGAATATTTGAAAAGCAGCCATGAATACATCACAATTCATATCAACAATGAGAGGCGAGTACATTACGTGCAATCTGTATAGCAATTGAGCATTTCCTGCTCAATATTGATTACGCAGAATGCCTTGTCAGTGAAAAGATAATAGGGAGCAGACATGGCGTGTCAGTGCTACAGCTGTGCACCAATGCAATGCGTCCATTTGTCAGCTGAATGGTATTGTTCGTACACTAAGCCAGCGGAGGTATGTCTCAGTCTCTATAAATATACGCTGTAATCAACACGAAAAATATGCATGCTCACGCTGGGCGGACTATGCTGTATATACCTGGTATTGCTCCGTCTATACCTCTCTTCCAGACACACGCACCATTCTAGAGATATCAACTCTTTGAGCCTTTGACTATCGTGGTTATCCATCCACCTCCTTTGCAAACATGTTACCAGATGATCAACACGGTAAAGATACTCACTGATAGTGGGGTGGTTCATCAGAAAACGACTGGAGTGAATAAGCCATGTTCCACTATCGCAGAAAGATATGATTGTGCCCACACCAGCACGCCATTCAACCCAATTTTTGAAAGCAAAGAAGTGCTTATCAAACACATTGCTCCAAATCCAGGTGACAGGCTCCTGGATATGGCAGCAGGATCCAGGCGCATGGACATATACTATCTGCAGTGCTAGTATGAGACGAACTGCGGCTCTGCGTCGTCTGTGGTGCTATTTGATCTAAACCAAGGGAGGTTTGGTTATGCAAAAAAACAAATTGCGCGATACAAAGTGGGCAAAAGATGGAAGATTGGATTAAGTGCGAGGGAATGCAGACGATCTACTGGTGTTCCTGGGCAGCCTGTTTGGTATTTACTGCTGGAAGCTGGGTTTCCACAACATGCCGAATCGTGACAAGGTGCTGAAGGAAGTATTTTACGTACCCAAGCCTGGTGGCACGCTCGCAGATGTGGAGTGCAATAGCGGGGCAGGGGGATAGGCAAAATGGGAATGCAAGCTTTATACATGTTTATCAGAGTGGTTTTCAAGAAAACAAAGGCCAAGGACATGGCGCAGGTAGAAAACATGGTCACAAGTGCTATGGCGTTTCAACATCCTCCGGAATCTGGTGTAGAGATAAATGCAGCAGTATTCAGCACTAAGAGCAAGGGGTTCGAGTATGGCACATGCGGTCTAGCTGTAGGGTACTTTGGCACCAAGCCTCTGTAGTTTCTACATGTACAACAATAAAAGTGGCTAGGGGTTTATCAGCAAGGAAAGAGGAGTAGGAATACTAAGTACAGATGGTGATGGCAGAGTTACAAAATGAGGGGTTGGTGGTGCTAATAGATGTGGGCGGCAGTGCGGGTTTTCAGGAACGGCACGGTGACGATCTGGCCATCGCGGGTATAATTTTTGGCAATCTCGTCGTGGGCAGTAATACAGATAGGCGTGACGGCGCCTGGGAACCACGGCAGGTGCCTGAACCAAAAGCGCTTTTCGGTCGAATACATGGTCTTGGAATTCCAGCTCCCCAAGGAGTCGTGCGGGGTGCGGTACATGAAGCGCTCGAGGTTCGACTTGACCTTGCTCTGTTACTCGAGCCGCAGGCAGTCCTCGGTTTTGTGTAGGTGGGCAATATTGTTTTAAACCTAGGGGTGGTAGTGTACTAGACAAAACATCATTATATCTGAGCCAGGCAGCTGGTTTGATCCTAGTATACCCGGCCATGAGCATGGAGTTGATTATGCTCCGCTAGGGATGCACTATTGCAATTGACCACATGGTATATACTAACAGGTACGTTGTCATTGGCAGCGGGTGGGCGATATAGCAAAAATATAGTGCTGCCATGCATGCCAGCGGATGCCTCCGTAGAGGCCTTGCAAGTACTTCAGTAATTCTTGCCTTTAGCTCTACTGCTTGTCAAAGGCGATGCGTGTGTAGTTGAATTTCTGCTGGTCTAAACAAATGAGAAAAACAAAAAAAACATGGGCCCTAAGAGTATCACCGTTTTTGGTCCAGACGAGGCAGTAAACAGTCTAGAGAAGCGCTAATTTAGTCCACGCAACGGTTCCCAGCAAACCCGTTTCGCAACTATTTTATTTCACATTCTCGAGCAAATATACGGCAGTGACCCTGTGTAAACATCGCAAGGATGCAGGCCAGCAGCGCAACTAGCAACACAAACAACAGCCGCATCGAGGAGTGCCGGCTGAAGATAAAACTACAGGACCAATACCATTTCCAGTTCTTTTCAAAACTAATCCATCATCTCCACACGACACGCAATTCCTCGTTCTGAAATGAGTGCCTCCAACACCACGGTGCATGACCACACTGCTGGCCCAATCCACAGCCCTGGCACAGCGCTTGTAGCTGGAATGGCAAAGAAGCGGCGGCGTCCGCCATACTCGTACACTGCACTGATTGCGCAGGCGATTCTGAGTTCAGAGGACCAGAAGCTGACTCTGCGCGAAATATACGACAGCATCAACGAGATGTACCCAAAGATATGCGATGGTCCAGATATTGGCTGGCAGAACACAATCCGTCATAACCTCAGTCTTAACCAGTGCTTCCAGCGCATCCCGCGACATCAGCTGCCACCAGAATTGAGCGCCAAGCTGCGGGGAAAGGGTAGTTACTGGACCGTTGATGTGGAGCTGATGGACCCCAGCACGCGGAAACGGCTCGAAGAGGCCATGGCGCTTGCCACTGGACATGAGATGCCAAGAAAGCGGCAGAAGACTGGGAGCAGCACAAACAGCCCGATAGCATCTCGCTACCAGAGCCCAGCATTTGCAACACCACAGTGCTTCCACGGCTCAATTTCAACACCAGCAGCACCAGCAGCCCTGTCCTCGATCCCAGCGCCCAGCACATTTATTTTCAGCAGCGCTCCGCTGCCAGTACCATTGCTGAATCACCAGCAGCCAAAAATAGAGTTGCCACCAATTGTCTCCATGACAGCGCACCATCCCCATGCGTTGACTCCGGTGCACCGCACTTCGCATACATACTACCGGCACCTTAGCAGGGATTTCCGCAACGAGGCCAGCACCATTCCGATTCCACGCGGCAACTCACAGGTGCCAATCACTGGGCGGTGGGAGACAGCCGTACCAGATAGTGGGTCTGCCTACGAGTTGAGCCCAGCCCAGTACTCGCTCGAGGTTGCGGTGTCATGCTCGCGCTCAACGGCCCGCGATCTCGGCAGCAATCTGCGCACCGGCGTGTTCCAGTCGTCGACACTCCAGTCTGCAACACCGTACTCTCTGTCTCCTTCGCCCACTGCCGATGCCCAGTCTGGCAGCGACGGCGAGTCTGAGTCGACAAAGCTCTCTATAAACCACCTGTTGAACTGATATACATCATTGTCTGTATTAAATCTGTCATCACAAAAGTGTATAGTAACTACCTCAGGGGCTGTGCCTTCAAAGGCTATCTCATTGGCCAAGTGTGGTAGGCAATGATGCGCGGGCTATTCGGCTGATTAAGGCAGGCTGGTGAATCTCTAGATATGCTGAGTGCCTGGCCATTTGTGCTAACCATTTATTTTACGATTTATATGGGCAGCTTGCTTGAATCTGCCACTCCACTTGCACTGGGACGTGTAGCAGACAGCAAGCACGATCCATCCCTGATTTTTCTCCTTTCGTACCTTCTGCTAGCCGTGCATTCAGCTTTGGTACCAGAGCGTTGAGTAAATAAATGTGGTGGTGAATATTTGTATTGTAACTGAAAAGGGGGGGGGGAAGTATACATTATAGACTAGTTGGGGCTCATGTAGTTATCTGAGCATGATAGCGTCAACACGAGCCTGATACTTGCGCGTTGTCTGCCCCTTGGTCTTCATTTCATTGTTGAAATCGATTGTGACCGAGGATGCACGGGAGGGGGCCACTTCCAGCGAGCTCCGATTGCTGCTGTGAGACCGTCTGAAAGCAGTCCTAAGCTTGTCCGAAAAGGAAGAGCGGCGGCTTGATGTGAACGAGTCAGTGTAAGACATGGTAGTCAAATTGTTAGAATCGGTTGGTGTTGTAAAAGGCAAGTAGGCTGTGTAAAAACAACTGGCTGTTGCTGAGTAGTGTGAGGGGATGAGTGGTGATATGTGAGCTTAGCGAGAGCAAGGCAGATGCTTTTATACCGATGCAGCATGTTCGTATTCAGGCGATTCTGTGGTCGGTATTTTCTTTACCCGTTACCACGTTCTATTCTTTGTCAAGGCGGCATATCCGCAGCAGCAGGTTATTCTCTTCTCCCCACACTGAACCAGCTGTGCTGACCAATTCCTGGCTGATCTCTTCAAATGTGTCATGTTGCTTCGAATTATTTTTGGTCAAAATTTTGCGATCGACGGAGGTGGAAAGGTGGGGTAGAAGAGCTGCGGTCAGGAAGATTTTCTTTATCGATGCACATCTGCCAGGCGCGAGCGACTTCAAGCTGCAAAGGAGGGGGTACCATGGGCTCCGCCATGTCATAATGCTGCACTGCGCCAGTTTTCCAAACGTGAGTGCATATTGTCGACTGATGACAAATGGAGTGTAGATCAATGTTCCTGAGTCAGTGGGGATGATCAAGGTAATTATTTTCCGGCCACATCCAACAGTAGGGCATGGATTAGGATTCCGTATATTCAGCATGGAGAGAAGACCGTCACATTTATTTCCTGTTGCGGGGAGAAGAAAGATGTAACGAAAAAAGTATGAACTTTCAAGTTCCGGCCGGAATTGGGCTCAGGGCCATGGAGGATTTTCTTGGCATTTGGCACGGAAGCGGGGGTTCTAAATGTGCGCACTTGCCATTTAGAGCTTGTACTTGATCATCGGAAGAGAATTGCTGCGGTACGAGCCTCATTGTTGCGCTTGTGGGCGGGATGGTTCTTTTGATCGGGCGAGGGTCTTAGTGTGGTTGCAGAGTCCTTGGACTTTACTCTTTCGAGCTGAGATGATTTGGTGAAAAGTTTCTTGATCCTTTGTCTAGTTGAAGTCGACGAAGACGAGGAGACAGACGGTGGTGGCGACATTGAGGCTTGCAGTCTGTGTTTTCGGCTGTGTGAAGGTTTGTATGTTCCGAGCACTTGGAATATTTGGTGGCCCCCAGAAATGGTCTGGTTTTGTGATAAGCAATTTGGTTGATGCGGGGGAATGTGTGCCTGCAGATGGCTGTTATATACGCTAGGCGTTATTACTCCGCATGGTGAAAAATCCGCGCTTGGTATTATCCCGGGTAAGAAGCATCACAGGCGGAAATCTTGCGCTATCAAGGCGACTGCGGCGACACCCGGGTCTACCTCTTCACAAAACCACACGGCTTCAGTTAATGAGACATCATCAAGTATTGACTAATGCACTCTATGGCAGCTTTCCTCTTTTGATACCGTGTGAAGACCAGGGATATAAGGCAAGTGAGGATCAAGCAAGCACATGTAAATAGGCCTTTTTTGCTTGTCATCTAGAATCTTCTTTCTGAAAATGTGGAATTCGTGTACAAAGTTTTAAGAGTGAAATCCGGTATGCAATGTGTGTGGTCCGTCGCAAAGACAGGTTCATGGCGAGTTCCGTGGGGAGATGGGCATGGAGCTGTGCAGGCGGATGTCGCTGGCGTAGGTGAGCCGGAACCTGCGGGCCTCCGCAACAGCTAGTGAGTGATCAAAGCATGGTTCTTCGAGAACCTTCAGGCATTTGTATAGGGATGTGCCCAAAAGCTCTCTCCGCAGACTCAGGCGCCGCTCGACATCCAGATGCGCATCAACCATTGCGTTAATCAGGACCAGGGCGCTGGTCAGAACACGCTCTGCGAGCCGTGTGCTCGGCATTTTGCACTCGTCGTACTCGCTGTCGGAGGCCGTCGAGGCTGACGATGGTGGCGTCATTGGTGCCTGTACGGCTGTGACGAAGTCCATGGCAAATGCAAAGCTAGCATTCGCAAGCGTATCGAAGCGGTTACGCAGCTGCAGCGCGTTACGTGCCCGTGTGAATGCGTCCAGAACCGATGACACGCCGGCGTCAGCTGCTTGGCGCGTACACAGGCGCGCCAGCACGCGGAACGCGACAACATGAATACTGGGCATATCGACAAAGCTTGTGGACAGTGCAAGGCTTGCAGGGATCGATGACTTGGCCACCGCCATGACGCCTGCAGGCGACATTGCCAGACAAAGCGTGCTTTGGATAGTCTCCAGGATGCACGACTCGGGGATGTAGGAGTACTTTGCAAACCGCATGGACCCCGATTCGTCGCCGGAATGCTGCCGGTCAGCGTAGGCGGCGCGGGCGCAGATCCAGCAGAACAGAATATGCTCAAGGACCTCAATTGCGTTGGTGGCCGTGGCGGGGTCGTTAGCGGGTGCGACTGAGAGCTGCGATTCGAGGTGCCGCCGGAGCTCGACGAGCGATTGGCTCAGTAGTGTGGTGTCGATAGGATTTGCGTACAGCTTGGTGCTGACAGCATTCACTAATGACTGGGTGTGGTTCGTGCGCAGGGTGTCTAGCTGGTACGGTGACGTGTTGTGCGTGTACATGGTAGTCATGCTCTGTGATATATTTCACCGTTAATGGCTCGTTTGTTAGAGAATCGTTACTTTGTAAGCGAATGGGCTGTAATGTTTGGGTGGATCGAAGTGTCGAGCCAGGAGAAGTAGAAAGCTGAGGGGTGATACAAAGGTAAGGTAAGGAAAGAAAAATGAAATGAAATGAAATGAAAGAAATCCGAGACGACGAACTTTAGAACAAGTTGGGCAAAGGATATTGGAGGAGAAGGCGGGGGAGCTACTGCTGTTTATAAATTGTTCCCTGGAGCGGAGTTAAACCAATGTATGACGACCAGCCATGGTAGATGAATTTCCATTTCCATTTCGAAACCTGTTTTATCAGAAAACTATCGGCTATCCAACAGCACTCATGGAACATCATGAGGTGGAGGCAGTAGTGGGGCAAAATACGAAGGGCGCTGGCAGGAGCAAAAAAAATACTATATCCCAGAGCACACCACTTTTGAAGGAAACATTTGCTGTGCACAATTTCAGCGATATGATCTTCAGTTGCTCCTTTTGGAAACGTGAGGGGCAGTTGATCTGGTGGTGGGAACAGTGATGCAAATTTTTTCCAAGCAATACATCCAGGGGAAATAAATGCACTTCGCCAGAGTGCGTCTCTGCTGCCTTTGTGGAGAGCACGGGGGATATGTATTAGCTTCCCACAGCTGTATAGTCAAACTTAGAGATTCAGGGTCTTGATTGTCCACTCGTACGCAACAAAGGTGGCTGCGTTGGCGGGGAATGCCCTCAGAATGGTGGGGCCAAACCCACGGAACAGGATGCGCCAGTTGCCACCCTTAATTTCGTTTCTGAGCGCACTGACCGCCGCGCTCGTGCTCTTGTGCTTGTAGTCCATCTGCATCCGCGACTTGATAATGTCTTGTGGGTACGCTGCCAGCCAGGCCGCAATGCCGGCAAAGCCGCCGGACAAGAACTGCTCCATCCCGTTGCTCTGCGAGCCGTCGGCGTGTCCTGTGCGCGCATAGACAAGGCCGGCCTTCATGCCCTCATACAGACCAAAGTAGGCAACGAAGCTGGGGATATCGCGCAGAATCGTGATCCCCAGACCGCGGTACAGGCCAGCAAAGCCACGCTCCTGGACTGTCCGCACGCCGCAGTTGAACACACCCGTGTATGGCTTCTGGCCCGGCTTCAGCGTGCCGTACTGCGTCTGAAGCTTGACCTTAAGCAGCTCTACGGGGCAGTTCATAAACGACATGACGCCGCCCGCCAGACCGCCAGCGATCGCTTTTTGCTGCAAGGTGAGGGGCTGAGAAGAGTTGGACTGGAAGAGCCGCAGGAAATAGCCGTTGGCAGCAAACACCACAGCATTGCAGAAGCCGATGCCCGCCAGGGGAGATGTCACTCCCTTGTACAGACCCGCGGCACCCTCGCCGTGCAGGGTCGCGCGCAGGCAGTCCATGCTGCTTGTGTAGAGGGGCGGCGAGGGCTGCGTCTGCATGCGCACCTTGATAGTGTCGAATGGGTGGCCGACCACAACCTGCGCCCATCCGCCCATAGTGCCGGCGATGAACTCGCCGATCGCCTTGGGTACCACCTCCTTTTTCTCTGCGGTAATTGCGACTGTGGCCATAGCGTGTGCTTTTGGGAATAGAAACGAGTGGGTGTAACAGGGGAGTGGTTAGTGGGGATCAAAAGCTGTAGATAATAAAAGTCGTCTCAACCGGAAGAGAAAGGTGGAGTGCTCAACCGCCGCCGCCGCCGCCTTGTCTGTCGCCACTGGCGGTGGCGATCAATTTGCGAAATAGCCCAATATTCCACCTATCGAGATGGTGCGCCATCCAAAAATAGGGTGCTGTAGAGAGAACCAACCCAGAAATGGAGGCTATTCATGACTCAGAAGGTCAATGTTCCGCACTGATCAGCGACAGGAATCAGATTACGATCAGCGAGCCACGATTACCTGCCTTGCTGATTTACAGCCAGTCCAATGCGTGGCACGCGGACGACTGTGTATATTTGCTACCATGTCGCTCTCTCGTCCCCGGTTCCGGTTTCATTTGTTAGCGCTCTGCTTCTCTACTGTTCGCTCTTCTGCTTCCCTATTGCCCTCTCCCCCTCCTAATCATCTGCTACACAAATAATGCTATACGCCATCCTGGCTTCGCTGGGCGGCATCGAAGAGGTTTTGAAGTCCGTGTGGGTGTGGACGCCGACAGTTCTTTTCTACGTCGTCATGATGCTTGTTGGTCTTTCAGCCTTTGCCCTGTTTGGCGTGTTCCTGTTCCAGCGCGACATGGTGTACCCAGCAGGCTTCCCTGCCAACTCTCGGACGCGGGTAAGTTGCGATATACAAGGGATGCAGTAATGACCTGCACATTTGCAACACCGCCCAACTAAACCTAGACGTCTTTAGGTCTCACTACCCTCTCAGTTCGGCATGCCCAACTTTGACGACCTCCGGCTGGAGACGTCCGACAAGGTGGTGATCCGCGGGTATCTGATTAAACGCGAGACAGACGAGGAAACCAAACGCGCACCAACGGTTCTGTACCTCCACGCCAACGCCGGCAACATGGGCCACCGCCTGCCCATCGCCAAGGTCCTGTACGATAAGCTGAAGTGCAATGTTTTCATGCTATCGTACCGTGGCTACGGGCTCTCTGACGGACAGCCGTTTGAGGCTGGTATTAAGACCGATGCCCTGACGGCGCTGCAGTTCCTGCGCTCCAACCCGCTGACAGCCAACACAAAGATTGTCGCCTTCGGGCAGTCACTGGGCGGCGCCGTGGCCATCGATCTCGTGTCAAGCAATCAGGACGAGTTTGTCGGTCTGATGCTCGAGAACACGTTCTTGTCGATTCCCAAGCTGATTCCCAGCGTTATGCCGCTGCTGCGCTACCTGACCTTCCTGAGCTGGGAGAAATGGAACTCGGAGCAGGCTATCCGCAAGGTTGCTGGCGTGCCAATCCTGTTCTTGTCTGGGCTGCGGGACGATTTGGTGCCGCCGCCGCAGATGCGCAAGCTTTTTGAGCTGGCCAGCCGTGAGGAGAAGAACCCGGTCACATGGGAGGAGTTCGAGAATGGCTCGCACAATGATACTTGCGGGCAGGAAGGGTATTTTGAGAAGATAGCTGCGTGGTGGGAGGCCCATGTCGTGGCTGCTGACCCGTATGTGCCGACGGGCCGGCTCAGCGGAATGGGCACCAAGGATATCATCGAGCGCAGCAACGGCACCCGCGAGATCATCGACAAGGATGAGCACCCGGCTGAGCCGGCTGAGGAGAAACCAGGCCATGCCAAAAAGGACGATTAGATTTTCAGCATGTTTTAGTATTGCGAATTAACGGCTTCGTTTTTTTTTTTTGGATCGCCTAGAATCTGGCAAGAAAGCGACTGAGTTTTGACTATCTCTTTGCCTCCGCTCCCAGCACCAATACTTGATTATTTAGCCATGGCCAATACATTAGATGCAGAGCAGCATCCGGCGACAGTTATTGTCGAGATGGACGAGCCGTACGTGCAGGCAATCCTCGAGCGCACGTTTTCCAAGTACCAGCCCCTGATCGCTACCGCCTCTCCTGCAGCCCACGCGCCGGGTAAGCTAATGCACTGGCGCGAATACGAAAAGATCGATTGGGACAACGTGCACCGCTCGACCTCTGTGTTCTCCTCGGCCTACTGCATCCGCAAAGGCTTAATTCGTAAGGCTCAGATGGCGTTCAATATCAAACTGTACACGGCCAAGCACCCGGATTCGATTCTTCTGCGGGGCGTCCCCGAGACCTGGATCTTTGAGCTCGATGATATCGACTATCTGGACGAGGCGCTGATGGAGTGCTTCGAGGTTGAAGACGGAATGCGCGCGAACGAGGGCGTCGAGGAGCCCAGAGACCGCCAGCAGTTTATCCTAAAGCCCTCGTTGACGGGCCGTGGTGCAGGAATCTACGTGTTTGATACGAGAGAGAGGCTCGAGGAGCTGCTGGAGCGCGAGTTTGAGAGCGACGATGAAGATGAGGAGGAAGAGGAGGAGCTCGAGGGCCAGATGATATCGCAGATCCGCGAGTGGGTCATCCAGCGGTACATCAACAAGCCCCTGCTTTTGCCCACGCACGGGTCGCGCAAGTTCCACATCCGCGTCTACGTTCTTGCTGTCGGTTCTCTGCAGGTGTTTGTTTACAAGCAGATGCTCGCTCTCTTTGCACCGCATTCCTACAAGGAGTCTGCGGGGGATCTCGATGACCAGCGCGCGCATCTCACAAACACCTGCCTTCAGGCGAAGGCGCCTGGATTCGATGAGTCGAGTGCAGTTGAGCTGTTCTGGAAGTTGGATCTGGACAGGGAGAAGCTGGGCAAGGTGTTTGACCAGATCTGCGAGATCCTGCACGACACATTTGCGGCTGTGGCAAGTGAGCCGACGTCGTTCCAGGCGTGGCCAAACTGTATCGAGCAGTTTGGATTCGATTTCTTGGTCGACGAGGACTGCAATGCGCTGATGCTGGAGGCGAATGCGTACCCAGATTTCAAGCAGACTGGCGAGGGGCTGAAGTCGGTTGTTGAGGGGTTCATGGCTGCATCGGTAGCTACTGCGGTTGACAAGTTCCTGGTCGACGAGAAGGATGTCACCAAGGACATGCGGGACATGATGGACGCGGACCGCGACGGTCTGGTTGAGGTGTTTTCGCGGAGCAACGACAGACATCGGTAGTAAATTAGACCTAGTGTTATTAAATAAAGCTTCAAGTAAATTCTCTACAGCCAGATGTACTTTGGCTTGGCCTTCCAGCGCAAGAACGCGTATCCAGCAGCATAGTTGACAGCGCCAAGCATAATCAAAAACAGAACGCTTTGCCAGGTATTGAACCTGGTCAGGCTGTACGACTTCAGCACCTGCTCGCCGGTTGCGTAGCACTGGGTTTCGGGAGGACAGGTGAACGTGAGTCCGCCAAGCTCGTTTTGCGCCAATGCTGCAAACGTGTGGAACACAGGGTTGATCCAGCGGAGCCAGCGCAGGACGGGTGTGATCGTTGACGGGTTTGAGAACAGGCCGCCAAACAGCAGCTGGATGGTCAGAATTGCGGGTGCAATCATGAACCCCATCTCTGTGGACTCGACTGCCGAGCCGACCATCAGGGTGAAGGCAATGGACACCATGTTGATGCAGTAGAATATGGCCAGGGCAATAAAGAACTTGCTGGCACTGAACGTCAGGTGTGCAATAAAGTAGATGCCGATGAACAGGATCGTGTTGCTTATCAGGGCGAACGGCAGGAACACGGTTGCCTTGGACACGTAGAACGAGGAAATGCGGAAAGCAGCCGAAGCACGCTCACGCACCATGATATCGCGCTCCTCTACGTACAAGGACAACATGGGCATGACCACCGGGAAGGTTGCATTGACTGTGATGATGAACAGCACACCCATGCGGTTCATGACACTGAGCGAGTCGTTCTTCAGGTAAAAGTACATGAAGCCGATCAGCACGCCCATGACAATTGCCTGCATAATCTGGCCCACGGCGAACGGCGTGTTGCGCAGCGCATTCGTCCAGTCGCGCCTTGCCAGTGTTGCATACTCGTACAGCCAGCTGTTCTTGGTAACCACGTGCGAATTATCCTGCTCGCCGTAGCTGCGAGCCAACGATTGCTTCTCTGCAAAGCTTCCACTGGAGGCATTGGCGTGCTCGGCGAATGTATCTGCTAGCGCTGCAACCCGCTCTTTGCTTTGCGCCAGAGTCGTGTCGCTGCGATAGTCAAGAGTCATCAGGTCGACAAAGTAGTCGGCTGGATTCTCGTGCATCGGGCACTGGTGGCCAATCTTGGCAAAGTACTGGATGGACTCCGAGACAGGGCCGAAATACACGATGCGACCCTGCGACAGCAGAATGACCTTGTCGAAGAGATTGAAGATGCGCGCGCTAGGCTGGTGGATTGTCATCATGGTCGCAATCCCGCGGTCCTTGGAAATGCCCTTGACTAGCTCGACCACCAGCTCCGACGAGTTGCTGTCGAGGCCCGATGTCGGCTCATCGAGGAACAAAATGCTGGGGCTTGTCAGGAGCTCCATGCCGACAGAGACTCGCTTTCTCTCGCCGCCCGACACACCGCGTGTCTGGGCATTGCCGATAGGCGTGTCTTTCGCGCCCTCGAGTCTCAGCTGGCGCATCACTGTCTGGACGCGCTCCAGCTTCTCCTTCTCCGTATACTGGCTGTTGGAGAGGCGGAGCTTGGCTGCATACGTGAGTGTCTCCTTGACTGTCAGGAGCGGGTGCATCATGTCATCCTGCTGCACGTAGGCGGTCGTACGCTTGAACGAGCCGGGGTGACGCTTGGCACCGCGATACAGGATAGAGCCAGAGAGACGGCCGCCCTCAATACGGCCAGATAGAGCATTGAGGAGGGTTGTCTTACCGGCACCCGATGAGCCGATAATGGCAATGGTCTCACCAGCACGGGCCATTCCGGTGCCCTTTGACATGATGGTCTTCCACTCTGTGCTCTTACCAGCCTTAGTTTTGACCTCGTACGTCAGATCGGTCCACTGAAGGATTGGCTCGCTGAGGGATTCGGTTACTCCGTGGTACGGCGTAGACATGCCCTCAGACAGGGCTTCCTCGTCGAAGGATTTGGACATTATGCTATCAAAGGAGAGAGATGTGTGTTGCTTGAGCTTGGAAAGCAGAGGCTGTAACAGGTGTATTGCTACGAAGGATTAGATAAAGCGGCTCTGACTGGGTAGTCCGAAGAAAAAATGGAAGGTCCCTTGAAAGGCTAGTGCGACCACTGAGGGGCTGAGTGATGAAGTTGTTGTGTGGGTTGAAGGTATATGGTGTAACTAGGCTGAGGTTTAAATATGTGGTGGCAGAGACCACAGAAGCGGCTGGGTCTTGGCAACATTTTCCTGCGAGTTCTGCCTGTTTGCTTTTTCGAAATAGGCTAGAAGGCCCACGAGAGCCACAGGAAAATTCGGTTGGATGTGCACCAGAGACCAGCAGCACTACTGTGCTGCCCAGCTCAACTGGTTTGTAATTCTCGGCTGCTCTCGGGCGCCAGGCCGGTCCCGACATCGGCGCAGCGCGAAAAACAAGCATTAGACATTGGCCACAACATGTACGTGCATGTCGAGAATTCGCAACGGTGAGTCTTGGCGTGTATACTACCAGGAAGCGGCACATGTCACAGGACCACTGCCTTTTTGGAGCGTATTTGTCAGGAAATCAAGGTGCAGAGGATGCGGGGGCTAAAAAGCCGATGGTGTCTTGGCATATTCCTCGTGTTGTGCCAAAAACGCAGTCCAAGCATCGGCGCCGAGACAACAGCAGGTGAGCCCTCTATCGAACCAATCTGCTTATGTAAAAGGGGTCCATATTTATAATCAGGTGGAGAGATGTCAATTAGATTGTTAAGCCTCAGCGTTGCGATGCTCCGACCGGTGAGTAACCTCATAGTCAACATGGACATGGCACCGACCAATGTCCGGCATGTTCTCGTACTTCTCCTGCAGCGACTCGGCGACGTCGTGCAGCACAATCAGTGGTGTGCTGGGCGGCATAACAATGTCGACCTCGACAAATAGCTTGGACCCTGAGTGGTAAGCGACCACCCGGTCGACCTTGTCGATTCTTGGGTCATGTGTTATCGCCGTGTACGTCAATATCTGCAGCAAGTGTGGGTCGGCGCTGATGCCTACGATCAACTTGACCTGGTCCCACGCCTCCTCGACCCACGAACTCAGGATCATTAGCGCAATGATCAGCGAGCCCACCGGGTCCATCCAGGGCCAAAGGTGCTTGCCGATGATGGCCATGGTAAGGCCAAACGAGTTCACAAACACGTCGTTGCGGTGGTCGGTCATCAGCACATGTGCCGAATTGTACTCGCGCAGCGTGTAGCAGTAGAAGAACAGGCCGATTTTGGCCACTAGCGCCGCCAGCACGCAGATGCCATCGTACAGCGACAGCTGGTTTGGCTCGTTCCTTGACGACAGCAGTGCCTGGATAGACTCAGCCAGCAGCGCAACCGAGAAAGTACCCATCAGGACGGCAAATACGATCACGCCGATGGTCTCGAGCTTATACCGGCCCGACGGGTACAGCGAGAACCTGTCGCGGCGGCGCGCGGCAATGGACGCCAGGAGCAGGATAATTGACGACAGGAGGTCCATCATGGCCTCACTCATAGCGGCAAACAGAGACAGCGATTTCGATGAGATTGCTGCATACAGCTGCGCCAGCACTACCAGCACATTGACAAACACCGACACACGCACCGCCATGTCCACCTGCCGCTGCTTGCGCCGCCGCTGCTCTGACTGCAGCTCAATTACATCATCCGTATGCTGCTTGTTGACGCCTAGGAGCTCGGCAATAAGCTCGTTCTGTGATTCGTAGTACGCAGCCACCTGCCGCCCCTGCGATTTCATGACGTCCTGCAGGCCTGACTCGGACATTTGCGCAGCGACGAATTTTGGCACCAGCTCGGCCTCAGCCCTGGTGATCGAGGACCCGGTAGACGATGCTGTTGACGGCTTGTGGGCGTGGCTGCTGATGCGCTTGCATCGATCGCAGGCGTTCATCTGGTCGGCCAGCGAGGGATCGGAGGGTGGTGCTGGTGCGCCTACGGCACCATATGATGCTGGCTGTTCGGCTGCAGGCTGCGAGCCATCGTTCAGCAGTGCCTTCTGCTCGGCCGGCATCTCTGCCTTGCTCTTCTTGGGCTTTGCGGCGCCCTTGCCCTTTGACTTTTTGTTTCCGCGAGTCATGATAAGGATATGAGATAAAGGTTCTGCAGGCGAAAAAAAAAAAAAGAAAAAGTGATGGTGACTGTTGGAGCAAAAAACAAAAAAAAAATAATCGGCTGGTGGTTGGTGGAGGGGTGGAGCATCTTGAGGCCCAGCATTCTCGGGCAGACAGATCACTACAGGGCTGGGTTGCTCCAGGTTGGGCTGCCGATGTAATAGCGCCGATTCGCGTATTGTTCTCCGCGCCGCAAAATTTTGGTGTTACGATTGTCGCCATCATCTGGAACCTAATCCGAAACTGCAATCCCGCCCTGATTCATTGATCTGGAATTCATTGGTCCGAGCCGTGGTCTGAGACCGCATGCAGCCAGTGGAGGTGGATCCCCATTTTTTGCACAGTTCTGACAGGGCGACAGGAGGGGGTGAAAATGCCCACAGACAGGTCAGCATTGACAGTGCAAATCAGTTTTGTTCCCTTCATCGTCCTGTGTTATCAGTAATGCGAGCCATGTCTGGATTGTCAGTTGACTCAGCTGTTATGCAACCACTCATTCAGCAAATGGAGCCACTGTGAAGGAGCAGTAGCACTCGCTCTGCATGCTCACCCCCTGACCCAGCTGCAGGGTGGATCCCGCCTGATTTCCTCTGAGTTATTGACATACATCTGGCAGGATCCATTTACTTGCCTTTGGTGGGAAAAAAAGGCAAGATCGCGCTGAACCCAGGCGGAAATTCTGTTTTGCCCGTTTATCTAAGCAGCTCCAAAAAAACAAAATAGCAGGGCGGCAGATATTCGAACAGTTCTGCGTTCAAGGCGATTGAGTAACAGGAAAGCAGCGGATTTACAGAACCATCCCCAAGGTCATGTTCAGTCAGTACCATATGTACGCAACATTGCATGTCATGAGCGGAGTCTAATATTGCTTGGTGGATAGTTACACGCAATGCTGTTATTGTTTTGATCTCGCACTACCCGAGCGGTGAAAATAGGGAATGTCAACACGAAAGTGATCACAACACCAGGCGTGTGCGTAGGGCTCTTCTGGGTACCAGGATCCAAAAATAAGGAGTGCGTAACGCTAGTGTAGCACGAATCCAAGACTACATTAAACCTCGAAAAGGAATAGTGCACTGCGTGTCCCTCGCTTGTGCTTGTTTACGTTTTCTCTATTTTCACTCCCCGACCCAATGCATATATCGGCCGGCCAGCGCAGAAACTGGTTTTCGGCTCCTGGGCATGCGTGTGGCGGGTTCATGGTGCGATCCGTAGACTGTTTTTAGAGCCCAGGTGGGAAAACCGGGCCGGCCAACCGCAGCTTCCGGCGGCGCTACCAAGGAAGGGAAGAGTGCATCATTTGTGTACATGCTTTGCCAGCACAATGCGGCGCAATGCCATGCTAGGTTCAAACAGGCCTACTTTATGCTTAAACAGACAAGCGACAGGGGGCATGGGGAGGGGGTGGCTCCGGGGCTCGATTGATGGCCAGTGACAACAAAAGTTTAGATTGTAAGCGGCGTATTTAATGAAACAAAATTTAAAACAGGAACGTAATGTCTGGTAAACTATAGCAACAATGGTAAAAGGGGAGGAGTAAACATAAAATAAACAGACGTAAGGAAATAATAAGCATACAGGGAGGGAGTGGTGCGTTCCAGAAGGAAACTGATTCCTGAGGAAGCAAGCAAACAACAGCCTTAGTTGAACTCGATGCCCAGCGCCGACGATTCCCGGTTCTGCGTGCCATACAGCTTCCTGCGCAGGTCGGAGAACGTGCCCATGATCGGCTCCTCCTCTTCCAGATACTCGTCGGGCGTCGCCGGCGACATCAGCGCCGACGACGGCTGCTCGTACATTGCCAAGTGGCTCAGATCAAGCTGCAGCTGCGGCGCCGCCGACAGAGGCCGCGCGCGGCTCTGCCGTTTGTTTTGCGAGTGCTGGACAGTCGCGGCAATCGGCGTCATGCAGTGGTCAAACAGCTCGCTGATGGCCTCAAGCTTGAGCGCCGGATCGGCAAACTCGACCTCGATCTTGTGAATCGGCGGCGAGGCCAGCGGTCTCAGCGAGGGCGATGTCTTTGTCGAGTTCATTTTATGATTGGAAAAGTGTAAAAGCCGGGAAAAAAGAACCAAGGTGCTTTAGGAGGAGTGCTGGAGGGAGAAGTAGAGCTTTTTTTCGTGCCTGGAAAAGTAGTCCTCTGTCAAAGGATATGCTGCGGGCTTTTATACAAAACCCGCTCTGTCTCAGAGACCTGTGGCTGGCCAAAAAGCACGCAAAAATAAAAGGTGAGCCAGTACTATCAAAAATTGCCATTGGCTAGTAGATATTTCACACTTTGGCGCAAATATCGTGGCATTGTGGAAAAGAAGTTTTTCCCAAAGCCCGTAGCCCAATCTGTCTAAAATGGGGGCAATGAGGCGGACGGGTCGCTTGCCCGCTGTCCGCACCCACCCAACCTCCCTCCTAGTGACAGGCCCAAGAAAACTTTTCATGGTTCCCAACCCAAATGTGTTCCACAGTACCTGCCCATCACCGATCCATATAGATCAGAATAAGCTAGGATTCTCGCCATGACGCGGCCAACGCCTTTCAACGCAGAGCCAATTCAAGCGCAAAGGTGGACGCGAATAGCACTCACCAAGCAAATAGCTTCCCGAAACAGGATAGGCAGTGCAAGATTCACATCCGGGCCACAGTGCCGTCGACTGGATCAGAGCATCCCATTCTGGATGAACAAAGGCGATGCCCACCCAGCCCAGCCCCAAACTAAGCGCGAGAATACGGGCGTAGTCTCCAGCATGCACACAGCCTAACCCGCGCTCCATCAGCAGGCCGCAATAGCGATGTGTGCTCCACACCCACAAATGCACTCCTGCAGCAGCGAGCAGCGCACCCCGTGCTCAGGGGTGCCACTCGCTGTCATTCTACAGACCACAGTTGGTTCACACGATACAGCCATGTGCTGGACAGATCCGAAAATAGGCTCCCCTGGATCCCGGACCAAACGCACGCAAAACGCTGGATACACCTGTAGGCCCGAGACCCGCGACTCGGGAGAGAAAAGACGAAAAGCGGCAAGCTTGCGTCTTCCTACTATCGCCCCTCAGCGTTCATCCAGTATCGGGAGCACAGAGCCCACCCAGGCCGGAGCCGATCACAGCCATCATGAACAAATACAGCTAAATTTCTCCCAAAAATTAGCAAAGCGGAAACTATAGCCCAGGTTTAGTCTGGGGCATTCGCTTGGCTTTTGGGGTCTTAGTGCTGCAATTCCGGGTGCTGGTGCGCGTGTGCGCGCCCGCAGTTCGATGCCCGGCGGCGCGAAGCAGAGGCCCTTGGATATTTTTCGGGACGTGCGGCGGGGCCGACAATTTCCCCAATACCGTTCTGGTGGAGCAGTGCGGGCAACTCTGGCGTCTAGGCAAGGTACGGCTTTCACAAGCTGATGCTTGCTGTTTGACGCGCCGGACGAGCCCGCACTTGCGAAGCCGGAGAAACATGCGGTGTGGGAAGTCGGCCCTCAGTCGGTTTGGTCTTATGCGGGGCACTAGCGTTTCCATAGTGTATAGCCCGTGTGCCAACACGTCCGAGAGCGATAGGCGCAGGATGCCCTCCGGCAATGGCCCATTGCGCTCGCTAGCTTGCCATCTTAAGGCTGTTTCCGTATGGTTCCTTGGAAGACCCCGCTTGAGTTAGCCGGGGCAGTGTCCGGTTGTGCTGTTGTTGAGACTCCTTCAGTGTGCAGTCTCCCTCGCCTTCAGGACCTGCCCTGGTGCCTGACCTCGGGCGGGAAAGGGGCTGGAGACGGCTGGGCTTGCTGGCGGTGCTTGGCGAGTTGGAGCGGTCTTATATACCCCGATACCTGTTAGCTATTGCGCGCGCATATTCCAGTTCAGGCCGTACGAGACTATGTCTCGATGACGGGCATGATACTACCATGCGGGCGACATCCTCCCACCCACCACATTTTTTGCTGCTGCGGCATACGATACGAATGTAGTTTTATTGCAAAACGCGACTTAAGCTGAAGACTGGTGGTCGGCATACGCCTCGGCGTGCAGCTCCTTGACGATATCCAGCCAGCGCGACTTTCCGTCCTTGCCCATGTCCAGGGTGAAGGCCGTCAGGTCGTCGAGCTTTTTGATCACCTTCTTCACATACGCGCGCCACCGCTCCTCCAGCGCCTGGTTAACCACATTCGGGGCCGTTTTGTCAACGATCACATGCACAACCTCGGCAGTGCCCGTCAGCAGCATATACGACAGTACGACGGTGAGGTTGCGGTCCGGCAGCGCAAAGGTCAGCGCAAAGCAGACGCTGGACGCGTCGGTGTCGAGGACGATCGAAAAGTTGTGGGTTGTCTCCAGCGACGCCACGCTGACCTTGCCTGTCATCTCCATGGCGATATGCACAGTGTCCTCCAGCAGGTGCGCCGGCATCGCCAGCAGCTTCACTAGCGTGCTTGCCGTCTTCTCGGCGCCCAGACGGTCGACGATCCCCGAAAGATACGCGGCCACGCGTTCCGACACGCCCTTTGGCGGACGCACTATAGGCAGAATCCGCACATCCCACGCCGCGCGCAAAAGGTTCTTCGGCACGCTAAACAGGCCCACCAGCTTCGCCAGCTTCTGAGCCGGTTCCTCCGCTGCTGCGCTGTCTGCGGCTTCTGCCGGTACCTGCGGCTCCGATTGCTCGTCGTCTGCTGGCACAGCGTCCAGGCTGAGCTTGTACTCGCAGCGCACGGTCCCGCGGCACCCTGTATAAGCAACCAGCACCTCCTGGCGATCCACCAGCACCTCGTCGACACTCAAATGTCCGGTGCCCACATACTTGGACACCACCGCCTCGATGCTGTCGACGACGTTGACCGACATCTTCATCCACATCATCAAAGACCGCAGCGTCACCAGCAGCTGGGCGTTTGTGCACAGCAGTGCTGTCGGGGGCAGCGGCACAAACGGCGGCGCCCGTGCCGAGTTCTGGCGCATGTGCAGCTCGCGGAACTTGTACATGAACGCCTCCACCTTTGTCGCCCCGGGCCGCAGCCGGTGCAAGTTGCGCTGCAAGTTGCGGATGCGCTGCGCCTTGTCTGCCGCCCGATCGCCCATCACATCATCCGAGGCCACCTCCTTGAACAAAACCGTCACTGCCTCCTCCAGACGAGCCCAGTCGAGTGTCATCTTGGTCGACAGGGCCTCGAGCCACTGCGCAAACCGCGGGATCGGCTCCATCGCTGCCGTCACCAGAGGCGCGGGCGCCGACGCACTGCTGCCAGCAGCCACCAGCGAGCCGGCAAACACACGCGCCGATGCGACCACATCAGAGATGTGGAACGTGTCGTATGCCACCAGCCGTACATCTACCACAAACCGCGTATTGAACACCAGCCGGATGTTGTCGGCCGCTGTATACATTGGCATTACATTCAGGTCGCTGATCTCGGCCAACGACGACCTCAAATGCTCCTTCATCGTCATCAGCCGGTCCACCACCAGCTTTGACTTGTCCTCAGGCTCAGTCTCGCCCAGCATCCGCACAAACCCGACAGGAATCATCGAGTCAAGCGCCAGCGAAGGGGACAACGACCGGATGTTGACCATGGGCCCTGTAGTAGACAGTATGTCGCTGAGCGGTGTCATCTGGATAACCAGCGATAGTATCGACAGGGGGTTTCCCGTCAGATTCATACGCGCCTGCAATGTGCGCAGCCAGCGCGACAGATCCGCCGACACCTCAAAGCCCATCCTGCGACGGCTCGACCCTGCACCGTGCGCCCACGGCCAGGTCGACCCGATCCGCAGAATGCGATTCGACTCGGGCTCCACCTCCGCCATAGTAAGATGGTACGACAGCTCGCCCTGTTGGTCGCCCGTGAACGGTTCTGGCACACGGCACGAGATTGACAGCAGCCGCGAGTCCAAGCACTGCAGAACGAGCTCGGTTGCAGCATGCTCGTTGGCACCAAGCATCTTAGTCAGCGCGCCTGTATACGGCCCAGCACAGAACGGATAGAACGCGGTGGTGGCCGCCAGCATACGCCGCAGAGACCGCTGCTCCCACACGCACAGCTGGCGCGCAACATGCGTCATCAGGTGGTGCTCGGACCAGTCACGGATCAGGCTCTGCAGAGCCCGACCGACGTTCTTGTACACCAGCATCATCTTGCTGTACCCGCCCTTGGTGTTGCCCGAACCGCGCCCGTGGTATCCGCCGTCAGGGCCTGCGTGGGCTCCAAAGTACACTGCATCGGCATGGGCTGCCGAAACCGCCGCCGGAAGCCCGTCCAGCGCCACAGGCACTGAGGCGATGACCTGGCAGGGAATTACGTGTCTGCCGACCAGCGTCTGTGCCGCCGACGACGCCTTGCCGTCAGACGTGCGGTACTCCACCAGCCGTGCGCTATCACTACGCATTGCCGGGTCCAACTCATCCGAGGCTATCCGCACCGACACCATCCTTCTCGCCTCGTCAGCAAGCACACCGCTGCTAGCCACATGCCAGTTTATAGGCGATGCACGCATCAGCGCTGCTATCGGCAGATACAGGATCGGCACCTGCTCGTCGAGCTCGTACAGCCCCTGCTTGTCGAGCCCGACAACTGACAGCTCCTTCGACACAGCAGCACGATGCCCATGTGGTGACGTCGAGAACGACGGGATGCGGAAGCTATACGGAATCTTCCACTCCGTGAGCTGTGTCTGCAGAAGCCGCAGCGCAAGCCGTGCGCGGCACATCGATGCTAGGGCGTTAAGGTAGTCCAATGTGATGCTAGTGCGGCCCGACAGCATCGCATCCACACGCTCTGTTACATCCCATTCGGCCCCGTCTTCGCGCAGCCGCTTGCTCTGGCCACCGCTGCCGCTGTTGGCACGCACCATGCTCGGGTCAAGCTTCTTTTCAGCCAGCAGCCGCCGCGCCACCGACGAGAACAGTCGATCGACCTGTAGGGCAATGACCTGGCCTACCTCGTACATAAGCTGGTCCTTGGGGTGCGGATTCAGCAGCACCAGCCGGAAATGCAGCCGGTCTGTCATTGCCCCCATCAAGTACCACTCGCCATCGCATCCCTCGATCTTGTAGAACCGCACACGATTCAGCGGCTGCTCAGTGCCAATTCCACGCATCAGCGCATCAGCCTCCTGCTGCGAGATCCGCAACGGGAAATTCGCCGCCGCTGGCACCGGTCCATTAGACCCAACGGCCGGTGATCCCATCAGATACGACTGTGCCGATGCCACCGCAGGCGTCACGCTGGCCTCGACGCGGCGCCTGACGCCGGTCAACACAAATCCAGGCAGCAGCCCGCAGGTAGCCATACCCATAGGCCGCAAGCCCAGCGACCGGAACGCAAGGCTGTCCAGATCAGCGAGCGCCAGACTCGAGCGCATGTCCACCAGAAGCTCCGCCAGCCTCCACGGCGTGCGGTTCGCCTGGTCTGCCAGTTGCCCAATCATGGCCTCGCTCAGCGACGCACTAACCGACACAACCTCTGAAGCCCGAACCACCAGCCGGCCTGTGAATGCATCGACAGTGATATCCACTGCGCCTTCATCCTGGCGGTACCACGCCCGCAGCTTCGGCACAACCGCCGCCTGTGTAATCTCTGACGCACTCACGCTGCGCTTCACTTCGCCCGACGCCATGCCATACAGCAGCTCAACAGCCCCCTCATCGAACAGACCCGATTCCACCACTGAGCTGTACAGCGACTCGAGGATCTTGACCGAATGCCGCCACGTAACCTGCCGCAATAATCTCTCGGCGTTGATGCCCTCGCTATCCAGCACGACACCGCCACCGTTTGCCAGATCCTCGCTCAGCTCGCTCGCCTGCGCCACCGTGCGTGACCACGTGTGTGTCTGACCAAGCCCCGAATGCGCTGTCCACGTGATGCTCAGCCCAAGCTTGGGGATAAGGTTGCGCCGATCCTGCTCAATCCGCAGGAACTCGTGCTTATCGCTTGCATCGTCTGGCGACGCCTCCAGCGCATCGGGACCTTCAATCGCCGAGGCGTGGATTGGCCGCGGCACTGGCAGAGGACAGGGCTTGATCACAATCGCATTGCCACGGCTGCCGCCGCTGCTATTGTGGCCAGCCGCTGCACGCGACGACGTCCAGTACCGCAGTACCACCGATTTGTCGGCACCCATCTCAATCTGCAGCAAATTCTCCCACCGCACGCGCCGCAGTACGGCCGCCTGCTTGGCTACAGTGTCAAGCAGAATGCTGAGGCTCTGCATGTGCAAAAAGTCGTACAGGCGCGCCAGCTGTGGCACCTCGCTCTCCTGCAGAAGCTGCGTCTGGCAATGTTGCGCCATGTCGTTTGTCTGCCGCTTATCCAGCCGGATAGCCATCTCGCCTGTCAGCGCCGGATCCGAGCCCACCAGCAGCTTGATTCCCACGACGTGCCACGGCACATTCGAATACTGCAGCAGTGTCAATGTAGCTTCGAATTCGCCTGCAACTGTGAACGTCACCCTGCCGCCGTCTATCGAGTACCGACGCATAGCTGTAGGCACCGGCCCGCCGCGCAGAATGCGTGCCCTAATAATGCCATTGATCGCCTCCAGAGTCTGCGCAACCTGCGCACGGGTCAGCATGGGCGGCGGCACAAATGCTTCCTTCACCACGCTAGGCAGTTTCTGATACGTGCCAGTTGTCAGCACATCCACCGCTGTTGGCACATCATAGTTCCTCAATCGCGCCTGCGGCAATGCCAGATACGTTGCGTACAGTCCATCAACGGCCCGTGTGAAGTACTCGTTCTGCGACTGCAGGTACGCAATTGCGTTCTGGCACTTTTGAATCTGCGGGGCGTTCCGCGACCACTTCACCAGCACCAGCAGCTTCGTGAGCTGCTCGCGTATATGCTGGGTGTACTTTTGGATCTCCTCGCGTCGGTTCTCCTCTGTCCGGCTCGGCAGTGTCTCGATAAGCGTCACCAGCTCCGTGTACGCGTATGTTACCATGCGGGTCACTATGACACTCAGAGGAATCATGTCTACCGTCACCTGCGGCAGGTCGGTATCAGATCCGGCCTCGGACCCGCTGCCGTAGTCGCTACCACTAAAGTTGCCCGACAGGCTGTGCTCCGGCTGCCGAGGGATAGTGCCACGTCCGAGGTCGGCCATGGTGGGCTGTGTCTGCGCTTCTGGAACTTGTGTATTGCCTTTGTCCGAGGTTACTCGCGAAGGAACGCGTTGAACGCTGGACATTTAGAGTAGAATGTCACGCCGTCTGGAAGATAGTATCTCGCGAAAGAACGGTAAATGTGAGCAGCGGTTGACCAAAGGGCGCGATCGCTTGCAAAGGAGAATAATTAGCGTTGAGAATGCGTCGGGATTAATAATTAAAAAGGAGAGAATAAAAAAGCAGAGGAGGGAAACTCTGGCGGGGACCAGCCGAAAAGCAAGACTGGGAAAGAAAATAAATGCAATGTCGGCATGCGCGTGTGATTGGCTGGGGGCCTGCCACCCCCTCTTTTCGCTGTTCTGCCACAACTACCGCAAAGCCCAGAAATGAAGGTTGCACTTTGAACCCGAAAAATTTTTATTGCTGAACCCTTTTTCTCTCCATATCCGCATACCTACGCCATGCCCGAGGAGACGACAAAGAAGCCGCGCGTCGACCTGCGCTCCGACTTCCCGCACGGCAAGGAAGACAGCGACCTGCACATCCGCCTCAACCCGTCGCTGCTCACGGCCGATTTCACTACTCCCTTCCACACAGCCTACACCAGCGATTCGCTCTCGGCAACCACCACGATCGCCTCTGGCGACAGCACTGGCACAATCGTCGCATCGCCGTTCCACACCGGCAAGCTAACCAACGTGTTCCCCAAACACTTCCTGCTGGCGCTCAAGGAGGAGCTGAAAACGCTGACGTGGCACCACCGATCCAACGACCTGTACAAGTTCAACCAGACCGACGACTTGGCGCTCAACGCATTACCGCACATTAAGGCGCTCAGGGACTACATGGCAGGCGAGGAATTCGTCGGATTCATGGAGAGCATCACCGGATTGGAGCTCACCCGCGGCTACCTCGATCTGGCAGCCCAGCGGTACAAGTCCACCAACCACCTGCTGTGCCATGACGACGACGTCCACCGTGGCAAACTGGCGCGCAGAATCGCCTATATCATCTACCTGGTCGACGAAGAGTGGTCGGCGGAGGACGGCGGCGCCCTGGGTTTGTTTGGCAACGACGAGAACCGCCATCCGACGAGCATCCAGGAGCACATTGTGCCAGAGTTCAATTCCATGGGCTTCTTCCGCACCGGCCTCGTCTCGTATCACACGGTCGAAGAGGTCACTGTCAAGGATCTTGCCCGCGAGCGCTGGTCTGTCACCGGCTGGTTCTACGGCCCTGTCACGCCTGAGATCACTCCCGACCCTGACCACCTCCCCCACCTGCCTGCATCTGTCCTGCCCGCCGTCGCCGATCTCACCGACACCTCCTGTGAACTCGAAAAGTGGGTCAACCCGGACTACCTGAAACCCGAGACCCAGACCCGTATCCTCGATGCCCTGATGGAGCAGAGCAGTGTTGAGCTGCGCGACTTTTTGCGCTCCGACGTCTTTGAGAAGGTCTCGCAGGAGCTCTCGGACGGATTCTGGTCAGAGGCGCCGCTGATGGGCCCGCCCAATCTGCGCCAGTACCTGGCCGCCGAGCCAACGACTCCGCTGGTCAAGGACCTGGCCGGCTTCCTGCGGTCAAAGAGCTTCGCCAGCCTGCTCAAGTCCCTGACATCTCTCGATTTGATCAAGGGATCGCAGGAGCTGCGCAAGTTCTCGCATGGCCACTACACGCTGATCCACGACCAGGCACTGGAGCCCAACGGTCTTGACGTCACTCTGTCGCTAACCCAAAAGACCGACTGGGACGACGAGGCATGGGGCGGTGCCACGCACTATATCGCCGATGCCGACGAGCTGCTGCGCATTCAGCCTGCCACCAACTCGCTTGCACTGGTGCTGCGTGACGAGGGCGTGCTGCGCTTTGTCAAGTACCTCAACCACCTGGCCGAGCAGGACAGACAGGAGATCTCTATGGTTTTTATTGAACAGCCTGAGGAATAAATTAATCGTCTACAGAAACCGCGACAAGAAGCTTGATCTGCGGCTCTTTGTGTGCGCCTGCCTGGTGGGCGCTGGCGGAGTAGCAGTATGGCTACGCAGGTTGACTTTGGGCGTCACCGGCTTGGGCCTCGGCGACCACGCTGGCGACGACCCAGCTGACAATGCCCCTAATGTCGGGCGCATGCCACCGCTGTGCTTCTTCTGCGGTGTAGAGAACGGCGACCCGTCTTGCGTCCGCCGGTGACTCCTAGCCGCCTCGCCTACCGCCGCCTCCTCTCCTTCCTCGCCTTCGTATTTGCGCTTCCGTCCCTCGAGTTCCTTCACTCTTGCAGCCAGCATCTGGTTCTCTCTCCGCTCGCGCTCCAGCTCTGCCATCACCTCCTCCAGTCGCTCGTTCACCAGCTGCGTCTGCCGCCGCTCCTCGATCATCTGCAGGTCAAGCGCCGCTCGGCTCTCATCAACTGGAACTGGCTGCTGCACACCCAACCTTTGCTGTGCATCGCTGAGCCGAGCCTCCACTGCCCGCAGCGTGATGCTGAGCACCCGTTCGCGCTCCCGCCCCATCTCCACCCTATCTGCCTGGTTTTCACAGTGCTTCTCAAGCTCTGCCACCCTGGCTTCCAGCGCCAACCGCTGCTGCTCGTTGGCATCTTTATCTCGTACATTCTTCAGCTCCTCCTTGGCCCGCCTGTACGCCCACCGCTCGCTCTCCAAGCCCTTCTCCACACGCTTCAACTCGGTTTCCAGCTCCCGACACCGCCCAAATATTTTGTCGCGCTCACTACCGATTGCCTGCTGCGCCCGGCGGCTCTCCCGAAGCTGCGTGCCGCTTTTTGCAAGTTCTGCCATCAAGCGTTGCACTTTGGATGCCACTACCTGCATCCGCTTCTTGATGGCCTCGTTTTCTGGCTCGCACGCCTCGAGCTCTTTGACACGATTCTCCAGTCTGTCGATTATCTGCAAATACTCGTCGTTGTCAGATTCGAGCTGCTTCGTGTAATGCATGAGCTGCGATTTGTCGCTCTCCAGCTGCTGGATCTCGCCGCTCAGAATGAATATTTGTGTGTTGAGCTTGTCGATTGATGGCTCCTCCTCCGCTAGATCCTCAGATGCTGGCACGCCGACTTCCGCTGTGAGCTCATCAACAATCTTCTTCGACCTTTCGATGCTCTCGTCGATTTCCCGGCGCATCTCATCGAGCGATGCCTGGCCCATGGCCTCTATTGTCTGCTCGTTCGGCTCTGTGGGCAACATACAAGGTTCCGTAGGCTGTATGGTGGGCTCTGCGGCTGGCGTATCGAGTTCTTCTGGCTTGCATAGGTCTGTCGGCTGAATCAAGGACAACATAGCGCTGGCCACATCCTCCTGGTCCTCCTCTGTGTGTGCATCGTATTCCACCCTAGCCGGGATCTGCATCGCCACAAGCTGCCCGAATCCCTCAAGCGCATCCTGGACATTCTGCGTCATACCTGTACCGTCTTGATCATGCAACTGCGCGTACTCATCATACTGACTGCAGTCACTTGCAATATCCACATCCTCGTCTTCTTCCTCCTCGGCTGACGATGACCCAATGCTAATTACATCGTCCTCCGCCGCTTCTCCGCTAGCCCACTGCAGGCGCGCCCGAGCCCACTGGTCGTGGATATCGGTGCTACTGCGCTCCTTCTCCGTTACCTCGTCGCATTCGTGCTCGCTATCCAGGCCGGCCGACCACATGCTCTCTAACGACACGTTGTTGGTTGAGCTGTTTTCAAGCACTGCGTGTTCGGCCATCCACTGATCAAAGCTGCCAGAGTCTACGGCGCCTGGCTCGTCGTCGGGGTCACAGTCGCCTGAGTGTTCAGTGTCATCGTCAAGTGCTGCGCTTTGGTCCGGCTGGAACTCCTTCTGCAGCACCTTCAGGGCGCTGCTGATAGCATCGGCAGTGACCGCCTCAGCGGTCTGCAAATCGCTGTTGTACGTGTCCATTAATTAGTAAAAAGAAGGTTTAAGGGAAGGCAACAAGGCAAGTTTGTGAAAAGCAGGCGTGAGACCACAAATTTATTTGCCTAATTCTGACTGCCAACTAGTGATCAGCAGCCCTTGTAAATTGGCTTCCTCTTCTCCTTGAACGCACGCAGCCCCTCGAGCCGGTCCTCGGTCGGAATGACCTGCGCATAGCACAGCTGCTCGACATCAAGCCCAGTGCTTGGATCCACAGTACTAGCATGATCGATAGCACGCTTCGCCATACGCACAGCCACAGGCCCGTTGGGCAGAATCTCCCTCGCCCACTCCAGCGCCCGCTCATACGCCGCCTCCTGGTCCGCCGGCTTTCCCTCATCCATACACTCGGGGTGCTCCACCATATCGTTAACAATCCCCATGGCCATGGCTGGGAACGGGCCCAGTCGGCGCGCCGTAAACACCAGCGCCTTGGTCTGCGACGGCCCAATCAACTTGGTCAGCCTCAAGGTGCCGCCGGCGCCCGGGATAATCGCCAGCGACGTCTCCGGCAGCCCCAGCAGCGCCCGCGGCCCGGCCACGCGCAGATCGCAGCACAGCGACATCTCGAAGCCGCCGCCCAGCGCCGCCCCATCTATGGCCGCAATGGTCGGCTGCGGCAACGACTCGAGCTCCCGGAACGCCATTTTCATGCTGTGCAAGAACTGCGACACCTCTTGCGGCGTCATGCCTGCGCGCTCCTTCAGGTCCGCGCCAGCACAGAATACTCCGGCGACGCTGCTGCGCAGGACCACCACGCGCGCGTCATTGTCGAACCGGATCTCCTCCAGGGCTGCGCGAAAGTCCTTGACCAGGTTCCGCGAGAGCGCGTTCTTGGCCTTGGGCCGGTTCAGCGTCAGCGTCAGAATGCCGGCGTCTGCCCCCGTGTGACGGGTCAGGATCACTTCCTTGGCTGATGTCTCGAGGAACCGCACAAACTTGTAGTTTGTCGGGGCGATGCGGCGAGAAAGTATAGAAGAAAACATAACGTGTTTGTGTTAAAGTGGGCGGTTTGGAAAAAGAATGGATCAGGAGTGCAGAGAAGAAAAGAATGCAGCAAACTGGTCTCGTCTACCCTTATCGCTGAAGGCGGTGGGCTTCCCACGCTTGGGGAATTTTCCGACTGATCGCCGAACCTGTGTGAAAAAATGTTTGGATTTCGTGGATGCTAGCCCGTCCACGTCACCCCCGCCAATAGATCGCGTTATTGCTTGCTAAGGCTGTGCATATGCTGCTTCCCTGCTTGATATCACTGGTGTGGCCTGTATCCTGATGCACAGCCATTAATATGCAACTACTGCATGATATTCTTCTGGCGGTGGACGCTGACCCAACAACGGTAATGATACCAGGAGCCTTGCACTGCAGCGATGACACATAACCTTACTTTCAGCCACACATGTTAATAATCAAGTATTGGCAGGTGGAATACCCTCCTTCGCCATATTCATTTAATTTGACATTCAGCAGAAATGTATGCAGCAATAGACATATGGCCAGGTTTCTATGTTTCTATGAGACACTGGCCATTCGAAGCATTTAACAACATGTGCACATTTCACATTATCATCGCCACTCGCATGACTATTCTCAACAAATAACTGTGCTATAACTGGGGTGTGAATGCCCACTACGAAACTATATGTAGCACTCTACATCTGTAGAGTCTGTAACCAGATATTTGAACCAAGTAAATAGTTAATTCAATGATTTAAAATCCCGCGTATGACTAGCTGAAACGCATTTATTCATATTCTTTGGTGAATATTCTAATGGAGAATATATATTTGGACTATGTATAGTCTGCACAAGACCTATTCGCATGTCGAGACATAGCACCAACTCGCTGCTAGCTGAATAAACGTAAATAGCGGTTTTGTCAGGCAGCAGCATTAATCTGTATCTCGACAATTTATTTTTAGACCATTGGAACTGCAAGCTCATGCGCGCTTACAAGAGATCGTCCTGGGGCTTGCACTATGTGGATTCAGCACGTCGGTTTATTTTTAGATACATTCTGGAAGTCGGGCGTCATGGATAAAGCCTTCGCTTCGTAAGCACACTATCGAAACCTTCTAGGTCAGTGCTTGTTTCTGGCAGCAGCATGCCGTGCATGAGTGACCGCCTAATGGTAATTTCCATTCAGCAGCACAGCCCGAAGAGTAAACAAGCGATATGCAGACATGGGTGCTAATAATAGAATTATCGACTATGCATATTACGACAGCGAGTCCATACCTCATGCTTGTATTCAGGAGCCAGTTTTATATATAAAGGAAGCGCTGTTGCCTGTCACGACCAGTCCATTACCAACAGGATAAACAACAATCTACCCTCCAGTCTTCACACGGCCTCCACAAAACACATACGAAAAAGATGAAGCTCGTCACACTCGCTGCTCTCCTGCTCGCCACTTCTTCGCAGCTTGCCTCCGGCTACGCCATCAAGGGCGACACTGTCAACTGCCGCTCAGGTCCGGGAACCTCAGACAAGGTTGTGCGCACGTACAAGAAGGGTGAGCAGGTCACACTCTCGTGCCAGACAACCGGCACGTCGGTCAGCGGCAACAACCTCTGGGACAAGACCCAGCATGGGTGCTATGTTGCGGACTACTACGTCCAGACTGGGAAGAACGGCTATGTTGCCAAGAAGTGCGGATCCACCGGCGGCGGTGGCTCTACTGGCGGCGGTTCCTCGAGCGGATACTGCAAGAGCGTCAACGCCGCCTCGCTCAACCTGATCAAGGAGTTTGAGGGCTTCGTCAAGAGCCCGGCTCCCGATCCTATCGGTCTGCCCACCGTCGGCTACGGCCACCTGTGCCAGACCAAGGGCTGCAAGGAGGTCAAGTACAAGTTCCCGCTGACCCAGGCCACCGCCGAGGCTCTGCTCAAGGACGATATCCCCAAGTACACGTGCCTGGGCAACTACCTGAACGGCAAGGTCAAGCTCAACCAGAACCAGTGGGGTGCGCTAGTGTCGTGGGTGTTCAATGTTGGCTGCGGTGGCGCCCAGTCATCGACTCTGGTCAAGCGCCTGAACGCTGGTGAGAACCCGAGCACCGTCATTGCCAGCGAGCTGCCCAAGTGGAACAAGGCTGGTGGCCGTGTTCTGTCTGGCCTGACGCGCCGCCGCAATGCCGAGGTCAAGCTTGCCAAGGCTCCCACCAACGCCCAGGCATACCCCAAGTGCGCCTAAATCAAAACACCATGTAACTACCCACTTCGCTCTATTTCTCGCACCAATACAATCTAAAGCAAAGACTCGAAAGTCCCAGCTGCAGTGGTCGGCATGGTCCGTGACAAAATGAGCTCCTCTTGCTGCTCAAAGAGCCAGAGCGGCTGAGACTGCTGTCAAGAAAATGTACCACAGAGCGGGAGTTTCATTTACACAAAAAAAATGTGTGATCTCAACAAGAGGATCCATCAGTTGGTTCGGCTCGCTTAGCTCAGTCGGTTAGAGCGACGTGCTAATAACGCGTAGGTCACAGGTTCGACCCCTGTAGTGAGCATCTCTTTTGCTTTCTTTTGCCTCCTGCGCTGCTTTGCCATCTTTTTGCTGTTTCTCGCGATGCGTCGTGGTGCTGGCCACCACACCATGCTGTGAGCACCAAGCAACTCTGGTGTTGCCACGTTGTCGGCTGGGGCCATTGTCAAGTGTTCCGTGCTACCTCTGGGTACTCTCACCGTAGAAAGCGCTGCACCTCTTTTTCTGGCATATGTGTGAGTCTCGTATCCATATTTGCTGCTGTATATGTATCGTCTGCCTATTGTCTTTTATTCTTCTGCAACGACACCTGCAAATACGGCGTCACGGCCACTGGCAGCAACTGCGGGCGCCATCACCCGCTCTTCAAACCCAAGTATATAATTTGAGGGAAGTGGACGCATCTATAAAGTCGATAGGAACTTGTATAGCTTGCACTTTATCTAGTGCGCTAGATGCACATGTCGTTTGCTAACAATTGAGTGCTGCTCACGAGCATCATGAGAAAATCATAGCAAGGATAAAGAGTCTAGGGAGGGCAGCCCTTCGTTTTGTTGGGTCCAAGAGCGTTTGCTATGCACCAGGTGCGTTCACGGTCCCATCAGGCTGGTGTGGTACTCTGGTGCCAGCTGCTTTTATACGCATACTTGAAGTGCAGTGACAGTATCTACAAACAGTACTGGCGAGATAGCGTCTATGGAACCAGCCATCCGAGCATCTTATAGTTGACAGATGGCAAAATGGCCATGCAGGCACAGATAAAGAAGCAGGTTCTTGGTGGCCGGACACACAGAGCATGGTGTTGCTACACAAGATGAGCACCAGCTATATGCACAAAAAAAGAAGAAAAAAGCAACAAGAGCACACACAGGCGCTACCAGCAAACCTGCCTTCATTCCTAGCAATGACAACAATTTCAGAACCAAAAAACCAATTTCCAGCAAGAAAAATGATGTTCAAAAAGAATCCGACAAACCTGATTCGAACAGGTGGCCTAGAGATTTCAAGAATTTTTCAATTCCACTACAGTCTCCCGCTCTACCAACTGAGCTATTGTCGGCGAATCGAACAACAAAGCCGTTCAACCTCTGATTTTTCAAAAATTAAATTATACATAAGGCAAAGGCAGGCTACTGAGCTGATTTCTACCGGTTCATCTTCTATTGTCTCCGTTGGACAGCAAGCACAGACACTATTAAACTGACATAGTTTAGTAGGTACATATTAGTTGGGTATTGCCAATATATCGGCGCATTCCTGTTTTGTCGCTGCTTATTCAAAAATAGTTCAATCAGGTTGCATCCGGTTCACTGCAGGTACTCATTCCTGTTGGCGCAGCCTATATATAGATCACGGATCCTTGCATCTGTTTAGCAACACACTGGAGTTATCTAAGCAATGTATGCATTGCAAACACGTATTGAGTATGCCAAAAATAGATTACGAAACTGAGTCTTTACTTCAACAAACGCTGGTATAAATAGGGCTGGTTGCCAGTGCACTACCGCCAGCATACCATCACCAACAAAAACAGTACCTTCCACATCAGTAAAATGAAGTTCTTTGCTATCGCTTCCCTCGGTCTCCTCTCCATCTCTGGTCTGAGCAGCGCCTATCCCATCTACAAGGCAGATGTCGTTAACTGCCGCTCATCTCCCAGTGCCTCGGGCACAGTCGTCACAACGTACAAGATTAACACGGACATCAACATCAGCTGCCAGATCTCAGGCCAAAATATCAAGGGCAACTCGCTTTGGGACAAGACCCAGGATGGCTGCTATGTTTCCGACTACTACATCAAGACCGGGTCTTCTGGATATGTTTCTGGAAGATGCAATGATGGATCCACTGGCGGCGGTTCTACTGGTGGCGGCTCCACTGGTGGGGGTGGCGCACCTGGCGATATGAAGGATGACTATCCGCTCAAGAGCAGCAGCTGCACAGGATATGACGGTTATCTCTACGCCAAGTGCCAGTGCACGTCGTTTGTCGCCTGGCGCATCAACTCGCGCCTGGGTATCAGTTTCCACAACAAGTACAAGGGCAAGGCATGGGGAAATGCCAACCAGTGGGATGATGCAGCCCGTGCTTCGGGTGTCACTGTGAACAACACCCCGACGCCTGGCTCTATTGCGCAGACCAACAGTGGTGGTGGTGGCTATGGCCATGTCGCCTGGGTCGCTAAGGTTGATGGCGACAATGTTGTGATTGAGGAGTACAACTACCGTGTCCGTAAGGGCTATGGCACCCGTACTGTTCCCAAGAGCGCATTCCAGTACATCCATCTCTAAGATCGAGAGCTGCCCTGGATTTCTATTTCTGTAAGATATTTTACAATCAAAAGCCATTTACTCCTAGATCTTGGCAGCAGCAATGTCTAAGCTATTCCCTGGACCGATGGGCATGCAGTTGCCACTGAACACACATGCTATTTATAAATGCTTGGATGTTGATTTTTCTTGAAGATCGCATGGCTGCATGCGGACTGTCTTGCTGAACAGCCGCACATAAGAACCCCTGTATTCCATTGTCCAAATGAAAATGATGATGCAGCACTGATGTGCACAGAAACAATGTCGCCCATGTCCGCTTACCAAGCAGCCGCATATCTCTTGTCCGCACACCCCCTTTTCTCACGAAGTGGCATTCCAAAAATAAACAGCACGCACATTTCCATATATCAAAAACGCCGATCGTATGCACTCGTACATAAGCTGAAGTCCACAAAAGTTCAAGAAAATACCGCTGTCTAAAAATAAATTTCTATCAAGGTGCCAATAATAGAATTCTTCTATTGCTCAAAGACATCTCAGACCGGTAGCGGCTGGTTAGAGCAGGTTTCTATCTCGAAACACATGCATGCACATGGTACAGTCAACTCGTCAATATGTGTGCCTGAAGCTGGAGTCAAACATATAAAGGGAGCGGGCAAAGGACTGCCAACAGCCAGATACTCATCATCACAAAACAGTTCTCTTGAAAACCATTTCCCCCTCCACCAAAAACTCCTTTCAGCCATGAAGTTCACAGCAGCTGCAACACTTCTCATCGCCACCATCTCTCCGCTGGTGAGTGCCTACCCCATCTACAAGGCTGATGTCGTCAACTGCCGCTCCAGCCCCGGTACGTCTGGTGAAGTTGTCAAGACGTACGCAAAGGATACTGAGGTCGAAATTAGCTGCCAGATCTCCGGCGACACCGTCAAGGGCAACGCCCTCTGGGACAAGACTCAGGATGGTTGCTATGTTTCCGACTACTACATCAAGACCGGATCTTCTGGATACGTCTCAGGAAGATGCAGCGGTGGTTCCACAGGTGGCGGCTCTACCGGTGGCGGCTCCACTGGTGGTGGCAGCACTGACATGAAGGATGATTATCCTTACAAGAACAACTGCGGTCCTGTCGACAAGTGGAGCTATTACCAGTGCCAGTGCACATCGTTTGTCGCCTGGCGCATCAACTCGCGCCTGGGCATCAACTTCCACAACCGCTACAAGGGCAAGGCGTGGGGTAACGCGAATGAGTGGGATGATGCGGCCCGTAGTTCTGGTGTTACTGTTAGCAGTACGCCAAAGGTCGGTGCTGTTGCGCAGACCAATGCTGGGCGGTTTGGCCATGTTGCTTGGGTTGCAAAGGTTGATGGTGACAACGTTGTGGTCGAGGAGTACAACAAGGGCGGAACCGAGCACTACGGCACTCGCACCGTTCCCAAGAGCTCGTTCAACTACATCTACCTCAACTAAAATGATTCTATATTTCATTTTCTGTAAGATACATGTCTGTCAATATATATACGGCAATAGTCTATTCCTATCAGCACAAAATTGTGCAATAGGAGGATCTGTACAGCGTGTTAGCTAGGTCAAATCAGTTGGCTTATCACAGTTTGGATATTAAAATCAGAAACCAAATCATCAATGAACATCTGCAATATTGAAAACGGGGCGTGCTCGCTGAATGTGTCCAATACTGGGCAAAGAACACATATCATTGGCTACTAATCAACTTTTAACAGCGGACATTTGGCGGTGTAGTTCTACCCTTGTAGACTGTTGCTCCGTGCGGAGGCAATCTTGCTGAACCAGCATGAGCGACAAACAGTATATTCTTCTGCTTCCAAAAATAACGTAGAACCTATATAGAAAGCACAACAGAAATGCCGCCCATGACCGCTACCCAAGATGCTGCATATTCCTTGCTCAATTTCTGCATCCACAGAAGGTGCCGATCTAAAAATAGCTTACATGCTATATAGATGGTGAGGATAATCCCATGCAGCCGTACATAAGCAGCGGCCTAGCTTAGCTAAACTAACGAAACCGGATTCTAAAAATAAAGAAACTACAGGACAAAAATAGAATGTGCAGTTTCCTGGAACTGTTCTTTCGCGGTGTTGGATGCACGACGTCGATGTGCTTTTTGCAAGCACAGACGTAAGTGACAGATAGTCCAATGTGTTTGTCTGGTTGATGTGTGACGGGGGATTACTGATCATGTATAAAAGGAGTAGAAAAAACCTGCTGTGCCAACTAAAACTCAACAGCAACAAACCAAAAGCACTTTTCTCAATAACCTTTTTCTCAACAAAACACATCAGCCATGAAGTTCACTGCGCTTGCGACCCTCTTCCTCGCTACTATTTCTCCGCTAGCGAGCGCCTATCCTGTCCAGAAGGCTGATACCGTCAACTGCCGCTCCAGCCCCAGCACCTCGGGCAAGGTGGTCAAGACCTACAAGAAGGATGCTGACGTAAAGATCACCTGCCAGGTCTCGGGACAGAACATCCAGGGCAACTCGCTGTGGGACAAGACCCAGGATGGCTGCTATGTTGCTGACTACTACATCAAGACTGGCAAGAACGGCTATGTTGCCAAGCAGTGCAGCGGCGGTGGTTCATCTGGTGGTGGCGGCAGCAGCGGCGGTGGCAGCTCTGGGTCGGCTGGACCTATGACCAACGACTACCCGTACAAGAGCAACTGCGGTCCTGTCGATAAGTGGAACTACTTCAAGTGCCAGTGCACATCGTTTGCTGCCTGGCGCATCAACTCGCGCCTGGGAATCAACTTCCACAACCGCTACAAGGGCAAGGCATGGGGAAATGCCAACCAGTGGGACGATGCAGCGCGTGCCTCGGGTGTCAAGGTCGACGGTACTCCGACTCCTGGTTCCATTGCGCAGACCAACCAGGGCGGCGGCGGCTTTGGGCATGTTGCTTGGGTCGCTAAGGTGTCGGGCAACAATGTTGTGATTGAGGAGTACAACTACCGTGTCCGCAGGGGCTACGGGACGCGTACTGTTCCCAAGAGTGCCTTCAACTATATCCACCTCAAGAACTAAAATTTCCTTATATTTCTCTTTCTGTAAGATATTTTACAATCACAGCCCATTTCACACTAGTTCTTGTCAGCATCAAGTCCTGCGCTATTTTCTGGAAGGACATGCAGCTGCCGTTAAAACACCAGTGCCTTTACCAAATGTTCAGAAGCAGAATTTTGTTTTATTTTGAATTCCGCCAGGTCGCATGCGGACTGTCTTGCAGAACTGCTGTGCATGAGAAACCACGAATCCCATTTTCTCCAATAGAAAAGTGATGATGCAGCATTGATATGCACAACAAGTGTGCCGCTCATGTCCGCTTACAAAGCAGCCACATATCTCTAGTCCGCACACCTCCCCCTTTTTCTTCATGATATGGCAGTCTAAAAATAAACAGCACCCGCGTTTCCATATATCAAAACCGCAGATCGTATGCACTTGTACATTAGCTGAAGTCTAGAAAAGTTCAAAGACTATCTAAAAATACAATTCCACCAAGACAACAACAAATTATTTCTATTTCACAGTGAGATCCTGGGACCACTTAGCGACTGGTTAGAGCAGGTCTCTGTCCCAAAGCAACATGCATGATGCGGTGGACTTGTCAACATACGTGTGAACAAACATGTATAAAAGGAGCAGGAAAAGGGCTGCCCATCAGCCAAATACTCAGTAACAAGAAACATCCCACTTCCTCTCGTCACCAAAAAATTTCCTTCAGCCATGAAGCTCACGGCAATCGCAACACTCTTCCTCGCCACCATCTCTCCGCTGGCGGGCGCCTACCCCATCTATAAGGCTGATACTGTCAACTGCCGCTCCAGCCCCAGCACCTCGGGCAAGGTGGTCAAGACCTACAAGAAGGGCGATGACATCAAGCTCACCTGCCAGATCTCCGGCGAGACCATCAAGGGCAACTCGCTGTGGGGCAAGACCTCGGACGGCTGCTACGTCGCTGACTACTACATCAAGACTGGGTCCTCCGGGTACGTTGCTGGACGGTGCAGCGAGGGTGGCTCATCTGGTGGCGGCTCCACTGGCGGCAGCAGTACCGGCATGAAGGATGATTATCCTTACAAGGACAACTGCGGTCCTGTTGACAAGTGGAACTACTTCAAGTGCCAGTGCACGTCGTTTGTTGCCTGGCGCATCAACTCACGTCTGGGCATCAACTTCCACAACCGCTACAAGAGCAAGGCGTGGGGTAACGCGAAGGAGTGGGATGAGGCGGCGCGCGCATCAGGCGTCAGGGTCGACGGTACCCCGAAAGTGGGTGCGGTTGCGCAGACCAATGCCGGGCCATTCGGCCATGTTGCTTGGGTGGCCAAGGTCTCAGGCAACAATGTTGTGGTTGAGGAGTACAACAAGGGTGGAACTGAGCGCTACGGCACCCGCACTGTCCCCAAGAACTCATTCAACTATATCCACCTCAACTAAAATGTGTCTATGTTTCATTCGCTGGAAGATATATTGCTATCAATAAACATCGATATCATAAAGATGCATGCTTTTTTCTGTAGGTGCAAATGTTTGATTGTATTGCTATGTTGATAGTATACTTGTGTTTATAAGTTTATTGAAGTGTCTCTTTGGGTTAAGTACATGTGTTGCCTAGAAGAGCAAGTGCTTCTGAGTGAGTGGCAGCTCAGTGGCAGGCTCGCACGAGCATGATTCGCCATTCAGCTTGACTTCGTATGTCTCCGGGTCGACCGTGACGTTTGGCAGTGCGCAGTTGAGCTTCAGATCCTTCTTACCAATGAAGCGGCATTTCTTGACTGGTACCAGGCGCTTAGTGACCTTGTAAGTTTTCGCCATTGCGCCGTAATCCTCATCGAGACTGGCCTGTGACACAAATGCGATCGAGTTATTACGCACACCTCCAGGAAGAGCTCCAAACATTGGCCGCATATACATAGGCTGAACGGTTGGGATCGAGGCGTTCGGGTCACCCATCTGGGCATATACCGGCATTCCTCCCTTGATCACAACGGAGGGTCGGATGCCGAATTCCTGTGGTGACCACATTACCAAATCTGCAAGCTTGCCTACTTCTATCGAGCCGATAACGTGCGACAATCCGTGGGCAATGGCCGGGTTAATCGTGTACTTTGCAATATAGCGGCGAATGCGGAAGTTGTCGGCGCGATCGTAGATTGAGGCACGCGGGATTCCAAGTTCATCGCTATTCTCAGGGACAGGCAGATGTCCGCGCTGGCGCTTCATCTTGTCAGCAGTACGCCAAGTGCGACCAACAACCTCGCCGATACGGCCCATGGCCTGCGAGTCAGACGACATAACCGAGATGGCGCCCAGGTCGTGCATCACGTCCTCGGCAGCAATAGTCTCGCCACGAATGCGGCTCTCGGCGAAGGCGACGTCCTCAGCAATACGCTTGTCCAGATGGTGGCAAACCATGAGCATGTCAAGGTGCTCATCACAAGTGTTGGCAGTGTACGGTCTGGTTGGGTTGGTCGATGACGGGATGACTGACGGATGGCCGCACACAGCCAGAATGTCAGGTGCGTGTCCGCCCCCAGCACCCTCGGTGTGGTACGCGTGGATAGTGCGGTCGCCAATAGCAGCAATGGTGTGCTCGACAAATCCAGACTCATTCAATGTGTCGGTGTGGATAGTCGTCTGAACGTCCATCTCGTCGCACACAGTGAGACATGTGTCAATGACAGCTGGTGTGGCTCCCCAGTCCTCGTGGATCTTCAAACCGACTGCGCCAGCACGGATCTGCTCGCGCAGTGGTTCTTTTTCCGAGCAATTGCCCTTCCCAGTAAATCCAATGTTCATAGGCAATGTATCAGTGGTTTCGAGCATGGTGCGGATGTGGTAGGCGCCTGGTGTGCATGTGGTCGCGTTGGTGCCGGTGTTGGGGCCAGTGCCACCGCCGATGAGCGTGCAGATACCGGATGCTAGGGCTTCGTCAATAAGCTGCGGGCAAATAAAGTGGACATGCGTATCAATAGCAGCAGCGGTAACAATCTTGCCTTCGCCAGCCATGGCCTCAGTCGATGTACCTACGTACATCCCAGGTGTAACGCCGTCCATGACGTCTGGGTTTCCGGCCTTACCGATGCCGACAATCATACCGCCTTTGATTCCGATATCAGCCTTATAGACACCAGTATAGTCGATGATGACAGCGTTGGTGATTACCAGGTCAAGGCATTGGCGGCGCAGCAAAGGGGTAGTCTGGCCCATTCCGTCGCGCAGCGTCTTGCCACCACCAAATTTGCACTCGTCGCCGTAAACCGTTGCGTCCCACTCAATCTCGGCCCACAGGCAGGTGTCTCCTAGCCTAACGCGATCTCCGATTGTCGGCCCGTATGTCATAGCATACGTTGCACGGTCCATGGTACGCGGGCGTGGAACACGCTGGGTAACCGCCAGCGCCTGCGGCAGATGCATAACACCCAGGTCCTTCATCCCGGCGAGAATATGAGCAATACGTGTGCGGTCGACCTTGCCGGGAGCAAAGTTGTTGCCGCCATTAACAATCTTGTTGCCAGCGATATCGACCAGGGTGACAATTCGGGTGTCTCCGGGCTCGAAGCGCACGGCGGTTCCGGCGGGAATATCCAGGCGACGGCCGTAGGCGATCTCGCGGTCCATCTCGAGCGTGGGGTTGGCTTCGGCGAAGTGGTAATGGGAGCCGATTTGCACTGGACGATCTCCGTGGTTGGTGACTTGAAGTGCATAGCGTGTTCGGCCTTGGTTAATTTTTATTACGCCTGGCGCGGGGATTATGTGGCCGACCGACGCCAAGTCGCTGGTGGGCTCATAGCCCTTGGCTATATCGTCGTTCCATGGGAACAGCTTTGTATTGATTGTGGTGAGTTTCTCCAGCCGGGCAGTCTCAGCTGCAGCCGCCCACTCCGGGGGCTCGTCGTCGCTCGGGTTCTTGATATCTGCGAAGTTATCAGGGCCCTGGCCAATGTCGATACCAGCCCCGTAGAGTGCGAGCTGCAGGTCACCATCCAGTGTGCATACGGGGGTGTGGACGGTTACCAGGAACGTGCCATCGCGGAACGTCCCTTCGATCTGCACCTCATGCAGCATCTGCGGGACTGACGGCTGGACATGTCTGAAGCCGAGGATATTTTGTCCGATTGTCTGCAAATCGCTGACAGAATGGGTACCGTCGCGGATGAGTTCCAGCAGGACGGTTGCCAGTAGTGCCGTGCATTCAGAGGCATTGAGTTTTACGCCACGCGCGAGGCGGCGCTGAGCAAGTAGCCCGGTCTGGTTTAACACAAGCTTGTCGAGCTCGCGTGGCAAGAGACGCATGGTGTGTTTAGAAGCGGTGGAAAAGCGGTGTCGAGTGTCAGGGTGAGGAAGGAGAAAAGGGTGGTGGGGGTGATGAGGTGACTCGGGTCAGTTTGCGTGTGTGAAAAATAACTGAACGATCTCGAATGCCCAGTGCGGTGGCCACAATAACAGCTTATGTACAATGAGTGTGCTGGTTGGAAATACTGGCTGCTAGGAGGCGACAAGTAATAGGTAGGGTGCGCAGGAAATAATAGCGATTCCCATAGCCTCAGTGCGCCGCCAAGTTCTTTATTTATGAAGGCAGCCCGCAAACAGACTCCACCGGAAGCGCACTGATGAAACACTCGGAAACTAAAGGAACTGGTGGCCGCGGAGCAAAAAGGATCATGCGTTACCTCTCCCCTGATGAGGCACTTGAAGCCCAATGCACCGAGCGTTGCAGATCTTATCTCTGGTGAGCTGCAAAAAAGAGCAAGCTCACGAATAGCGGGGATTTTTCATAACAAACCGTGTTGCCGGAGAAAGTGCGACGTTTTATTTCTTTCTTTTCGGTGACGGAACTAGTGCTAGCACATGATTGCTGGATCCTGCCGTAGAGCGTCGTACCGTGGCTCTTATCAACAGCCATCACGGCTCATATATACGCTTATCGAGCGATCTGTTTCATCACTTCAGTCCAAATCGGGGCTCTACACCCCGAACGACTCAACAGGCCTTTAAACTTCAATTGGTGTAACCTAATGCTTGAGCCATGCTACATAAAGGGTGTGGTATCCGTCGGCGTGGTCGCTGACTGGAACACGATACAGAATAAAGCTCTCCAAGAGCCGTGCGACAAACTCCTGGTGCACAATGTCTGACCGCAGTTCTTGTCCGATGACAACAACGACAGGATGCTTGCTGTAGCTGCTGCTGTCGCTGCGGGCTCTGCGGCATGCATCGACAAGCGTGTCTGCAAGCAGGCTGGCGACAGTCTCATGGAACACGCAGTCGCTAACAACAATCATGTCAATACCTGCCTGCAGCACCCGGAGATCCGTTGGCGGATGTCCCCACAGGTACTCCGTTGCATACACAATCCCCTTGGCTCCGTCCCTCTTGATTTTGTCCCTGGTATGCAGTGTTGCGGACTGATGCATGCATAGCTCTACGTTTTTGTTTAGCAGCTTCATCATGCGAGGTTGGTCTGTGAGAATGACCTGGCGAGCGCCAAGGCGATGCAAAACTAGTCCAACAAGTCCACATCCCGATCCTAGCTCGAGGATATTTAGTTGGCTCAGGTCCCAGGATCCACCCGCCTGCTGGTCTACAAAGAACTGACCCATGATTACACTGCTGTCCCACAGGACGGCTCCCGTCTGTCCCAGCTCGCAGTTAATATTTGGGTTCTGCGCAATAGTGAGTGAAATAGTTGTTTTTCCACTCTGCAGCTCGATGTCCAGTTCGGATTTGGTAGCATCGACAAGGTTGGGTCTGGTTTCCGCGCTCTTGCTATAGTAAACGCTGTACAGCTCGCACACCTCCTCCTCCGCATCTTCGACGGGCACGTACTCGCCAATTCTGTGCTGGATTTGCTCGAAAAACGATAGTGCAGAAGGCAATGTCATGGGGGTTCGATTTAGGTGTAGGTGGGTATGCATTTCGAGGGGAGGGGGCAGAGTCAGATGGAAGGCTCTGAAACAGGACAATAGCAGTCGATCTATGGGTGCACTGCAATACAAATAAGGCAATTCTCACAGTAGCCGATCAGCATTTGCACACAAGTGCTCGGCCTCGCACGATTTTGCCGCAAGCGGTCTTGGCTGAAACAAAAAGTAGCCGCTGCTAATACAAAGTAGCGAGGAGACGATGCACATTGTTTACAAGAAAAGGACTATCAGGTACTACACAGGCGAATCATTGATCATGCTTTTGATTCCTGGCTTGGCAACAGCTGTGCGCTCGGAACACATGGTCGGCCTACGCTCACGGAACTCCCCAAGCTCGCACTTGTTCTTGCTATACCTCCCTCTAATGGCCATAACCAGGACATTGCGGTACGTGTCGAGTGCTGGGTTCATGAGGTATACCAGAAAGTTCAGCGTGCCTTGCATCGATGGCATCAGCCAGCTCATGACGAAGAGCCAGTACGGTGGGAACGCCTTCAGATTTGCTGAAACTAGCCACGTCTGGGTGATCACTGGTATAAGAGGGTAGCACGTGACTCGCAACGTCACCGAGCGAATATAATTCCTGCGCTTGTCGTCCATTTCGTGCATTGTGGCCTCGTCCAGCCGATCAAGATCCTCTGGTCCGGAGTATATCTGTTTTGTCGACCTCCATATCCGCGACATCTTGAGATACGTGAAAATGGCAATAAAGAACAGGAAAATAATCCCAGCGAACATCCAAGCCCACTGTATGAGCCACAGATTGCGGAAGAATTCAGCTTCGGGCGAGGTGATGTGGAACATCTGTGCGCTCGGCACCCAGATAACCCTTGAGAACATGTACATGTATGGATGGGTTACCAAGTACCCGAAAGAGAAGCTGACCACCTCGTAGTATGGCTGCAGCTTTTTCGCCCACATAGACCTTCGCGTTAATACCGTGAGCAAGAGTTGAATACCCATGCAAGTAGACAGCATAACGAAGGACACCGATGCACCGGCCATCATCCAGAGCATGGCCCGCAGACGGATGTCAGACTGACGAGTCATGAATGAGTTGTTGAATGTGAAAACCTGGCATACCGAGTATATAGTGTCACAGGCTGCAATCGATGTCGACAGACGCAGAGATGGGCGGGTCAAAAGGCTGCGGTTAAAGGTGACAAACACGATGGTGGCCAGTATGACTATACAGCTACATACAATAGAGCAGATATTAATGCCCTTGCATACGGGCGCCCAGTTTCCTAGCATTCCATGTAGCTGGTGTGGTGGAATAACAGTTTCTGCGGGGGCCTTCGAGTCTGCTCTGGATGGAATTGCTCGATATAAGGAAGTAATAGTGGCCATTTTATAATGGAATCAGAAGGTGACAAGAAAAAGCAATGTCTTTTGCAAGGAAAAGGACAGAGTTGCAAGGTGCCCATACTGGTGTTTTATGTAAACCCAAAAAGGCGGCTAGAAAACAGCACTGTTCCGGTGACCTGATGTTTGTTCCTGCAGAACAAACAAATGGCCTAGAGCAACCCGAAGGTTCACTACTGCGGAGACCGCACACTGCATAAATTAGTGGCGGCAGCTAGCATATTGCACCAGCAGCTTGTATGCAGAAAACAGGCAGGATATTTTAAAAGCCGAATATGCAACAGGAAAAGAAAGTTTATCGCCAGCAATTCCAGAACACGGGCTTTGAGGAGGGTCCAGACACATTAGGAACTACTCTGCCACCGGCAATGGCCGTTCATTGCATCAAAAGGTTCAAGGACGCTGTTATGTAAGCTACGCAAAACCCACCAGTGACTGGCTCCACGTTTGCAGGCAGGCGTGCATTCCTATTTCCTGCTCAGGGATAGTGGTGCACGCTACGATTTGCTGTGTACTCATGGTCTGGTGTGCTGGGACGAAGGCCACTATTTACATAGCAAATGGTGTTTTCCAGGTTTGTGCCATGCATGGTAAGGGCGCTAGATTATATAGCATTTAACCATTATAACCGGAAGGAGAGAATGAATAAAGTCTGTTCACTTGCAGCTAGGATAAGCCTGCTTCGATGAAGGGGTCTTGGCAAGTTTGACCTCGGCATTGCGACGGCGCGTCAGGCCAGACAGAACACGGCCACCAGCCTTGTTCCACTTGGGCAACTCGCCGGCAATAACAGTGTTCGGGTTCTCACCAGCGTTCAGGCGCTTGACCAGGTTCGACGACTTGGCATTACCGCAGCCAACGTTGAACACCCACGACACCAGCGCACCCCACTGGTAGTCATTGAGCTTGACCTTGCCGTTCAGGTACTTGCCCAGGCACGTGTACTTGGGGATATCGTCCTTGAGCAGAGCCTCGGCGGTGGCCTGGGTCAGCGGGAACTTGTACTTGACCTCCTTGCAGCCCTTGGTCTGGCACAGGTGGCCGTAGCCGACGGTGGGCAGACCGATAGGATCGGGAGCCGGGCTCTTGACGAAGCCCTCGAACTCCTTGATCAGGTTGAGCGAGGCGGCGTTGACGCTCTTGCAGTATCCGCTCGAGGAACCGCCGCCAGTAGAGCCACCGCCGCCGGTGGATCCGCACTTCTTGGCAACATAGCCGCTGGTGCCAGTCTGGACGTAGTAATCCGCAACATAGCAGCCGTGCTGGGTCTTGTCCCAGAGAGAGTCGCCCTTGATGGTCTCACCGGAGGTCTGGCAGGAGAGAGTGACATCGTTGCCGCTGTTGTATGAGCGGACAACACTGTAGCTGGTACCAGGTCCGGAGCGGCAGTTGACGCCGTCGGCCTTGATGGTGTAGCCGGAGGCCAGCTGGGTTGAGGCAAGGAGAGCGATTGCAGACGTAACAAATCTCATTGTTGCAGGGGTTTCAGAAAGAGGAGGATGGGAAGGGGATTGTAGGGGATAGAGGGGTTGGTTAGTATGGAGATGAATAGCGTGTGTGGTCGTATGGATGTCTGTGACGTGCGACAGCTGCCATGTTTATATACATTTCCTGGGAGTGGTTGGTTGGGGTGAGGTGCTAACGACTTTTTTTTGGAAAGTTCTGCATAAAGACGCTTCTGTAATCCAGCAGACAAGCGGGTGTTCAGCAAGTGCTTTGCAGGATCCACGCAGTGCTTGTTTATTTTTAAACCTGCTGCACAAGATGCATTCTGACATGGATAGGAGCTCTTGTACATATTGCAACGACACAACTAGAAGCGCGGACTTCACACATGTGTTCGTTCCGCTTAGATAATACAGATTGTTCCAAAATTAGAAGGGCGGAGCTTGAAAACTTCATTAGCTTATGCCTCAGCATTCACGCGAATAAGGCAACAACAGCTGATGCTTATAAAGACAACCACGCCGATCACTATTTTCGCACACTATACGGACCGTTTAGACCACAACATGGACATGCAGGTAGGTGCGGAGCAGTGAGGGAGTGTGAGGTGGAGATTGTCGGGAATTTGGTTGTAAATGGCGTCTGGCCAGTGGCAAACAATGCATGCAGCACATCCATGTATGCGGGTGGTCCGGCGCTAACGGTCTTTACCTCAAAGACTAGCGAATTGGCAACTAGCGTGTATCCTGCACAGCATCTATAATGTATTCTAAAAATAGCTGAAGGTGAAATAAGCGAGCTCCCCTGTACTAAGCTATTTCCGCAAGACCTGGATTTCCATGATAGAAACCTGGCAATGGGCCTGTTTTCGCGCAGGAAATAATGTGTAGAACAGGGTGGAGTATGGAGTATTTGGGGGAACTGCACCATCTTATATAAAGCGTGCCGATTACCGGCTGGTCCACATTGTCAACACCAACCGACATACCCTTTCCTCTACCTAACAACCGTAAACGAAACAAACCCCTTCCCCTCAAGTTCCTTCAGCCATGAAGTTCACGGCAATCGCAACACTCTTCCTCGCCACCATCTCTCCGCTGGCGGGCGCCTACCCCATCTATAAGGCTGATACTGTCAACTGCCGCTCCAGCCCCAGCACCTCGGGCAATGTGGTCAAGACCTACAAGAAGGGCGATGACATCAAGCTCACCTGCCAGATCTCCGGCGAGACCATCAAGGGCAATTCGCTGTGGGGCAAGACCTCGGACGGCTGCTACGTTGCCGACTACTACACCAAGACCGGTTCCACTGGCCTTGTCACCGGACGGTGCAGCACCGATGGCGGCTCATCTGGTGGCGGCAGCAGCGGCGGTGGCAGCTCTGGGTCGGCTGGACCTATGACCAACGACTACCCGTACAAGAACAGCTGCGGTCCCGCTGACAAGTGGCTGTACTTCAAGTGTCAGTGCACGTCGTTTGTCGCCTGGCGTATCAACTCGCGCCTGGGCATCAATTTCCACAACAAGTACAAGGGCAAGGCTTGGGGCAATGCCAACCAGTGGGACGAGGCTGCCCGTGCCTCAGGTGTCAAGGTCGACGGTACTCCGACGCCTGGCTCCATTGCGCAGACCAACAAGGGCGGCGGCGGCGCAGGCCATGTCGCCTGGGTCGCCAAGGTTTCCGGAAACAGCGTCACTATCGAGGAGTACAACTACGGCGTCTACAGAGGATATGGTACTCGTACTGTCCCCAAGAGCACCTTCAACTATATCCACCTCAAGTACTAATACCATCGCCTGCAAAGTGGCATCTGGGCCGACAACTCCTTCGCAGTAGAAGCTGCTACATGCTTACAAGTTCAATATATTTAGAGTTTGGGTGCCTTTACCGACTTTAGAATTTCCTCAAACTTGTTGTCGAATGCCAAGTCGACCTGCTCCAAAACACTGGTTGACTGGGTCGCTCTCCCACACTCCTCATATGCTAAGAACGACGCGTGTCTGGTGATAGTGCATGCAGCAAATGCCGCCAGCATAGGGATCTCGTCTCCATTAATCTCGCCGGTGTGCTTCCATGCGTTGGCCTTGTACCGCTCGCCCCAAGCCAAGAACGTAGCAATGGCGCCGCTGAGGATGTCGCCCTGGCCGCCGCACCGCCTGAGTCCGCCGACCTCATCGCAGATAAATAGACGGTCGCCGTTGCTGATTATATCGGATTTGCCCTTGCGCACCACGGTGACTCCACCAAGGGCATTGGAAACAAGCTGGGCAGCGATTTCGGGTGCGTCGCTGCCATTTGGATCCACATCCAAGGCCTTGGCAAGGCGGTTGAACTCCGGTGCGTTGGGTGTAAGTATGGCGTTCTTGTACCCATGGATGATTTCAGGAGAGTCGGCCACGATGGCCAGCGAGTCAGCGTCCAGGACTACCGGAATCGACAGCGAGCGGGCATGCTTAATAGCGCGCTTGACGCTCTCCCTCATATTCGGATCGTTGCCCAGACCAGAGCCCACCGATACGGCATGAATTTTTGCCAGCAGTGGCTTCAGCTTCTCATCGACATCTTCCAGACTCCGGTCGGTGTTGGAAACAGAGCGCAGATACGGGTTGACGATCAGGTCGGGCGAGTACGCCTTGATGACAGACGCAGCATCCTTCTCGCATACGACATAAGCGAGGTCTGCACCCAGGCGCAGGGTGGTGGAGGCGGCAAAGTAGGGCGCACCTGTGTACTCCTCACACCCGCCTATGGCAGCAATTCGGCCACAGTCGCCCTTGTGCAAGTTGTAGGTGAGGGGCGGGATAAGCTGGGCGATGGTCTGTAGGCGGGGCCGGTGCGTACTCATTTTTCCAGCGACTAACGGAGCTAATAGACCAACTGAAGTATACGAACGTTGGAATGCGCGAAGCATTAGAGCAACAAAAAATACATTTAATACTCAGAAAAAGGCGGAGTTGAAAGCTGGTGCTTTAAAATACTAGCCGCAGTGAGCACCCACACTTGCAGAGGTCTAGGGGTTATGTCACGCCTCCAGTCAGTGTTGGCATCCACAAGCGCAGTTTTTGATTCCGGCTGATCAAATGAATTAGAGTGGGTGGCATGGCAGCCTGGTCCAGCAAATGAATAGGTAGGCAATATATGCTGGAGGGCTCTAGTAGTCTGATTGAGACGACTAGCTCTGCTGGTTTGAACCCGGCCTGCATGTTCTCAAGCCCGAATCTAGGCAACTCAGGACCCCACACCGATCACTCCCCCTTTTTGAGACTGAGTTGGCCTCCAGCAAGGATTTTGCTGGTTAAAGGCTACAAAATTTTTGGCAAGACATATGTATGCAGAGCTGAAGTGGAGAACAAATCTCCACACCAGCGCCGAGTATCCACAAGCCCAATGGCGCTCTGCATCACCCACCAAGAGAGAAGGGTGAGCGGATACAAAGCAAAACAGGATACACCCTGCCTCCACTGCAGGATCATGGCAAAGGCAGAGCCCTGGAGGACTCTGTCTATATAAACCCCATCACCTCCAGGAACTGAACGGTAAGTACTGGAATCGGAGGCCCCCAACGCAGTCAGGATGATTTCCTGTTGTTAGGATAGTAATAATATGAGAAAGTTAGAATGTACATAGAAATGTTTAATTAAGGCGATATTTTGCAACTGGAGAGGAAAGGCAAAGGGAGAGGAAAACTACGAACACTATGTGGTGATCTCTAAGGGTTTTGTTGCCACGCTCAGATGCCACGTAGCAACGAAACTAGGGGCAGCATGCTGTGGTAATACCGATTATGCAGCTTCTCATGGCAGCTCCATTGGTTCAGTGCGAGAGCTACTCTCATTGTCGGCCGATGTGACGACTGACATGGTATCGCCATACTGGACACAATTGGCTGCGCAACACTAGGGAGAGAATGGAAAAGAAAGAGTATACAAGAGCTATGTATACCCTGAGATATTTATACAATGTCGTCTGGATGCTGTGATATTATCAAAGGCAACGATGTCACACTATATACTCAGTGATATCAGCTTAGGCGCTGGCAGGGAGCCTCCAGACACTCATCCTGCGCAAGAGCACCAAGGCCAGTAGCTGGGACTAAGTGATGATATAATATGTGTTCGTCTGAAAGAGGGGTTTAGGGCTTTGTGTGAATCAGTGCTGTCGGCGTGAAGCTGAGGCAGCAGCGTTGGCAGCCGCATCCCTGAGCCTGCGGAGCCGGGTGCCGAACCGTGGTCTGAGGTAGTCAATGAAATTATCCTCAACATTGTTGTCACGGAATGACTCTTCAGCACCCTCATCCGCTGGATCGTCGTAGTCCACCAACTCGCCCTGCTCAGTCTTGCCTACCGGGTTGCGCCGGTTGCCTACAAATTCACACATCTGCGACTCGCCTGTTACCGGATCCGAGATCCGCCGCATGCGCCTATGGCGTAGCCTGTGTGTGTGGGTTGGCAGGGAGGACCGCTCGGATCGCTCATCAATATCTACGCCATAGTAGTCGGAGATACCGGGGGCTGTGCCATGGTGAGCGGCCTGGGCTGCTAGTGTGATGCTGTGGTGGGTGTTTCCAGAGTGGACCGAGGTTGGTGGCGAGTTGCCGCTGGGTCCTATACCTAGATACACGCGCTCAGGTGGCTCTGGGCTGCTCATGGCCGTTCTTGGCCGCCCTGCGTCCTGCTTAGATGCTTGCCGCGATGCGATGATCTTGTCTGCGGCAAGCACCAGTCCGTCGTCCGAGTCATCAACAGGTGATGATTCCTGGCTGTCTCCGGTCTCTCCCTGCTCCTGGCTACGGGTCTTATCGATGGCGACCGCCGGTGGCTTGTGATCTGGTACCGCCAGCGCCTCATGGGCCACTTCGTCGTCTCTGTCAGGGCCTGCATAGTACTCATGGTGCTTGGTCTTTACACGCACACCGCGGTGTCCGCTGCTTGCAACTTCTTCCTCCGACTCGGGGGACCTGTCAGAGATATCGGTTGAGCTATACCAGCGTGGGCGCTGGGTACTCGAATCGGCTGTCAGATGAGAGTATTGCGGGCCACTGAGCAGCGTGGGTGGGACCTGGGACTGGCTCTGCCGATTTATGTCCGCTAACCGGTAGTGGATATCCATCTGGTTTCGCTCCACTCGCGGTGTATCGTCGATCGTGATGGTCCTGGTGAGATCAAGTGGTGCTGCAGGTTCATCATCTTCGGCCTTGGTATTATCGGTGCCGTCGAAATATGCAGATGTGGTTCCAGGTGACTCTTGCGAGTCGGATACAGGCGGCTTGAACTCGTCGACAATACTCATATGGCTGCCAATATTGGGCAGATGCACACCGTGGATCCCATCGTTCGCTTGCCGCGATCCAGCAAACGAGAATCTGCTGGCAATCCCACTGCGTAGGGACAGAGTTGAGAATGATCGGCTGCGGCTCCGGACAACCTTGCCGATATAGAGCAGCGGCAGGGTGATGCCGTGTACCAAAACAGACGACAGGATCAGGAAGATAATAACGGGCTGGATGATCTCTCGCGACCGGATGTGGAATGCATCGGGCTTCTTCTCGATCTCCTCGAGCACGGTCTCAGCAAAGAAAATGGCGCCCACGCCAATGGGCCCAAACCACCCGGCAAAAATCGACTGCCGGTAATTGCGCAGCGCTGGAATAAACCGCGTCAGTAAAATCACAACCGGGATTCGCCTCAAGCACAGCACGGCGATGGCGCACACAACCAGGCGCCACGGTGTGATCATAAGGTCGGGCTGGTTGAACTGGTCCCAAGGAATGATGGTGCCAAAGTATATAAAGAAGGCAACGTTAATCAGCGAGTCGAGCACCTCCTGGAAATGCGCATCCTTGGTCTCCTCGCGGAACCAGTCGTCCCAGGTGAACGAGTGGCCGGCAATGAAGCATGCGAGCACATCGTCGCTGCCAATGAGCTGCAAACAGCCAAGCAGGAAAATCGACAGGCCGATGGTGAATCCCAGGAAGGACTCCTTATCAATGAGGTCATATGCTTCCGACAGCCGAAGCAGCTTGCGTGCGATATACCCTACTGTGATGCCGATTACAACCGATAGGAGAATCTGGTAGCACCATGTCCAATAGAACCACCGTGCGACAGCATGCCTAGCTGTGAAAGTTTCATCCAGCAGGTACAGTGCCAAGAACATGAATGGCAATCCTAGGCCATCATTGACGCCGGATTCCGCAGACAGGGCATCGCGCACATTTTTCGGCACATTGGATTCGGCATACCGGCCCTTGACCACCGAGTTGGCCAGAATTGGATCGGTTGGTGCCGCGCACGATCCGATTAGCAGCGCCTGCTTAAAGTCAATGTCAAACATTAGCTTGATGAATGCTGCTGTTACCAGCCACATGGCGACCATGACGGGGCCCAATAGGATTGACATTGACCGCCACTTGCGCACCATGTAGCGTCGTGGCAGAGTAGCGCCAGCAGCCATGACCTGGATCCCAATGACATAGCGGGCAAACTCGAGTGTGAATTTTTCAACGTTCGTCCATTTGTGCGGGTCCACAAGCCCGATTGCCTTGGGGCCGATGGCGATGCCGAACGCGGTGGCCACGAGGGACTCTGACAAAAATAGCCGCTCCTTTATGAATCCCGAAACAAGCCCGTATATGCAAATGAAACCGCCGAGGAATGCAGGGACTACCTTTGAAGCGTTTTCTTCGGCTCCCATCAGTATATGAAAAAAAGAGATACAAAAATTGGAAAAGTGCGGAAGAAAGAGAGGGCTATTAAAAGCTTGTGCTAGCCGACGACAGGGTAAGGAATATTTTTTTACGATGAATCGTGGAGAGTTTACAGGTGGGCGGCACTCTCCTATTTATACCCGGCTTCCCCAAATAATACCGGCACAGGGAACACAATCTTTTTGATGAGATGGTGCCAAGCAGGCGTGTTGGGAAACTTCTATATAGGTACGACCTGTGCCATCTCCCATGGTTCATCGATGTGCTAATTTCTGTCTCCGAGTAAAAGTGGTTCTACAAAGAGCTCCCCTCATGACTTGACATAGAAGCAATGCAGCTTCTTTTTTGAGATCCGTGTGGACCTTTTTCCAAAACAAGAAGGTCTCTTACTCTTGGACCTTCGCTACTGAAAAACACCGCATGTGTAAATCGGTGATGTCAGATGGGGCTGGTTGAGGGTGCTTTGGTGGCTGCGTGCTGGGGAAAACGGGAGGGCGCGGATTGAATACCAAGGACTGTTCCCTGCTGTGATTACTCGATCCGGTCTGGGGATCAAGTGGACCAGGAGCTGGCTTTTTGACTTCTGGATCGGGGGCGTATAGAAAAAAAGTGCAAAGCGATTCACAGCGATCTGGCGACCACCAGTGCTCTTGTCTCTGCTTCAACTCTTTTTTCTTTTTGTCACACAGCCATGGCAGAGGTCAAGCAAAAGGTAGGCATGGGGCGGCACGCGCTAGAAAGAATTCATTTCACCGTGCTGACATGCATGCATACAAACGGTAGACCAGTGCCGTGCACTCGCTGCTGGCAGGAACAATCGCAGGTGCAGTGGAAGGCGCCATCACATACCCCACGGAGCTGGTCAAAACAAAAATGCAGTTGCAAGGCTCGAAGCAATATGCGCTGCAGGGCGGTCACATCTACAAGGGCCCCATCGACTGTGTCAAGACAACAGTCCGCACTCAGGGCATCACCGCGCTCTACCGCGGCCTGGCCCCGATGCTTATCGGAAATGCAGCCAAAGCCGGCGTCCGGTTCCTCACCTACGACTCGATAAAGGCCAAGCTGCGTGACGAGAATGGGAAATTAACGACCCCGCGGATGATGCTCGCCGGCATGTGTGCAGGGATCGTCGAAGGAGGCAGCGTGGTGGCGCCAACGGAGACGATAAAGACCAGACTTATCAATGACCAGTGTATGCCCAAGCCCGTGTACAGAGGTGCGGTGGACTGTGTTCAGACGATTGTGAGGACAGAGGGCGTCGCCGGAATATACCGGGGGGTTGTGCCCGTGATGGCCCGACAGGGCGCCAACTCGTGTGTACGGTTCGCTGCGTACGACACACTGAAGCAGCAGCTAATTAAACGGACCGGGTCCAAGGATCTGCCGTTTGTCTACTCGTTTGGACTCGGGATGGCTGCTGGTACCATCACCGTGTATGCAACCATGCCACTGGACGTTGTAAAGACACGGATGCAGAGCATGGCAGCCAAGCTTGAGTATCGCAGCTCGCTGCACTGCGGCTGGAAGGTTGTCACTGAGGAGGGCGTCTTTGCGCTGTGGAAGGGCGCAACCCCTCGGCTGTCACGCCTAATGTTCTCGGGTGCAATTGTGTTTGCCGTGTATGAGGAGGTCATGAAGATTCTTCAATAAAAAGTTACTTTGAGTAGTCGTAGAATCCGCGGCCAGTCTTGACACCCAGGTGGCCGTTCTTGACGAGCTCGTTGAGCTTCCCGCTGCTGACAAACTGCTTATCGCCCTTCAGGCCCTCGCCCTCGGTGTACCAGCCATCGACGATGAACTTGACTGTGTCCAGGCCGACATAGTCCAGGAGCTCAAACGGCCCCATGGGGTATCCGGCGCCGAGCTTCATCGCCGTGTCGATATCCTTGGCCGAAGCCACATCGCGCTCCAGCAGTCGAATGGACTCCATCATGTATGGCAGCAGCAGCCGGTTTACAATGAACCCGGGTGTGTCCTTGCAAACGGCCGGCGACTTGCCAATTGCCTTGACAAAGGCGACAGCATTGTCGACAGCTTCCTGGCTGGCTTCCTCGGTGCGCACAACCTCAACCAGCTTCATCTGCGGCACCGGGTTAAAGAAGTGCAGGCCAATGAACCGCGCCTTCTGCTCGGCCGTCAGGGGCGTCGCAATGGCCTTGATGGGCAGCGAGCTGGTGTTGCTGGCCAGGATGGACCCCTCAGGAGCGGCCTTCGCCAGCGATGCAAACAGATCCTGCTTGACCTTGATGTTCTCGACGATTGCCTCGACGACCAGATCCGCCTGCGCGACACCCTCAGCCGGATTTGTCGTGGTGCGGATGCGCGACATGACCTGCTCGACAAACTCGCTCTGCGCCTTTGCGTCGTCAGCAAACTTTTTCTTGGCCACGCGCTTCAGCGATTTCGAGATATAGCCCTTGCCGCGATCCAGGGCCTCCTGGTTGACGTCAACCAGAGTGACGTCGTGCTTGCTGGTCGCAGCTACTTGCGCGATACCCGAGCCCATCTGCCCGCCGCCAATGACTGTCAGGCGGTTGATGGCTGCGCTGGAGTACAGACGACTGGACAGAGCGCGGGTGGCACGGAAAGCAGCAGGCGAAAACATGGGTTCAAAAAGGTAGTCCAAAAATGATGATAAAGGGAAGCAAGGGCGCAAGGTGGCCACGGCTTTTGACGGTTTTCTGACTACGCCAGAGGGCATGTGCAGGCCCATGTGAAATGCAGTAGCGATTGCGAGCCTGCACGTGAGCCCGAGCAGCGCCAAAGCCGGAGGAACCGGCTCTTGAAGCGGAGCGTGTGCACTGCCTCGGATGAGCACGTGAAAATGCTAAAAGCCATTCCCACTTTCGCTCGTGACGTCGACGGGTCAGCAACTCCTTAATCTGCAAATTCCTTCAGTAGCGCCGGCGCTGTGGCCCGATAATCTGCGGACCACCGCTGCTACCAAACGTGGCGAGGGCGCCAGGGCTACTGCAAAAAAGTAACCCGCCCTTTTCACCGAGCACCGAGATTAGAAGAATTTATAATCGGAGAGTGCTGATTAGAAATGCTGACTATTTCAAGTCAGGATTGCGCGCTTTGCTATTTAAATTGCACCAGCAGTTGTCTTGTATAGGGGTGCCTCGTTTCGTTTTAAACCCATCCAGCCCCCGCCCTTTTCTGACAATGACCCTGTCTCTCAGAAAACGCCTGTACTTCATCCTTTTGCCGCTTCTTTTTGTGCTCTTTGGCCGCATCTACCAACGACTCTTTCCCACTACCAGCACCATACAACAAACTATGACCTCATCGACTCAGCGCATGCCTGTGTTTTTTGTCAGCCATGGCGGGCCAAACCTCCTTGACGACAACGAGTACCCGTACGACGAGCCCGTCGCCAAGGGGCTTCGCGCCATTGGTGACCAGATTAAGGCCCTTAAGCCCCGCGGAATGGTCATTATCAGCGGTCACTGGGAAGCTGGCCGCAACTCGCTGCAAGTCAACAGCAAGAGCGCCATCCCGCAGCCACTGATTTATGATTTTTACAACTTTCCTGCGTGGATGTACCGCGAGCAGTTTGAGCACAAGGTCGACCCGGCTCTGACCCAGCGTGTGGTCGAGCTTGTTGCCCAAAAGAACATCGAGATAGAAGCCGTCGACCGCGGGCTCGACCACGGCGTCTGGGTGGTGATGAAAAAGGCAGGCCTTGCCGACGCTGGATTCCCAATCACCCAGCTGTCCCTCTACAAAAGCGACTCTATGGAGGACCATGTCAGGCTGGGCGAGCTCCTGCAGCCGCTACGCGACGAGGGTATTGTGGTTGTGGGAAGCGGGATGGCTGTGCACAATCTGCGCGACTTGTTCGGCCCTGGCGGAAGCCGTAGCGGTGGCGTACGCCCGTATGTTGCGCCATTCGACAAGCAAATCGACGAGGCGGTGCTCGGTGATGGTGCCAAACGCCGCGATGGCGTCCTGGCGCTGGCAAAATCCGAGTTACTGCGCAAGGCACACCCAACACTCGAGCATCTGATGCCGCTGCATGTGGCTGTAGGTGCGGCCGGCCCTGGCACCAAGGGCACCAAGCTCGTCCACGAGCATATGCTGTCGTTGAGCTGGTCATGCTACCGTTTCGAGTAGACCAAAAATAATATCCTGCCATAAATGTAGCCATGGATAGCCCTATGTGGTCGAGATGAAGCACAGCTTGGGGTGGCGGTGTCGTCACGACTGTGCATTGCCAAATGCCACTTGGGTTCAGCCGGCAGATAGAAGCACTACTCCCCAACCTTTAGTCGTTGGCAGCGTGGTGTGCTTTTGCTTATGAATGTCGGACAGGATCTGCTAACCACGGAGTAACGATGAGCGATAATGTGTAACCTCAGTAAACAATTTGTCATCAGCATGGCTGCATTCCCGCTGGTGAGGATGGGCCAGCTGATAATAATAGAACCGGACTACAAGTATCCTTGGCAGGAGCCATGCTCTTAGTCAGCCTCAGCCCTGCGGATGTGCTGCGGTGCACCAGCAAGCCAAGAGTGGATTCGCTCACAAAAGTAGGGAGACAGACAAACGAGTTTCCGTTTGGTCGCGTTTCCTTGGCAAGGTGGAGCAAAGTGGCAACACGTCTGTAAACGAAAGGAAAATTTTTTTATCCATATCCGGCTTGAGCCAATAGCCTTGATTACTGATAGCCTCGGTGTTCTGGCGCTACTGCTTATTGGCCTGCGGACCAGAGATTCGCCCAGGCTGATATAAAAACCCAGATGCCTGGTGTACTTTGTCTTCGAAACACCTGTTTTGTTCAGCATATTCGTGCTTTTCTTAACTTTTTCTAGCCTGCATAACAAACACATATTTATACTCCTTGCTATTGTAGCCATGGTCGCATCAGTAGCCATTAGCCACCCGGTCGCTGTTGATCCTGTGCAGCAGCACCAGCAGCAGCAAGAGCTCAATTCCAGACCTAGCAAGATGGTCGTCAGAGAGGGAATCCACACCGGCCGATCCTTTGACGAGCTGTCACCCGATGAACGCGATACCTACCTGGCTGATATTGAGCTCGATTTCCGCAAATACATCGGCGACAACCGGCCCAAGGGCGGGTTCGTGTTCTACCCAAACTCTCGGCAGATCATGAAGGCAATCTCGACACTGTACCAAACACTCGCGGCTATTGACTTCTCCGACATTTTTGAATAGTTGGAGCAGCCCAATAGCCCGGTCTATTTCCTCTCTTTGTATATTCAGTTTTAGCTTTTTATTACTCTTTACTCTTGCATGCCAGCTAGTCGGAGGGGAGTGTAGGCCAGTGGCTCATTGCGCTACTACACTCAGCCTTTTATTATACACGCTATCCTTTGCATATCCTCAGCGAGGCTGTGTGAAAATGCACGCCTTCTTCTGCAGCTTTCACACCCTCCTTTGTTTATACCTTTTACTACCTTTTTCACTTTGTCAATAAAACTTGAGAGACACATGGATAGAATGATTCTTGTATTTACATGGAACTAGGACTGTATTCCAAAAAGACCGCTTGAGCGTGAGCCAGAAAAGCGAGTGCCGCTAGCCAGAGCAGCCTACAGCTGCTTCGTCTACGCAAAATCTCACCTCCTCAATATCCTTCCCACCTGCAATGCATACCTGGATGTCTGTGTGAGGGAGGTGTAGATCTTGCCGTTGACGAAGCAGTCTTGGCGTGTCCTTGCCACGGAGTGGAAATGAGGCGAGGACGAGTGTGGATGATGCGCCATATCAGGTATACCGTTTGGTATATGTGCGTGCAGATGCACAGCAGACTCTGGGTGCTTGTGCATGTCAGTCGGTCATCTTGACGAGGGGCTGTATGAGCAGCGAGTGTCAAGAAGGAGGAATGGGGGATAGAGGGAATGTGCTTGCTGTGTTGGTGTGTCAGTCGTCAAAGTCTGGCACTCTCTGGGACTTGTTTCATGCCTGGTTAGGGCTTGAGTTTGCAACTCCAGCGTTCCAGCGTTCCAGCGTTAGGGAGGAGCTGCTGCTGTGCCTGTCAGGCCGGCGGTGCCTGCCATTTTGTGATCCTTCTGTGCCGAAATCAGGAGCTGCAGACCACACACGATGCTGGATATTTCCTGGCTACCCAGCCAGTATATCCAGGAGCGCTCTGCGTAGGCGGGATCTGTCCATTGTGATGGGAGCCAGTCCTCCACTCTCTGGCATGGCACATTGCCGCTCGCTCCAGCCGTGCACATTGGCATTCCAGCAAACCGACTATGCCGGTGCTGCTGACCAGCAGTGCTGCTGCAAGAGACTCGGCCACTAAAGACACAAGTGCTTGATCCTTAGACTCATTGCTGCCTAGCGGTCTCCACCAGTACCGGCTGTCAGCATACCGGCATATACAAAGACCGCGTGGTACGTGATAGCAACAAGCAATGGTGATGGTGCAGCACACACATATTTGCCTTGTTGCTTTACATACAGTCTACTCAATAAACAGTACTTCAGAACTGATCTCTAATCTCTACACAGCCTGCGTGTCGAAGCCTCACATTACCATGTTGTGTTGGTAGTGAGGCATCGGATCATAGTATCTGAACACGGCAGGACTACCATCCACACTGCTGCTGGTGGTGCCACCGCGTGCTGACTGAAGGTCCTGCTGCAACGGCGAGGTCATAGCTGGTAGCGTGTTTGTAAGTGGCGGTATGCTGATAAGAGACACTGGCAAGCTGGTCGCAGCCAGTGCCATCATCTGGGTGGGGTGCGGAGCGAACTGCATCATGGAGTAGTCCGGGGTTGTCTGTCCGGTGGTAATCATGTGGTGAAGCAGTGCTGCATCGCCGTCGAGTGAAAAAGTGAACTGAGGTGCCATACTGCAAAGCACATTGCCAGGCATGTTACCAAGCACATTGCCAGGAATATTGGCTGTCTGCTGTCCCATGTCCATCGCCTGAAGTGGGGCATTCAGGTGCAGTCCTCCAGCTGCTGCCTCGACCATCTGCATTTGCCTAAGGCTAATATACGGTATATCAGCTGCCTCTTGTGCAAAATGAACCACCGGGCCAGCAAGCCCAGCAGCCTCGCTGGACAGAGCCATCACCTGGTGCTCCAGAGCTGCATCCAGACCTACGTGCTGTCTGCCATGCATGCACAGCCTCTTGATAGCCTTCCTGCGACTGCACTTGCGGACCCGCTCAACAAAGAACTCGCCAGTCGGCTTAAGGATGATCTTGCGGTCGCGGCCGTGCGTCTTGAGTGCCAGCCCACATGAATTGCACACCGAGCTGCCATCTCTCGGACTGCGCCGCCACGTCGACGTCTCGATGGTGCAGCAGTGCGAGCACATCTTGATCTCACCACCATGGTCATCCTGCAGTGGCACCTTTGCTGCGCTTTCCTCGAACCTCTGCAGATCCTCGAGTTCGCTCGGCGACAGCTGTCTGCGTCTTGGGTCGATAGGCGACAGACACGACAGCCCGCCTTTCAGCCGGAACTTGCATTTGTGGGGTGCGTCAGGCACACACTTGGCAGCAGTGCAGTAGGTGAGTCCAGCGGCTCGGTAGGCATCTAGCAGGCCGATGAGGTAGTAGCTGGGGATGGTGGAAAAGGCTGGTGGGATGTAAGGGAACGGCAGGTCGCGCTTGGTGGGATCTGATTCTGCTGGTTCTGGTTCTGCGGGTTCTGGTTCTGCGGGTTCTGGTTCTGCAGGTTCTGATGCCGGTGGCAGCGCAGCCTCGCCAGCTGCTGTATCAGCGGCAGCAGCGTCATCCACAGGTGGAATGGGGCCAGTGGCTGTGAATAGTGAGGCATTCGACCAGTAGTCCTCGCTGTAGACTTGGCGCTCAGATATATTGCCAGTGCCAGCAGTGTGGCAGGCGATAGTGTCGATAGGACGGCGCATGTATTCAGATGTATCAGTACGAGCACTGTGTCTTGAGTGATGGCTTGGTATGTGGATAGTGGAGTGTGTTCTTGGCGGTGATAGCAATGAAAGTGTAGGAATGTATTTTGAGGATTGCAGGTTGTAGATTGCAGGTTGTAGTAAAGGAATGAAAGTGGACTTGCACAAATCACTCGTCCGGTTTATATGCTGTCCCTATGCATACCTCACTGGCTGGCCGTTAGGCACTGCTCATGGCACGGCCACACCTATGCGTCTACTCCACGCTTCTATTTTACCGGAGCATTGGCAGGCTGTCACCAACAATGAGCACATGGCACGCCTATCTGCTATCCTTGCACCGTAGTCTCACGTTCCATCCTCGCACTATTTTACGCATTGCTTTCGCGTCGGCATCGACAAATATAGACCTTGCCTCACTTGCCAATTAAGGCGGTTGCCAGGACGCTATTTGGCAAGCGTGAGCGTAGTCAGTACATTCTCACCTGCGAATCTCTCCTTTTGCTGAAGCTGACATTCACAGTCGGCATAGCACAGCCCAACGGCTAATGCGATAAATGGTGCCATGCCAGGATCCTGCCAGTGTGCTAGCATGCACAAAGCGCAGCTTGGCAGTGTATGGTTGGAGGCATCACATTTCGCATAGTTGGTGCTGATACATATCACGGAATTGTGCTGCATTCTATTTCTAGAATCAGTCGACTTTGTAGCACGGTCCGCCATTTGTGGACTGGATTTCGCCTAGAGCAGCTGGCTAAACCGACGCCTCTCATCACTCCCAAAGCGTGTACGTTGCATCGCCGTGCACTTTGCATTTGGCTGTTAGGATAGAGGAGGTGTGGCATAGTCCAAAGGCAGTTTGGGACCTGAGAGTGGCTCTGTTTGGATCGGCGCCTATTGGATGTACATTCTGATTCTTGATGCGAAACTGAGTGCTCCTCTGTCCTCATTAAGATTGTTTTGTGTGCTTTCTAAGCAGATCAATAGTGTGGCAATGTACATATTGCCTGTTATGTAGACACATTATCCCTGAGATCGCTTGTATTGGTTGTTTCTAACCCAGAGATCCCCACATGCTGTGAGCCTCCCGAAATGCGAATATACACACGATCAACTAGAGCATATTCATGATTCACCAGTTTGTGTGGCCACACCTTGCTCCGGCTATTTCTTGCATGCTATCGGATAATTTCACCGTTATCATACATATCCTTCTCTCTGATTAGCATGATATCATATAATTGTATTGTTTTTTGTTGTGTCTCGGATACTATACACTTGGATACACAACCTCGTGCAACTGTCTGGAATGCATTTACTCTCCAGGCACCTTTCCAATGTGTATATTGAATGTATGGAATATGCTACATGAAAGAAGGAAGGAGGAATCGCCAGGTGAAAGGGGCGGGTTCCCGTCTAAGTAGTGGCGCCAGCCGCCTGGAATAGTATGGCTGGCCATTGTAACCTAAAGGTCTTGATCCATGGATTCTTGAAATCATGTGGATTTGGAACTACAGTTTAAAGTAAATTGATCTTAAGGGCTACTTTGCAGCATATAAAAAATGACTACATATCAAACTGCTCTTGAAGCATACACGATTATAAAGCCACTAGACTCTACACCTGTTACTAAGCAATGCCATATGGTGCTAGCTACCACTCTTGCATTCGCATGAATTGCGATGTTCGGGACACCACATCGACAGAATCACTAGGGATCTGATCATACCCCTCATTCTTGTCTATACAAGACAAGCGGGTCGGCCGTACAGATAAATTCCTCAGTTTTATTCTTTTACTCAATATACCAACACGACAGAATGTAGTATCAGCTGCCATAAGCCCGATCTATAATATTACTGCTATATTTTCTCTTGACAATGATTTGTACCTGCAATTTGCTTTAGATCCGTCTTGCACTCAATGAAATTACTGAAACCAAGACCAATACAGTCTCTATCCCTCTTGCAAACATATAGCCCTTAGTGTCAAGCTATTGCAAAGAAAGCGGCAGTTGATTTATAGCTACCGTATCAGCTCCATATATAAGAGGGAGTATCCATATCGCCTCAATTTCATCTAAGCGATTTCCTCAAGTATTCCTACTTCAATGTACAAGATTGTCCGAACTATACATCTGAGCCTTTGCATTCACTCTACCCTCACCTATCTTATCTTCACAGTTATTTGTGCACGAGATATATCCTGTCTGGTGTAAAGGATAAAACAGTAATACAGATTCAGATATCTTCAGGGTTGCTAAATGATCGTGCCGACCACACGCGTCGATACCTGCAAAACTTTGGAACCAAATTGTCTTGCCGCCACTCAACATTGAACCCTCTTGACAGGTACTTCCACACCTTGGTGGTCCACAAAATGGCCCAGAGACAATCAGTAAAACTAGGTGCATTGTCTGCTTCTTGGAAACATACTGTGAAAGCCACATGTTACAAAGGCTGTTTTCCATTTACAGTGCCACGGATAATAGGAGGCTGTAAAATACCAGCAAGGAACGTTGATTGGGTCGAGTGTGCCACCTGCTGAAAGTGCTCCTGGCTTGGCAGCGCACTATTTTCTGTTCCTTCAAATCCTTTTCCCTTTACTTCAAATGCCCTCAGCTGCATATCGCTGTTGCCTTTAATAATTTTCCACTTTACATATGTCGTTTGAGCTAACACCGTTCGAGCAGTCGCGAGTCGAAATTGCGGCATTCCTCGATGTGAAGCTGGACCCAATCAGCCATGTTGACTTGTCTACCATTATTGTGGTCAGCATAGTTTATATGCTGGATCTTTTTGCGTTTATTTACCTGTTCCTCAACCGCAATTATCCTCCGATAAAAGCTAAAAGCGTGTATATTATGATCAGCTTGTATGCAGCAGCCGTATTGTGGTTCGTTGGCGATATCGTAACAAGCGGTCTAGTCCACCTATATACCAGCAATGTTCTGATGGCTTGTAAGATGTACTTTATCTGGTTTAGAGCATCCTTCGGTACGACGTACATTGCCACCATATTCAGTGTCCGCACTTATGCATTACACCGTGTGTTTTGCCAAGACAAGCCGTTTAAAGGGAAGCTCGTATGGGTTTGCCCCGCATTGGCTGTGGGCTGGGTTTTGCTCCTCGCTGTGGTTTCCAGCCTATTGCCCGAGAGAATGACAACGTACTATGAGGACACACTGGATCTGTGCTATGCGAACACGAGGTATGCCGCCTTTGTTATTGGGATGATATGCTGCTTCTATTCATATATTGTCCTGATCACTTGGCGACTTCGCAAGATACCATTCTCGTTCAACGAGTTCAGAGAGGTCGTTACTGCCTTGGTCATCATCGGCGTGATCATTATTGTCAATTCGTTGGCTATATTCTCCGTCAGGATATACCCGGCCAGTGCAGCATGGCGAAACTCGCTTGTTTACATCGACCACACATGCGCAAACATCGCGTTCTGGACAATTATGTGGGAACCATTCTATCAGTGTATCATGCATCGCGAGGAGTATTTGCAGTATTGGGTCGACACGTTGATGGAGGATGGCATGGAGGATGCATACAATCTTACGAACCGTTTCCCGAACGAGACAAAGCGTCTTGTCGATGGCACCGAACAAGACACAGCTGTTGAGTCAAGGAAGGATCTACACGACTATGGCAACGCTCCAAGCGGCAATGTTGCTGACGGAACATATTGCTTACCCGCAACGCTCTCCGAGCTGTGCTTAGCTAAAAAGCTCTCGCATGACTGAGCTTGTAGATCTGGTCCTCAGCATAGCCTGCTTCTACTGGCATTTGTTTCTCTCATTCACTATCAAGCAAATGAAAAAATAAATTTATATATATGTACAGCAAAACGGAAGTATTGATATTTTGTGTCCAGCCACAGTCAATTTGGGCAATCAGATGGACATTGCATGAACACGTGTCGTGCTGGATGAACTCTCGATCGATGACAGATACCGTGCCGTCATCCCATCATTGTGCATCTTCTCGAAGAACGCCTTCTGGTAGCCCTCTCGGTTAACCAGGCAATTGTATACTGGTGTTGTCACAAGGATGAAGAATGTCACCTGGCCAGCGATCACCTCGATCAATGCGCTTGTGGTTCGAGACCAGATAAACAAAATGTAGTTGGCTAGTATGTGCTGGATAATAGTCTCGTACGCTATCGCAATGCTGGTTATGATGCAGACCGCAAGCATCTCATAGTACTCGTTGAATGACGTGTTGATGTTGCGAGCTAGGAAAGTGGACAGAATTACCGCCAGCCACCCGAACCACACTATCCCAAATGCTATCTCTTTAAACCTGATAGTGTAGCGGCACACGTCGATGCCCTCAATGAGGAATACGCCCAAGGACTCGTGCAGCAATGTCGTGGTGAGGCCAAAGGCAAGGATAATAACGAGAAATATGATGACGGGAATCCAGTAAGACCAGCCCTTTACGGGCTTTCGGTAGCGAAATATTCGAATATAGGTGTAGAGCCGAAATACGTTCACGAAAGTGAACAAAAATACACCCAACAGCACGCGGAACCAAATCGCAAATAGGATACAGCTTCCGCTAAAACTGTTTATATTTCCGACATCCAGCTGTGTTGCGATGGACCCTATGTACCAGATGACTAGTGAGACGAACAGGACCACAAGCAGTGGTATATTTTTGGCCCGAATTGGAGGATATTTGCGATTCCAGACAATGTACAGCATCACGACGAGGTCGATTGCCAGCATCGCGGCGCCAAAAACCACAACTGCTGTGTCCCATCCCGAGTACGTCTGTATTATAACCTCTTGGCCGTCCATATAGATATGTATGTTTCGAGGAGTCGTAATATGTTTTGGGCTCGCATTTTCAGCAAGGCTTTGTGTCGCGAGTGCCGGCATCAGGTTTCATAGTGCGATGAAGGGCTGGAATTGGGTATAAGTACTGTATTGACAAAAAGGAAACAATAGTCGTGTAGGAAAGGAAAGAAGGAAATGCTTGGCATTCGCGATCTGAAGTAACGTCTATCAGCCGCATGATTTGAGGCGCTTAGAGAGGCAGAAGGGGCAGAGGAAATGCAACCGAGGTTCCAGAACCACTCATCAAATGCCCATTAAAGAAAGGTTTTACACCAATGGAAATCATACCAAGTCCGAGGAACTTCCGGGTGTAAGAAAATATTGCTGAAACTATTAGGAGAAAATTTTTTATTCGCCAGAAAAGAAATGTTACTGTGCAACTACAGCCCAGTGGAAAGCAAATACAACTTCCTCTCCGCACGTCGCGCATCAATTATGTGGAATATTCGTGAGGAGTACAGGTTGTTTGAATGTTGAAAAGGATGAAGCATGGGCACTTTGGAAGGGTAATAATAATAGCCGGAGCAAGGTGTGGCCACACAAACTGGTGAATCATGAATATGTTCTAGTTGATCGTGTGTATATTCGCATTTCGGGAGGCTCACAGCATGTGGGGATCTCTGGGTTAGAAACAACCAATACAAGCGATCTCAGGGATAATGTGTCTACATAACAGGCAATATGTACATTGCCACACTATTGATCTGCTTAGAAAGCACACAAAACAATCTTAATGAGGACAGAGGAGCACTCAGTTTCGCATCAAGAATCAGAATGTACATCCAATAGGCGCCGATCCAAACAGAGCCACTCTCAGGTCCCAAACTGCCTTTGGACTATGCCACACCTCCTCTATCCTAACAGCCAAATGCAAAGTGCACGGCGATGCAACGTACACGCTTTGGGAGTGATGAGAGGCGTCGGTTTAGCCAGCTGCTCTAGGCGAAATCCAGTCCACAAATGGCGGACCGTGCTACAAAGTCGACTGATTCTAGAAATAGAATGCAGCACAATTCCGTGATATGTATCAGCACCAACTATGCGAAATGTGATGCCTCCAACCATACACTGCCAAGCTGCGCTTTGTGCATGCTAGCACACTGGCAGGATCCTGGCATGGCACCATTTATCGCATTAGCCGTTGGGCTGTGCTATGCCGACTGTGAATGTCAGCTTCAGCAAAAGGAGAGATTCGCAGGTGAGAATGTACTGACTACGCTCACGCTTGCCAAATAGCGTCCTGGCAACCGCCTTAATTGGCAAGTGAGGCAAGGTCTATATTTGTCGATGCCGACGCGAAAGCAATGCGTAAAATAGTGCGAGGATGGAACGTGAGACTACGGTGCAAGGATAGCAGATAGGCGTGCCATGTGCTCATTGTTGGTGACAGCCTGCCAATGCTCCGGTAAAATAGAAGCGTGGAGTAGACGCATAGGTGTGGCCGTGCCATGAGCAGTGCCTAACGGCCAGCCAGTGAGGTATGCATAGGGACAGCATATAAACCGGACGAGTGATTTGTGCAAGTCCACTTTCATTCCTTTACTACAACCTGCAATCTACAACCTGCAATCCTCAAAATACATTCCTACACTTTCATTGCTATCACCGCCAAGAACACACTCCACTATCCACATACCAAGCCATCACTCAAGACACAGTGCTCGTACTGATACATCTGAATACATGCGCCGTCCTATCGACACTATCGCCTGCCACACTGCTGGCACTGGCAATATATCTGAGCGCCAAGTCTACAGCGAGGACTACTGGTCGAATGCCTCACTATTCACAGCCACTGGCCCCATTCCACCTGTGGATGACGCTGCTGCCGCTGATACAGCAGCTGGCGAGGCTGCGCTGCCACCGGCATCAAGCCCACAAATCCATGCGAATCAGCCGCCGGCGCTGCCACCGGCATCAGAACCTGCAGAACCAGAACCCGCAGAACCAGAACCCGCAGAACCAGAACCAGCAGAATCAGATCCCACCAAGCGCGACCTGCCGTTCCCTTACATCCCACCAGCCTTTTCCACCATCCCCAGCTACTACCTCATCGGCCTGCTAGATGCCTACCGAGCCGCTGGACTCACCTACTGCACTGCTGCCAAGTGTGTGCCTGACGCACCCCACAAATGCAAGTTCCGGCTGAAAGGCGGGCTGTCGTGTCTGTCGCCTATCGACCCAAGACGCAGACAGCTGTCGCCGAGCGAACTCGAGGATCTGCAGAGGTTCGAGGAAAGCGCAGCAAAGGTGCCACTGCAGGATGACCATGGTGGTGAGATCAAGATGTGCTCGCACTGCTGCACCATCGAGACGTCGACGTGGCGGCGCAGTCCGAGAGATGGAAGCTCGGTGTGCAATTCATGTGGGCTGGCACTCAAGACGCACGGCCGCGACCGCAAAATCGTCCTTAAGCCGACTGGCGAGTTCTTTGTCGAGCGGGCCCGCAAGCGCAGTCGCAGGAAGGCTATCAAGAGGCTGTGCATGCATGGCAGACAGCACATGGGTCTGGATGCAGTTCTGGAGCACCAGGTGGTGACTCTGGCCAGCGAGGCTGCTGGGCTTGCTGGCCCAGTGGTTCATTTTGCACAGGAGGCAGCTGATATACCGTATATTAGCCTTAGGCAAATGCAGATGGTCGAGGCAGCAACTGGAGGACTGCACCTGAATGCCCCACTTCAGGCGATGGACATGGGACAGCAGACAGCCAATATTCCTGGCAATGTGCTTGGTAACATGCCTGGCAATGTGCTTTGCAGTATGGCACCTCAGTTCACTTTTTCACTCGACGGCGATGCAGCACTGCTTCACCACATGATTACCACTGGACAGACAACCCCGGACTACTCCATGATGCAGTTCGCTCCGCACCCCACCCAGATGATGGCACTGGCTGCGACCAGCTTGCCAGTGTCTCTTATCAGCACACCGCCACTTACAAACACGCTGTCAGCTATGACCTCGCCGTTGCAGCAGGATCTTCAGTTGGCACGCGGTGGCACCACCAGCAGCAGTGTGGATGGTAGTCCTGCCGTGTTCAGATACTATGATCCGACGCCTCACTACCAGCACAACATGATAATGTGAGGCTTCGACACGCAGGCTGTGTAGAGATTAGAGATCAGTTCTGAAGTACTGTTTATTGAGTAGACCGTATGTAAAGCAATAAGGCAAATATGCGTGTGCTGTACCATCACCATTGCTCGTTGGTATCACGTACCACGCGGTCTTTGTATATGTTGGTATGCTGACAGCCGGTGCTGGTGGAAACCACTAGGCAGCAGTGAGTCTAAGGATCAAGCACTTGTGTCTTTAGTGGCCGAGTCTCTTGCAGCAGCACTGCTGGTCAGCAGCACCGGCATAGTCGGTTTTCTGGAATGCCAATGTGCACGGCTGGAGCGAACGACAATGTGCCATGCCAGAGAGTGGAGGACTGGCTCCCATCACAATGGACAGATCCCGCCTACGCAGTGCGCTCCTGGATATACTGGCTGGGTAGCCAGGAAATATCCAGCGTCGTGTGTGGTCTGCAGCTCCTGATTTCGGCACAGAAGGATCACAAAATGGCAGGCACCGCCGGCCTGGCAGGCATAGCAGCAGCTCCTCCCTAACGCTGGAACGCTGGAACGCTGGAGCGCTAGAACGCTGGAGCTGCAAACCCAGGCCCTCACCAGGCATGAAACAAGTCCCAGAGAGTGCCAGACTTTGACGACTGACACACCAACACAGCAAGCACATTCCCTCTATCCCCCATTCCTCCTTCTTGACACTCGCTGCTCATACAGCCCCTCGTCAAGATGACCGACTGACATGCACAAGCACCCAGAGTCTGCTGCGCATCTGCACGCACATATACCAAACGGTATACCTGATATGGCGCATCATCCACACTCGTCCTCGCCTCATTTCCACTCCGTGGCAAGGACACGCCAAGACTGCTTCGTCAACGGCAAGAGCTACACCTCCCTCACACAGACATCCAGGTATGGATTGCAAGTGAGAAGGATATTGAGGAGGTGAGGTTTTGCGTAGACGAAGCAGCTGTAGGCTGCTCTGGCTAGCGGCACTCGCTTTTCTGGCTCACGCTCAAGCGGTCTTTTTGGAATACAGTCCTAGTTCCATGTAAATACACTGAAATACCACCGCAATTAATCGATATCAACTACACGGCAGTGCCATGGCAGGCATGGCGCTGCAAAGCACAGCTCAGGACGGCAAAGGATGCACTAAATGTTTTTGATTATCAAAGTTGATTTATAGAATACAGTTAATTTTTCTGTTATGACTCCACAAAGGGAAAAAAATGCCAAGAAAAAGTGATTTGTGATATTTCAAAGCATAGCGTCCTCAAAGGTACGCTTGCGTGCAAGGGAATCAGGGGCAGGCGACGACTGCGCCGAGAGTGACGAGGATGGCGTAAAGGCAGGCGACGCCAGGAGCTCGTCAATAAAAGTCATCGGGTCGACAAAATGGCCGTCGATCGGCTGCTGGGCGTACTGCACATTGTCGATGTTCAGCGGAGACTCGGCCGGCAGTGGCTCAGACGCCGGCGACATGGCATCGAACCATGGCGCGGGCTCCTGCACCGGCTGCGCCGGGCGCACAGTGGTGCCGAACATTGGGTCGGACTTGACGGCACCAAACACCAGCGTGGTCAGGAGGTCGTTGAACTGCGAGTTCGGCGCGGTGATCGGCGCTGGCGCACACCCAAAGGTATCCTGGGCAATCTGGTCCATCGCCAACGAGGCCTGCGGCGACAGGACCGGCGACGGAATCTGCTGCTGTGTTGTCGTCAGCTCCGTGTCATTCATATTAATGCCGTTCAGCTCCAGGATCCGCCGGTACATGTCGCGCTCACGCCGGACACTCTCCACCTCGCTCTTGAAGCGCTTATTCGATGCCACCAGGTCCTCGTACTGCGACGCCCGCCACTTGATCTCCTTCTGGCGCACCTTGTCCTTCTGGCGGAACTTCTTCTGCGCCCGCCGGTTCTGCTCCTTGCGGCGCTCCGCTGCTGACAGGTCAGCCGAGATTGGCGGCAGATCGTCGTCGCTGTGCTCCGAAGATTCCAGACTGGCCAGTGCGTTGTGCTCCTCCAGCACAGATACGGGTGTGGTGCAGCGTGCAGGCTTCGTCACTGCGGGCTTTTCGGCTGGCGGCGGCGCCGAAATTGCCGCGGTGCCGCGCAGGGCGCTGATCAGAGCATCGACGCTGGCCGGGTCCAGGGCGCCAATGGTCGGCTCCTGGTCGGCCAGGGCGGTCTCGGGAGCCGGGCTGGCTGGCTCGGGCGTGGTCAGAAGCGAGTCCTGCTCCTTTACGGGCTTTGCATCCAGAAGCAGCGGGCCCGGAGAGCCGTTGCTGGCGGCCTTCAGTAGGGCCAGGTCTTGTGTCGAGAGCATGCCCTGCGGGCCGGTCAGCTTCGAAAGCAGGCTATTCAAGGGCATCGGCTTGTTCGCCTTCGAGAGCGTCGAGATCAGCCCCTGCTGGGTTGTCAGCTGGGCCAGCTCGCTCTTGCTTGGCATGGCGCCCTTGGCGGTGATCGGCTGCTGCTGCTCAATCAGCTTCTTGAGCTGGTCGTCGTCCAGGTTCTTTGGCACCACGGTGATGGCGGGCACCAGGCGACGCATCGCGATATGCTGTAGTCTGCTAAGCGACATTGTGTGGAAAAAAAAGGAGGTGATAGCGAGAAAAAAGACGCTTTGGGGGTGGGCGATGCTGGTGGAAGAGTAAAGAAAAAGGTATGCGCGAGTTGCAAAAGCGAAAAAAAAACTGGGCTCCTTTTTGTATAGCGGAGGATTATGAGGAGGAAGAAAAAGAGACGGAGAGATATGAAGTATTAGGCTGGAGATAGCGAGGGGTTAATATACTCTTCGGAATGGGTATGCTGCCAAGAAGAGGGGGAGGGTGCGTTATGAGAGTGGAAACCGCAAAAAAAAACAAAACGGACTGTCAACTGGAACGATTGGCTGACTATCGGACGACTGTGCTTGGCCAGTGGTGGGATGGGCGGTTCACACAGGTAGAGCTGGCATTCAAATCTCTGTTCCTAAACAAGGGCAGGAGTATAAACACTAGCAGGAAAACTGGTGTTTAGAAAATATACGATCAGGTCTGTATGAAGGAGAGAAATTGTGGAAAGGAAAATGTTCAGCCTGTGCGCAGCTGCAGTTGTTAATATACTTCAGGCTTCAGCAGTACCTTGGTGGTTTTCCAGGCTTTAGGCGGGGCGGCGATGCCAAGCGCCAAAACGAGAAAAATTCTTCTTCCCACCCCAGCCAATGGATGGCGATCAAAGCCACGCGGGCAGACATTTTCTCACCCATGGCTGCTGTTTTCATGCTCGAAGTTCCGGGCAAAGCCCGCCCTGTAATAAAGGGAGCGCTGATATCTATTTTCCGAACAGCTCCGTTGGGGAGGGGGATACGACTTGCTAGGAGGAGCTTGATTTCGCAAGGGGCCTTAAGCTCGCTGGACAGGCGGATATTTGGCGCCAGAGGAGCCACCCATAGACCTGTTGCAGCTCCAAAAGCGGGGCGGGAACACGGACCCAGGGCTGTTTGCAGGAAGGTAAAAAGTAGGTTCTATTGGCAGAGGGCATGGGCGTAGACCAAATCAGCCAGGCAGCGCCCGGTGGTGACACAAAGTGCGGCGACACTGACCAGCAGCAGGAGAGCAGCGGTCGACTTCCTTACTCGTTTGGGCGGCTCCCCGGCCTGACTCACCAAAAGCTGCTCAATGGATGTCGATCCAATCACAAGGCGACGCACAGGCAAAAAGACGGCAAAGGAAAGCGCGAAAAGCGCAACCACCGCGGCACGGTGACGCAGCGGCGGATGCGGCGGGACCGGCGGCAAAGCCAGGGGCTGTGGCTCGGGCTTGCGCTGGCGCAGGCTATTTTCAGTGGACTTGTCCTCTGGCTTCCGACAGGTGCAGGCGAGATCGCCGCAGGAATCGCACACTCGCAGACAGCCAACAGTAGTCTCGATGTGAAGTAGGGACTGGCGTGGGTCGCGCAGTGGGCGGAGCTGCACGGGCTGGCCCTGGCAGAGCACGCCGGAGAGCGCCGGCTCAATCGCGATAGAGCACTCGTGACAGCTGCTATCTCCGGTGACGCGCACCAGGCTTAGCTGACTGCTTATCTCCAGCACGCGCAGACTGATTGGCGCGCAAGTGGCCGTGACTGGCTCGCCATCCACTTGCGCCAGCACATTGTATCCGGAAGGGTACATGCACGTATGCACGAGGATATCGGCAAGGACCGGGACGGGCGTTTCGGAGTCCGACTCGCTTTCCTGCTTGTGTAAGCACAGGCCAGCCTCAACCACAGCCGTGTATTTCCTTGCGTCACTATCGAAGTCCTCAGTAATTACGCGATTTGCATCAAACTCGCGGCGCACCAACCCGTCATCGTCGCTGACCTCGGCCACCACCGAATACCCTGGGCCAAGCCGCAGTTCGCGCGTCGGCGCTACCAGCCGCGGGATTGCTGGCTGGCCCGCGGCCTGACGCAATGCAGCCAAGTGCAAGAGAGGCACTGCGGCAGAGTAAGAGCGACGCAGCGCCAGCGGCACATTACCGGCGAGGTCCACGCAGCACGCAACAGTGACGCGGCAGGAATTATACGCAATATTGCTTTGGATGCGCTCGACCGCGTCAATGGGCGATACATGGACGGCATACAGGGCCACGTGCGCGCGCACAGCCGTCTGCAGCGGCAGCGTCTGCGGCACACTGGCTTCCACATACGTAGCGGTCTGGCTGAAATAGTCTGGCTTCCCGGCCTGGAACTGCTCGCGCTGCATTGCAGACACTGTCAGGGCGTCGCGGCGGCCGCACAGCAATGGCACGTGCAGACGTGCGTAGCTGACTGCGACGCTGCCCAAGTGCTCCACCGCACGTGACGAGGCAAACAGCACCGCGTCCCAGTCCTGGCGCTGCCGCAACGCCTGCATGGCCATGTCCACTGAGACCCCCTGCAGGACACTGACGGCTACAGTCACCGGCACCTCCTCATGCAGTGGCTCGACGATGCGCTCGTAGACATTGCCCGGCTTCCACGCCCACATGCTGGCAGTCCGCAGCGACGCCTTCTCGTCGGCCGGCTCGCCCATGTCGGAGATTTCGCGACGCAGCTCAGCGAACCGCTCCACCTGCATGCGCATGTAGTCGCCTGCCTCCACTCCCCCGCTGCCCATCGAGTAGTTGCGGATCAGCAGCGGCCCGCTGCCAGCACTGCTGGTGGTGTCGCTGGCGGTGTCGCTGGGCAGTGGCTCCACAGGCCCGCCACGCACAATCCGCTGCCGGTCAGCCACGGAAACCGACTGGCACTGCGCGTATAGCATCGGATCGGTGTCCCGCCGGAGATACCGCACGCGCGCCGCCGCGCCATTCACAGTAACGCGCGGCGGCACCGACCACGGGCCCACCAGCGCCGGGCCGGGCTCCGTCGGCACCACCAGCGACGACCGGCTGCCCGCCACACCGGCCACGCACCGCCGCACAACACTTATGCTGGCCGACTGCGTGCGCTGATGCCGCACACGCACACGCGTGGCATGCGGGTCAGCCTCCGGGTCGACAAAGCAGGCGATCTCCGAGTCACTGAAAAACGGCTCTGCCTGAAGCTCCACTGCCGCCGGCTCAGTATGCTCGCCTTGCAGGCCATATGCCCACACGCGGTGCTCAATGCGCAGCTCGATTTCGCTCGGCCCACCGGACGCGCATTGCACAATGAACTGAACCGAGTCTCCCTCGGTTGACATGGCGACGCGCGCATTGCGCGTCCACACGACGGCGGGCGGGGCGCCGTGCTTGTCCAGGTGCTGGACCAGACATGTGATGTTGCGCTCCACCGCCTCCCGGGCGTGTATGGGCAGCTGCGGCAGCCATCCGCCGGGCCGCATCTGCTGGTAATGGGTCAGCCGCACCACCGCCTGGCGGCGGGGCTCGCCGACTGCCTTCTGGCCGCCGATGCTCATCCGCTCGCTGCCCAGCGCCCGCGCCAGCGTCGAGTTCTCCACCACCCACGCCGACAGCCCCACGTGGGCGCGCACCGGCTCCGAAGCCTGCAGCTCGGGCAGCTCCCCACTTTCCTCCACCGAGCACTCAGCCAGCTCGAGCCGGCTGCGGTGGTTCGTTGTCCACGCCCGGCACACCACCGCGTCGCGCGCTGCCCGAGCCCACGTCCCTGTGTTTCCATGACGCAGCAATGTGCTGGTGGCGGATAACTGCCGGATCTCCTGCGTCTCGTCCCAGAAGCCCGAAGCCCCGGGGCTCGCCAGCACGCTGAATACGTCAAAGATCGTCCACCCTGAGATTGATGCCGATGCGCGTAGAATCGGGCCCGAGAGCCCCTCCACGTCCGTCTCCGTCTTGGACAGTGTGATCCCGCCTGATGCGCTTGTCCCTAGCGACACCCACGCCGATGATGCTATTTGCACTGCCTGCCGCAGCCGGACAAGTGGAGGAGCATCATTTACTGGCTGCGGATCACTTGGCACCGAGTCTTCTGGCGCTGAGTCTTCTGGCGCTGAGTCCTCCGGTAGTGAGTCTTCCGATACTGGGTCTACAAGCGATGGTGGGGTCTCTTGATACTCTGGCGTCCCCTGATCTCCTTGCGTCTCCTGATCGCCTTGTGTCTCCAGGCCCACCACTGTACTGCCTACCGATGGCTCACGCGACCCCTGTGCCGTCGTATCTGTCTCTCTGATCATCTCGGGGACTGGCATCCGCGGCCTGCCGGGCCTGGCCTTGAATGCATCAATCTCCGGCACGGCCTCGCGCACCTCCACCAGCTCGCCATTCACCACTACGCCCTGATTGCCCTCGCCCCTCCTGACCACCACCGTGACCCGGTACGCCGGCTCAGCAACCGGCGGATTCACAATCCTGACCAGATACCTCTGCTGGACTCGGAAGCACTGCACGAAATGCCGCCCGGCAAATTCCGCCGCGTCCTTCATCTCCTGCAGAGCCCGCATACCACGCGCCCGCCGGCGCCCGCGCTGGAACTCCTCGGGCGTCAGCGCCAGCTGCCGCTCGGTGAACAGCTCGGGCGCCATCCGGTGCATTTCCTCGACCGCCTGCCACACCTGCTGCGGGGTGGCGAATCCCGTGACCTGGAACTCCACCAGCACCTCTCCTTTCTCCACCTGGAACTCTACCACCGAGTCCTCCAGTCGCGCCCTGGCCACGACCGCCGCCTCGGCCTCGCCCTCCCTTACGATCCCGCCGTGCTTGCCCTGCCGCTGCAGCGAGTCCGTTAGGTACACCGACAGCGAGTCTGCGTGCCCGGCCAGCCGTGCTATCACCGGCGGGCCCGCGTCTGCCATCGCGTATGTCAGCTCCCAGCCGCCATTGGCCCAGTCGCGACGGTCCATGGTCACGTGCACTCCCATCCGCACCAGCCGCGGCGGCGCCCGCCGTGCCCGCACAAACCCGACCAGCGCTGAAACCAGCTGCGCCGACGCACTGCAAGCCAATGCGTTGCTGCCGCGCCACGACCCCAGCGATAGGTGCAGGAAGCACGTGATCTCCACACACACCCGCCCGCGCCCGCCCACCACCTCCACGCACCACGCCCACAGCTGCGACTCGGCGCGCTTCATTCCCTGGGTCCTGCGCAAATACCCCGGGTCGTCTGCAGCCTCCCTTAGCGACGTGGCCACGCACACCACCGTGGTCGGGTCCACCAGCGACGTCTCGACCATCACCAGCTCCCTGCTGTGCTTGAATCTCTTGCAGCCCGGCACGGGATTCCTTAGTTTCGAGTAGGTGATGCTGGTGTGTGCGTCGAGCATCTCCAAAACCCGGCTGCTGTCAACAAAGTGGTTCCAGAAATGCCGCAGGCCAGGGCACTCCAGCACGGCCTGCCAGTCGCGCAGCTCCAGCGTCTCGCCCTGGTGAAGCGGCACCGAGGCCGTCAGCCGGTATGTTTCTGTCGCTTGCCCGTCTCGCCCCGTCACTTGCTTTTTACTGAGCTCCACCGCCACCTCGCCTGGTGTGCCTGTGGCCTGTACTGGCGTCCAGCCCTCCACTGTTGATTTGAGCGACACAAACTGCGCCAGCGCCTGTCCGAGCGCCGCCACCTGCCGCTCGCGCAGTCTAAATGGAATGCTATATTAGTGTGCATTTCATTTGCTACTTTTTTTTAGCTGGAGCGGCATTTCAGCCTTTACGTAACTGGCTCAGGTCCAAGTCGGTGTCCATGTCGAATACTATGCAATAAATGTTAGCTGAGGGGGTCTCTGGCCAAGAAGCTCAAGCGTGTTGCACCAAAAGACCTGTGAATACGCAAGAGCGATTGAAAAATAGCGGTTTCAGGTGTAGCTTCCCTTCCTCCCACTGTGTTTTACAGAATATTAATAATTGGCATAAAATAAAGTGAAATAGCAAGACAAGGAGGCAGACATGTTTCGCCACACAAGACCTTGCATTTCAAGAACCAAGTAAATCCCCCTTCCACATCAGCTTTTTTCCTTTTCAAGCCCAAGAAAGAAATCTACTCATGGACGATCACGCCGGCGGCGGCACCACGTCGTAAATGTCAATGTGCGCGCCGCTCTCAAACTCCCACTTGTCGAGCAAATCGCACATAATCCCGGCCGTCACCGCCATGCCCACCAGCTTCTTCTCCTTGTGCAGATCGCCGTAAATTTGCTTCTGCTCCGGATCGCCCACCGTCGTGCGCACCACCTCCTGCATGTCATTGTCCAGTGGGCCCGGCGCATAGCTCAGCAGCTTTACGCGCTGATCCCCCTGACTCTCCAGCGCCGCCACCTTCAACAGCTGGTCGCGCGCTGCCTTAATAGCCGCATACAGCCCCCAGTTGCTGAACCCCATGATGGCCAGCAATGACGACACGTTGACCACGCAAATCCGCTCAGCATTCTGCTTTTTGGCGAACCCCAGAAACCGCCCCGTCAGGACACTGAATGAGACAAAGTTAATGGTCGCGTATTCAGATATCTCCGCCGCACTGTAGTCCACCACGTGCTTGCTCAGATCCCCCAGCGTGCCGGCGTTGTTCACCAATGTCAGCCGCAGCGGACCGGTGGCCTCCTGCGCAATCGCGCCCACCTTGTCGAGCACCACCGAGGCCCAGCTGTCCGAAGGCTCTGAGAGCTCAAAGTCCGCTATTATGTACGTGCGCGTGGTGCTGCTGATGCACTCGCTGCTGGCGCTCTCCAAATCCCGACGGTTGCGACCGACTAGCACGATGTGCCGGGTTTCGGCTTCGGAGCTGCGCGCGGCAAGTGTCTGCGCGATTGCACGACCGAGGCCGCGTCCGGCACCAGTGACGACGAAAATGTGGTTAATTAAGGTCATTTTAAAAAAAACGCTGAAGATAAGAGAAGTCCCTTGAACCACCCCGGTTCTCACGGTCTGGATATGCTCGATTGTCCGTTTCTGGCTCGCCGGCTCTGCAATCCAGGAGCTGGGGCAATCTCCCTTTGCCCTGGTTTGAATCACGTGCTACACCGCCAGCATCATCTTTGGCCAAAAGCCCCATCGCCTATACTATCCACAAGGACCATATTTACACCTTGCGCAAGAACCGAGCAGCATTGTTGACGAGCCCAGCTGCACGCTCCTCGTAGGCCTGGAATGCCTCCCAATCGCCATCCTCGGCAGCTTCAGCCAGGGCTGGGAATACCTGCGAGTCGTAGCCCATCCAGCGGCCAGGGCTGACCAGAATGTGCTTGTACCACTCGCGACCCGGAATACCACTGGGGTCAATGAAATGGCGCTCGAGTTTGGCAACCCGCTCATTGATGCTCTTGCGCAGCTGGTGGCAGCGAGCACGGCGGCGATTGCCGGCCATCTGGCAGCCCTCACCATAGACACGTTGTAGATAGTGGAGTCTCCTCTCCAGATACTGTGCACTGCGAAGCAGATTGTGCTGGGCACGACGGAGATGGCGGAACTTTTTGGTAATAGCCCGATCCACATCAGTTGTGTCAGGGAGCTGTGAGGCAACGTATTTCTCAATGACATTGAGATACTGCTGCAACTCCTCGGCATATGTCGTCGGCTTGAGGTCAAGCACTGGGTCGTCTGCGATGCGGATGGTCAGTAGACCCCACAGACGCGTCATGGCCTGGTGGAGCTTGAAGTCGGGGTCAATAAACCTTGTCATCCAGTTAAAGCTGTCGTAGTTGGAATGGTACGCGCCTTCATAACCGCCGAACCCCATGTTAATGGACGAGATTCCAGCATGTGCCATGAATGGCGCATAATCGCTTCCAGAGCCAAGCGAGTAAATAGCTGGCTTCTCAAGCCTATCGTCGCCAGCATTCCTAGCCGAATCCTTTAGCCAGACATCGTAGACAGTCTGGTTAGAGTTTGGGTACGGCACTTGCTTAGTGGCTTCATGCAACAGATGCGCAAACACTGGTGATGCACCAACGGCATACTCTCCACCACCCACAGCACCGTCGACATTGATGTAGGCGACAGCCTCTGCGTTAAGCCAGCTGCGGTTCTCCTCAACCCACTCGGTGGAACCGATCAGGCTGTACTCCTCAGCATCCCAGGAGCCGAGGATGATGGTGCGACGCGGGCGCCAGCCAAGCTTCAGAAGCTTGCCGAGACCTCGTGAGAGCTCAAGAAGGGCAGCGGATCCGGAAGATGGATCATACGCACCGGCGCACCAGGCATCGCGGTGGTTGCCGATCACGACAGCGCGGTTTGGCTCACTCCAGCCTGGGATCCTGGCGATGACGTTCTGGATAGGAGTAATCTTGTACTCAACCTTGTTGAGCAGATTGACGCTCAACTCGCTCGGACCGGTCCAGTACTCAACGCCCTTAGATGTCAGACCACCGACCCAATTGTCACCGACCTCCTTTGCCGGTTTGCCGAGTCCCTTCAAGGCACGCAGCAGCGGCTCGACATCGCGGTACGACAGAGGCAGTGACGGGATGCGATTAAGATTGGCTGCTTCACTCGGGTCAAGGCGCGGCGCATCCTTAGTCGCAGCATAGCCGGGCGTGAGCGGATCGCCAGGGTGAATCTGGATGAGCGAGACAGAGCCACGCTGGAACGACGACTCGGGCCTCCACGGCCCTTCCGGGTAGACAGGACCTTGGACATAGCCATCCTCAGCAGGGTCCGAGTAAATAAGCACGCCGCGCGCGCCACCCAGACCAGCAGCATAGACCTTGAGGCCGCGTGTCATGCCGCCGTAGCGCACAAGCACAACCTTGTCCTTGATGCTGATGCCGGCTGCCTTGAGGGCCTTGAAATCGTCGAGTGAGCCGTAGTTTGCATAGACGAGCTGACCGGTGACGTTTCCGTTGGCTGAGTACCCGTGAAAAGCAGGCAGGTTGTTCGGGTCCTCTGATGCAGAATCTCCAGGAATGATGTCCTCCTTGAGCCCAGCTTCAAAGTGGGCTTGGCCCGTAGTTGCGTTAAACAGTGCAACGCGTTGGTCAACCGGATAGTTCATCCACGGGTAGTACTCGACAATCTCTGCCTCGATTCCCTGCGCTTGAATGTAGTCGCGCGTATAGACAGCCTGGGTGCGGTTGACACCAGCAACATGCGTCCCGGACGTGTAATACCAGAGGTTTTCGCGCAGATGCCTGGTGCTGGGTAGGCTGAGGAAGACTCCGCCTGCGTCAAAGTTGGGACTGGGTGCATGATTCTGGTCGGTGTGGTGATGGTCGCAAGTGGCAACGTACTGACGGACAAAGCCAAGAGTCAGAAGCGACCCAGCCAGCGCTAGCAAACCAACTTTGACTTTGTTTGCTGTGGACTGGCTGCGACACTTGGCCAAGAGTGTCACAGAATCATCCAACGTCTCGTGAGCTAACTGAATTTTTCGTCAGACATGAAATGCAGCTAATGGAAGAATGAAAACGATGTTTACGAATGAAACCAACTAGGAAACGAGGTCAAGAGATTCCTGGCGCACTCTTTTTCAGTACACCCATGCCAAGAAATGAGATGGCTAGTTGATCCCTCACCATCAGCCTTGAGCGCCATTTCCGTGAGACAGATCCAGACTATGCATGTCGAGATCCGCTAGGATATCAATGTATGCAGATGACAAGCAGGATATGACAACCAAACTGGAAGTCGATAATTATGTATTACATGGAGCTGAATGTGAGCAAGTCAGTAGCCGTTTTGTTGGCATTAGTCTGCCACTCGGCGGTGGAAATCACGAGTAGCTGCATTCCACTGCCAGAAAATTCTCGATATCGCGCATACACAGGGCAGCCCTGACCGATTCATTTATTAGCAGCAGATTGCAACACCTTGCCTCAAGTCCAACAACGATAATATACCATATATAGCACACGGGTATGAAGGCACTGAGGGCTAAAACAATTATATTGCAAACGGAAGTGAAGCTGCTTCCATCAGTGGGCCTTGCTACAGAATATCGGTCTGCTCAAGCTGTCGCGATACTCGTCGTATATCGGTTTACCGATTTCTTTCCTGTATTGACTCAGAGTATTGCTGGCAGCTCCGATAGTGACCATCCTTAGGAGAGGCAACTTTGCGATAGCGACGACCAGGTGCGGACCGATATTCCTCCATAGCTGCAAATCAATCCGTCTCAGACTAGTACTAAAGATCGGGAGCTCTGTCAACAGCCTACTAATATCGCTGTCTGAGCGAGTAGGATCATATCCTTCGTCGGCTCGGACTCCGTAAATCCCAATCCTAGTGAGTCCCGGGAAACAGGCCAGGATTTGTTGGAATCTGCCGAGGGTAGGCATGACCTTTCTGACAATCAGATGACGAAGCTGCGGGTTCGAGTGGTTTTGCGGGATGAAAGATTGCAGAGACCGGTGGAAAGGCAATGAATGGTAGTAGTTCTCGATATGCTCGGCATTTGGTGCAATCAAAAACGGTAGATGTGCCGCCTCAACTACATCGCCGATACCATAGCGCCCACTTGCTATGGCAGTTTCCCGAATACGGACACATGCGAGGCTAGGGAACACGCGGCCACAAAGCGATTTGAACAAGTGATCCGTGAGATATAGCGTAAGCGATGTTAGGTTTTCGCCGACACTGTCAACAATAACACCAATGTCGAAGCCACAGTATGTGTTCAGGGAAAGGGTGGTCAGCGATGGAAACGGGTTAATATCAGGCAAACTAAACCGCCCCTCCATATCCTGCCCGGTCTCGATGGATAGGCTAGTGAGCTTCGGGTACGTGTAGCTGAATAAGGATTCCAGGCTGTCTGATATATTCCCCTCAGTCATATCTTCGCCATAATACGGTGCTATGCGGAGCACCAGCTCTTCGACGGTATCCCTGTTTGAATGAACAATTGGACATTCAGTGGAATGGTGCGTTTCAAGATGCATACGCTGAATCCCGGTGCTGAAACCACCACGCAGAACAGCATCCTCATTCGCCAGGTCGCGGAATATTAAGGTTCTTGGTGCTGGAGCGATAATTCCCATTAAGTTCCGGCATATATACTCATAGTCAATCCACGACCCTGAACGAACAACGAGCGAACTGTCCTGTGCGTTGGGAAACAGCTGGCGGATGCGCTCAATGAAAGAACCGACTTTTGCCGAATGGTTGCCCTGCGGAATATCATCACTGCTGTACAAATCAAGCACGAGCTCAGTCACGTTTGGGAAAGTCGCCGTAGAAAGAGCGCCAGCATCCAGCAAGTGGGTGGAGGTACCGTCAATAATATGGTCAAGGGAGAGGCGGAAATGCGCCGAACGGACAAGCTGGCTATGCCCACCAGCGGCTGCCATAGAAAGATCCGGGTAAACCACTCTGGGATAATAAGCGGATGTTCCCAGCACAGGCTCTAGAAGGGTTACGGCGTTTTCGTAAAAGTAAGGCAACGCAGCAGTTCTCCACGAGCGGCAGACCTGAGCAATCGAACGAAGCGACTCAGCACCGCCAGTCTTCCTTATTTGATCCAACCTTTCCCATTCGTTTTTTAGCTTCTTGCCATACTTGATACGGTCGAAAATAAGACTGAGAATGCTAGGTAAGGCGTTCTGGGCGGAAGATAGCTTCAGGTCCATATCTGCAAGCATGCGATTGATGACATTGAGGTGGATGCAGTTGATCTTTTTTAAAAGCAGCGAAAATGGAGTTTATTTCGCACCTGTAGAGTCGGCTAGCTATAGCAGCCCATGCAGGTGTGGTGAGTATGGTTTGTTCAGACGACAGGGCTGCGCGCATTACTTCCTAGGGTCTGCTGATATGTATGATATCGCAATTAGGCTTCGGCCAAGGGACCAGCCTGCCTATAGTTTGACTAGTAGGGCTTGCACACATACCCTGAGGGCTAAGCGAAAGGGAGCTGATATTGTTGCACAGCCGACGATTTGGAGTCCCGACAGATAGCCGCAATGACTGCACACAGGGAGCTCAGGATGACGGCATTGATTAGCCCAAGAATCGACCACCGCACCTAGAAAGTGCCAGCTACTCTCCTCGGCGGGAGTAAGGAGCCGGGATTCCAGGGTGACCGGTGGCCTGTGCCTTACTGCCAACGGTCCTGATTCAAATCACGTGCTGTGCCTTCAACGTCATCCTTGGCAAAGATCATCGCCCATACCGACCGCACCGCATATGCTTCAATTATCTTTCACTCCTTCGTCTTCTAAACCCCTCTACCAATCCATACTACTATTATCACTTGTTTTCATTTTTGTAAGCTTACCACCCATTTCCCTCTCTCTCTTTTGCTTTAAACTGGAGCCATGAGATTGCTCGCATTCTCTGAATTTAGACGGGCACCAGCAGCGTCGCTATCCGCCATGCTACGTGTAATATCTCTGGTAGCGCTGCTTTCGCTAGCCGCCCCACTGGCCTCCGCCAAGAGCCCAGGCGAGGCCCCGCACATGCACCACACATATTTCCCGTCGCACCTCTCCAAGCTGTTCTACTTCAAGGACCCGCAAATGCTGCTCGGGCTGGACCGCACCAACGGCAAGCTATACCGCAGCCACGACCACGGCAAGAAATGGGAGCACGTCACAGAGATCCCAGCGCGCTCGGCCGCCCGGCTCTATGGCCACCCGTTTGAGGACAAAATCGCCTTTGTCTTATCTTCAGGCACCGAGCACTGGGTGACGCGCGACGCAGGCAAGTCCTGGGAGGCTTTCAGCACGCCATTGCCGCCGACATCCTCTGGCGAGCGCGCATTGGGGTTCCATGCGCAGCGCACAAGCTGGATTCTGTTTACAGGTGAGCGCTGCCACGAGGACACGGCGGGGTGGTGGCCGTTCCCGAAGATGGTGTGCCAGGACGAGGCGTTCTACACGAAGGATGCGTTTAAGGGAGCGGCCAAGGAGCATAAGGCCGGGGATAAGAGCGGCACCGGGATCACCAGCCTGATGGGCGAGAAGAAGCCGGTGGCAAAGTGCATCTGGGCGCACCAGACCAAGGCGTTTGAGACTATGGCTGAGGAGGCAATCTTCTGCCTCGAGGTTGTCGACGCGAAGGAGGCGCAAAAGGGCATGTCGAAGCGCTCTCTGCCCATGGACACATTCAGCGGCTCGCAAATGTCGGCTGGGAAACTGCATATTCGTGACATTGTTCGTCCCAGAACCCGCCATAGCAGTAACACCCAGGATACCGGTGTGCCAGAGAATGCGCATGCACGCACAAGCAAACGCAGTGTGCTTGGAGATGCCATTTCGGCCATGGAGCAGCGCAGCCAGTATGTTGTGCGGCTGGTCTCGTCGGAGAACTTTTTCGAGACCAAAAAGATTGTGCACTTCGGGACCGGCACCGACGGCCACAGCGGGGACGCAGCAGGCGGCGGTGTTATTGGCGTCAGCGTCATGAAGGACTATATAGTCGCGGCTATTAGCCACGCAAACTCGGACGAAATGGATCTGTTTGTGTCTGTGGATGGCCACACATGGGCAGAGTCGCACCTGCCGCTGCCCCCAGGCGCCGAGGCTGATGCGTACACAATCCTGGAGTCGACGGAGCACGCAATGTTTGTCGATGTGGTCATGTCGACGACCAGGGCAGTTGGCTCGCTGTTCCGTTCCAACTCCAACGGCACGTACTACACGCAGTCGCTGGAGCACACGCACCGCGACAAGGAGGGATTTGTCGATGTCGAGCGTGTTCAGGGCGTTGAAGGCGTGGTGATTGCCAACCAGGTGTCCAACTGGGACGAAGTTGGCAAAGGCGGCCTGTTCCACCGCGACCAGATCCAGCTGCGCAGCCGCATCTCATTCAACGACGGTGCCCGGTGGCGGTTCCTGCGTGCGCCTGAAAAGGACCTCGATGGCAAGAAATACGGCTGCACAGACGACGGGTGGAAGACCGGCGAATGTGCATTGCACGTGCATTCGGTCACATCGACCATGTCGCCGGGCAAGATTTTCGGCACCAAGTCGTCGTCAGGTGTCATTATGGCTGTAGGCAATGTCGGCCCGAAACTGCTAAAGTGGAACGAGTGCGATACGTTCATGAGCCGCGACGGCGGCGTCTCGTGGTCGATGATTCACCGGGATGCCCACCACACGCAGATAGCCGATTCCGGTGCCGTCCTGGTGCTTGCCAACAGCGAGGAGCCCACCGATGTGCTCAGCTACTCGCTTGATGGCGGCGACTCGTGGGAAAACGCATCGTTTGACCACAAGATCCGGGTCCGTGCGCTTACTGTTGACGATGATGGCCTCTCGCCCGTAGTGCTTGTGTCTGGAATCGTGCGTGACGGCTCGCACAAGAACGAGCAGGTGATCTTGGCCGCCGACTTCAAGAAGTCGTGGAAGCGCCAGTGCAATATCGATCCCAGGGACCCGAAGGCCAACAAGGATATTGAGCAGTTTGTGCTGCGCGCACATGAGGACAATGACTGCGTGATGGGCCATAAATCCGACCACTTCCGCCGCATCGCCAACGCGCAGTGCTACATGGGCCTGAATCAGGTCATTCTGCCAATCCAGGAGGACTGCGCGTGCTCTGAGCACGACTTTGAGTGCGACTACAACTACGCGCTGAACGATAAGGGCAAGTGCGAGCTGGTTGGCGATCTGGTGGTCCCGCGAGGCGAGTGCCTGAAGGAAGGCGCCCACTTCATGGCATCGTCAGGATACCGACAGATCCCCGGCAACACATGCACCAGAGGCAAGGGCAAGGAGCTGGATAAGCCAGTCGACAAGCTGTGCCCCCGCGTGCAGTCTCCACACGGCGACAACCGCCACGATGGTGAGAGCAAGGGCGATACCAGCCACTACGGCCCCGTCAGCCACCACACGTCGGTCTTCAACGGCGAGATCCGCATGACGCCGTTCCCAAACTCCACAGTGTATCTGATTCTGTCGTCCAGCCATGAGCTGTACCGGTCTGAGGACTCAGGCGCCAAGTGGTCCAAGATCGATCTGGCCACTGCCACCAAAATAGGCCCCAAGGTCGGAAAGCCCGTGTATCTGGTGCGTCACACGTACGACGAGAAGCGCGCGTTTGTCTATACCGACACCGACCACTTGGTATACTCACCCGATCGCGGAGGCTCCTGGACTGTCATCGAGCATCTGCCGTCAGCTGCCAATGCTTTGCATGTGCGACCGATTATCGACTTTAACCCAGAGAACGCAGACTGGCTGCTGTTTGTCGGCGGCACCGCATGCCCCGGCTGCCACACCGAGATCTGGGTGTCCAAGGATAACGGGCAAAAGTGGAGCCGCATAACGACACATGCGACCAAGTGCCTGTTTGCACGGTCCAAGCAGTTCAGCAATCTGCCAACCTCAGCCGTCGTGTGTGCGAACTACCGGCACACCAGTGGCTCTCACAACGAGCAGGACCGCAAGGGCAATAAGAACCACCCCGACAACTACCTGGAGGTGCGGGTATTCAGCAATCCCTTTGAGAGCAGCAAGTACCACCCGATCAGCTTCGCCAACCCCAAAGAGAGCGATGTGCTGGACTTTTACATTTACAGCCGCTTCCTGGTCATTGCGGTGCTGGAGCACATGCCCGACGAACAAGGCCACACGACGACACAGCTCAAACTGTATGTCTCGGAGGACGGCAAGTCAGTGCATGAGGCGCGGTTCCCGCCGGGGGTGAATCTGACGCCCGAAGGCTTCACGCTGTTGCCGACGCACGGCGGCACAATCATTGTCGACGTGGAGGGCGCGCCGAGCACCGGCGACCCCGACCGGTCGCTGGGGTGGGGCACATTGTTTGCCAGCAACAGCAACGGCACGCACTTCCACCTTGTCATCGAGCACACCAACCGCAACCACCTGGGCTTTGTCGACTTTGACCGCGTCGAGGGCACTGAGGGTCTGCTGATGGCCAACCGAGTGCTCAACACCGAAGCCCTGGGCAAGCCCGGGGTGTACAAGCAGGTGCAGACAGTGGCCAGCCGCGACGACGGCCGCACGTGGCGGGTCCTAGAAGCCCCGCTCAAGGACAACCACGGCAAGGATATCGACTGCCTCGACTGCACGCTGAATCTGTACGGGCGAGCCTCGCTGCTTAGCGCCGGGCCCCTGTACGGAACGGTCACAGCGCCTGGCTACATGCTGGGCGTAGGTTCTGTTGGCAACCATTTGGGGCGGTATAGTGCGGCACACACGTATCTGTCGCGCGACGCAGGCATCAGCTGGAGCCAAGTCCACGATGGCGAGGCGCAGTATGAGTTTGGTGACCACGGCGGCCTGCTGGTCCTGATCGACGACGACGGGCCGACCGACACCCTGTGGTTCTCGTACGATGCCGGTATCTCCTGGAAGTCATACAAGTTCTCCAGCAACTCGCGCGTAGTGGTTGATGCCATCAGCAACGGCCTGACCAGCGGCGGGCAGATGATCTCGATTATTGCCCGCGAGGTCACCAAGGAGGGGCGCGTCAAGATCGGCGAGACATGCGCCATCAGCGTCGACTTCTCAAAGGTCCTGACCCGGCAGTGCAAAATCGACCGGCGCGACCACGAAAAGAGCGACTTTGAGCTATGGACGCCGCACATCATTGATGTCCATGGGCGCAGCGAGGATGTCTGTGTATTCGGTCAGGCCACGTCGTACTGGCGCCGCAAGCCCAGCACCGACTGCTGGGTCGGCGACCAGTTCTCCTTGCCTGAGACCAGCAAGTCCACGTGCAAATGCACAATGCGCGACTTTGAGTGCGACGAGGGGTTCTGGCTCAACGACAACGGCGAGTGTGTGCTGGATGGCGCCGACCCGCACCAGCCAAAGGACTGCCGCGAGGGATCAACGTATACAGGCCGGTCTGGCTACAAAAAGGTCGCCTTGTCGCAGTGCTCGGGCGGCGATGATCTCGAGAAGCCCGTGCAACGCGTGTGTGGGCGGTCTGGCGGTCTGGTGGCAGTTGCCCATGAGCTTGACTCGCAGCTGGTCGACCTCCAGTACTTCCGCAAGTCCCACCATATGCTGGCGCTGACTGACACGCACAGAGTCATGGTGAGCCTGGACGAAGGGGCCAAGTGGTCTGACCTCCCGGCCGAAGGCGCCAAGGACGTGGACAAGATCCGCACCATCATCCGCCACCCGTACTTTGACGACTACGCCTACTTTTTGCCTGAATCCGGCACCGTGGCCCTATACACGTCAGATGAAGCACGCACCACCCGCAAGCTGCATGTCCCGACTTCGCCTGCGCACTTTTATCCGCCCGTCCTGCGGTTCCACCCGGAGCGGCCTGACTGGATCATCTTTTTGGGCCAGCCCAACGAAAAGTGCCAGAACGAGGATAGCCTGGACTGCCAGGTCGAGGCTTTTGTCAGCAAGGACCATGGCGCACACTGGGACGCTTTGGTGGCTCCAGTGGGCTCCGGCGGTTGCTCGTTCCTACGCACCGACCGGCTGACTGCGGCGGGCCGCGACTCGATCGTATGTGCACGGCACCACAAATCGCGCGAGGGAGCTGGCAACCTGGTCGTCAGCGACAACTGGTTCAAGAAGAACGAGCAGGTTCTGGTCAAGAATGCCACCGACTTCACGATCATGGGCGAGTTCCTTTTGATCTCCGAGGAGTCCTCTGACGCCAACTCGCTGGCCATGCACATTTCGCTCAACGGCAAGACGTCAGCCGTGGCCAAGTTCCCCGGCAACAAGCAGAAGATGGATCCGGCATACACAGTGCTGGAGCCCCCCGATGGCTTCGAGTACCGCGACGACAAGGGTCGCAACCAGAAGATGCCTGGGGGCGGCTTGATGATGCACGTGACCAAGAACGCGAAGCCGGGCGCCGAATACGGCACCATTTACGCGTCCAACTCCAACGGCACATACTACCGCCAAACGCTGGAGCATGTCAACCGCGACGAGTCGGGCCTGGTCGACTTTGAGCGCATCCGTGCGCTAGAAGGCGTAGCAATCGCCAACATTGTGTCCAACGTCGACGACGTCGAGAAACACCAAAAGCCCAAGAAACTGCAGTCCGTTATCACCATGGACAGCGGCGCGCGCTGGCACTTCCTTTTCGTCGACGGCCGCACGCCCTGCCACATGACTGCCCCCCGTCGCGGCGACTGCGCTCTGCATCTGCACGGATACACCGAGGTATCTGATCCCGAGAACATCTACTCGGCATCGGGCGCTGTCGGCCTGGTCATGGGCGTCGGCAACGTGGGCCCAGCGCTGGCCCGGCTTGGCGAGTCCGACACGTTCCTGTCGCATGACGGCGGTGCCCACTGGCAGCTTGCCCGCAAGGGTGCCAAGTGGCATGAATTCGGTGACCATGGTGCCATTATTGTCGTGGCCGACCGCATCCACCCGGTTGCTGAAGTCGAGTATTCGCTGGACCGCGGAAAATCCTGGCTGAAGTTGGCGCTGCCGCAGGAGGCCAAATCCATGCGCGTCGAGATGCTGACCACCACCCCCGACTCCACCAGCCGCAAGTTCCTGCTGTACGGCAAAAAGGATAACAGCAAACGAGGCATTTTGGTCAGCCTGGACTTTGTTGGCGCCCAGCCGCGCATGTGCAAGTACGACCCGTCCGGCCACCAGCACAAGACCAACAACGACGACTTTGAGCTGTTCGCTCCGGTGCCCATCGACTCGGATGACTCGTGCATCCTGGGCCGCAAGGTGCAGTACTACCGGCGGATCGCCGACCGCACCTGCTACGTGGGCGACGAGTTCCGCAGTGTCCGCTACATCTCCGAGATCTGTGCCTGCACGGAACGCGACTATGAGTGCAATTTCAACTTTGTGCGCACCAACCAGGACGACAACCCGTGGGGCAAATGCGTGCTCGTCAAGGGCATGCAGGCGCCGCGCACAAACTGCACTGAGGGCCACAAGGAGTATTTTGAGATTGAGGCCCCCTACCGCAAGATCCCGCAGTCTGTATGTGAAAAGGGTCTGGTCCTGGACCGCCCCGAGGAGGTCTGGTGCCCAGGCAAGGCGCGTGCCATCGCTATCTTCTGGTCATTATTCCTGCCAGTAGTTTTCCTGGCGCTGGCTTATTTTGGCTACAAGTCCTGGCGCGACCGCTACCCCTACCTCCGCCTCGAAGACATCGCCATTGGCCCAGCCATCCGAGACTGGAGCCACCATACCAGTGCCAATTCAGGCGTGCTGAAGCAGATCGAGCCCGTGTTTTTGGGCGCCGTGGCGACCGTGCATGCTCTGGGAGGTGCGGTCAAGGACGGCATTCTGTGGGGCGTCGATCGCGCGGCTCCCTATTTGCCTGCGTCTGTGCAGCGGTGGTCCTATGAGCATCCGCCGCGCTGGGGAGCCTCCCTGACCATGGACGGACGGTCGCGGCGCCAGCTGCGGCGCGGCGACGGCGGCAGCAGGTACTCGTATCACCCGCTGAATGACAGCGAGGCGGCATCGCGCATCTTTGGCACATACGATGACGCCCATGACGAATACGATGAGTTCGAGGCCGGATTCAACCATTTCTTGGAGGAGGAAGGGGATGGCACCTTTGGGACCGGCGAGGGCGATGCCCAGCCGGTTGACCGCCAGGTGCTGTTTGCTAATACCGAATTCTCTGATGAGGAGGAGGAGCAATAATCCTGAGTGTCATGAATATTTACCATACGTCTGTTCCCTGGAATACATCTACACTTTTCCTCTTTTTTGTTCTCATTAAACTACTTTGAACATTTATGTTGGATGTGTGTATTTTTGCTAGGGTAGAGGTATGAATATGTAAGAGAAACAGCTTCGGGAGGGGGCTTTAGTTCTTGAGGTGAATATAGTTGAATGAGTTTTTGGGGACAGTGCGGGTGCCGTAGCGCTCAGTTCCACCCTTGTTGTACTCCTCAACCACAACATTGTTGCCTGAGACCTTGGCCACCCAAGCAACATGGCCGAATGGCCCGGCATTGGTCTGCGCAACCGCACCCACTTTCGGGGTACTGTCGACCCTGACGCCTGATGCGCGCGCCGCCTCATCCCACTCCTTCGCATTACCCCACGCCTTGCTCTTGTAGCGGTTGTGGAAGTTGATGCCCAGACGTGAGTTGATGCGCCAGGCGACAAACGACGTGCACTGGCACTTGAAGTAGTTCCACTTGTCAACAGGACCGCAGTTGCCCTTGTAAGGATAATCATCCTTCATGCCGGTACTGCCGCCGCCAGTGGAGCCACCACCAGATGAGCCACCCTCGCTGCACCGTCCAGCAACGTACCCGGAGGACCCAGTCTTGATGTAGTAGTCAGCGACGTAGCAGCCGTCCGAGGTCTTGCCCCACAGCGAGTTGCCCTTGATGGTCTCGCCGGAGATCTGGCAGGTGAGCTTGATGTCATCGCCCTTCTTGTAAGTCTTGACCACATTGCCCGAGGTGCTGGGGCTGGAGCGGCAGTTGACAGTATCAGCCTTATAGATGGGGTAGGCGCCCGCCAGCGGAGAGATGGTGGCGAGGAAGAGTGTTGCGATTGCCGTGAACTTCATGGCTGAAGGAATTTTTTTTGGTGACGAGAGGAAGTGGGATGTTTCTTGTTGCTGAGCATTTGGCTGATGGGCAGCCCTTTTCCTGCTCCTTTTATACATGTTTGTTCACACGTATGTTGACAAGTCCACCGCATCACGCATGTTGCTTTGAGACAGAAATCTGCTATAACCAGTCGCTAAGTGGTCCCAGGATCTCACTGTGAAATAGAAATAATTTGTTGTTGTCTTGGTGGAATTGTATTTTTAGAAAGTAGTCTTTCTTTGAACTTTTCTAGACTTCAACTAATGTACAAGTGCATACAATCTGCGGTTTTGATATATGGAAACGCGGGTGCTGTTTATTTTTAGACTGCCATATCATGAAGAAAAAGGGGGAGGTGTGCGGACTAGAGATATGTGGCTGCTTGGTAAGCGGACATGAGCGGCACACTTGTTGTGCATATCAATGCTGCATCATCACTTTTCTATTGGAGAAAATGGGATTCGTGGTTTCTCATGCACAGCAGTTCTGCAAGACAGTCCGCATGCGACCTGGCGGAATTCAAAATAAAACAAAATTCTGCTTCTGAACATTTGGTAAAGGCACTGGTGTTTTAACGGCAGCTGCATGTCCTTCCAGAAAATAGTGCAGGACTTGATGCTGACAAGAACTAGTGTGAAATGGGCTGTGATTGTAAAATATCTTACAGAAAGAGAAATATAAGGAAATTTTAGTTCTTGAGGTGGATATAGTTGAAGGCACTCTTGGGAACAGTACGCGTCCCGTAGCCCCTGCGGACACGGTAGTTGTACTCCTCAATCACAACATTGTTGCCCGACACCTTAGCGACCCAAGCAACATGCCCAAAGCCGCCGCCGCCCTGGTTGGTCTGCGCAATGGAACCAGGAGTCGGAGTACCGTCGACCTTGACACCCGAGGCACGCGCTGCATCGTCCCACTGGTTGGCATTTCCCCATGCCTTGCCCTTGTAGCGGTTGTGGAAGTTGATTCCCAGGCGCGAGTTGATGCGCCAGGCAGCAAACGATGTGCACTGGCACTTGAAGTAGTTCCACTTATCGACAGGACCGCAGTTGCTCTTGTACGGGTAGTCGTTGGTCATAGGTCCAGCCGACCCAGAGCTGCCACCGCCGCTGCTGCCGCCACCACCAGATGAACCACCGCCGCTGCACTGCTCGGCAACATAGCCGTTCTTGCCAGTCTTGATGTAGTAGTCAGCAACATAGCAGCCATCCTGGGTCTTGTCCCACAGCGAGTTGCCCTGGATGTTCTGTCCCGAGACCTGGCAGGTGATCTTTACGTCAGCATCCTTCTTGTAGGTCTTGACCACCTTGCCCGAGGTGCTGGGGCTGGAGCGGCAGTTGACGGTATCAGCCTTCTGGACAGGATAGGCGCTCGCTAGCGGAGAGATAGTAGCGAGGAAGAGGGTCGCAAGCGCAGTGAACTTCATGGCTGATGTGTTTTGTTGAGAAAAAGGTTATTGAGAAAAGTGCTTTTGGTTTGTTGCTGTTGAGTTTTAGTTGGCACAGCAGGCTTTTTCTACTCCTTTTATACATGATCAGTAATCCCCCGTCACACATCAACCAGACAAACACATTGGACTATCTGTCACTTACATCTGTGCTTGCAAAAAGCACATCGACGTCGTGCATCCAACACCGCGAAAGAACAGTTCCAGGAAACTGCACATTCTATTTTTGTCCTGTAGTGTCTTTATTTTTAGAAACCGGTTTCGTTAGTTTAGCTAAGCTAGGCCGCTGCTTATGTACGGCTGCATGGGATTATCTTCAGCATCTATATAGCATGTAAGCTATTTTTAGATCGGCACCTTCTGTGGATGCAGACATTGAGCAAGGAATATGCAGCATCTTGGGTAGCGGTCATAGGCGGCATTTCTGTTGTGCTTTCTATATAGGCTCTACGTTATTTTTGGAAGCAGAAGAATATACTGTTTGTCGCTCATGCTGGTTCAGCAAGATTGCCTCCGCACGGAGCAACAGTCCACAAGGATAGAACTACACCGCCAAATGGCCGCTGTTAAAAGTTGATTAGTGGCCAGTGATATGTGTTCTTTGCCCAGTATTGGACACACTCAGTGAGCACGCCCCGTTTTCAATATTGCAGATGTTCATTGATGATTTGGTTTCTGATTTTAATATCTAAACTGTGATAAGCCAACTGATTTGACCTGGCTAACACGCTGTACAGATCCTCCTATTGCACAATTTTGTGCTGATAGGAATAGACTATTGCCGTATATATATTGACAGACATGTATCTTACAGAAAATGAAATATAGAATCATTTTAGTTGAGGTAGATGTAGTTGAACGAGCTCTTGGGAACGGTGCGAGTGCCGTAGTGCTCGGTTCCGCCCTTGTTGTACTCCTCGACCACAACGTTGTCACCATCAACCTTTGCAACCCAAGCAACATGGCCAAACCGCCCAGCATTGGTCTGCGCAACAGCACCGACCTTTGGCGTACTGCTAACAGTAACACCAGAACTACGGGCCGCATCATCCCACTCATTCGCGTTACCCCACGCCTTGCCCTTGTAGCGGTTGTGGAAGTTGATGCCCAGGCGCGAGTTGATGCGCCAGGCGACAAACGATGTGCACTGGCACTGGTAATAGCTCCACTTGTCGACAGGACCGCAGTTGTTCTTGTAAGGATAATCATCCTTCATGTCAGTGCTGCCACCACCAGTGGAGCCGCCACCAGTAGAGCCGCCACCTGTGGAACCACCGCTGCATCTTCCTGAGACGTATCCAGAAGATCCGGTCTTGATGTAGTAGTCGGAAACATAGCAACCATCCTGAGTCTTGTCCCAGAGGGCGTTGCCCTTGACGGTGTCGCCGGAGATCTGGCAGCTAATCTCGACCTCAGTATCCTTTGCGTACGTCTTGACAACTTCACCAGACGTACCGGGGCTGGAGCGGCAGTTGACGACATCAGCCTTGTAGATGGGGTAGGCACTCACCAGCGGAGAGATGGTGGCGATGAGAAGTGTTGCAGCTGCTGTGAACTTCATGGCTGAAAGGAGTTTTTGGTGGAGAGGGAAATGGTTTTCAAGAGAACTGCTTTGTGATGATGAGTATCTGGCTGTTGGCAGTCCTTTGCCCGCTCCCTTTATATGTTTGACTCCAACTTCAGGCACACATATTGACGAGTTGACTGTACCATGTGCATGCATGTGTTTCGAGATAGAAACCTGCTCTAACCAGCCGCTACCGGTCTGAGATGTCTTTGTGCAATAGAAGAATTCTATTATTGGCACCTTGATAGAAATTTATTTTTAGACAACGGTATTTTCTTGAACTTTTGTGGACTTCAGCTTATGTACGAGTGCATACGATCGGCGTTTTTGATATATGGAAATGTGAGTGCTGTTTATTTTTGGAATGCCACTTCGTGAGAAAAGGGGGTGTGCGGACAAAAGATATGCGGCTGCTTGGTAAGCGGACATGGGCGACATTGTTTCTGTGCACATCAATGCTGGACCTTCATTTTCATTTGGACAATGGAATACAGGGGTTATTATGTGCGGCTGTTCAGAAAGACAGTCCGCATGCGGCCTTGCGATCTTCAAGAAAAATCAACATCCAAGCATTTATAAATAGCATGTGTGTTCAGTGCCAACTGCATGCCCATCGGCCCAGGGAATAGCTTAGACATTGCTGCTGCCAAGATCTAGGAGTAAATGGGTTTTGATTGTAAAATATCTTACAGAAATAGAAATCCAGGGCAGCTCTCGATCTTAGAGATGGATGTACTGGAATGCGCTCTTGGGAACAGTACGGGTGCCATAGCCCTTACGGACACGGTAGTTGTACTCCTCAATCACAACATTGTCGCCATCAACCTTAGCGACCCAGGCGACATGGCCATAGCCACCACCACCACTGTTGGTCTGCGCAATAGAGCCAGGCGTCGGGGTGTTGTCCACAGTGACACCCGAAGCACGGGCTGCATCATCCCACTGGTTGGCATTTCCCCACGCCTTGCCCTTGTACTTGTTGTGGAAACTGATACCCAGGCGCGAGTTGATGCGCCAGGCGACAAACGACGTGCACTGGCACTTGGCGTAGAGATACCCGTCATATCCTGTGCAGCTGCTGCTCTTGAGCGGATAGTCATCCTTCATATCGCCAGGTGCGCCACCCCCACCAGTGGAGCCGCCACCAGTAGAACCGCCGCCAGTGGAGCCGCCGCCAGTGGATCCATCATTGCATCTTCCAGAAACATATCCAGAAGACCCGGTCTTGATGTAGTAGTCGGAAACATAGCAGCCATCTTGGGTCTTGTCCCAAAGCGAGTTGCCCTTGATATTTTGGCCTGAGATCTGGCAGCTGATGTTGATGTCCGTGTTAATCTTGTACGTTGTGACGACTGTGCCCGAGGCACTGGGAGATGAGCGGCAGTTAACGACATCTGCCTTGTAGATGGGATAGGCGCTGCTCAGACCAGAGATGGAGAGGAGACCGAGGGAAGCGATAGCAAAGAACTTCATTTTACTGATGCGGAAGGTACTGTTTTTGTTGGTGATGGAATCCTGGCGGTAGTGCACTGGCAACCAGCCCTATTTATACCAGCGTTTGTTGAAGTAAAGACTCAGTTTCATAATCTATTTTTGGCATACTCCATACGTGTTTGCAATACATACATTGCTTAGATAACTCCAGTGTGTTGCTAAACAGATGCAAGGATCCGTGATCTATATATAGGCTGCGCCAACAGGAATGAGTACCTGCAGTAAACCGGATGCAGCCTGATTGAACTATTTTTGAATAAGCAGCGACAAAACAGGAATGCACCAATATATTGGCAATACCCAACTAATATGTACCTATTAAACTATGTCAGTTTAATAGTGTCTGTGCTTGCTGTCTAACGGAGACAATAGAAGATGAACCGGTAGAAATCAGCTCAGTAGCCTGCCTTTGCCTTATGTATAATTCAATTTTTGGAAAATCAGAAGTTGAACGGCTTTGTTGTTCGATTCGCCGACAATAGCTCAGTTGGTAGAGCGGGAGACTGTAGTGGAATTGAAAAATTCTTGAAATCTCTAGGCCACCTGTTCGAATCAGGTTTGTCGGATTCTTTTTGAACATCATTTTTCTTGCTGGAAATTGGTTTTTTGGTTCTGAAATTGTTGACACTCCTAGGAATGAAGGCAGGTTTGCTGGTAGCGCCTGTGTGTGCTCTTGTTGCTTTTTTTTTCTTTTTTTGTGCATATAGCTGGTGCTCATCTTGTGTAGCAACACCATGCTCTGTGTGTCCGGCCACCAAGAACCTGCTTCTTTATCTGTGCCTGCATGGCCATTTTGCCATCTGTCAACTATAAGATGCTCGGATGGCTGGTTCCATAGACGCTATTTCGCCAGTACTGTTTGTAGATACTGTCGCTGCACTTCAAGTATGCGTATAAAAGCAGCTGGCACCAGAGTACCACACCAGCCTGATGGGACCGTGAACGCACCTGGTGCATAGCAAACGCTCTTGGACCCAACAAAACGAAGGGCTGCCCTCCCTAGACTCTTTATCCTTGCTATTATTTTCTCATGATGCTCGCGAGCAGCACTCAATTGTTAGCAAACGACATGTGCATCTAGCCCACTAGATAAAGTGCGAGCTATACAAGTTCCTATCGACTTTATAGATGTGTCCACTTCCCTCAAATTATATACTTGGGTTTGAAGAGCGGGTGATGGCGCCCGCAGTTGCTGCCAGTGGCCGTGACGCCGTATTTGCAGGTGTCGTTGCGGAAGAATAAAAGACAATAGGCAGACGATACATATACAGCAGCAAATATGGATACGAGACTCATACAGATGCCAGAAAAAGAGGTACAGCGCTTTCTACGGTGAGAGTACCCAGAGGTAGCACGGAACACTTGGCAATGGCCCCAGCCGACAACGTGGCAGCACTGGAGTTGCTTGGTGCTCACAGCATGGTGTGGTGGCCAGCACCACGACGCATTGCAAGAAACAGCAAAAAGATGGCAAAGCAGCCCAGGAGGGGAAAGAAAGCAAAAGAGATGCTCACTACAGGGGTCGAACCTGTGACCTACGCGTTATTAGCACGTCGCTCTAACCGACTGAGCTAAGCGAGCCGAACCAACTAGTGGATCCTCTTGTTGAGATCAAGTAATTTTTTTGTGTACATGAAACTCCCACTCTGTGGTACATTTTCTTGACAGCAGTCTCAGCCGCTCTGGCTCTTTAGACAGCAAGAGGAGCTCATTTTGTCACGGATCATGCCGAACACTGCAGCTGGGACTTTCGAGTCTTTGCTTTAGATTGTATTGGTGTGAGAAATAGAGCGAAGCGGGTAGTTACATGGTGTTTTTAGTTTAGGCGCATTTGGGGTATGCCTGGGCGTTGGTGGGAGCCTTGGCAAGCTTGACCTCGGCATTGCGGCGGCGCGTCAGGCCAGACAGAACACGGCCACCAGCCTTGTTCCACTTGGGCAGCTCGCCGGCAATGACGGTGGTCGGGTTCTCACCAGCGTTCAGACGCTTGACCAGGTTCGATGA